TTTCCCCAATAGTTGGGATGATGATCCAATCTGACGAACACATCCCCAATTGTGTGTAACCTCCCTAAACCACGGGTTTCTGGAGGGGTGTTTAATAGGTGCATGGGGTTATATATATATATACATATGTATGTAAGGCGTATAGGTATAAATAAGTATAGGGAAATAATGGGTATCAATAACATGTTAATGGAATGTTCCTGGAATACGAATTGGGATATGATGAATGTGGGAAGCCTTGGCTGCCATAAACCTACCATTAACATCATGATCCTGGGGATGATTTATGGCATGGGGTTTACCACAGTGATTTTGATGGGTGTGACATGGTGTGACCATATCATGAATGACTTTTTGACATGACATGTTTAACCAGAACAACCAGAATAGTTAATTATGGTCATTTATTTAATGATTAGGTTCACGTAACAACGAACAAAGAACAGATGAGTCACAGTAAGCATGTTTGAATTGAAAAAAACTTCCAAAAGTGATTTATCCTCTGGTTATTTAACGTAGCCATGGAAAATCACCATTTTTAATAGGTAAACCATCTATTTCAATGGGTAATTTTCTATGGCTATTTTTACTGATGACCAATGATTTCTTTGGAGTTGCACCAACAATCATCGGGTTTTTTTTATCCGAAGAAAGTGGTTGATTTATCCAAAAAAGAAATAGTTGGGGTTGAAGTCACCACTTGGGAGAATCCCATCAACACATGAAACAAAAATAGTTGACATGGTCAATTCATCCAGTATCCACTATTGGTTCAAAACAGTTGGGTCAAATATAGTCGCATGTTTTTGACAGATGAATTCATCCACTGACCCAGGAGTTCTAGAGGGATGGGATGAAAATTATGGTTGGTTAACCACAAAAGAAGAACAACATGACACCAGATTTTAAGGGACAAATCTGGGGAGTTGCCCACCAAGATTTGAGTCTTGCAACATGTAGGAACTGATAGCATGGCATCCATGGCAAAATGTCGCCATTCTGAGATCCTCCTAACTTGGTGACTTTTGTTGGCACAGGTGAATCATGATCGAAATCAAAGCTTACCCGGCCTGGTAAACATACAAAAAGCTGTTGAACATGGCCATTGAAATAGTTGATTTACCCATTGAACATGGTGATTTTCCATAGTCATGTTAGTTTACCAGAGGGTAATCCTTGTCTTGTCATTGGAAAAATGCTGATTTTGGTTTAGTAGCTTTTACTGTGAACCCAGGATTTGTTTTTCATCCGTTGGCAGTTGGTTTTATATAATTGGCGGTATGATTAGAAAGGAGCAGATGAAATCACTAGTGGGAGCGGGTACACCCTAACTAATGAAGCAGGTGAATGAACACCTGATGTTGACACTAGACATGTCTTGTGACAAAGCTATATAATATAATATATACATACATAGTATATTCCATTTTATATCCCAAACATTTTTTTCTATTTCTGTTCGACAATCCTTATTTGTCATCCTGATGTCTCCACGCAAACGGCAGGCGTTCCTGTGTGAAGATCCTCGCGGTGTCGAAGCCGAAAGGTGACTTGGAGCGGTTGTTCGGGTTGATGTGGAAGAATTGGCTGAGCGCCAAATGGAGAAACTGAATGGGATACCATCATATATAAGGATATGATGCGATATGATGGGATATGGTATACTATATAGGTATATCATTTAAGGATTTTTCATGATTTCCTGATTGATTTGACTTGGATGTGTTCTGTTAGTCGATTTTTTTTTGGTTTTTGTATTATCCCAAAGGGAAATCCACTACTGGCGATCATGATGATCTCCAATCTTGGACACCCGTATTGGTGAACTAACATACATAGCTGGCTGCAAAACCATAGCTGGCTAGATACCCTCTGGTTATCGACGCTAGCGGAGAACAAAAAAGGGGATGTTTTTCACACTGGGAAGTAGGTTTTTTGTACATACAAGCCACGATTTCGTCGCTGGTCAACAGCCACAACATGAGATTCCATCATATTCCCCTTATATACTGTACCCATGATGGTTGGTATTATACCGTTATACCCCACATCTTTGCCGTTTTCCGGAAACAACATCATATTATGATTTTATTGGTCACATATATATATATATATATATTATATATAGTATGTATTCCCATGAAATCCCCAGAAGATGATGATATATTCACCATATTTCTTTATTATTTCTGAACTAATCCCATGTTTTTCATCTCCCGAATCCTCCCGTGACGGCCGTTTGTTTGGTCGGCGAAGACCGCAGGTTTCGGGAAGCTCCAAGCACGACCGAGGTATCCCGGTGGGATACCAGGGAGATACCATGGCGAAGCCATGGCCATAGCAAGGTCTTTTTCCATAGTAGACACAGTTGACCAGGCCGGTTAGCTAGATATTCTGGGATATCTAGCTAGCATATCACCAAGATATATATATATATATATTGTTTTTAATGATGATATCACCAGCATATCACCATTGTCGGATTTGCCAAGGGTTTGTCGCGGTCAGTGGGTTTGTGCCAGTGACTTTTCCTGGGAGATCCACTGGAGTTGGAGAAGGCTATCCACATTTTTTCTGATGGAGAGCCAGTTGGAGCTACCCTCTGGTTATGTCAAACGTAGCTATTGAAAATGACCATTAATAGTGGATTTTCCCATGAAAAATGGTGATTTAAACCATAGCTATGTGGCAAATTACCAGAGGGTACAATCAGATAATACTTTTTTTTTTTTTCGCAGTTTGAAATAAACTCCAATGATTTGGTTAATTAACAGATATAACTTCATGATGACACACCATCATTTACCCTCCTTTCCAACATCTCATCCAGGATGTGGAACGCCCACGAAAAATGTAGGTCATTTTCCTAGGGAAAAATTGCATCTCCGTAGCAGCCGGCCAGGTGCCCAAAGGTTGTGTTTGTTGGTTGAAAAAAACCATGGAATCATATTTTCATAGAACAAAACCATCGATAATTGGATGTATATCGAGGTTTTTCATCATATATCAATGATTGTTATAGATTCATTTTGCAAACCCCATTAGCAATTGTTTTATCTACCTTGAATCCTAGTGAAATCTCAGATATAAACAAAATTGGCTGACAAACTGTGGCACCACGGATGGTAAGGCTATGCCCTCCAGTGCATGTGATTGCTATTTCAGGTTGGATGACGGTAAACTGGGTAGATAATCTATATCACCAGGGAAAGTTTTAATTATCAGGGATAATTTTATATGATAACAACCATCTATAAACATGTTTATAATCTATATAAACATGTTTTTTTCCATATTTTTTCATTATTATTTTAATTATTTTGAGTAGTCGGCCCCAAACATAGGCAAAGCCATGGCCGCTCTATCTACCCCTGCCAAGCTTACAGCCCCTGGGAATTTCGTCAGTGATAACGGGGAGCACATTCTGGTAAAAAAAAAATGGTAATGAAAGAGCAGCCTTTTGAGTAAGACCATCATTTAAAATTTAAATCTTAATCTTAACATGGGGGATACACTTGGATACTCCTTGCATGACTAGAATTGCGGGCTACTGCAAGGCCCAAAAAGAACGGACTGGGGACTTTTCCTGGAAGCGACGGGGAGCTGGTGGAAGATGGGAATTGATCTGAGTTGGTTTGAACATTTGGCGGCAGAAAATGCCCAAAAACTGATTGTTAGTCAATGTTTATCATGTTCTTCCCATTATTCGTGGCCACAATTTGGGATACTTAGATAAACGTTTTTTGTGTAGCTCCCCATTTGCAGGCACACACACCCATTTCTTCTCAATTTTTTTTCACAAGGTGGGCAACCTCGCGAAGATCCGTTGAGTTCTCCGTTTTGGCAAGGGAATGAATTGCATTCAGCGACATGTGCTGACACAGAGGACCGCGAAACAGCTATGTATCTATAATTCTATAATATATATATATATACATACATACATACATACATACACACATACACACATACACACATACACACATACACACATACACACACATACACACATACATACATACATACATACATACATACATACATACATACATACATACATACATACATACATACATACATACATACATACATACATACATACATACATACATACATACATACATACATACATACATACATACATACATACATACATAATACATACATACATACATACATACATACATACATACATACATACATACATACATACATACATACATACATACATACATACATACATACATACATACAAACACACACACACATACATACATACATACATACATACATACATACATACATACATACATACATACATACATACATACATACATACATACATACATACATAATATTATATTTATATGCCATCCAAAGAATCCGAAAACCTTTTCAACCCAAATCGTCAAACGGGACATAAAGTGGCAGTCACAGCTTTGACAATCACAGGCTTGCCGGAATGAGTTTTGAACACATATGGTTGACTTGGCAGGGAATTGAAAAACACGAATCTGTGCAGCAACTTTGGACTTCCAATGCTCTTCGCTTTTTTTCCCATTGCAATATTGCATGGGCGTGCTTGCCCAAACCTGGTTGCCAAGCCTAGAACCAACATTTCTGGGCCTAACAATTTGTTTCTTTGGCCTCGCCACTCTTTGGGGCCCAAACAAATTGGGCAAAATGACGCCGTTTCCTTCCCATGAAAGCCCAAGCTTCGGCTAACAAGATTTTGGTGCCGCTATATCAGTTAAAAGCTAAGACCTATACTTGGTCCAATGAGTTCAAACAGGGGGAAAAAGGCTCATGGCGCGTTTGTTTCAATGCTGCCGTGAAACAAAATAAGCCCCTCAGACTTGTGATTGGTTGTCTTGTTTGCTTTGTAAGGCCCGTGTCAATTTTAAGCCGCCGATTCTTCCCTGGTTTTGAGCAAGAAACTCGATGTTTTTGGTTTTAGCAGGCGCATGCAGTCTGATTTTTTTGCACGCAGCCAGGCAAAGATGAGGTCCCAAAGTCAGAGCCCCTGCAGCGTGATGATGAAGAGATTTCGGAATCGCATGTGCAGAAGCCAGCAGCGTGTTTCAACGTTAAAAAAACGGGGATTAAGATGCATTACGAGGATTGTTGCTTCACCACAATGATCCAACTTGATTGCTTCCTGCTTCCCCCGGTACGCTGGCCAAGGCCAGCTAAATACTGTAGATAGTGGTTTTGTTTCCAGCAGTCATGATGAATGGACGCTGTCCCGTTTATGTGCATGAGACTTTGGAAAGCAAACCCGTATATACATACACACATACATACATACATGCATGCATACATACATACATACATATATATTTCTTATTATTTATTATTTATTCATTTTATTTATTTTTTTATTTATTTATTTGAACAAAACATGTGGCCATGCCCGCATGAAGAAGATTTCATACACAATTGCTCACACTGGTATATTGAGATATAGTGCACATCTGTGTGTACATGCACGCTTATGTACATGCAGGTTTGTGTCAGCACGAACCCACATGATAAAGGTTGGATCAACCTCGACCTTCGCTTCTTTCGGGCAACACCTAAAGGCGCGGGGTTGCGATTGAAAGGCAATGGCGTGTTAGTGTGTAATCACCATCACTGACTATCATGTCCGTATAGGTTCCAAGGGGTCAAAATTGCGGTTGAGAGTCGTGCTGTGAGTTACACACACACACACCCGTGGCGAGCATTCTTGCTAGTGCGTTAGTCCTTCCCACTTCACCATGCAAAGAATGCAAAGCCTTTTTTTTAATTTGCTTTCAATATTTTTCAATGTTTCGAAAGTAGAAAATCATGCCTGCAAGGGGTTGTAAGGACACATCAGTTTTTTAATGGTTGTGAATAATATTTTCAGAGCTGTATGTGCACACAATTAATCAGAATTAGTCCAAATAATATATACCTGGACGTCCATTCGTACTAGAAAAAAGTACCCCCCCCATGGTTTCGTACTAGTTTTCAATACTTTTCATGACTACGTATATATATATATAGGTACATTTTTGGAAACTTTGGATGTAACCATGAACACCAAAACAGTTCATTGTTTATTTTCCGTAGTTTCGATGATGACCCCATTGCACCGTCATGTTCTCAGAAAGAGGTTCAGCCACAAAGAAAACAAGTTGCTCAATATCCACAATATTCCCTAGTTATTTACCTATAGCAGCTCTAGCACGCACATATATATATATATGTTTCAGGTTCCGGGTACCCCCTCCCCCCACCCATGGTCATGGTACCCCTGTGGTTCCCCCATCCCCCCTGTGGTGTGGGTGGGTGGGGAGGAAGTTCAAAATGACATATATACATGGATGGGTAATATAATGACCTAGCGCCAGGTGATTAGTGACTGGGTGGCTTATACACACACATCGGGGTTTCCTGAAATAGGGGTATCCCATGCCCATGGTATCCCCAAATCATCAATATTAATGGGAGTTTTCCATAATAAAACATCCATTTTGGGGCACCACCATTTTGGGAAACCCCTATTTTTTTTTACACACACACATATATATATACATATTTACATATATATTTACACACATATATATATTTACATATATATTTTTATTTACATATATATATTTACATATATATTTTTATTTACATATATATATGTAAATATATATTTACATATATATATATATTTACATATATATATATTTACATTTATATATATTTACATATACATATATTTACATATACTATATATATATATTTACATATATATATTTACACACATATATATTTATATATATTTACATATATATATACTTACATACTTATATATTTACATATATATATATTTATATTTACATATATATATTTATATTTACATATCTATATTTACATATATAGATATTTTTTTTACATATATATATATATTTACCTATATATATTTACATATGTGTATATATATATTTACATATATATATATATATTTACATCTATATTTTTTTCATATATATATATATTTACATATATATATATGTATATTTACATATATATATATTTACATATATTTATATTTACACATATGTTTATACTTATATTTACATATATACATATATATATATATTTACATATTTATATTTACACACATATATATATATTTATATTTACATATATTTATTTATATTTTCATAAATATATATAATTACATATATACATATGTTTATTTACATATATATATACATTTGCCTGTATATATATATGTTTACATGTGTATATATATATATATTCATGTGTTTATATATTTACATGTGTATATATATATATATATTTATTTATATATATACATATTGATTTATTTACACATATATATATATATATATTCAAAAATATAGATTGATAGGCTATAGTAGGTAGTTTGTATGTACATAGAATAAGTAAGGTATTGTATCTATAAAAGTATCTAAGTATCTATTTATCTATTTTTCCATACATACGTACGTACGTACGTTCACACATACATACATACATACATACGTACGTACGTACGTACGTACGTACATACATACATACATACATACATACATACATTCAAATATGTATATATTTATACGCGGTTGTGTTTCCACACATGATATATATATATATATATACCATATATCATTTAGGCTGCTATGTATTTTTAAGTAACGCAATATAAGTACGATGGATTATAGGTAGTGTATGTGGTTGCCTCCTGCCCCCTGTGGTGGGGGGTGGGGGTTCTGGTGGTTTTCGATGCTTCACATAGGTAAAGATAATAGGGGGATGTGTTATATAGCTACGCTATAAGCGCTATATAGGTTCTATGTGTGGATATGGCATTGGTAATACATCAATCATTTGCAACCGATGAATAGTATATAAATACGCTATGGCTTGTGTATAGGTATACTTGTGTATAGGTATACGAGGTAGAAAAGAGGCATGTAGGTACAATATGTTACCATATGGACAGCATGAAGGTCGTATGTAGGTAGCACAATATGGCGTTGAAATGCTGCAAATAGGGTGCAAGTCAAAGGTTGTGGTTCTGAAATGCTGCAAATAGCATGCCAATGGGACTCTGTGATTCTCAAATGCTGCAAACAGCATGCAAATGGTAGATTTTTTTTTGGGAAGCGGGGGGTACTGGGGGTACCATACCATTTGGGGGAGGGGCAACCGAACCGGGAACCGGGAACATATATACTGCTGCATTCCTAAAACTAGTTTCAATATTTTCATGTGCAATATTTTTGGTTGCGACCACTATATTATTATTTTCCGTCCTATTGTGACAAGAGCCTGGAAATTCTTGAACATAGGAGGCAAACATCGTTTATAGCTGAATTGAGGGTCCAGAGTTCTTGCAAAACAATAGGAATCCCAGCCATAACAAACCACACAGGGTTATATAACCTGTCAAACATCTTGCAGGCTGTCCACGCCTTGGAAAGGCACCGGTGCTCCATGTGGGTTTCCAAGTTTTTCCTGTGGAGATTGTCATACATAAGTTGGTTTATGCCTAGACGTGCCTAGGCTAACTAAGTAGGCTAACTTGTGGGTTTATTGCTGCCATATGGAACTCGTTAAATGGTGTTTTGAACCAAAAAACAAAACTTGTTGGCCCCCTTTCCGTGGGATTATTTGATTTTGCCTGAGCATGAGAGACTATTTCGGGGCTATGTTTCTTTTTGTGTGGTTGCCTACGCTGTGTGACTGTTTCCCCTTATCCGAACCCCCTGAAAATCAAGGTTTGAGAGAGAGAGAGAGAGAGCGAGAGAGAAATAGAAGTGAACAAAAAAAGTGAAGGAAACTGTTTTTGGATTAAGTTTCAATAAATGAATAATTAAATAGATAAACAACTAAATATTGAATATATTCCTTTTTTTTCTGTTTATTTAATGTTGTTTATTTGTTTTTTACTTTTGTGCTTTTATTTCTTTCATCTTTGTTTGTTCCATTCATCTACAACGCATGAATCATTTTATGTGTATATAGATGAACAATTCACTATATAAATCAGCAAATATGTAAATAAAGACACACATGAACACACACATATACCCTCTGGTAAACTAACATAGCTATGGAAAATCACCATTTTCAATAGGGAAAATCCACTATTTCTATGGTCATTTTCAATAGCTATGTTAAATTACCAGAGGGTATATATATATAATATATATATATATTACGTGCCGCTAGTTGTGTATCAACCATTGGACCCTCGAACGGCTTCCGTTCATCCTCCTGTCACGCGTTTTGTCGGAGCGTCTCTCTGAGTTGACGCTGAGCACGGAGGATGGGAACGTCCAGGTGAGGACATGGTGGGGTGGTGAATGATTTGAACATAGCTATTGAAAATGGCCATAGAAATAGTGAGTTTTCCCATTAATAGCATGGTGGATCTTTCCATAGCTATGTTGAATTACCAGAGGGTACAGTTTATACAACCCTCCGGGTCATGACTGATGTCCCCATTGAACATCACCCAACCAAAATCGGTATATGGTCTATGCCATGGCTACTTTTTTAGGTGATGTTCAATATTCCCAAAATGGGACAGTTACCAACCCCTGTTGAATGGAGGCATACATGACAGATCCCCAACATGGATGGTATAGAACGGAAAACATCAATATAAAATGGATGATTTGGGGGTACCACCATTTCAGGAATCATTGAAATTGGATGAGAACAATACCGTACACACCTAAACATGGTGGCAAAAACGTGCAAAAAAACGCTACAGGTTTCCTGTTGATCTTCCAAAAATGCAACCAAAAAATATGGGATTGAATCAACAAACACATGTGTTTTTTTGGGCCTAAAAATGGAGGATGCGCAAAATTGCCATCAAATAATGGGGAAATGATGTTCTCAACCGTGGGATTTTAGGGTAGCCTGGGGCAGCCTATGTCCAGACATGTCCAGACTCTGACTCAAATTGGGATTGAAGCAGAAATGGATCAAAATGGCCGGCACCAACGACCAGGTGGTAAATACAACGACTTGGTGATAAAGCTGGAGATGGTTTGTTACACAATGTACAGTATCTTCCATTATTACAACATGTACCCTCCAGTAAACTAACATAGCTATGGAAAATGTATCATTTAATATCATTTATAGATGATTTACCTATTGAAAGTGGTGATTTTCCAGTTCGCTATGTAAGAAATTACCAGAGGGTAACCCTTAAAATGGTGCCAGATAGCCAGAGACCATCACGACCATCCAAAACTGAGGGGTAAACCAGTTGGATTTTTTTAGGTTTTTTCCCACCTGTCAACCATGGGTTTCAGGAAACCTAATCGTGGCCATCCATGATTTGGAAATACCCCCATGACTTAGGACACCTCCTTTTATTAGATTATTTTTGTTGCTGATTTTTTAATCGTAAAGCATAGTAAACCCCTTTCCCAATGCCTAAGATTTTTGGTATAGGGGTTGCCCGAAAAAAATACCGTCAGGCCATGGAGTTCATTGGAAAACACCAGAGGTGTGGGCCTTGGTTCGTTGAACCGTTGAACCATGGAAAAATGATCCGCCGTTGCAGATGATTTGCCAAATGGAGGTTTCCTAAATCATGGGGGTACCCCGTTTCATCATCCATTTATAGATGGATTTTCCATGAAATAAACCAACCAGCTATTGGGGTACCCGCATTTATGGAAACCCCCAAATAAACAAAGCATTAACAACCCCCAATTGACTCATCCATTTCCATGACAAACTGTTAGATTGCTAGGGAGTACCAATTTTTTAGAGTCGGTCCCACAAGTCTTGCCAGATAAACCTGGGTGCAGGGAACCCTCTGTGGTTTTCTAGGACCCCTTCCCCTCTGTTTTGGGCTTGTACCATGCTCAACTGGTGGTAGAAACCAATCCATTTACTTGGCCCTTAGTCAATGGGAATTTCAGGATCCTAAAATGGAGGTACTGTACCATATGTTTGGCCATATTTTGTGGGGATATTCCCTTACATAGGCCTAAAAAATAGGCCTTATATAATCTTATATATGGTAGGTACCTCCAATTTAGGTTCCTGAGATGGCCAGTGACTTGGCTCGACCAAATGTAGGTTAACGATGGTAAACGTAGCTGACAAGTACTGCTTAGTTTCGGCTTAGATTGCAACGGTTAATGGGTTGGAATTGTGATCAGAGTGACCAGTATCAAGCCATCTTTGGGTGGTTCCAATGATCATTTGGGGGTTTTCGTAAAATGAGGGATTCCGAGGGATCCCCAAAACCATGGATTTCTATATACTAAAATGGTCTAATTTTGCATGATTTAGGGGTCTATTTTAGGAAACTCACATTTGTTATATCTGGGGGTCCCTGATTAGATGGCATCCGGCGTGGCATCCTTTTGGGGGATGAACAGAGAAAGCTCAACGTGAAGGTTTGAGTTTGTGGAAACCATCTTAGGGCACCAAAGAAATACACGTGGTAAGCTGTCAACCATCATTTTTTCTCAATTTTTGAAGCTCGTGCGTATGGTTAGCAAGGCATTTCCCTGGTTTTTTTTCTTATCACAAGCTTCCAAACATGGCTTTTGCCACCAAGTACCACCAGAAACCAGCAGAAATACACGTGCAACTGCAGTCACTAAGCTGGCACACTCTAGAAGGGATCGAAAAGTTACAGGACCTTGCCGAAAAGATGCAGAGGACTCATCAAAGGCAATATAATGTATACATCACATACAGTCACTTTTAGATAGATTATTTCATATACACACCCGGAGTTCCTTCACTGTCAACATCCGATCGCTCATGGTTGAAGGACACAGCGAGTTGGAACATGATGTTAGGAAATCAGGAGGCTGTATACCCCTAATTTTTGTTGAAAAGTTGGCTTAGATGGCATAATAAACAGTTTTTTTTCCCGGTTGCCATCTATTCGGGGACCACCAGAATTTCATTGACAAATGGTGGTTGGCGGTTGGCAAAAGATTGGTTCGGGGGTTGTCAACCTACCCTTGAATATTTTGTGGAGCGTCATGATCCATTAACTGTGAATCTCCGTAAACCAAGAGGTTTTTGAGACTGCTCAAGTAAGAACCACTGGGTTGCCTTTGACAAAGGTGCCTCCTGAAACCAACCCAACAGGTTTCCTCATAGGCCTCTCATGTGCTGATTGATGGTCTTCAACAACCCACCAACAAAGCCTGTTTGTTGAGTGACCCAAAGAAATTGTGTAAAAGCAGATTCACTACCCATTTACTTACCCTCCAGTATATAAACTTAATCAACTTAAAGCGACATGCAAAAGTCCAAGAAATGATCGTTTTCTGGTACTGGACGTTTTCTGGATGGGCATCTCTCTGTGGAAGTTCGGCGCTGAGGCAGTACTACGCCCAAGAGGGTGACGCTGTGTCGGATGCCTTGGCGCAACATTTGGCAGAGGGACCCAGATCGAGATCGCATTGAGGCGATTCTTCATCCCTAGGGAGCAGCGGGAGCAGTAGCCTTTACGGTAAAAGCTATTGAAGCCATGGCCCAGTCGTTAAATAGTGGATTTACCATGGGGATTTACCCAGCTATATAGCATGGTGATTTTCCATATGTGACAGTTTACCAGAGGCTATTGATATTTTTTCAGACATCCTATGCTGCGAACAATCATGTGCAATAGGCTGCTATAGGTCCTATCTTTTTTCGGATACAGTAGGGAATGGTGGATTCTATGTATCTGCATGTAATGCAATGTGCTGTAATGCAAATGCAAACTCATGCACATGTAAATGCAACTGTATATGTAACGTAACAGAATGGTATATATATGTATGTATGCTATTCCAGTGAGAATTGGCTGACTTTTGCACGGTATATCATGGTATACAGTATCTTATCTCAACTTCAACCATTGCAGAATTGTGAGGCATAGGAGCATAAGATAGAAACATACACAACAGAACATGAGACAAGGATATCATTGACTATCGATGTATTGACAGGGTTTGTGGACAGGTAAATAAGACGATGTTTGGAATTCATCCCCGTGAGAGGATAATCATCAGCAAGGGACTCGGGGGAAGGAATGACAGGGGTAAGCCCGCCACATTTGGGCTTAGAAACCCGTGGATTTTTCATGAAATGTCTCAACAAAAACCATTCCGTTGAGAGAAATCGTCCCTAAATGGATGTTGGTCAAATTTCCATATATGTTCCATATGGCTATTACCTCGTGAACCCCAAAAATAGCTGGTTAATGCTGGTAAAATTGACAATAATAAGTAATAAGTGTTGACCCATTCCAATGTCTACATATTTTTAGCGGGTGTTCCATGTTTTTTCCATATTTTCCTAGGTGTCTTTTTACATATTTTCCATATACTTTTTGTCTCACTCCAATATATTTTCCTAATCTCATAGGTGGTTTCCATCTATTTTACTATGTGTTCCATATATTTTACTATTTTTTCCTATGTTTTCCATCTATTTCCCCATGATTTTCCCATGATTTCCCGGCGATCAACCCGGATCCCAGACCGAGAGCCTGCTTCGAGTGGCCCTGGAGCTGCTTGGACCTCTACTGAGTCTACAGGTGCTTCGATACTGTACATCTACCGCAAAACATCATATCTGTGATAAATGGTGGTTATAGTAATGGTGATTAATAATGGTTAATAATGGTTATTAGTGGTTTAATCATGGTTATTTTCATGGTTAATAATGGTTATAACTGGTGATTTTCATAATGGTTAATAATGGGTAATAATGGTTATAACTGGTGATTTTCATGATGGTTAATAATGGGTAATAATGGTTATAACTGGTGATTTTCATGATGGTTAATAATGGGTAATTAATAATCATCATATAATAATGGGTAAATGGTGATTTTTCTAATGGTTAATCATGGTTTAATTATAGTGGTTAACAAAGTGATTTTCATGATGGTTATAACTGGTGATTTCTATGGGATTATACTGTATATATATATATGTATATATATATATATATACATCTGGGTAAATTATAACGACCTCACTGCGACCGATGGTTAGTAAGGGGAATCATCCCCAAATGGCCTTAATTCAGGTTAGTGAATTATTATAATTCACCCAGATCATATCATCGGATTGGTTTGTTTGGGAAAATCTTAACCGGAGACCATGGTTTTTACCAAAACTGGTTGGTGGTTTGGAGCATGTTTTATGACTTTCCATATATTATATATTGGGAATGTCATCATCCCAATGGATTTTCATATTTTTCAGATGGGTTGAAATCACCAACCAGTCATTTATTACACTGGTGAAACTGTAAAATCAGGTAATTAGTTTTACAAAATCACCAGACCAACCAGATAAAAAATAGGGCTTTCCTGTCATTTTTCCCTTAAACCAATCCATTGATCATAACAGCCATGAAATTCCCTGAGTTATGTTGTCTTTATCGACTGGAAACCAATTGGAAGATGGAAATCAGCGCTCCACAGTTTTAGTGGCCAGGTTGTCTTTATCAATTTAGCTAACTATAGGATTTATATGGATTTATCATGATTGTTCATCATCATCATCATCATCATAATCATCATCATCATCATCATCATCATCCTCGTCATCGACATCGTCATCGTCACCATCATCATCATCATCATCATCATCATCATCATCATCATCATCATCATCATCATCATGATATATCTATATATATATATATGTATACTTATCTAAGTGTGGATATATCATGATATATTTATCATTCACCATCCGTATAACTTGGTTGTTGTTTGAATCAACAAAGAACACGTTTTTTTTTTAATCAAAAAATATCTGCATGGTTAGTCAATAAACCCCACGAACGTGGCTATGAAACCATAGATGAACTAGGTCAATCAACCCCACAAAAACTTTGGTGAACTATAGTTGGCCAAATTTCTGAAAAACCATAGTTACCATAGTTACCATAGCTGTTTAATATCAATAGTTGGTTCTGTCCATAGTTAGTGAAAGCCATAGATATATCATATGGATGTTTCCTGAAATGGGGATACCCCTAAATCATTCATTTTAATAACATTATAAACCAACCATTTTGGGGATCCCCCATTATGGAAATCCCCATATAATATATCTATAGTTGGTCATGAACCACGTCTAGATTCTTTCAAGCAACGCAACGTCACCGAGGTTTGTGTTCCACCCCTCCCGCAGCAAATTCGCACGCGAGCTGCTCGTGGTGCGGGAGCCACTCGGTGCAATCGATCGATCAAAGCCTTGGTGTTTTTTTTACAGCTCGAAAGGAGTTAATGGGAATTAATGGGAGTTAATGGGAGTTCCTGGAATTGCATCGAGATTGAACGAGATTTTCAGCATCAAAATTTAGGGATTTTTATGGTGTTCTAAATAAGATGCTAATGTTGTTCAGTGGTTTTTCTTGTACAACTCATGTATAACTTTGGGATTACATCAGGCATCCACCGAAATATCATGGGGATAATTGTGGGAGACTCGACCAACAATATGATATGGGTGTGTCTGAAAATGGGCTCTTCAATTCTACGTTGCTGAAGCAATTTTTTTCAGTTGCAGATATCTTCATGCTGAACTGGCAAAAATCCAACCAGATTGGTGATATATCACAATTTTTCATCCGTAAATTGCGATAAAAACCCTATGTTCGCCAATTCATCACCATGAAGTCCGAATGGTTCTCAATACATCCGAGTGAAATCTGAAATTTCATCCACAATTCACCGTCAAATTTCCGTTTTCATCCAAAAATCACCATGAAATCCTACTCTTTACCCAAAAATCACCATAGAATTCCAGTTTTCATCTACAACTCCTAAAAAAACGGTCGAAAAAAGCGCTTTTGTCGCGACGCCGCCCTGGCGCGTTACGCCCCGTTAGGTGCAGCGTGGAGCCGGAAGCGCTGCAGCGACGGGAAGAACTGCTACCCAGGTGGAGATAATAGTGGAATAAACTCAACATTATGATTATTATGTACTATTTATATGGTGGGTATTTATATGTGGAATATTCCATTATGGTGCGTAATTATATGTGATAAAATATGTACTCAATTGTCGATGATAATCATTATAATCATTATCCAATAATCATGGATATTATTACTATTATTATTATTTTATTTTTTTATTATTAACATATGATTGTGACATTTGACAATGAATAATCAATGGATGATAATGGAAGATATGATTATTCGGTACCCCCAATGGATGATGATCATCATTATAATCATTATCCAATGATACCCTCTGGTAAACTAACATAGCTATTGAAAACGGCCATTTATAGTGAGTTTTCCTATAAAAAAAGGCGAATTTTCTATAGTTATGTTAGTTTACCAGAGGGTAGTTGGGTATTCTATTCATTAATGTGGGTAAAACAATGCCATGTTTACCATCCCCCAGTCATCACACATAAATACACAATGTTTATAGGTGGTAGTTTTTGGGGTCAACGCCCCGAGGCGGGCGTGTTTTTTTCCACGTTTGTGCTCTTTGGCAGTATACGTGTTTAACGCTCTTGCCGACTGTAAGATGACGCTACCGAAGACACGTTGCCCAACTTTGTTGCTGACGTCTTGCTACATTGACCGGGAGGGGGGGATGATAACGTTCCTTTCGACTGTAAGATGACGCTACCGAAGACACGTTGCCCAACTTTGTTGCTGACGTCTTGCTACCTTGACCGGGAGGGGGGGTGGGGGGGTGGGGTGGGGATGATAACGTTCCTTTCGACTGTAAGATGACGCTACCGAAGACACGTTGCCCAACTTTGCTAGGTTCATTTACAACATACATTTATCAAAACGCGTGTTTTTATATACATGTATGTTTACATGTTTATATATATATATATGTGTGTGTAAAGGGTATTTAAAATATCTATGTATTCATGTCTCAAGCAGATGTTGCGGAATTGCAAAAGTTTTTTTTGGCATTTTGACATCATGCAGCAAACGTCAAAACATCATAGATCACAAGGATAAAATACTGCAAATTACAGTGTAAAAAGGTGATTTTTGATTCAATCACCAAGTACACAATTGTAGAAAACCCACACCCGCCTCAAGGCGGTGTTCCCTAGTTTTTATCATTTCCAGTCATGGCTGGTTTATGGCATTGTTTTACCCACATGATATGATCATTCCGAAATACTGAGCATGATTAGTAAATATAAACATAATCTAGCTCAATTGTACTACATTAGTATAGTCGTAATACGACACTGGTTCCCATCATTACTTGATCAGTTTTTCATGGGGATTAATGATGGAATAGTATAGACTATAAAATGACTATACTGGGGGATACAACGTGATACTATACTGGGGGCTACTCTGGTATGAATTGTGGTCACTGTTACTGTAACGAGGCAGGTCCCAATGTATAGATGGTCAATCAGTATAGTAACTGCTATGTTCATGTGATAATTACTATGATTCCTATCAGTTTTTCATACTTGGTAGCGATAGTAAAGATCAATAGTGATAGTAAAGATCAATAGTGATAGTAATGATAAATAGTGATAGTAATGATCAACAGTATATCTATACATCATGAACACTTCATTGTAATCCTACACTGAGAAATATATGAATATTCACCGTTGATTGGGTAAGATAACTCAATTAGTTTTTTTAGAGACTTATATGATTATTAATCATTACTCAACTATTTTGCATGGGGGGATACTGAAATATGAGTGATTAGTACTAATTATTTCTATATAATAGATGATACTAGTAGTTAACAGCAGTCATTGATGAATAATATAATAAATCGATCTTAGTAGTATTCAATGTAAACCATATGTTGATTGATAATTGTTGTACACTCAACGATAATGTCTTACAGTTTGCGAACTGGAAAATCACCATTAAGTTCAGTAAATCATCTGGCTAGCCCTGGACGGTGGCTTTGCTATGTAACAAATTGCCGGAGGGCTTCTTTGCACTGGGAACAATGATTGAACAATGAGGATACTCAATGGTGATATATAGTTGGGGTGTAACATGATGTAACCAAGAACCTGAACATGGGAATGATATGGGTTTGTCAAACAGTCGGGGGATTGAACCAGCCAAAATATCTAAGGGAGATGGACGAATAATGGGATACCTCTAATTTATATAAGGTACCCTCTGGTAAATAAACATAGACCCTGAAAATCATCATTTTTTAATGGAAACTAATCTTCCAACCCCTATTTGGCAGGGTCTATGTTAATTTACTGGAGGGTAATTGAAGTAGTTGAATATGATCCAATTTTCAGGATTCTTGGGCTGATTCCCTGGCATGATTTCCTGCCGTTTCGCCCTCAAAGAGACCCCTAAAGATTTATCGTTGGTTGAACGGGTGGTCAAGAACGGAGTGTGCCATTTGGCTGAATTGTGGTAAACCATGGTAAACCCCAAACCATCAAAACACCCTTAGTTATACCAGGAATGAAGACTCTCTATGAAAATTGAGACTTTACATGCAGGATGCGGTTCATTCCCGAAACATGCGCAGGATTCAATGACACCCCTATCCTCGGTCGTCTCCAGTCATGGTGAAGTCCATCGGTCCCTGCAGGATGTTGCAGTCCCTGCAGAGATCCAACGAGAAGGTGAAGAAAGTGATCTTGGAGTCGCTTGGGTCAGAGTTCATCCGTTGGTGATGAGGGCCACCTGATGTGATAACGCCAGTGATACACCGTAAAGTGAGTGGGACCGGGTCACGGGTGTTTTTTTTTTGCATAGAAGGTAGTAGACTATTTTTGTTGGATTTCCAGCCAGATGACATAGCTTAACTTGTGGGGATAAGATTTGATTGGCCCTCATTTTGGGCCCAACTTGCCATGATGTGCTGATCCTGTTCAGTACTCCCGGCCAGAGGCAAACCCTGGCCGGAAAAATGGCGAATCTTTACGATCAAGAACGAATTGGGTGGACCCCATTATATATCCATGGTATACCCATCATATACCCATTATATCTGGGTAAATTAACCTCACTGGAATCATGGTTAATAAGAGGAATCATCCCCAAGATAGCCTTATTTCAGGTTAGTGAATTATTATAATTTATCCAGATTATATATATATACACACACTCATTTCCCACCTTTATATCCCGGGGCCAGGGAGCCAACGGCTCCCCGACCTCGCTGGGTCAGCGCTTCGCTCAGGTTCGGTGGACAACTGTACCTGCCGAGTGACCAGAAGGCGACGGAGATGGGGAGACTGGAGGAGACTTGCAGCGATAAGGCGATATATGTGGGAAAACGTTGGCACCCGTGGTATTTTAATTTAAGGAACTCTGCTTGACATGTAAATTTGGAATGTTTTTTATATAGTTTGAATGCTGGAGAATTTCTGATTCAAGAGAAACTTGTGAAGTATACCACGGCGGAGACCACGTCGATCCCTGTTTTGAACCATGGGGGTGTGCCTTTAAGCGCCGGGAAAGGCCAAGAGTTTCGTGGTCTTGGACGAAGACGTGCTAAAGGTGGTCCCTGCCAAAGAGCAGGTCAAGGTGGGAGCGGACCCACAGATGGCTTAGTCCACTAATATGTAATTTAATTATTCAACTGGTTGGTGGTTTGGAACATTTTTTATTTTTCTATATATTGGGAATAATCATCCCAACTGACTAATAAATATTTTTCAGAGGGGTTGAAACCACCAACCAGTGAATGATTGGGGCCATGATCGGGGTGCTTTGAGGTACTCTTTTTCTAACTTTTTGATTGAGGCACCTCATTTTGACTCATACCCATGGCTTTTGTCTGAAAATTGAGGGGAACACACCCCAACATGTGTTTCTTTTTTTTGGTGAATATCTCAATGAAATGACAATTTGGAGGGTATACAGCATTTTCAGACACACCCATATACAGCAGATCTTGGTGATGTGAGATGAATTTAGTATTAAGAAAAACCATCCAGTTTTCGTTGGAAGTATGGTTTACTATTGACCATCCAATTCTAGTGTTTTTTTTGGTGGGATGCCGAATTCGTTTCAACATGTCTCCCATGGGATTTTTGGAGATAAACATATCATCATCCCATGAGAGTCAGAAGGTGCTTATGAGTCAGGGGATATACTCAATCCATAATAATATTATATGATTTATATGAATAATAATTATAATCCATATACTCATACCATAGTCCATCCATATAATAATATGGATATAATAATGGATAATCATGGATAAACCATATAGTTAACTATGATTTGTATGATGGTATGATTAGATATGTCATATATCATATTAATCTATACTTCATGGGGCTTATCACCAACTTAAGACCGGGGGGCAGCGCCTTGGCCTTGCATGGTGGATGTAGGGGATACAAAGACATCACATACACCATCCGTTGCGTGGGATGGGATTGATGAACCAACTGCCGCGAATGAATGGCGATTGAATGGGGATACAGTCGGATGTAGAGCTGTTTTTGGCATTGTATGGCATTGTATAGCCAACTGCAGGATATTGCAGGATAAAAATGGGTGTGTCCCTTAAAATTGTGAATTTACCACAGTGATCTTGATGGGAACAAAAAGGATGAGCTCTTGGAAGCGCACCTCCATTTTCACGAACAAACATGACGGATTTTAGCCATTTGAACCACACAAGAATGGAGAAATGGCGAATTAGGGCCCCTCAAATCCATGATACCCCCCCATTGGGGTACCTAAATAAAATGAGGGGGCAGGAGCCCCTTTTAAAATAAAATGAAAATAAAATGGGTCAGACCGCAGCATTTTATTTTGTGGGTGGTGCCTAACCCATCAAGTTAACTGACAGAGATAGCATGATAGCAAAGATGCACAGCTGCGCGTCTTTGTGATGGCTGCCATCCACTAGAAATTGGGGGCCCCTAAGGCACCCGCATGAGGATTGCTATTCTTACCCTTGGGCACCCCCATTTTTTTGTAAGATATATTCTTTCAATTTTCCAGACTAGGTCACTATATCGGGGGTCTTGCCATTTTGGGGGTTTTCGGGTTTTCCTTCAAAGATGGTTAAAACCAATCAAAGAAGGAAACAAGACAAAACAAGATCAACCCAAAAGAAAATGCCGGAGCCCGAGGTCCAACAGTTGCATAACATAGGTCCAACAGTGGCCAGGTGGAGGGTGCCTGACGTCATTTTCTTTTTGTACCTGTCCATTGTATTTTGCTTGGGTTTTCCTGTCTTACCTTATGCCCTCTCATTTTATTGGCATTTTGTCCTTAGGCCCCTGCATTTTACTATATTTTTTTAGGGGTTCCACCCCCCCCTGGCAACAGACGAGGGTCATGATTGAACCAGCCCAGACTTCTGGCGTGAACAGGAAAGCAATCTATTCTTGGTGGATGCTCTCATAGATTTCTGTTATGGTTGGGTTACCCTCCAGCCCCATGTCATACCAGGCGGAGAAGAGAGGCGAAACGTCTGCATTCAAGGGCTTTAACAAAGGCTTCTTGAACAACAAGGCGTGGCTTTTCGGGTCGCTGGCCCTGATGGCTTGATAGTCATAGGGGCGGCCCAGCACTCTGTCACTGAAATAGGCTTTGAGGATTTGACAAACAGAGTTTACCCATGTTTCCCCTGTATCCTTTGTGCAAAATCAACCACTTTTGGTCAACTCCAAGATACTCCAACCATTGTGGTTTTCCCAGTCTGTGCCAGTCCTTGTGGATGATAGTAGGTGCCGAACGAGTCAGTCACCTAGTTCAAGCTGGTGTGGTAAAGACCCAAGTTTCGAGCTGGTTGGTGGCTGAAAATTTGTTTTAAACATATTTGGGATGATGACCCAAAAAATGCAAGCATATCATACATAGTACACACACATGCACTGGTTGGTGGTTCGGAACATGGCTTTTATTTTTCCATATGTTGGGAATGTCATCATCCCAACTGACGAACTCACATTATTCAGAGGGGTAGGGCTCAACCACCAACCAGTACATATATATATATATATCTATTTATAATTATATATACATACATGTATCCACCATATCTTTATCCATAAAAAAAAATATATATTTATATCCACACATACATTTCACAGGAGTTGAAGCCATCAGATCGTGACATCCAATTCACTTGGCGCTGGAGGTCCTCAGAGGACCAGCGCAGGCGGGGCCCCGGTGCTGCGCAGTTTGAGCCATCGAGCCATGTCTCCATCATCCCGTGGAGTAAAACTGGGGAGATTCGGGGAGAAAGGGCATGGCATGTCATGACCAACAACATATGGATATGGTGTATATATATAATGGTGATAAATGGTGATTAATAATGGTTAATAATGGTTAATAATGGTTAATAATGGTTTAATTATAGTGGCTAATAGTGATTTTCATGATGGTTATAACTGGTGATTTCTATGGGATTATATATATATATATCTGGGTAAATTTCATCACGACCTCACTGTTCTCCCGAACCCTGGGAATCATGGTTTATTTTAGGGGAATCATCCCCAAATGGCCGCAAGATTCAGGTTAGTGACATATTATAATTTACCCAGATATATGTATATATATATATGTATATATGTATATATATATATGTATATATGTATATATATATATGTACGATGGACCTTTATGTACTATTTGAACGTTTGCATGTCGAAAGGATTTTATTGAAATTATACCTCTTTCTGGAGAATCCCTACTAGTTAATCTATATACCAAAAAGAAAGAAATGGAATTCAAAAAATTCAAAAAATAAATGAATACATATTTTTTTTGAATTTTTTGAATTTTTTGAATTTTTTGAATTCCATTTCTTTCTTTTTGGGACTTTCATTTTTTTTTTGAATTTTTTGAATTTTTTGAATTCAAAAAATTCAAAAAATTCAAAAAAAAAGTGAATGCATATTTTTTTTCAAAAAAATCAAAAAAAAAGTGAATGCATATTTTTTTTTGATTTTTTTGAATTCAAAAAATTCAAAAAATTCAAAAAATTTAAAAAAAAAATGAAAGTCCCAAAAAGAAAGAAATGGAATTCAAAAAATTCAAAAAATTCAAAAAAAACATGAATACATATTTTTTTTTGAATTTTTTGAATTTTTTGAATTCCATTTCTTTCTTTTTGGGACTTTCATTTTTTTTTGAATTTTTTGAATTTTTTGAATTTTTTGAATTCAAAAAATTCAAAAAAAAAAGTGAATACATATTTTTTTTGATAGAGAAATAAGGAGACAAGTTGGGAACAGACAAGGAGACAAGTATGGAAACCAATGGGAGGCAAGAAGAATCCTTCGCCATCGAGCAACCACGAAGAGTCACGAAGAGTATCCTGTGCCCAGAAGCACCCAGGAAGAAGAACAGTAACAGGGAGGGACAAAAAGAAATGAAGAGAGGAGACTGCAATTATGGCCCCAAAGCACCTGAAGGTCCTAAAGCCTAGACCACACAGCAAGTAGGAAAAAACTGGCTGAATAAGGACACAGATGGGAACACATGGGAGACAAGGGGAATCTTGGGTCCCAAAAGCGAGAACAACAGGAATGAGGAGAGAAGTGAAGAAAGCGCTGGGAAAGACTACAGGGACAAGGAAGGAAAGAAAGGAAAGAGGAGAAAAACTATCCTCTCCCTCCCAAATGCCGGAGACCTGGAAAGAAGCGCGGTAGTGGAGAGAGAATAAGGAGACAAGTTGGAGACAAGTAGGAAGGTAAGTAGGGTAACATGTGGTAGAGACCGAGGGTAAGGGAATGTGACCTGAACAAAGGAAGAAAAGTTAAGGAGAAACACAAGAGGCCAGGAAATCCATTCTTCTCCAAGCAGCAGCAGCAATGAGGAGGGAATTAAGGATACACGTTGGAGGGAACAAGAAAGGGCAAGTGAGGAACCGGAGAGAATCATGTGTCCAAATAAGCACCTAGAGAGAAGAACAGCAAGAGAGAGAGAGAGAGAAGTAAGGGCATGAGTTGGAGAGAACAAGGGGGACAAGCACGGAGACAGACAGAGGACTAGGAGCATACTGTGCCCCGGAAGCACCCAGAGAGAACAGCCACATATGAGAGTGAAGTAGAGAGACGAGTACGAAAACAGATGGGACTTGAGTCCTGTCCCCAAAGCCACCAGAACGAAGAACACTGAGCAATGGAGAGAGAAGTGAGGAACGGGAGACAAGCAGATTCCTTTGACCGAAAGCACCCAGAGAGAAGAATCGCAATGGAGATAGAGAAATAAGGAGACAAGTTGGGAACAGACAAGGAGACAAGTATGGAAACAAATGGGAGGCAAGAAGAATCCTTCGCCATCGAGCAACCACGAAGAGTCACGAAGAGTATTCTGTGCCCAGAAGCACCCAGGAAGAAGAACAGTAACAGGGAGGAACAAAAAGAAATGAAGAGGTCCTGAAGCCTAGACAAAACAGCAAGTAGGAAAAAATTGGCTGAATAAGGACACAGATGGGAACACATGGGAGACAAGGGGAATCTTGGGTCCCAAAAGCGAGAACAACAGGAATGAGGAGAGAAGTGAAGAAAGCGCTGGGAAAGACCACAGGGACAAGGAAGGAAAGAAAGGAAAGAGGAGAAAAACTATCCTCTCCCTCCCAAATGCCGGAGACCTGGAAAGAAGCACGGTAGTGGAGAGAGAATACGGAGACAAGTTGGAGAACACGTAGGAAGGTAAGTAGGGTAACATGTGGTAGAGACCGAGGGTAAGGGAATGTGACCTGAACAAAGGAAGAAAAGTTAAGGAGAAACACAAGAGGCCAGGAAATCCGTTCTTTCCCAAGCAGCAGCAGCAATGAGGAGGGAATAAAGGATACACGTTGGAGGGAACAAGGGAGGACAAGGGAGGACAAGTGAGGAACCAGAGAGAATCATGTGTCCAAATAAGCACCTAGAGAGAAGAACAGCAAGAGAGAGAGAGAGAGAGAGAAAGAGAGAGAGAGAGAGAGAGAAGTAAGGGCACGAGTTGGAGAGAACAAGGGGGACAAGCACGGAGACAGACAGAGGACAAGGAGCATACTGTGCCCCGGAAGCACCCAGAGAGAACAGCCACATGTGAGAGTGAAGTAGAGAGACGAGTACGAAAACAGATGGGACTTGAGTCCTGTCCCCAAAGCCACCAGAACGAAGAACACTGAGCAATGGAGAGAGAAGTGAGGAACGGGAGACAAGGAGATTCCTTTGACCGAAAGCACCCAGAGAGAAGAATCGCAATGGAGATAGAGAAGTAAGGAGACAAGTTGTGAACAGACAAGGAGACAAGTATGGAAACAAATGGGAGGCAAGAAGAATCCTTTGCCATCGAGCACCACGAAGAGTATCCTGTGCCCAGAAGCACCCAGGAAGAAGAACAGTAACAGTGAGGGACAAAAAGAAATGAAGAGAGGAGACTGCAAGAAGGCGGTGACGGAAGGGACACGAATGAGGGACTCGGTAATGTTTATGGCCCCCAAAACCACCTGAAGGTCCTAAAGCCTAGACCACACAGCAAGTAGGAAAAAATTGGCTGAATAAGGACACAGATGGGAACACATGGGAGACAAGGGGAATCTTGGGTCCCAAAAGCGAGAACAACAGGAATGAGGAGAGAAGTGAAGAAAGCGCTGGGAAAGACTACAGGGACAAGGAAGGAAAGAAAGGAAAGAGGAGAAAAACTATCCTCTCCCTCCCAAATGCCGGAGACCTGGAAAGAAGCGCGGTAGTGGAGAGAGAATAAGGAGACAAGTTGGAGACAAGTAGGAAGGTAAGTAGGGTAACATGTGGTAGAGACCGAGGGTAAGGGAATGTGACCTGAACAAAGGAAGAAAAGTTAAGGAGAAACACAAGAGGCCAGGAAATCCATTCTTCTCCAAGCAGCAGCAGCAATGAGGAGGGAATTAAGGATACACGTTGGAGGGAACAAGGGAACAAGGGAGGACAAGGGAGGACAAGTGAGGAACCAGAGAGAATCATGTGTCCAAATAAGCACCTAGAGAGAAGAACAGCAAGAGAGAGAGAGAGAAAGAGAGAGAGAGAGAGAAGTAAGGGCACGAGTTGGAGAGAACAAGGGGGACAAGCACGGAGACAGACAGAGGACAAGGAGCATACTGTGCCCCGGAAGCACCCAGAGAGAACAGCCACATGTGAGAGTGAAGTAGAGAGACGAGTACGAAAACAGATGGGACTTGAGTTCTGTCCCCAAAGCCACCAGAACGAAGAACACTGAGCAATGGAGAGAGAAGTGAGGAACGGGAGACAAGGAGATTCCTTTGACCGAAAGCACCCAGAGAGAAGAATCGCAATGGAGATAGAGAAGTAAGGAGACAAGTTGGGAACAGACAAGGAGACAAGTATGGAAACAAATGGGAGGCAAGAAGAATCCTTTGCCATCGAGCACCACGAAGAGTATCCTGTGCCCAGAAGCACCCAGGAAGAAGAACAGTAACAGGGAGGGACAAAAAGAAATGAAGAGGTCCTAAAGCCTAGACAAAACAGCAAGTAGGAAAAAATTGGCTAAATAAGGACACAGATGGGAACACATGGGAGACAAGGGGAATCTTGGGTCCCAAAAGCGAGAACAACAGGAATGAGGAGAGAAGTGAAGAAAGCGCTGGGAAAGACTACAGGGACAAGGAAGGAAAGAAAGGAAAGAGGAGAAAAACTATCCTCTCCGTCCCAAATGCCGGAGACCTGGAAAGAAGCACGGTAGTGGAGAGAGGATAAGGAGACAAGTTGGAGACAAGTAGGAAGGTAAGTAGGGTAACACGTGGTAGAGACTGAGGGTAAGGGAATGTGACCTGAACAAAGGAAAAAAGGCAGGGAGAAACACAAGAGGCCAGGAAATCCATTCTTCCCCCAGCAGCAGCAATGGGGAGGGGATTAAGGATACACGTTGGAGGGAACAAGAAAGGGCAAGTGAGGAACCGGAGAGAATCATGTGTCCAAATAAGCACCTAGAGAGAAGAACAGCAAGAGAGAGAGAGAGAAGTAAGGGCATGAGTGGGAGAGAACAAGGGGGACAAGCACATAGACAAACAGAGGACAAGGAGCATACTGTGCCCCGGAAGCACCCAGAGAGAACAGCCACATGTGAGAGTGAAGTAGAGAGACGAGTACGAAAACAAATGGGACTTGAGTCCTGTCCCAAAGCCACCAGAACGAAGAACACTGAGCAATGGAGAGAGAAGTGAGGAACGGGAGACAAGGGGAGATTCCTTTGACCGAAAGCACCCAGAGAGAAGAATCGCAATGGAGATAGAGAAATAAGGAGACAAGTTGGGAACAGACAAGGAGACAAGTATGGAAACAAATGGGATCAGAAAGGAGGACGGTCGCATTATACCAAAAGGTCCCTGCCACATATATATATATATGTATATATATATATATATGTATATATGTATATGTATATATATATATATATACATATTATATTATATATATATTATATATATATACATATATATATATACATACATATATATATATACATACACACATATATATATATGTATATATGCATTTGAACATCTGGATGACAATGAAAACTGAGCAGGGTGGATGGTGGATGGTCAGTTTCACGGACAGAAGGGCCCCCCAGGATCCCCCCACAGGCCGTTCCGGCCGTGCCGGCCGTTCCGGAACGGGCTCCATTGGAGCCCCGGCCGGTTCCGCCGGGGGACTCGATGGATTTTCGAGGTGATCTACCCTCTGGTTATGTCAAAATAGCTATTGAACATGGTGATTTATAGTGGATTTCTCCATTGAAAATGGTGATTTATAGTGGATTTCTCCATTGAAAATGGTGATTTATAGTGGATTTCTCCATTGAAAATGGTGATTTTCCATAGTTATGGGACAGTTTACCAGAGGGTATCCGGATTTTTGGGTGAAAGTCATGAGCCAAGTGATGTCAGTCAGTGATCCCCCAAGGATTCTCATACCATACCCCCGTTTGTGGGAGAACTCATCCTTTTCATTGACTTGACTCTGCAACTCTTGGTGTTTAACATCCTGATATGGTATCCCCTCATGGTGAGATATACATCGTTCGTCCTCCATTCCCCTCTGGTAAACATAGCTATGGAAAACCACCATTTTTCATAGGTAGATCAACAATTTCTATTACCAGTTTTCAATAGCTATGTCACAAATTACCAGAGGGTGTAATCCCATGAATATCCCATTAAATCACTATAAAATCCCATTAAATCACTATAAAATCCAATTGAATCACTATAAAATCCAATTGAATCACTATAACATCCCATTAAATCACTATAACATCCCATTAAATCACTATAAAATCCCATTAAATCACTATAACATCCCATTAAATCACTATAACATCCCATTAAATCACTATGAAATCCCATTAAATCACTATAACATCCCATTAAATCACTATAACATCCCATTAAATCACTATAATATCCCATTAAATCACTATGAAATCCCATTAAATCACTATAACATCCCATTAAATCACTATAACATCCCATTAAATCACTATAAAATCCCATTAAATCACTATAAATTACCATATCCAATGGGTGAGGCCCGATGCGCCGCCGGTGAGCACCAGCTCTTTGGAGAAGCGGCAGCTGCTGATGCCAGCGGTGCGGTGAAGCAAATGCCATGGAAAGCCATGGGGGAAAGCCATGAAATCTTGGGGTAAATGTATGTAAAGCTATGTAAAGCTATGTAAAGCTATACAGTTCTATATATGCATAGTAATGTAAATCATTGGGATGACTATAGTATTTGCCATCTACCATCTGGTTATGTCTAACATAGCCATGGAAAATCACCATTTTTAATAGGTAAACCTAGGTAAACCATCTATAAATGGGCAATTTTCCATGGCTATGTTAAATAACCCGAGGGTAAATCTTTGTAAATCGATATAATTCTATATATGTATATAGATTACAATGATATAGAGTTATAACTGATATAACTATATAATATATGTATAGTAATATATAGTTATATCTGCAATATATAGTTATATCACTTATATCATCTTATATCTATATTACAGATCTAGTGTTCCTGGGAGGGTTGTCGCCCCCCTTGGGGATGGGCATAATCATTAATGTAGTGGGAATGGGAATGATTACTAATCAGTTAATGAGAATGGCTACTACGATAATCATTAATTACCACAGTAATGGGAGTAATAATGATAATTTGAATAATGATGGGAATAATTACTATAATCATAATGAAAATATCTATAGTTAATGGGAATGATTACTATAATAATTGGTGATCATAATCAATAATCATATTGATCATCATCACTTCCAATTGTTGATGGCTAATCATTGTTTTAACCACATCATTGTTACATTATCATTATCATTGTCGTCATCATCAGCCCCTTTCTTTGCTTGGATCTCAATCCAGTTCTTCCCTGACCTCAATTTTGATGTTGATATCTGGTGGGTTAGAGGCCAGGGATAAGGGATGGGGCGTGAAGATGTTACCGATAATGTGCAATCGCATATGCCATCTTGGTATTTTATATATTTATATACACATATATATATACTTGGTGGCTCATCCCACTTAGTAAGTGGGTTATAACCCCAGTTATAAATGGGATAAGTAGGGTTAATCCACTTATAACTGGGGTTATAACCCAATTATAAATCTATTGCTTAACATCTCTTCAAAGCTCCAAAGCTCCAAGATTTATGCAGGCTGCTGAAGCTCCGGGAGCTGCCATGCACAGGGCGTTGGTGCCGACCTGGGGGGTTGGAGGACTTGGATATATTAGATATATTTCTTATTAGTATTCAAATATATATATATATTTATAATATATATATATATTTATAATATATATATATTTATAATATATATAAATTTTACAATATATATATATATAATATAATATATATATATATATTTGATGATATAGAAAGACGTGTAACTGTTAGAAATGGGTTGGCCTGAGAATGGTGTATGCCTCCAGTTCTGGCATTTTTAAAAATGGGAATACATGAGGATATGACGATAAACGATAGGATTTTGATGGATGTGTGGGGGCGGGGGGGGGGGCGTACTCTGTTTTCAGACAAATCCAAATGTAGATGCGTATAAACTTATTCCAGATTGATTTGGTTTATGTATCGTTGGTCTTGAAAAACAAAGAAAAGACGACAGAAAGAAAGAGAGAACGAAAGAAAGGAATAAAGAAATAATATATATATATATATATTACACAATCATTACAATGTATTACAAGACAAAATATGCGTTCTATCGAATATAGTATATGTATTGTAATTGATAATTGTGTGTCTTCATGTCATACAGTGGTTTGCTCTCTTTAGGGGATATCCAAAATTATAGGACATGTTGTCAAAGGAAGTTAAGTTGGCGAACTTCCGAGTTCAGAATACATTATATTGAATACACTGGATACATAGAACAATATCAATATGTACTGAATATATATATATATATGTAGAAATATGTGTACATCTCATAATTATTGGGTATGGGTTGCGTAGCATTATGTGTAAACATATTTCTAGCCATATGCGTTCAACTAGAATATGTGACCTACCCCCAGTTGTGAAGATTTAGAGGTAAAATGATGATCGAAAATTGGATTTTTGTGGAAACCAATCGAAGAACCTGGTTTTGCTCAACGTGCGTTTCTGGTTTTCTAAATCGGAAACACAGAATCGGAGGTTGGGATTCAGATGGTTGAAGCTCCAAGATATTACGAACTGGAAACCTACATGTTTTTTTTTTTCATAGGTAAGTCGTTGAAGTAAGTGGGCCATTTTCCATAGCTATGCTGATGATGATGATGATGATGATACTGTTTTTGAGGATGTACGCAACGGAGCTCTGGTTATCATCCACCCCTGGAACAAAACCAAGTAGAAAAAGGAGGTTACCACCAAGAGGAGGGTAGGCTTCACTGAATTTTGATGAAATTATCATCTCAGGTTGTATATGAGTCCGGATCCCGGATCCCTGGCCCCCCCCCAATGGTATGGTCCCCCAAGCTCACGCTCCTGGCCCCCCCCCCAATGGTATGGTCCCCCAAGCTCACGCTCTCGGGAACACGGGACACGGGACCATACATACATGCATGCATGCATGCATCCATCCATCCATCCATCCGGATGCATCCATCCATCCATCCGGATGCATCCATCATCCATCCGGATGCATCCATCCATCCATCCGGATGCATCCATCCGTCCATCCATCCATACCATCCATATCTACCCAACATACATACCAACATACCAACATACCATACCACCACCATAGACCACAGGCCACAGGGTGGGGGGAACCAGAAGAACCATACCACCATCCCAGGCCACAGGGGGGGGGACCATGGGGGGGGGAGGGGGGGGGGGCTTGGGAGTCCTGGGTCATATATATGTATATGTATATGTATATATATATATATATTTATGTATACATAGTTAAGGCAAGCAGAGTAGGCGAGGTTGTTATGGTGTTTGGTAAATGTTTAATTTGAGCTATTTGAGGTTTTTCAGCACCGTGCTCCATTGGTAAAGGGTGAGGATCATCTTTTTTGGGTCCTTGTATGCCTGCTCGTTTCGAGTGGTCAGATTTCCGCCGTCTCTCATCCAGAATTGCAGCGTCCACGCGGGCAAATCCCATCTGTCTTCAGCCCAGAATCTGTACCGGCTGGTTCATTTTCATCTATTTTCCAGGTACCCTCTGGTAAATTAACATAACTATGGAAAATCACAAGTTTTAATGGGAAAATCCACTATAAATGGCAATTTTCAATAGCTATGTGTGTTTACCAGAGGGTACAGAAAAATAAAGCATCCTGTGGCGGTCAACTCGTTGACTCTCCTGGTCATAGCGAAAAGCAGAAGATCAGACTTCTCCGCTGTCGCTCGTTCTTGGGTGCATTGTTGTTGTTGTTGTTGTTTATCCAGAGCGTTGCTGATCCATCAATCGGTGATGTGTGTTTGATGAAGTCCTGTGTCCACAAGCGCGCCTGGGTGTCACACACATTTATTCCTTGGAATGGCATTTTTGGGCGGTTTTCGATACGGAGATAGATATAGTGTGATATAGTGAGAAATTCACCAACGATTTTCAGGACATGGTGAATTCTAGGTTCACTTGGCTAGGTCTAGTGAAGAGGCTTCCATTGAAGCCCATTTACTTTGAGCCACTGGCGGGAACCAAAGTCTTTAGCCTTCACCAATTGCCAAGGGATTGTGATCCACTTTGACCCACAGATTTAGCTAATTATAGGTTGATTCCCCTAATGTAAACATACAAAAAGCTGTGGAAAAGCCATACATGAATGTAGATCATTTTCTGAATGAGTAACCATTGGTTTTCCACATCTGTGTTAGCTTACCCTAGGGTGGGAAATCATTTGGGGAGCTTATTGTGTGATTTGGAACATGTAAAAAGACATGTTTTTTTGTTAGCAGGAGACTTGATCAGCAGCATTTGAGGATTTTTGATTCTTATCAGATGAGGTTGTCAGCATGGGTATTGCTCAACAATGCTGGGTAGACTCGTTCACGCACCCCTTTGGCATCCCTATAGCTATGCTTGGTGCTTGGCGAGCACGCGCTAGAAAATTGGGCCTGACGCAACACATCTTGCACTGACTCCAGCATGTGCAGCCGCTTCTTGCAAGACAAACGTATTGAAAAAGGGAGGCCATATACAAGATGGTGCCACGTGGTTAGCTAAGCTTTAAGTTGGCTGCGGCCAAGAAAACGTAGTTTTTTTGGCTGGATATTGCCTTAGAGTTTGAGAGATAGAGCGGTATAGCTAGTAGTTGGTTTGCACTATGATATATATATATATGACCATATATATATATAACTGGGATTTTTGGTAGTTAAACCTATATAAAGTTCTCCCGGCTTGAGAAGAACCCCATCAGTTGGCCGGGCGCCCTCCAGGTGTCAACGTTGGCCGCGGAACCGCCAGCGGAGCCGGAAGAGGAACCGGAGGAGCTGGGCGAAGGCTGGGGGCGCGGCCGACCAATGGTGATGCGCCGTAGATAGCTACGTTAGTTAGGCTTTGACTGGGTGAATTCTATGGTTCACGGCAAACATTTCGACTTAACTAACTAATGGGTTTTTAAAACCAACTTATAACTGGTGGGCTTTACCTTGTAGGGTGCTTCCAACATTTGACATTGGAAAGAAACCCGCGCATGGTGGAATGGAATACGGCTGTTTTGCTGGTGATTGTCCAATTGTCAGTTCGGCATGGGCCTGCATCATATCCTCGCTGGGGAGCCACATACTCAAACATCAAGTTTTGAAGTCATTTGATAGACGCACCAGCTACTGTCGGGGTGATATGGAGGCAGCATGGACACTCGTGGGGATGTAAACTTTTGCCTGGCAGCCGGAAAGATGTCTTTTATTATTATGTTTTGTTTTTCGCATACCTGGCGGCAGGCCACAATTTTGTAAAAAACAAAACGCACTGCCAATTATGTTTTCCCAATGAACCTGAACCTTCCTTCGATACACTAAAAAGTGCTCAGAAACAAAAAACGTTCATATCGAAAAAAATGCTACAAAAAACTCAAAAAATGCTCATGTGGTTGCTTCATTTTGTTGGGCACTCCCACATGTTCAAAGAGCCGGATCCCCAAGGATATTTGCAACATTTTGCAACATACACTTGCATAATCACACTGCTTGGGATCACACTACTTGGGCTCTCCACAACCAACATCATTCGCCGCGGCCACAAGTAAATCATCAAATTCACTTGGATGGGCCGAACTAGACACTTAAGCTATTGAATCCCCACATTTGAGAGGCAAATATCACTAGTGCCCGTACACTTTTTGAATTGTGCCCCGATTGCGCGAAATTGCGCCCTGATTGCGCGAAATTGCGGGGTACCAAGTTGTCCAAAAAGGCAAAAATGGCGAAAAACACAAGAGGTGTAAAATCAAATTCTTTTGGGGTTGGTCCCAATGTGCATCCTCCCCAGGAAACATAAATTAGAAGATGGATTCTAATTTAGATGCAAAACTCGCTTCCAGGATTGGTCTCAATTAGCGTAAGTGTGGGCTAAACTTAGTGGATATCTCCAAGAGTTTAGTATAGGTGTAAAAATCCTTAGAACCCTTTGCCAGAAAAAACTGCTACAATGGAATCTCCAGGAATATTTTCAGTTTTAGGGTTTGGTTTCATCCACACTTTATGTTCGTTGTATTCAAGTACATATTTTGTCTTAATTCTTCATCCGCGGGTTGATGATTTCGTCTGATTGACCAAGACCTTGTCGAGGGGGCTAGAACCATCAACCAATAGCCGTTGATTGATACATTCCATTTTTTCCAGTTTGTCCCCATGCAAAGCAAATTTATTTATATATAGATATATACATATTATATATATATATTTCATGAATTCTATACATACCTGATTGTCATAGTCACCCCGTTTTATAGGTTGAAATTTGACCTTGTTGGTCCCCCCACCAACCAAACCTCAGCCAAAAAAACGTGGATTTGGCGCCAGTTCTGAACATTTCGCAACTGGCATCCCAACTCTTTGGCGACGCAGAGGAGGAGGCGGTTTCAATGGGATTTTTGTGGTGATTTCATGGCGTTTAATATGGGACTTTATGGTGATTTGATGTTGACTAAAAAAGATTTAGGCAACAAAAATGTGGATATCAATGGGAAATTCAATTGTGGAAAACGTTGAAATCTGAAATGGAGATTTTCCATGGCTATGTTGAATTCCCAGAGCGTATGTTTTTAAAGGATCGAGACCACAAACTACATAACATGATTATATACAGTATTGTTGAATATGCAATTTTTTGTTGGTTACATACCCTGTCTAACTGATGGGCCCATCATGTTCCATACATAATCCTGTTCAGAAATGGGGAATCCCCCTAAAAATAATTATTGGAACATGGGGTTGTTTTTTTTCTAAACATGGGTTGGTAATGTTTGTGACACATATTACTTTACTCCGCGTGGCCATACTCGCAAATATTTTGGGACAAATTGATTTTGGAACTATACTAGATGGGAAAAAATGAAGGAAACTACAATAATTTTCAGAGTAAACAACAATTTTGAAAAAAAACTGATTTCCTGTAGATTTTTCCTAAAATATCCGTTGAATTCATGACTCCAAGATGGAAACCCGTTGAAACGCCCATCACCGGCCACGAGGGCTCCTTGGAGTCAGTCCCTTTGATGGGAGCGGTGCCAAAGACAGCGCCGCCGCCCGATGCTGAAAGCGAAAGGCGACGGGACGCCGTGGCACGCCGGCGTGAAAAACTGGCAGTTCAGGGGGTTAAAACTGGCAGCTATTAATATAGCCATGGTTACTTTATTATTAATATTAACCATGGTTAATATGGTTAATAATATAATAGTAACCATTATATATGTTATTATTATATAATACTGGTTAATAATATAGTAACCATGGTTCATAATGATGGTTGATAATGGTTAATAGTGGTGAATAATAATGGTTTAATATGGTTAATATACGATAACGACATTTAAATATGTTGAAGGCGGGCCAGACCACAAGGCCCCAGAGGTAGCATGAAACACCAGTTCCATCCGTATATTTGAATGCAAATTTATATAACTTGGATTCCGTATGTTTAAATGGTTTGGGTAATCCATAGAAATCCAAACCAACTTGTCATCTTGTTTGGGATTGTTTTTGAAGTACCAGAAACCGTCAAAACTTAAGCAGGATTCATCATATTTTCTTTGTTTTTGTGTCACTTTTTTGGGGGTATTTTTAAATTCAAGACCAACTGCTTATGGTCATTTTAAGGATCAACACCTACAACCTCCAGATTATGTTCAGAAGAATACCTGAACAGTTTGGGGGGATCCAGCTAAACATGACTTATGTTGATCACCAGGAGATTTCATGGATTGTGACCTTTGACCCATGCGGCCCACTTAGAGGTCAGCAAGTGGCTTAGTTCACCTGCGATTGGATGAACCACCTACTTGTACCGATGAGTTTGGAGTATTTAAAAAAGACCCAGAAGTGCGAAACGAAATGATACTAACCAATATTAGTTGATATATAATTATATATATTATACTAACCAAATTTGACCATCATATTAACTGACAATTATATATATATATACACATACATATATACATATATACACAGCATACACATGTATACAATTGTATATATATATATATATAATATGGCATGGTCCTAATCCATTTCGGAAAATCCCGTTCCTTCACAGCAGCGTCTCCGTTACGCCTCGTCAGGGACGACTTGGTGGCCCTCTGGATGAAGCAGCGCTGGTGAAAATGTGGCCCTCTTGATATTGAATGTAAAGCAACATTGGATATATATATATATTATTATCATATTATATATACATATGTTACATATGTATAATATATATATATATATTGCACATATGTAATTATGTACATATACATGTAATTATTCACATATTTTTCGGTACATACTATCATTGTGTAGCCCCTCAAGCTGGGACGGTTTGAGTTCCGAATGAGGAAACTTTGTTGCTCCGACGGTCTCAGAAAATATGTCCCACAGTCCTTCTGTGCACTTCTTCTAATCATTTAGAGAGAATGGTGGTTTTCCAGTTCGCAAACTGTTGGAGTAGCAGGTTGCCAGAGGGTATTCCTCCATATTCCATCAATGTCCCCACTTTGACTACCATTACATACTGCCCCTGTAATATCCACCATTTTTTTGGGGGTTGCTGATGTCCTTCTAAAGGCCAGAATTTGGGGATATGATATCTATATATGATATATATGATATCTATATATATGTTGATGTGACCACGCCAGGGACATTTATGCCCGAGATCAAAAGGTGCGCATAGGGATGCGCAACTGCTGCTCCGAGGTTTGCTACCAACATTGGTAGCGGAGCAGGTAAAACACCTGACTCCTGCTGGCTAGGTAGCCAGTGTCCGCAGGCTAGGAAGCTTGCGTGATTGTGACCACGCCATGGCTGAGCTGGGAAGTTCTACTAAGTATTTCTCTGGCGACAACTGTGACTACCGTGAGTATCGCAGGTGGAAGCAATGGGCGCAGAACCGCATGCTCACAATGGACAAGCTTCCGAAGGAAGCCAGAGGGTCATTTGTGTGGACCCTGTTACAGGGAAAGGCGTTGGAGGTGGTGGAACACTTGACGCCTGAGCAGTATCAGATCGATGGTGGTGAAAAGGTGCTGTTCAACCTTTTGGACAAGCGCTGGCCAGAGATAGACAAATCTGCTGAGCTTGGGGAGAACATCAACAAGGTGTTCACCATCCGAGCCAATGAGGGTGAAACGCTCAGAGAGTGGTGCGCCCGGGCCTCCGAGTGCTTTGACAGTTGCAATAGAAAATCTGGGGTTCAGTTTCCAGAAGAAGCAAAAGGATGGATTCTTCTGAACTGTGGCGGCCTTACGGCCGAACAACGGGCTGTAGTGCTGGCGAGAGCCCAAGGGAGCTTGAAGCTTGAGGATATCTCCCAGTCAATGCGGTCATGTTTTCCAGACTATGTGGTACCCAAACGAAGGGTCGCAGCTGTCAACATCGTCGAGGAGGACATCAATGAGGTGCATCATGCAAACCCAGGGGATCCGATCCCTGGGGGCTTCGATGATGTAGAAGTTTTTCTTTCTGAGTATGGTTTGAATCCCGGCGAAGATGAAGATCCAAATGAAGTGGCCTTTGATGAGGGTGAAGTAGCCGAAGTTCTTGCTTCGACCTGGAAAGAGAAACGACAGGAGCTGAACAAACTCCAGAAAGGTCGAAAGTTTGAGCAAGCCTCGGATGTCCGTCGGTCTTTCAGGGTACAAGTTGAAGAACTCAAAAGACGGACAAGATGCAGAAAGTGCGGAAAGATAGGTCATTGGCAGAAGGAATGTCGTTCCCAGGGAACGGCTGCAGCGTCGTCGTCTTCGGCAACGGGATCTCATGCTGGATCCCAACGAACTGGTGCAGGGGTAGTGGAAAACGTGGAGCACTTCATTTGTGTAGCCAGCCCTGTGTCGTCTGGCCCGGATGCAATGATTGCCCAACTGCTGGAGAAGCGTCAGCAGGTGAAGGATGATTACACTGAGGTCTGCCTGGTGTCTAGCCCTGGTTTTGCAGTGCTGGACAGTGGGTGTGGGAAGACCATCATCGGGTCTGAGACCTTGGCTGGATTCAAAAAGATTCTCTCTGCAAAGGGAATTGTGGTGCCTCCAGAGTTTTCTGAATCAAATACCTTCAAGTATGGGAACGGTGAGACTGAAGTTTCCAATCGTATGGTCAAACTGCCTATCTGTCTAGCTGGCCGACGTGGCTCCATTCATGCTGCAGTGGTGAAAGGACAAGCCCCCCTGTTGATGTCGCGAGTCGCCTTGAAATCATTGGAAGCTGAGATGAATTTTGGGAAAGATCAATTGATTGTTTTCACTGACCGTGTATCGGTTCCTTTGACTGTGAACAGTGCTGGACAGTATACAGTGAACGTCTCCAACTTTGCCAAGATTTCAGAGTCAGCCGTGAATGATGACGACGAGAGCGACCTGCCAATGCTGCCTGAGCCCAGTCCTGCCGAGACCACTCCATGTGACTCGATTTCCATCAGTAAGCCAAAAGGGGGTAAACGTAAGGATTATTGGGAAGTTAGACCTGTTGATAGGGTAGTGATTAGGCACCATCTCCGTCCCCGTCGGTCTAAATTTAGTCCAAGCCTTGCACAGTGCCCTGTTTCTGTAGAACAGCTTACTGCCAATAGAGTCACCCAGATTCTAGACGCATCAGGTGAGGTTCAACAGTTTTGTGACCAGTGGACAAACGGTGGTCATGCACATGAAGTCATGCTCACACAACCATGGGTAGGTTCAACCGTGTTTCAACTCCATGAAGATGTTGTTTTACCACCGAGTCTCGCGCATGCAAATGAGGCCCTGCTGAGCCAATGGACCAATAAGCAACATCGCCACCTGATGTCGCAGCTGTGCACTGAGGTACTGGCAGTTGATTCCCCTGGCAAGAATGGTTATGATGTGGTTGAAGTGTTTTCTCCCCCTAGATTTGCGCTAGAAGGGACCAAGAGAGGGTTGAAATGTCTTTCAGCAGACCTTTGCACCCAGTGGGATTTCCGCCGTGCCAGTGACCGAAAGCGCATGCATGAAATTATTCAACAAGGGGTTGGCCTGCTAGTGCTCTGCCCACCTTGCACTTGGGCTGGAGGCTGGTTTCACTTAAATAAACACTATATGGACCCCAAAGAAATCAGTGAAAAGGAAGTGCTGACCAAGTTGTTTGTCCAGTTTTGTTGTTCACTGATTGAAGAGCAATTGAAACGGGGTGGCCGAGTCATGTTTGAGCATCCAAAGGGTTCAATGGTTTGGGATTTCCCATGCATGCAAGCAATCATGAAGAAGTTATGGACGCTTGACCTTCACATGTGTTGTTATGGAATGCAAGTGCCGCAGGGCAATCTCATTCGCAAGTCAACCCGCCTGTTGGTGTCACACCAAAATATGCTCACTCTCAGCCGGAAGTGCCCGGGTGATGCCAATCCGAAGCATCGTCAGCATCAAGTGGTTGCTGGTAGCCATCCAAAAGTTGGATCGATCAGTAGGTTTGCTGGCCAATATCCACAGGCCTTTGTTAAAGCTGTGTTGAACACTGAGCCGAAGTTTCGCACGACACCAGTGTTGACGGTGCACCATGAGATGTCTGCAGAATGTTTGGCTGCCTCTCGAGTCCAGGATCTTGATGTGGAAAATGAACAACATCTGAAAGCTAGCTTGAGGAAGTTGCATGCCAACTTAGGTCACCCTAGCAATAATCATTTGGTTAGGATCCTGAAACATGGAGGTGCCAGTGACGCTGCAATCAAAGCTGCTCGCGAGTTTTCCTGCGACTTGTGCCGTGCCAATACCAAGCCGAAGATTTCCTTGCCAGCTCAGGTGCATCGAGTGTCAGACTTCAACGCTCTGGTAGGTTTGGACATCAAGTATCTCCCAGGTTGGAAGGTAAATCAACGTGTCCCAGCCTTGAACATAGTGGATTATGCCAGTAGTTTCCAGTTGATGGTTCCCTTGCCTGCCCAAGAAACCTCTGATGTGATTCGACAGGTTTTCCAAGAACGATGGACCAGTTGGGCTGGAGTTCCTAGAGAAGTCATTGTTGACCCTGCCCGTACGAATGTCGGTGATGCGTTAACTGTGCCACTTGAGCTTGCTGGAACGGCGATCCGTATTACTGCGGCAGACGCACATTGGCAACTTGGAAAAACAGAAGTGCATGGTGGCTGGTTTAGCAGGGTTCTAGAAAAGGTGTTGTTGGATGTGTCGCCCAAAGATCACTCAGAATGGATGGAATGTGTTCACGCAGCCCACTGCAAGAATCAACTCATTCAGGTTTATGGCATGACACCGTCTCAATTTGTCTTTGGTCAAAATCCCAGGGTTCCTGAGAACTTACTTGATGAGCCAGTCGAAGTGGTGCCTGCCACAGCCTCACTGTACAGTGCGCGAATTGCACGTCAAGTTGCAATCCGTCAGTCTGCACGGAAGTCGCTGATTGAACTCCAGGACAATCGGGCCTTGAGACTTGCATTAGCCGCCCGGCCACGAACCATCACCACGTATCAGCCTGGTACGTATGTTGCCTACTGGAGAAGCCAAAAGTGGAACAAAGGTGTCTTAGAGAATAAAGGGCGTTGGCATGGGCCAGCCGTTGTTCTTGGTGCAGTGGGTCGAAACGTGGTGATCGTTCACAAACGTCAAATCTTGAGATGTGCTCCAGAGCAAGTGAGGCCATCCACGCCGGATGAGATGCAGCTGGTTGACACTCCACAAATGGAATTATTGGGGATTAAACACCTAATAGAGCGGGGGATGTTAGATAGTAGACAGTACATAGACCTTGTTCCTGAAGAATATCCATCCGCCAGTGGCGATGCACCAGAACCACTGCCTCCTGCTGAGAACTCTCAAGCGGCCAGGGAACTGCAAGACTCTCAGAATCAACCGGCACCCGAGGGTATTTTCAGTGATGTAGAATCCCCTCCAAGTGCACCTGTGGAAGACACCGAGATGCCTGAAGCCCCTGCTGACGAAAACGTCAGGGTAGTTCCGCCGACGGGACCTGAGTCGGAATCTCATGCTGCTCCAGGTGATGGCACAAACACATATGGACCCTTGCGTAGGAAGGTGCTAGGTAAGTCAGGTCCCCAAGCCTTATACCGTCCTGCCAAGTTGAAAGAGGATGATTTTGCTGAAATCATGCGTGAAATTGTGCCTGATTTGATTGAGCAGACTTTGGCATCGGAGTCATCCCAGTCAGCACAGTTGTCAGAGACTGAGAGGAGCTCCAGTGTGAAGCGCGCCTTATCGCCTTCAGAAGTGCCTCCATCAGTGAACCCTAAGAGTCAACGATTAGATGAACCAGATCATGCACTGTGTGTTCAGCAGCAATCCAATGAGGGAGTCACGTTCGCATGCGATGAGGTCGAAGTTTTGTCTGTGGCTGTGACGTCACAACATGCCGATCTGCCGTCCGATCGTTTGGAAGATCATGAAAAGGCAGAGCTCCGTGGCCTTGTAGATGCCGGAGCTACTCATGAGCAATTGGTAGCAAGTTACTTTCAGAAGAAAGCCTCCAAAGAAGTTAAGGGTACGGGTAATGAGGTAGAGTTGCAGCGTAAGATAGATGAAGCCAAATTACTCGAATGGAATACCATCCTTAGCAAGAATGCAGCCAGGTTAGTCCTAGGTCCTGAAGCCCTTGATGTTCGCTCCAAACTTGCTCACCGTATCATGGGTAGCCGATATGTCATCACCGTGAAACAAGAAGACGATGCACCGGCTCGAATCAAGGCACGTTGGTGCTTGCAGGGACATTTGGATCCTGATTTACATGCCAAGGCTCAACATGGTGATCTTCAGAGTCCTACCATTTCACAAATTGGTCGGAATTTGTTATTCCAGTTGATAGCCTCCCACAAATGGTCGTTGAAACTTGGTGACATTCGTGGTGCTTTCTTGTCTGCAGGTCAGTTGCCTAAACAATATCGACCACTGTATGCCTCCTTGCCTGCTGGGGGAATTCCGGGCGTGCCAGATGACGCCCTGATTGAAATAACTGGACATGTTTATGGACTCAATGATTCGCCATCAGCTTGGTATCGTAAGTTGGATAGTGAACTTCATGCTGCCGGTTTCGAACGTTCCAAGATTGATAGCTGCATCTATTACATGCGTGAAGATGGTAAGCTGTCAGGTGTCTATGGAATACATGTTGATGACTGTGCAACAGGGGGTTATGGAAAGAAATACGAAGATGCTTTGAACTACCTCAAACAAAAATTTGAGTTCAGAAAGTGGCGTAACCATGATGGAGATTTCTGTGGAGCACGGTATGTTCAGGACCCTGTTTCTAAAGTCATTTCCATGTCACAGCAAGCTTTCGCTCAGAAACTGAGACCTTTGCACTTTTCAAGAGAACGCATGTCCAAGAGAGATGAACCGTTGAATCCAAAAGAAGTTGCGTGTTTACGTGCGATCAATGGAAGCTTGAACTGGCTGTGCACTCAGTCACGCCCAGACTTATCTGCTCAAGTGTCTTTTTCACAACAATCTTTTCCTGAACCAAAGGTTCAAGATGCTCTGAATGTGAACAATGCAGTTCGTCGCGCCAAGCAGCATTCCGATCAGAACATTGTGTTTTCAGTGATTCCTCCGGAAGAACTTTGTGTAATGATGCACTCCGATGCAGCGTTCGGAAATGCCCGTGCTGGAGCGACGCAAGCTGGATATGTGGTGAGCCTGACCAGTAAGGCCATCAATGTTGGAAAAGAATGTGCGTGGACACCGGTTTTCTGGCGTAGTTTTAAACTGCCGAGAGTAGTGAGTTCGACTTTGAGTGCCGAAGCTCAAAGCATGTCGGTAGCTTCAAGCATGTGTGAATGGACCATGCTGTTATTGAGTGAAGCACTGGATGGTTTTCGTTGTCCTCATTCCTTTTGGCATAGCACAGGTAGAGAAGCCGTCCTGGTAACGGATTGTAAGTCTCTTTATGATCATTTGCAGTCCCCCTCAACTCCTGCCTTGGATGACAGAAGAACTTCAATTGACATCATAATCATTAAGGATAGTATCCGTAGGTTAGGTGCTCAACTGAGATGGATTCCTACCAATCGTATGCTAGCTGATGCCATGACAAAGGAAAGTCCCGAAGCGTTTGACCTGCTCCGGGCTTGCATCCGAGTCATGCGATACCAGATCAGCCCCGAAGAAAGTGTCCTGAAATGGCGAGCAAAAGAGAGAGAGCGTCGGAAGCAGTTTGCAACCAGAGCTGTGTGCTCAACCACCTCCCATGTCGATCAGCCTCTCAGTAGTCATGGGGACTGAAGCAGAGTCATAGGTATCAACATGAAGTATAGTGTTTATGCATGTTGCAATGTAACCTTGGTGACCGGTCCTGTTTAGCATTCCTTGCAGATACTCAGCCTTTTTCTACCGAGTATCAAGGGTGGCACTATCTCGCATCGTTGCTGTGTTCCGTATTTTTCGATGGCTGAAGCACCGTTGTCTCCAGCCCAGTCTGATGCTTGGGATGTGGTGAAAGATGATTGGTCTTCCTTGGATCAGTCTCAAGCTGTCATGCTGGTGACGAAGGCTCGTCGCCTTGGTCTCATGGATCAAGTGATGCTGGCGGTTTGTGAAGAAGAGCGCTTGTGTGCCCAGCTGCAGCACACGCCTGGGTCTATGAATGATTCGTCAAAGCGCCTTCGTGAAGCCACAGTGATTACCAACCTAGCCAGTGATGGTCGTGCTGGATATGGATCTCTCACGTATGCTCCTCCTCCGTGTAGCTCCTACAATGTGCCTCCTCCTTTGCCGAAGTTGTCTGGCTCTGAGGGTGCGAACCTTGCCGGTGATATCGCGCTCCCGGAGGGAGTCACCAGTATGTCAGATTGGGCATGCACTGTGGTGTCCTTTGGAAAGTACAAAGGCAAGAAGAGCTATGTTGAGATCCTCACTGATGAATCCGAAGATATGGTAGGCTACAAGAAGTACCTCTATGATCATTTCTCCCATGGCTCTCCGCAGTTGCGGGATCTCACAGCCTATTTGAAGGCATGTGGCTATGGGGTAAAGAAGATTCAACAGCCGGTGATTCCAGGCACCACCATCATCCGTGAGTTCAAGCGCTGATTTGGAGAAAAGGGAAGCCAGCCATCAAAAGAATTTTTGAAACGAAGATAGAAGGAATGTTGATGTGACCACGCCAGGGACATTTATGCCCGAGATCAAAAGGTGCGCATAGGGATGCGCAACTGCTGCTCCGAGGTTTGCTACCAACATATATATATCATATCTACATACAAACTATCTATTATCTTATGTATATATATATATGTATATATATATACACAGTATATATATATATACACACACTATATACACTATATATACACTATATACACTATATACACTATATACACTATATACACTATATACACTATATACACTATATACACTATATACACTATATATCTATATGTACACTCTATATATATATATACATTATACATATATACACTATATACACTATATATATACACTATTATATATACACTATATATATACACTATATACACTATATATCTATATATATATATGTACACTATATATATACATACAGTATATATATATATATATACTATTTATATATACAGTATATATATATATACATACACTATATATATACATACACTATATATTTAATTAATAATATTTATATACACTATATATACACTATATATACACACTATATAAATAAATAAATATATATATATATATCCACTATTATATATATACACACTATATATATATATTCACACATATGTATATATATATATGTCTATATCTATGTCTCTTTCTATCTATCTATATTCATGTATACACAATATATATATATATACACACAATATTGTTAATGCATTATTTTGTAACCCCAAAACTCATGTCTGATCTTCGTTTACCTGATCTTACCTGCCAAATGTGAGCTATTCCATGGCCCAATTTTGGGGACCAGTCCACATTGGAACATGGCCCAGTTGTTGATGTTTTACTTGTTTTAAATGGTGATAAATGGTGATGTTCCATAGCAAACTGATGCAAAATGGAACAAATTACTAGAGATTACCCTCTGGTAATCAAACATGGTTTGCTGGAAAATCCACCATTTATAGATGATTTTCCCATTAAACACCTCCATTTGGTTCGGGAATTTCCCAGCTAGCCATGTTTGATGACATCGGAGGGTACCAAAGGCTCCAAGCATAAGTTTCTTGTTGATTTGGTCAGGCTCAAGCTGCTTCTGGGACTCTATAATGATGTGGATTTTATTGAAAAATATCTATATCTATATCTATAGGTCAATTCCAAGTGATTCATCTCAAAAAATGCCTCAGTGCTGCAGACTCGCTGGCAGCTACTCAGCCTACATTTAAAAATTGAATACTTGGTGGATGAAAAATGTGATTTTTCCTCTGCCAATTGGGAGAGACCGACGAGCAGCTCACATCGCCACAGGTCAAGAAAAGGGAAAGCACCCTTTGATATGGGTCAAATGATAAGTTCTATCTAAGTCTATCATAGTCTATGTACATATCAGATCCATCACTGCGTGCAGCAAAATTGAACCCACCATGCCATATCTATACCAGATCTATACCAGGCTCAGTCGATGGTTTTGGGTTTCCACACCCTTCCTCGGCGCCATGGATGTAGCGACAGTGCGACAGCACCGCCAGATGCTTAGTGAGACGCACCGGGTGATGTTTTCAGGGGGGAATGCCATCGCAATCCAGTTGGGACGCCACTACTGATTTTTCGTTGTTACAAACCATTCTATCAGTTGTTCATCAATATTCTACCTACCTACTGTATCATCTGTATCTCACTTCCCTAACTTTGAATCACTCTGCTCCCACAGAGGGCGTCGTTCGGGGCCGTTGATTCTTGGGTCAGTGTAGGTCAATGCTACTAGCAGCTCACAACATATTTTGGTGCTTTCCACCAAAGGTCTCGACTACAACAGATGCTGATACATATTGATGGTAGAAAAAACATATAATAGGTGTAGTATATATATAATTATATACTTATATATTATAACATACTATGTAATTATATAGTATACATATATACATACACACATTGTCTTGCAAAGTTGTGAGCCAAAGAAAAAGAAAGCAAGAAATGCTGTCGATGGTAGCAATGGAGACATATTCCAAGCTGGTTGGGATATCTCATTAACAATAGCATAATTTGATAAGATGGTAGTAAATATAATTCCATTATGGATAGTCGCGATGATTATATATGATGTCACTCATATATGAACAATATATGATGTGACATGATATGAGTGATTAATTAGTAATTCTCCATCTCTCCCCAATTATGATTTCGCGCAAACTCGCCAAAGTCAGGTGCCCCGAGTTTCCGTTGCCCGGGGACCAAAGCTGGGAAGTGGACTCCGTCCATCTTCCGCCCAAATCGGACGGTGTTTTGACGAAGTCTGGAAAGCGATGCTGTTTTCGGGGAGATCCCCATGATTATATAATGCTGGGTAAATTATAACGACCTCACTGTTCTCCCGAACCCTGGAATCATGGTTTATTTTAGGGGAATCATCCCAAAATGGCCTTATTTCAGGTTAGTGAATTATTATAATTTACCATGATAATGGGAAAGGAACATGAAAATCTTTCAAATGATGATGGGAAACGATGGGAATCAAATGGAAAATCATGGAACATGATTCCCTATTTTGATTAAACACACACTGATGATGGGAAAGGAACATGAAATCTTTGACTCCAATACTTACCTACCATGATTAAATCATTTATATAGTCTACTTAATGATGGTGAACATCATGAATGCTAGATGACGGTCATGAAATTTGGTTGGCACTTTAACAGTGAACAGTACTTCAGCATCAAACATGCAACATAGGGACTCAAGATGATTTAAGCAACCCCGCCATTTTGGTGACCTGCCCAAATAAGATGGTTACCCTCTGGTAAACGTTTACATAACTATGGAAAATCACCATGTTTAGTGGGAAAATCCACTATAAATGGCCATTTTCAATAGCTATCTTAGTGATAACCAGAGTGTATACAGATTCGCCCAAGACGTAAAACCCCGTGCTTGTTGCTAGCTAAGCTTCGGCGACATCCACCGAGACATTCTGAAGATTTCACAGCGTTGTTTCAGCCGGGACCTGACGGGGTGACCTGACTGGTTTCGTTGAGTCATGATGTTCTCCCATACCCTCTGGTTATGACTAAGATAGCTATTGAAAATGGCCATAGAAATAGTGTATTTTCCCATAAAAAATGGTGATTTTCAATAGCTATGTAACAAATTACCAGAGGGATTTTGAAAATGGCCATAGAAATAGTGGATTTTCCCATGAAAAATGGTGATTTTCCATAGTTATGTTAACGTTTACCAGAGGGTAAATTATCCCACCTTGATCCCACCAAAGTCCATTGCAATCCCCTTGAGATCGGCTAGGAAATTATAATGGATATGTACAGCCTCGAATTTAATTCCTGTGCAGTAATTAATGATATAGGAATGTCATGAAATCCATTCTGAAAATTCTGATCAAGTATGGCTACTATCTAATATCCATGGCTAAACAAAAATATCCATGATCATTCCATGATCATTCCTATATTGGCCGTTCCTATATAATAAGCCTATAATGGCCCTGTTGACAATGCCTATTTTAGCCATAGATTCTGGCGTCAGGTGAATCGAAAAGAGCCTGGCCAAGGCGCCAATGCCGCACCAGGACGGTGTTGAACTGGTTAGCCTCTGGTAATTTGTCACATAACCATTTAAAACTATGGTGAACTAATTATGGTTAACTGTGGTTAGTTGTGGTTTTAATGGAAAATATCTAGGATATACCATCTGGTATTAAAATTGGCCCATAGAAATAGTTGATTTACCGTTCTTAAAGATGGTGATTTTCCAGTTTGCAAACTGTAAACGTTTAGCAGAGGGTATGATGAATGGGAAAAACCGATGGGTAGACCGGGTGCTTCCATATTTCTGGAAGCCTCCTTTTTATTGTTGCCAGTGTTGGAGGATTTTTTGAGGTTTTTAACAGCGATATTTCGTGGGGATCTGAGAGATTTCATGGGATATCTTGGAATATACAAAGGTCGTGACGCGAATTTACTACTGCTTGGTGGTGACTGGAACATGGCTGGATTATGACTTTCCATTAATATTGGGAATGGAATTTCATCATCCCAACTGACGAAGTCATATTTTTCAGAGGGGTTGAAACCACCAACCAGACCATATGAGATGGGTTTGTTCAAGAAAAAGAATAGCTAAATCCAAAAGTCACCATGCCATGTGGGACATGATATGGTTTTCACATGCCATTGACTGGGGTTTACCATGGTTTACCCATGTTTTTTTCAAGCATTGTAAACGGGTCCACGGGATTTGGAAGCGGTTCGGAGCGGTCCGGGTTGTATCCACTTTCCCAATTGAATGGCCAAGGTGCTTACTATAACTACAAAGAGTTTCCAAAGCACATGCCATCGATTGACCAATTAAACGATGGGGATTACCCTCGTCGTACGTTTACATAACTGGAAAATCACCATTTTCAATGGGAAAACATGGGAAAACTCACTATTTCGACTGGGCCATGGCTTCAATAGCTATGTAAGAAATTACCAGATGGTAAGATATCAAGCCATATCCATTGGTTTGATCTCTCTCTCTCAATCCTGTGCCGCGATCAGAATCGATCAGATGTAGGGGATCCACCTACGATACGTGGTTGCAACTCAGCAAGTGGAAGAAGCCGAAGATGAAACCGGGGTATATCCCTTGTATTCACCGGGTCATTTTCCGGTTCGTGGGTCAAAAAACATCAAGAAACAATGATGCCATATTTTTTTGGGATGAAGATGATGAACATCCCAGCTATTTTGATGTTACCCTCTGGTAAACTAACATAGCTATTGAAAATGGCCATAGAAATAGTGGATTTTCCCAGTAAAAATGGTGATTTTCCATAGCTATGTTAAATCGTCCTGGAAAAACTGCTGAATCGGCTGGAGGCTAAAATGTGTCATGGATTTCTGGCCACAACCCCCAAGCGGAACGGTCGGAAGATCATTGAAGCTACAGCAATTTTTGCTGAGCTGTGCATCTGATAGACGGTACCGAATGGACTTCGTTTTGCTGCATCCCAAGAAAGGCTTCAGCAAGAAAAACATATCATTTTTCAAGTCCAATGTCATTTTTTGCGATGTTTTCCCCCGACAAGTACCAGCAATTTCGAACATTTTCGGAAGGCTATCATCAATCAGCAATTTTTATCCCAGCAATTCATTATTTGCCTATATCCCATGACGGATCCATGGTGCTGCTATATATGGTGACATGGATCCCATCAATATACCCCAGTCATGTTAGCATATATACCAGCACCATGGATCCTATGGGTATGGTTATATGATCTATGATGATCTATGGTCAATACTCATGGTTAATAACCATTAATAGGGGCTAGTCATCCAATGGTTCATAGGGATTTATAATAACCATGGCTCATATGGTTTTCGATGGGTTTTCGATGATTTTCCACTGGTCGTTCCACAGAGTCGGCACCGACCGATGAATTCGGCACCTCGAAGAGTCGGCGGCTTCTCGCCGCAGGATGTGTCCCAAATCGCTGCCCGAAGGCGACGGATCCGAAAGGATGGTACTGGGTAAATTTCATCGCGACCGAAGCCTGTTCTCCCGAAGCCTGGTTTATCATGGTTTATTGTAGGGGAATCATCCCAAAATGGCCGCAAGATTCATCAAGATTCAGAAATGATTCAGGGTAGTGAAATATGATCATTTACCCAGATGGTAAAAGAGGCGTTCTCAACTGGTGCAGGATTTCGCTGGCCCAAACGGCCCCGGTGGCCCATCCCTCCGAAATTTCATGCTGGATGTGATCTGGATGTGATTCCACCATCCCCAATGACTTCGCGCATTTTTATGGGTGAAACCATATGGCTGGTTTATGGCATTGCTTTACTAACATTGCACGTATTTGGGACCATAGAATGGAGGGGTGCGAAAAAAAAGTGAGGTGGATGGGATAAAAAATGTTTTTTCTACTGGGAACATCTGAGAAACCTTTGGGGATTGCTTAAAGACTTAAAGTGAACAGTTCACTAAAGATTTTTTCAGCCAATTGCTGTGTTTTTTTTCAAATGGACCCAGAAGTAGAGAACATATGAGCAGTGAATCAAGTTCAATCCTAGTTGCTTAAGAACCAGATTCTCAGTTCATGGATTGCGACAATTATATATATAATATATATATATATGACAAATCGATTTTCCAATCTCAATTCTATGAAGGGTAGGTTAGTAACCCCCGAACTAGCTAACTAGTCAACCAACAGGCGCGTCTTCTGCTGATAGGATTTGTTTGGACACCTCACAAGTGACTTGGTGAGATTTCGCCAAGCCGAAAGGGAAATTCACTGCAACGTGACGACTTTGGAGTGCCCTGATTTTTCCCAAAGATTTTCAAAAAAAAAATCCAAGCTTTGCTCAGACTCCAGAGCTTTGAGTACAGAAAGCATTTCCCGAACACGTTCCGAACATGTTTCAGGACTTGTCCCCAGCAAAAAATCCTCACCACGACAAACAACTCCGAAACCTCCTGGGTTTTTGGCACCAAACACACAAAACTAACATGAACATATGAAACTGGTTGGTTGTTTGGAACATGGCTTTTATTTTCCATAATCTATGGGATGTCATCCTTCCCATTGACTTTCATATTTTTCAAGATGGTAGGTATACCACCAACCAGTGAACATATGAAACACAAATCCCGACACATCCTGAATTTTCCATATTTTTTCCACGATTTGGACGTATGTCATCCACATGTTCCTGCGGAGTCAGTGCTGATGTCCAGGTCCAGCCGCGCGCGCCTTGAGTCGCGGCCTGCACGCCCTGGCTGCAGGAAGGTGCCATGGCGAATCAGTGGTTGGAAACATGGTGACTTGGTGAACCCCCAAATGAGTGGTTTATAGTATGGTTTATAGTATGGTTTATAGTATGGTTTATAGTATGGGGCTTATAGTATGGTTTATCGATGTTTTTTTTTGTGGTTTTGTATGTGATTTATATATTGATATTAAGTGGTTATTTTTAATAGTGGAAACTTACCCATTGGCAGATAGAGGTTTCCTAAGTCACGGGTTACCCCCAAATCATCTAAGTCATGGATGCCGATGACTTAGTATTGAAACAACCGTGGTGACTTGGGGAACCCCCAAAATAAATGCTTTATAGAGGTTTTGTATGGTGAAATGTGCGGTTTCTAGTGGTTATATATATATATACTGGTTTATAGCGGTTTTGTGGCATTTGTTCATGGGAAAAATGGGGGACAACTCAACTCAACTAAAACCCCTCGAAAAAAAACGGAAGAATGGCTGAACACACTACTTAGACCATTGGGAAAAGGTGCCTAGGCCCTAGAACTCTAGGATTTGGCTGATCCCCCAACACAGTTTCAATAAGAAATGCACATGTTTCACATGTTTCTTGTTCCTGCAAGATCTCCAGAATTTCACAACTAAGACCAAAGGAGTGGCAGCTCCAGCAGTTCAATTGACCTGCAGCCAGATTGAAGCAACCCAAAAGTAGTAAGCCGAAAGAAAGTGTGCATTGGAAAAACAATGATATTATTGATTTGTGTTGATTGTATTCGGGGCTATAGCCATGATATTCATGATCAGCCCCATATCAAGCCTCGTAGGAATCTCTTGAGAAGTACTGAGATGTTTCTCCGAAATCCTGTTGGATCCTCACTATCTCCATGTGCGGCTGAGACTTAGATCATGAAAAATCATGTTAGAAATAAGCCCAGGTGTTACGCAGGATGGTGGGTGTGACATGGTGTGACTACTATACGTTGATCTACGTTGGGACTTGCTGAAGATGTTGTTTTTTGAAAGTTCCAATCACTTCATCCACCATTTTGGGGAATCTGCCAGAAACTATTCTTGGGTCACAGCAACTCCAATCAATGAGTAGGGCCTTCTTTGTATATGGCCCTTAAAAAAACTAAAATTGGGTATATGGAGGTTTCCTAAGTCATAGGGGTATTTCCCAAATCATCCATAGACCAATGGGAAATAAACATGGGGTTCCCCCCTATCATTGTTATAGATGGACAATTGTTATTTTCCTAACCCCATATGATATGGGAATTTCCATATCATGAATACCATGCTTATTTTCCTAACCATTTCTAGATGTGATTTTTCCCCTTTTTGTCAACCATCCAGCTATTGGGGTAACCCCATAAAACCATGGGTTTCCCCCCATTTTTTCAGGAACTGTTACTATGAGGTGAATCCCATGAAGTTTAGGACAGTGACCATGTGTTCAATTTTTTGCATCCACTCAAACATAGAGACTTCCATAAATCAGGGTACCCAAAATGGATGGTTTATAATGGAAAATCCTATGAAAAATGGATGATTTGGGGGTACCCTCACGAAAATATATCAAATACCAACGAAACCATGGTGGATGTAGGGAATTTCCACATTTCATGAAGGGACCATGACCATCTGACCATCCCGGAAGCGTAATCCACCATGGAGTTCCGGCGATCGGAGGGAGCCTGTGGCCTGGTCTTTCCTCCTCTCAGCGGAACGCCAAGCGGTTTCCGAGGACCAGCAGGTGGTTTTTCGGGGGTGGATTTCTAGGGAATGCCATGGTCGAATGGTGGAACTTTTCATGTTAAAACAATTATGAACTAGCCATGACTGGGAATGGTAAAACTACCACCTATATATTTATGGTGATGACTGGGGGATGGTTTGTGATTGTTTTAACATGTTTTAACCACATTGTGATTTTCATGGAACCGAATGGACGTTTAAAAAATGAAGGCAGATGTACGATCATTTCGAATGCGATTGGGATACGTGATGATTTGAATGGGGAGTTCATTTCCGGGAAAACTGGAGAAGGGGATTCTCTGACTTTAAGGAGACTTACCCTCTGGTAAATTAACATAGACCCTGGCAGTTGTCGGGCTTGGAAGACTAGTTTCCATTAAAAAAATGGTGATTTTCAAATTTACCAGGGTGTACTCTAATTGTGGTGAAACATGGGAATTCATGGGAGTTTCATGGGGATTCAAAGGTGAATTTACTCCAATTCTCGGCAATTTAGAGCAATTTTGAGGGGACATTTTACATGATTTTACATAAAATGGGACACTTGATGAACTCCGGTTTGTTTCACCCAGTCATTTTAGAGTATAGGTACCTATAATTATTATATATATATAATAGTGCTTTCTGGAGTATCATTCAATCATATCCAGTTATCATTCCTGGGATCATGCCATACCCATCATTCTCCCGGCCAATTCCATCAAAGGAGGCCTCAATGATGAAATCCACTAGGAAACCGGGCTTAGGGGGTGTTTTGTAGTGAGAAGAGAGTACTATATGAGTCACATGGATGATTTAAATATAATGGAACATCCTATATTTTTTATGGATGATTTAGAAAAAATTAGGGCTACCCCCATGACTTTAGGGCTACCTTCAGATTCAAAAATGGGAAGACCAGGGATCTCCACCACCGTGGGCTCCCGTGGCCTCCCTTGGGCTCCAAGAGTCTGGTTCAACTCGTCGGCGCTATGGTGAGTTTAGGAGCCGAAGTCGGGCAGGGTGAAAGGTGATGGTTATGGTTATTATATAATAAATATAGGAAAACCATAGTAAAACCATAGTAAAACCATAGTAAAACCCATCTATACCCTCTGGTTATGACTAACATAGCCATGGTATAGATGGCCCTAATCGAAATAGATGGTTTACCTATAGAGGCTTCAGCAAGAAAAACATATCATTTTCCAAGTCTGTCATTTTATGCGATGTAAACCCAACAAGTACCACCAATTTCGAACTTGAGGAAGGCTATCATCAATCAGCAATAAATCCCAGCAACTCATTACCCATGACGGATCCATGGTGCTGGTATATATGCTAACATGACTGGGGTATATTGATGGTAAATGTCACCATATATAGATATATATAGCGTACATGGATACTATATATTTATTACCCTCTGGTTATGACTAACATAGCCATGGTATAGATGGCCCATGGAAATAGATGGTTTACCTATTAATAATATGGTGATTTTCCAGGGCTATGTTAAATAGCCAGATGGTATATAATAAATATATAGTCTGGTCGGTGCTTTGGAACCATGGAATTTGGAATGACTTTCCATATATTGGGAATAATTAATCATCCCAACTGACGAAGTCATATTTTTCAGAGGGGTAGGCTCAACCACCAACCAGTAGTATACTGATCGTTAATATTCATATTGGTTAAAAATGGTTGATTGTGGTGATAATTGACAATAAGCAACAATAATGAAAAACAGTTAATATTAATATATAATGGCGAATGGTTGCCCTCCGTTAAATTATGACATAGACCCTGTTAAATTTAGGGGTTGGAAGATTAGTGAAGCCACTAAACATATAAACATTGTTTATGTTCAGGGTCGAAATGTTAATTTCGAGGGTATATAGTTGGGGTTATGGTTGCCTTTAATAACCCTCTGGCAAAGGTTCACAGTTTGCGAAGTGGAAAATCACCGTTGATGTCATTTTCGATAGCTATATGTTTACCAGATGGTATGGTTGTGGTTACCTATGGATATCATGGCCCATATGCTCCATGTATGGAATATGTATCAGCATTTACCCCAAAACTAATCCTTAAATGTAGGTAAATATACATACATATACCATACATGGAGCATCTGGGTGGGATATGAAGATTATAATTATTGGATGAGCTGAGTTGATGATTTGGCTCCAGGCAAATCCAAGTCATGTGCAACATGACACTTGAATTTGCTGAGCAGAAACAGCCAACCATCAATAGAAGCTTAAATACAAAATAAACTAAACTACCTAGAACTTCCAAACCTCTGACATGGTTTCAGTTTCCCTTGGTACATATTATTGTCTTCTTACCCAAACAAACACCTTGACACAGGAGGACCGCCCTGGGTTTGCCTCAAATTTCGGAACCCCATTCGCTGCCAGGAAAATAAGTGCCATAATTTTTTTCCGAGACAAACCAATTGATTCATGGTTATATCGCCATTCCTGTATCCTCGAAAAAGAACAAATACATGCTCAGAGATTTCTGCTTTTTGAGCGGTTTTTCTCCACATGAGCGTAATTGCACCACTTTTGGCATTTTTGCACTTTGTGCATTTTGAAGCCAAAATTGTGAACGTATTTTCCCGGGAAATAAGCGTAAATACTCAGAAAACAAGCATAAATGCCCGTCTGTCAAGAAACAATGCGTGTTTTCTAGATTCTAGTTCATGTGAGCATAAAAAGTCAGAACGAGCGTAAATCCAGGCGAAAATTGCTATTAGCAGAAGAAAGTGCTAAGTGAAGATCCAGGTTATTCCCCATTTGAGTAAATGTTCATATCACCGTCTCGAAAGTCGAACTCAGTCGAACTCGGGTTTACCATCCGCATGGCTCGGAAACTCGAAAATCTGATGGTTTTTGGACAACCTGATATCGTATTGTTTAATATTGTTGGTTTTATTAACCCAATACATTCCCATTGTATCCCCAGAAACCGTTTGCTTTCCATTGGTGGATCATTTTCCCATTGAAACCCATGAAAAATCATCATATCATATGTTTCCCATCAAAATGGCTATGAATGGTCATAAATCTCCAATTGTTCCTCACTCATCAAGTCCCATTAAAGTCATCACATTCAAATCCCATGGATTTTCTGAAAAACTTTGATAGTCAACCGCATGCCGCAACGGAAATCGTCGAGTTCGCGCAACGCGCCAGGACGCACGAGCAGCGCGTCCCGCACGAGCAGCGCGAGCCGCGAACGTCGTGCCTCCGAAGCGAGGCCCGAGTCGTTTCGTGGCAAAGGCTGTCGGGGGAAGTTCTGCAGGCGCGGCACCCGAAGCGGCGGTGAGGGGTGAGCCATCGTCGAGGGCTCCAAATCGAAAAGATCATGTTCGAATCAACTTCCAACCCAGCTATGACTCAGGATATCTAAAGGGTACTTGGTGGTTCATCCCACTTAGTAAGTGGGTAGTTCACCCCAGTGATTTCAGTGGATTAACCCTACTTATCCCATGTAAATCACTGGGGTTATATTACGAGCCGTGGGTAGTTCGCCACCAAGTACCAGAGTTTTTCATGAGCCAATTTTTGGGTTTTACCGATGGATTTCGGGGATTTTCCCTGATTTTACACAGAAACAGGACTTGTTCGGCGTCAATGTAGTGGGACAATAATTATATATTGTTCTTTTTTGAAATGGTGATTCAACCAGGGGATTTTTGGATATTTTTGGGGATTTAAAATTTTATGAAGTGGACAATTTTAGCATGGTTGTTTGCCCGGTTCTAACAAACAAAAATCATTATAGGGGATGATTCATAGTCATTGATAACATGCGGTTGGCATGTTGGAGCAAATGGGTCAACACAGACTGTCAATGCGGGGAAATGATGATTAACAAATATTGGGGTTTACCTTGGTTTAGTATGATTTAACCAACACATGTGAGGACAAAATAAGGGATAGACTTCGGATGACTTCGGCATAAGGGGTATATAAACAAATAAATAACGTTTATGTTCAAACAAGTGGGACACCACACCCCAAAATTGCCATCAAACAACGAGAAGCAATTATTGCATTAAACATCCTATTCTTACACCATCTTACACCAACATACACCAACATATTAGGATACGATAACTATACTTATCATTGTTTAATATAGTCCAAATATGATGAAATCCCTGACTAGCCTCTAAAGTAACATCACCATGAAAGATCCGTGAATCCACCAAGCTTCAATGAACATCGGCTTTGTCCATGGGAGATCAATAAACCCCGAACGGCTGTGAAGAATTTGGGGGTACCAATTATCATTTTATCATCTGGTTGGTGGTTTGGAACATAAATGTTATGTTTCCATATATTGGGAATTCCATCATCCCAACTGACTGACTTTCATATTTTTCAGAGGGGTAGGTATAGAAAACCAACCAGTCATTGTTTGGAGGGTACCCCCCATGATTTTCATACACCACGGTTGATCAATCCGGGGTTCGACACGATGTTGACATCAGGGAAGTCATGAGATTACTCCCCTACTTGGTGGCTCATCCCACGGCTCGTAAGTGGGTTATAACCCCAGTTATAAATGGGATAAGTAGGGTCAATCCACTTATAACTGGGGTTATAACCCACTTACGATTCGTGGGATGAGCCACCAAGTAGACTCAGAAATGGGAAATTTGGGTTTGTTTGAAAACTTTGGGACAAATTCCCCAAACATGTGGTTTAGAAAAAAACAATCCTATGAACGTTGCCATATATCAAGTGGAGAACACACAAAATACATATATATATATAGTTGATATATCTATTTCACTTATTTCACTTATCCCATATATTCCCAATAATTTTTTGGGAGAACACACAACGCATCAAAACGCCTAAAATCGCAGGTGTCTTTGGCACTTTCTGCAGCAGCCACCAAGTAGGACTGGGTGACATGCCGGCTTACTGAGAGGGGAATCATCCCCTGACCCTAGCTATTTTCAGGCTACCCTCCGGTATTTATAGTGGATTTATCCAATAAAAAGGGTGATTTTCCATAGTTATGGGACAGTTTACCAGAGGCTAGTGATCATTCAGCCAGATTGTTGAAAGCATGTCAATACGATTGGCGGGGCTTGAATGCAAGGTAATTATCTATAAATGTGGATTAAACTTTAATTAAACACGTTTTTTTTTTTTAAATGCCATTACATGATGATATAATCGTGATGTAGTTGGATGTACAACTAACATCACTATATATCTGATATGTGGGTGTCTGAAACTTGATATTTACATGTATTTACCTCATATGGGAATTGTAATGGCGAAAAAACATCCAGGTATAAATACGATATTTCCAGACAAAACCAATCATACTACCTTGCAATCAAACATGGCAATGGGAAATTGGCCATAAGTCGGTCTTATGAAAAGATGATATGTTTAAAATTGTTTAAAGGGGGAGTGTCCACACAGCCATGGAGTATTATGGATGGTCATAATTTGCTGGGTAACTCCCACTAAAGTGTCTAAGTTCAAGTTTATATATACATTTAGTGGGAGTTACCCAGCAAATACATATTTATATTATATTATATAATATAATCCCACTAATTCATCATTTTTTTATACATTTTCATGCTCGAAAGGCCATTGGGATAATTCTTGACCATTCCCAGCATGGGTTTTCTGCATTTTCCCATCAATCGTGATTAGTGTCAGCCCAGGAATAAAACAGACCCTGGTTGATGCAAAGTGTGGTTCCCCCCAAAGAGTGATATTCTGCTACTAAAATCGTAGCCCCCCCCAAGTTCGAAAGCCGAGCGTTTTATTAACCTGGGGGTGGTATGGAGTGTCCGGCCCCATGGTTGGCTACGTTGGTTTGGTCAGATGAGTTACCCTCTGGTAAACTAACATAGCTATGGAAAATCACCATGTTTAATGGGTAAATCAACTATAAATGGCCATTTTCAGTACCCTCTGGTAAACTAACATAGCTATTGAATATTGACATTTATAGTGAGTTTTCCCATTAAAAATGGTGATTTTCCATAGTTATGGGACAGTTTACCAGAGGGTATATGGAGGTTTCCTAAAATGAGAGTGCCCCAAAACATCATCCAAGTCACTAGGCTATCTATTGAGTATTCAGACTTATCGTGACTTGGAGATTGACGACTTAAGAAACTCCCATATCTCATCTGGTTGGTGGTTTCAACCATTTTTATTTTTTCCATATATTGGGAATAATAATCCCAACTGTATTGGGAATTCCATCATCCCAACTGACGAAGTCCATCATTTTTCAGAGGGGTAGGGCTCAACCACCAACCAGATTATTATTAACCAGTATTAAACATCATTAACCATATAATAACCATTAATATTAACCATATATGGACCATATATGAATACATAGTATATTGCCCATTCTTCGAGCTGTTGATCGCCAAGTGTTCCATCGTCCCGATCCAGCAGGAGTACATTATACCTTAGATGTTACACACGGGGTCCGCAAGTTGTCTGCCCGGAAGCCCTCCCTGGCTGTGGGAAACATGGTGGAGATCATCACCGTAGAGGTTTAGCTATGGAATATCCTCACTTCTTTGTGGCTTGTAGATGCTGATAGATTGGTTGAAAAAAGTTATAAGTCATGTACTGAATGTTTACTGGTTGATAAGTGGACAACAAAAAGCCGAGTGAAATTACCCTCTGGTAAACTAGCGTAACTATGGAACATCACCATTTTTAATGGGTAAATCCACTATAAATGGCCATTGTCAATACCTATGTTAGTTTACCAGAGGGTAAAATCTGAATCCGAAACATAGTTTTTGGAGATACGCCAGATGAATACATCTGTGTTTGTCTCAAAATGGGTCCACCATAATGGCTGTTTCGAGACTCGGAAAATGAAGTCTTTAAACCACGCTATTTGGGGTGTCCAAGTTTGGAGCTTTCCGAACATGGTGCATGTTGATTCTTTTTTTTTTTTTAAAACATTTTCGGTGAAACCGTCAACGAATAGAATCAAAGTCTATATAAAATGATTTGCTCCGTAGAACATGTTCCCAATTGTGCGGAACGAATGAACAAATATGAGCAAATCATCCCTGAAATGGTCTTATTTCGACTGGATGGAGGAAAAATGAAACAGAGTTGAGAACCAAGAACAACAGCAATTGGCATTGTGAACTGGGGTTCTGATTAACAGCAATGGGAACTTCAACCAAACAAGCTGGAGAGATTGGAATAGTGAAATTAATCAGCAGACAGAGATAAACAGCAAGAGACAAACACGAAACAATGAACACGAGAGAGAAGAAGAAAGAAGAAACGAGATCATAAAGACCAAAGGCAGAAAAAAGAAACAAGACAAAACAACAAAAGAGATAAACACAGTGTAAAATAAAACCCAAACACAAAAACAATGAGAAAGAACAACAACAAGAAAGCAAGAGAGAGAAAGGGACAAGGATAAAGGAAAAGAAACCAGAACAAACAAGGAAAGACACAAGATAAAAGAACCATAATATAAGATAAAAGAAAAATAGCAAAGCGGACCTGGGAGGACTCGAACCTCCAGAATCTGCGTTTCCGCCACTCATTGGCTAAAGAAGCAACGTAGGGCAACAGGTCCTACTATTTGATCTATCAGGGGTCATCCCTCTGCCTGGTTCCCTTGCCCAACCTCCTTTTTCTGGGGAAGTAACCGAACTACAGAAACACCGTCAAGGACTTTGGAATCCACATGATTGTATCCATCCCAGGGTAGGTTTCTAGTAAATCCCCGTCGAAGGCAAGGTACTTTGAGGACAACGTATCAGGCTTAGCAAGAAGATAGATGAAGATAGATGTTAAATTATGAGAGGGTAACCAGGGTGAGGGTTACTAATCAACGCAATGACCTCAGCATGATGGGAATGGAGCTGGATTTCCATCATCCCCGGCCATAGAATCGGGGGGAGACGTGGTTGATCTAATAGGAGGTGTTTATATTTAAAAAATACCCTGACATTATGAGTTTCTAAGTGAATTTTGTAGATTTTGTAGATACTTGCAAAGCTTCCAGTGATAAAGATATCATGGAGATTTGTAGGATATATTGGCAACAATCTAGTTCTATGGGCTAGGTACCTGATTTTTTTGCTGAAAACCTTGTTGACTGGTTAATTATGACAATCCCGATGAACAGGGTGCAATTTGGCATCCCAGTTGGTATGGGGGTTTCCTGAAATGGGGCTACCCCAAAATTGATGGTTTAGAATTGAAAATCCAAATTAAGTAAATTGGATGATTTGGGGGTACCCCCATTTCCGGACTCTCCAAATCTTCCTCTTCATCTACGATAGTCCCTTTCAGAGGATAAAATCACCCAGACTTGCATGATCTCCTCGTGATAGCTTATGTTTACTGTATGTTACCCTCCCAGTAAACATACAAAAAGGTGTGGAGAACCCACCGTGATCACCATGATCACCATGAATGTAGATCATTTTTTCCAAAGGGGAAAACCCCCATATGGTTTTCCGTACGTCGGAACGGCGTGGCTCAGGTGCGTTGTTTGTTGCTGTCACCGTTCTCATTCTGGGAGGCCACTGAACTGTGATGAGAACTTTTCGAGAAAAAAGATACCCTCAATTTGAGATGTTCGGACAGTCATGTATCATCATGTACCCAAGTCTTGTATTTGTTATATTTTGTGATATCAGTTATATCTGTCTCACCATGTCTAACCAACTAGAATATCTATGAGTTCTCACTTTTGATAACAACCAAGTTAGGCTTCACGGTAGATATAACACGACGATATAACTTTATAGTTTGTGGGGCAACGAAATGCCACCTACTATGACTGGGGATGGTTGGAATCCCCTAAAAAGAAGGTGATGACTGGGGAATGGTGCAGATGGCTTTGGGTGCCTTTGGGTTTACCGTGGTTTACCACATTACTGATTTCAATGGATATGGCCATGATAGAAACCACTTCTAAACATGTTTTTCAATCATTTTCAACCACAAAGATGGTGATTGCTTGGGATTTCCCATGTAGACGATTCGTGTGACGTTCAGGTGGAGTCTATTCGCAGAGCAGTGGCCCAACAGAGGCGAGGTTTGGCCGAAAGATGACGAGTGTTGGTGTCCCAGAGAAGTGATATATATATATATAATATACATATAGATCTGGGATATATACATATATATATATCTGGGATATGTATAAGATGTCCTATATATATACATATATATATACATATATATACAATACATATATATATAGATACAATACATATATATATATATACAATACATATATATACAAATATATGTATGTTTGTGTCCCTCTGGTAGTTTAACATAGCCATATAGTTCTTGAATTCTTGAACATGGCCATTTATAGATGATTTGCCTGTAAACAAATAGTGATATTCCATAGCTATGTTGTATAGTTTACCAGAGGGAACATAAATTTGTAGATGTTGGAGGGTTGGCTCAGATTTTGTTTTTCAGCAAATGCTTAGATATGGAAGATCTCTGAAGTTTTGCTGAACTAAAATCCCATTGAAACCACCACCCAGGGTGGATTTGCTGAGTCCATTAATATCTTCCAAAATCCAGCGGAAACCAATAGTAGCCCCTAAAAGGCAATATCATGTTTCATGGAGTTTTGGTGCCTTGCAAATCCAAGAATGATATATATATATAGATATGTGATATTTCTATAGATATAATATCATACATATAATATATTATAAAAAAGATATATATTTTATAACTCATATGACTCTTTGGAGCTGGTGTCTATTGGTTAAGCCAGCCATAAAAAGGCAGCTGGCTTTTTTTGGCCCCATGGGATGGCTGGTGAGTCCAACCATGGGGCTGTCTCCGAAGTCAGGGTACCTTCAACTCGTCCAAAATTCGACCATTTTCTGATTGACAATGGGACTACCCTCTATGGAAACTAACATAGCTATGGAAAATGGCCATTTATAGTGGATTTTCCCATTAAAAGTGGTGATTTTCCATAGCTATGTTAGTTTGCCAGAGGGTAATGGGACTATAATATGGGTATAATGATGGGTATACCCTCTGGTAAATTAACAGTTGGACCCTGAAAATAGCCTAGTTTTAATGGAAACTAATCTTCCAAACCCGACAACTGCCAGGGTCTATGTTAATTTACCAGAGGGTAATGATGGGTATAATGATGATGAACAAATATTTTTCAGAGGGGTTGAAAAAAACCAACCAGTATAAGTTATAACTGGTTATAATGGGACTATAATCCCATAAATCCATGGTGATGACTTAGGGATTTAGGGAATGGTCATCAATCCATTAAAGATTTACATACCCATTACTGGTTGGTGGTTTGAACATGAATTTTATGACTTTCCATTAATATTGGGAATGAAATAATCATCCCAACCGACGAAGTCATATTTTTCAGAGCGGTTGGTATACCACCAACCAGATTTTCGTGTTGAACCTTTGTTTTGGGGGTACATTTTAAGAACCCCCCCAAATGTTTCAAGACAGTTCTCTTGGTCAACACCTCTGGGAAACGTAAGAAGTTCTTGTTGGAAAGATGGAAGAGCACCATGGTCTTCTCAGATCATTTTCCAAATATTTTCCCAACCTCGTCCTAATAGTATGTTGCCATATTTCCCGTGTGCGTTCCTCATATTTTCCCCATACTTTCTCATGTTCCCAGACAAATCCCAACATGTTCCCAATATTTTCCCATTTGTTCCCCATATTTTCCCACCGTTTCCCATGAAAATCCTCCGCTCAGCCAGGTGGTCGTCTCTTATAGAGCTGGGGACACGACGAAGTCGTTCTCCCTGCTGGAAGACCTCACAGGCGTTGGGGATGATGTTGGACGTTGTGTATATTCCAAATGTGCAAAATATGATGAAGATGTAGATATGTTAGAGACATATGCAATTTATATATATATATATACATGATATGATCAAGATAAACATAAATCACGTGGTTATGAAACTTGTATTCTCAACAAATTCTGGATACAATATCCACCATAAATGAATATGATTGGCATCAGGAGATATCCAAGTTGGGCTGAAGCAATTTGACGAATGCGGCAATTTGACGACTGCGGCAATTTGACGAAGCAAAAACCTGGCTGAACAGCAAGAAGGTGGTTCTCTCCCCGGGTAACTTGTATTGATTTACAATGCCCATGATGTATAGTCATATTAGTCAGGTTACAAACCCGCTTAGCTATGGGGCCCAACTTTGTGCAGAGAGGGTTTCACCAACTGTAGTGGTGACGGAACCGAAGGACAAAGGCTCAAAATTGACAAATGTTGTCTGACTTCATTGGGAAAGGTGGAGCCATTGAAATGAGAAATACATTTGGAGAGGATCCGTCATCTCTGCCGTTTTTCAAATACTGTCCCAATTTAACATAGCCATGGAAAATGGTCCAATTTATAGATAGATATAGATATATTAGTATAATTATATATAGATATAGACATAGATGATGTAGACGTAGATAGATATAGCTATAGTTTACTTTTGACAAAACTCTGATTTTCAATAGCTACTCGTACGTTGGCTACAAGTTTATTCATCACAGATCCACCTTTCTCCACCTGGGTCCGTGTTGTTTCACAGGCACCGTGCAGATCCACTACGAGATCCCTGGCGTCTTGTTAAACAACAAGGACTACGTCAGCAGCAAGGCGCCGGAACATCGGTTTTTCCGACTCCGGGAGTTGGAGAGAAAAACAGCCAGCAACGTTAAACCCAGTGTAATATGGCATTCCCATAGGATCCATGTATGGCATATATGCTAACATTTGGGGTATATTGATAGTAAATGTCACCATATATAGCATACATGGATCCTATGGCATTGAAGCCATGTGGGTATGGGTCAATACCTATAGATACATTTTTAGTGGGATGAACATCCATTTACCAGCTATTTTGGGGTGAACAAAAGGTACCAGGGTTTTGACCCATCCCCATGTTTTTGTCGGCTTGCGGAGATTTTTCACCCAACAAGAGATTAGAGCACAATTAGCGACAAGGTGCGGTCCATACCATGGACCATGGCATGTGGCGAACCCAATGCCATAAACCATCTTATACATCTTATACTATATGGTACTTGTAATGTTGGATATTTATAATCCCACTTCTAAGATACCATGGCATATCAAATCTATATATTTTCCCTGGGGCCCTGGGGTAAACTCTTAAATTTATGTGGAAAACCTCGGGTTTCCCTGAGGAAATGATCTACAAATAGTAGTTTCTCCACATCTAGGTTAGTATACAGGAGGATAATTCTACCGAACTAACTATAATGTATAATCCATGGTATTAGATAATATTACATAATATTACATAGATATTTATAAACTCCCAAGATACCATGGAAGATCAAATCTGATCATATTATCCATAGTTGATGCCCACCATAAATATTTATAGACATGTTTTTGAAAGCTCCACTACCATGGTATTAGACAATATAAGATCGTTATAAGAAGAACATATAAACTCCACTGCCAAGATACCATGGCAACCATGGAAGATCAAATCTATACAAATCGACATATTACCATGGAATATTACTATAGTTACCATAGTTGAACCTGGAAGAGCCTACTATTTATGAATCAATACTGGTTGGTGGTTTGGAACCATGGAATTTTCATGGACTTTCCCATCATATTGGGAAGAGATTTTCCCCAACTGACGATTCGTCAGTCATATTTTTCAGAGGGCTTGGTGGCTCAAAACCACCAGATTCTGGTTCACCGATTTCACATCCCAGGACCAGGATTCTGCTTGGGAGCCCAGGATTCACCAACGGATTCGCGATCTTCGCGATCTTCGCGATTCGCGAATCACCAATTTGTTAGGAAAATGATCACAGAATTGATGGGATGGAAAAACTGGGATGTTTTTTCTGGGATTTCACCTTGCGCTAACTTGACTTCGTTCGATGTGGAAAAGCCATATGACTTGGACCCTGCTGAAAATGATCGGAATATTTCTGGCGGTGTTCCTCATTTGTTTGTATGTTTACTGGAGGATTTTGTTGTTCTTTGATAAATCTGATGTCATCATGCAGGGCGTAGATACTCACCAGCTATCGTGCAAGTTGTCCTAAGATTGGCCATGGGATTGGCCATGGTGATCTTTCGTTACCGTGTGTGAAGTGCACCAAGGGGAATTGGCCATAGGTTGATTTCAGAACCAAAACGGCAGGAAAATCTCGTTGCGCATAAAAGCCAGAATAGCTGGTTGGTGCTTTGGAGCATGACTTTTATTTTCCCATATATTGGGAATGGAATAGTCATCCCAACTGACTTTCAGTCCATCATTTTTCAGAGGGGTAGGGCTCAACCACCAACCAGTTATATAACCATATTTAATAAGCATATACTATAACCATTATCCACCATTATCCATAGAATTGGATGATGGGACAATTTACAGGAAAGCCCTATATTTGATGGTAAAAACCATGGTTTCCGGTTAAGATTTTCCCTTAAACCAACCCAATGAATTATCCATCTATTATCCACATATTTTCCCGCAGGTCCATTATCCATTGGAGCCTGCACTGACTTGGCGAATCCTGGGTCATCTCAGGTCATCCCCCGATTCGAATGTTTAACGATAGTGATGTGATTCAGTAGCCCATAAAGGTGTTGTTTTATCATGGTTCAATGGGAGATCTCCAGGATCCTAAAAAGAGGTACGTTAGTACCATATTTTTGGCCAAATTTTGGGGGTATCTTCCCTGAAATTTAGGCCTTATATATGGTAGGTACCTCCAATTTAGGTTCCTGAAATGGCCATTGAATGGTAGAGAACTGTAATGAAAAATTGTACACACTTAGAAATAACCCCAGGAACCTTTAGGTCATCTAACCTCATGTAATATACCCTTTGGTAAACTCAGCTATAGCTATTGAAAAAAATGCCCATTGATTGTAGTTCGTTGATATTTACCGTTCTTAAACAAATGGTGATATGTTCCATTGTTTTTTTTGTATGTTTACCAGAGGGTACCCATCCAGTTGTTGGTTAATGCCAATTTATAGTTGATTTACCTCTTAAACATGGTGATGTTCTTCGCAAACTGTAAACGTTTACCCAGAGGGTATACCATCATTAAACCATCATGATCAATCATGATTATCACCATCCATTCACCACTATTGACCATCCATTCACCACTACCAGCCATCATTAACCATTATATTAACCATTATATTAACCATTATATTAACCATTATATTAACCATTATATTAACCACTATATTAACCATTATATTAACCATTATATTTACCATTATATTAACCATTATATTAACCACTGTTTTCACCATGATATGATCAACCATCATTAACCATTATATTAACCATTATATTAACCATGATTAACCATTATTAACCACTGTTAACCATGATATCCATTAACCATCCAGTAACCATCCATTCACCATTCTTCAGCAAGGTCTATACCTTCTTCAGCTCCGTCTCCTGCAGCAACGCCGATACCTTGGCGTGGGCCACGCTGCGACGCGGCAGCGATAGCAGCTTCATCAACAGGCGCGGCGTAGCGAAACGACGAAACGTTACGCGGGTCGTTTCGAAGGTCCAAAGATGGGAAGATCACTGGGAAAAAACAGGGGAGTTGTATGAGTTCTATGGATTTGTTGTTTGTGGAAACATTGACTTACTTGTGCTAAACGTAGGGAATGAGGGAATTATCCACAATAACTATCAATAATCATCCCATTCCCCCATTCCCATCCATTCCCTACTAAGCATCAGCAAGTTGATGACACATGATGACACATGATGACACATGATGACACATGATGACACATGATGACACATAGTTTTATTCAATGGTGATGCAGTGATGATGGTGATGTTGATGGGAAACATATTGTTTTCCATGTGGAATTCTAAGGGGGGTCCATTTATTTTTGGGGAAATGCTTGGTAAATGTGCCAAGAATCCATGAACACCGGGGATTGTGGTTGCCCCATGGCGCTGGGCACGAGGGATGTATGGGTGGAATTCTGATGCACTGAACATGAATTGAGAACCAACAAAAAACTCTTGACATGTGTGAATTTGGTAACTTTATGTAACTTTATGTAACTTTAGTAGAAACAAAATTAAAGACATCGCCATACTTTTGTGTTTCTATCACCATGTTTGTTGGAAACTTACTTACCCCTTGTTTTGGGTAAACAACCGTGACTCCTGTGGCTAAACAAAGCAATTTCATTTGGCTGATGGTTTCCATTGTTTTTTGTTGTATTGTCAACAAATTGGGCTGAGGGAGAATTGGAGGGGCAGATGAGTCTGAGATTTTGAGATGACTATCTGGTTGGTGGTTTCAAACATTAATTTTATTTTCCATTTCATATATTGGATGTCATCCTTCCCATGGACGAACTCCATCATTTTTCAAGATGGTTATTGCACCACCAAGCAGATTATTATTAACCATCATTAAGCATATAATAACCATTATTAACCATTAATATTAACCATTATTAATCACCAACCAGTCATCATTTGAAATATGCAAGGACCAGGACGTAGCTTTGACTTTGAGTTACCTATGGTGACCTCCCCAGGCTCACAGCCGCCGGCACGGGCTTAACACCCTGCGGTCCCTTGGTTTGCCATGGCGCCCTGCCGGTGTGCCACCGAAAACTGGAAAAAAATGGAAACTTTTTTTATGAAAAATAGGGTTTGAGCGGGATTCATCATAGGGAAGACCCAAGAAAAATATAGAAACATGGGACTTGAATACCATGCTTAAATAGCCGTGAAACATGGGGTTTCACCATGGTTTCTGCATCAAAGCATGTGGTTTTGTTGCATCGTTAACCACCGGACGCTGGGACTTGACCAAGCGTTTCCAACTGCAGACACCGTTGACTTTGAACGGGAAATCCAAGGCAACATTTTTTTTAAACTCATATTTTTGTTTAGATTTAAATTTGGGGTTGAAGTCACTGAAAAGGGTGATGACGGAAATAAGAACTATAAAAAATCGAGGATTAGCGGTGACCATTTGCACAGGTTTTTGAACATAGAACCAAGAGGCGATGAAACTGAGAACAATAGTATAGTTCAAGGGAGACATCTGAAGATTGAACCAACTGACATGGGAATGAAACCCCGGTAATTAGATTCCCAATTGAGTTGTGGCCAAGCATACCTTTTAGGTACGTTTGCAAACCTTGAGTACTTTCGTGTGCGAAATAGCTGTTTACCAAACAAAACTATGGAATATACAATCAGTACATCATCCCGTTCGATCATTCCATTAGTAATGATCTATGCCCTAGTATTGTTTGATCATTCATAGTATTTATGTATTTCTAGCGATGTCTATTGCATTGATGTATAGTCATTTCATTGTATTGATAGAACTGAATGGAATTGTTGCAATGAATTAACATTTAGTACATATAACAATTAACTATTTTTAACACTGCTAATTCAACATTAATCCATTGTAAATATGTACCATTCTATAAGATTCCGACAATGGACCACTCAACGAGTCACCGTTTGTCAACGAGTCCCCTTCTGCAGCAGAAGCGCCTGGGAGTTCCAAAATGTCTAGGGAAACATTGGGAAACCATTGTCTTTTGCAATATACATTATTATTATTATACATTTATAACCATATATATATTATCAATATTATATATATAACACTCTTTCCTGTACGATGTACAAACAAAGTACGCTGTGAAAACAAAAATATGGGACTTGTGAGACTCAGCGCTGTAGGTCTGGTGAATCTGGCGCTATTCACCGCGCGGCGACCTGGGGATGTCCTGGGGATGTGGCAATAAGGGCGGTGACCAGCAGATATCATCTGGTTATTTGGTATGGAACATGGATGAACATGGCCTTTTTATGGATGATAAACATGACGACCTATAAAGAATGATGATTTTCTATAGCAAACTGTTAGATCTGTTAGGTCAACAAAGGGTATCATCTCACTGACAGTAGGGAATTTCTTCAACATTCAAAGAGCCCAGAGCTACAGAGGGTCGAGGCTGCGTCAAACGAATAGTTCACCCGTTCATACCCATTCCATGTTTCGGATCATATTGTATGACTATTACCCTCTGGTAATCAAACGTGGCAATGGACATTTTCCTATAAATGCATATTTAAATGGGAATATGGTCTATCAATGGTGGATTGTTAATTGCCATGTTTGATTACCAGAGTTTATTTATATACATACATATATATTGTTAAGTTATCTGGTGATGCTGGGCATTGTAAATTTCTAAGCCCAACATCATAAACCATCCCTAGTTCTATCATAAATCAGCAATCAAGAGTCAAGGTTTATTGGTGGTTTGGAACATTGTTGATTTTTCCATATATTGGGAATAGTGACCCCAACTGACGAACTGATATTTTTCTCAGAGGGGTAGGTATACCACCAACCAGTTGTGTTTACGACACAAATAGCAAGCAACACTTATTCGGAACATCCCAATGCACCCAGCGAAGAGGGCTGCCGAAATCTCTTATAGATGTTTTAAACCCATCCACCTATATATCTTGGATATAAGCATGGTTAATAAGAGTTTATCATGATCATCGGACATATCTATATATCCATGATAAACTCCAGTTAACCTTCTTAATCTTCCACCAGCTATTAGCTATTTAGTTGCCTTTCTTTGGTGATTTACAATCCCAAGCTTTTTTGTTGAATACCAATCTATGCGCTGAGCTGAGAAATCCCCCATTTTCATGATTTTTTCCCATTCACATCATGTTCAAACCTCCAGTAAAATGATGGATTTTTATGGATTTTTATGGATTTTCCCATGGTTTTCCCATGGATTTTCCCATGGTTTTCCCATGGTTTTGCACCTCCATGGCGCCTCGGGCATGGTCGGCTTTTGGCCAGAAACGCAACGAGGATTCCTACGCATTGGAACGGCAGAACTCCACGGCGTGGGAGGCGCGCAAGCGTCATGTTTTGAAGTGGAAAAATATGGGGGTTTTCATCAATGGTTACCCTCTGGTAATTTAACATAGCTATGGAAAATCACTATTTTTAATGGGAAAATCCACTATAAATGGCCATTTTCAATAGCTATGTTAGTTTACCAGAGGGTATCAATAATGGTTAAGAATGGTCTAATTATAGTGGCTAATAGTGATTAATGATGGTTATAACTGGTTTTCATCAATGGTGATGAATATATCATGCTTTTCATAGCCATGACGGATCCTAACGGTGCTGCTAGAAATATGGTGCTCCAAGGATCCCATCAATATACCCCCTTTATGTTAGTATATATATATATACCAGCACCATGGATCCGTCATGGGATAGTGGCTAAGAAAGTGAGTTTCATGATGGTCATAACATGTTATAACTTATAACTGGTGATTTCTATCGGATTATACTTTCCATAAATCTGGGAAATCCACTATCAATGGAGTTGTTTAATGGGAAAATCATCTATCTGCACCCAATTTATATCATCTTGCCAGATCCATCTCGGCTCTGTAATATAATATATATATAACGGTGATAAATGGTGCTTGATAATGGTTAATAATGGTTTAATTATAGTGGCTAATAGTGATTAATGATGGTTATAACTGGTGATTTCTATGGGATTATATGTATATATATAATATACATCTGGGTAAATTATAACGACCGAACCCTGTTCTCCCGAACCCTGGAACCATGGTTTATTTTAGGGGAATCATCCCAACATGGCCGAACTATTCAGGTTAGTATAGTTTAGCCAGATAAATGGAGGTACCCCAATAGCTGCATGGTTTATTTCATGGAGAATTCCACCGATCAACGGATGATGAAACGGGGTACCCCTATGACTTAGGAAACCTTCATATGGGACAATCATCTGGAAATAATAGGAAGATATGAGAAACATGTGGGAAGATATGGGATAATCATCTATAAATGGATTTTTTTCCATTTGCCAGCATGACTTCGGGGTGGGATACCAAGACTTTCATGAGTCTTGGTCTGGAATCCCGGAGAAATTGGTGGCTTTATCATGATGCTTGACATCCCAAAAAATGTGATTTACCCTCTGGTAAACTGTCCCATAACTATGGTTTAAATCACCATGTTTAATGGGAAAATCCACTATTTTTATGGTCATTTTCAATAGCTATGTAAGAAATTTCCAGAGGGTAAAGGGATGATCGGAATTGCTTTGAAACTGCCTTTGTGACTCGTTTTTCACCTGTCCTTCTGAAAGAGGTTTTTCTCGCCCAATTTTTGGGACTTGCATCGCAGCAATTTTTAAGGAGTCCGAGTAGATCCAAGTTATTTCTCTGTTTTTCCTGTTTGATGCGGCTAAAATACGGTACCCAAAATGTTACATGATCATTGCCTGTTGTCCCACTATGATCCAAGCGTTGTCGCTTGGGGAAAATCCCGCAAAAAAGCAAGATGTGCCATGGATGCCATGGTCAGCTCGCTGGATTTAATCCTTATAGTTGCGGACGGTCATCAATCCAGCAAATAGGAACATATGATCAAGTATATTTCTATTATAATGCAGTTATGATATCATTCCAATTCTTGGATATATGACCATACCCATATATACATCCATATACTATGTTTTTTGACCATCTATCGGTTGTATCTCCAGAATTGTCCCCATGCTATTTATATATGTTAGTATGATCCCCATATTGAACCCATTATATGTCCATTATATTGCAATATGTTTATAATTGTTTATAACTATCCTAATTATCGTCATATTTCCAGGCTTTTGTACAAAAGGTGAGGCCCCATATTTGGCTAACTTGCTCTACAAGTATGATAACTGGGGACAACTTGAGGTTATAGTAAACATGTTAAAACACGAATTAGTAGATGGGCCAATGGGTTTAGAAACCCACCAACATCACTGATAAAGCCCACCTTGTATCCCACAAGAACCATAGGTATTTTTCCTCTATTTCAACGGCAGGCCGTCAGCATTGATTCCAGCAATGTGGCGTGGAGCAGAGATCAGTACAGTTTCGAGAAAGTCTACGAGGAGCGGCCTGGAGATGAGTCGGAATGCCTCGGTGCTGTGGGGAATATGATGAGGAATATAGTTAATATATTTAATATAGTCTATATTTATTCCCCATCAACATGTATTCCTATTAACCAGTTAACTATATTAACATAGTCTATATTTATTCCCATCATATAGTTAATATATTTAACCATATATATTCTATTCATAGTTAATATAGTCTATATTTAATCAACCATTATATGGAGCTGAGTCTAGCCTGGTGATGAGGAATATCATGGTGATGATTCATGGTGATGGCGAATTCCTGTTATGATGGGGAATATGATGGGACATATTTCATTCATTCTAATATCATTGATGGGGAATATGATGGTTAATATGGTGACTATAGGGGCTCAGACTGGAATAGAATAATAGAATGGGAGAATCAACTCTCATTGGTGTACCGTCTGCTTATTTCACATAGCCATGGAAGCCATAGCCCTAATCGAAATAGATGGTTTACCTATGTTTACCTATTAATAGCATGGTGATTTTCCATTTCGCTATGTTAGTCATAACCAGATGGTGAAATGGGCTTTTACCCTCATCATCATCCGCTGGAAAATTCCCACGTTTTTCCATGGTGGATTTTTCAACAATTGCCACGTCAAGTGACGTCACGGCACGTTGGGTAATGGGGAAGTCTGGTAAACTGTCACATAACGAACTGGAAAGATCCACCATGCTATTGATGAGTAAATCTTCACTATGGAAAGATCCACCATGCTATTGATGAGTAAATCTTCACTATGGAAAGATCCACCATGCTATTGATGAGTAAATCTTCACTATGGAAAGATCCACCATGCTATTGATGAGTAAATCTTCACTATGGAAAGATCCACCATGCTATTGATGAGTAAATCAAACAACTATTTCGACTGGGCCATGGCTTCGTTTTTTGTATCTTTAGTCTGAGGCTATAGTCTGGATGAATTCCACTGCCCGAATTCGAACGTCACTGGAATGGCTGATTTTTTCAGCAACTTTTCAGGTGAATGATTATAGATCAGCTGGAATACAGCAAGGATATAAAAACTGAGTTTATGTCATATTCAATATTCTTGGTGGTTTCAAAGATGTGTGTAGCTAGTAAGAACCAACCATACATGGGGGTTTTGATGAGAACATGTTTTTTTGAATGGGACATCCATAGTTATTCATGAGTCAATGGGATATGTGTTTCATCGTGGCTTCAAGTAGCTATGTATTGTTTTTTCCAGGTCAAACAGGTCAAACACGTCAGTATTTGTCTTCTGGGATTTGAAACCTTAAAAACAAGGAGGGCGCCGGACTGCTTGTTATGGATATTTTCTTAGCGCAACCTTACACCTAGGTATTTCATGTGTTTCTAGCCATAACAAAGTTCAAGAAGGAAAATTCATATATCCCAAATCCAAAGATCGAGTTTTTGTTGGGCTTCAACATTAGCCATTGGCCAATGGAAAATCCATCAATTTCATGGCCTCAGCCATGAGGCTAGGCAGATGTTGTTTTCGACATGATGGTGCTAACGAATGATGGTGCTAATGATGGTGCTAACATGACTTGGAACACCATGGGTTTTCAAACAGCGTTGCACCAAAAAATCTACCATAACTGGTACATTTTTCACGTGGCAACTGAGAGGAATTCCCCGCCCCGAAATGGAGGATTGACTCCGAAAATCCGTTGTGATGTGACCGTCAGGACCAGGGGACCGTGTACCTGGCGAATGAACGGGCGAGTTGGCTACCACCCGAATGGCTCGAACATTGGAAGGTGCACATGTTCCGCTGGTGAAACATACACTACTCATTCATATTAGATAGGTCAAATCATCTTAGTTCCCTGATGTATCCAATTTCAATATGGTGAAACAAGGTTAAACATATATTCTTTAGAATAGATGATCTCCAACAAACATTTGAAAAAACATAAAAACACAATGAAACACACATGTTTCTCATATATTATTCGCACTACACGGATGCTCTAGATTTTCTATATGTGTGTAGGTCTTCCCAAATGTCAACCATGCTTTCTCCACCGTTTGAAACGCCACCGGGGCGTTTGCGCCCGGACGCAGGTGTGGCAGCGGACGCCACCTGGCCAAACGGTCCGAAATCTTTGGGGCGTCGTCGAAGGCGTGTCACTGGGAGCATCCTCTTCAAATCCACTGGAATCAGCATATCCCCAGATTTTCCCAGAATTGGTAGTGAAAAAATGCATGAAACCCCATATCTAAAGGTACCCCAAATGCTCCATGAATATGCGAACCAACATTTGCCATAAAATTGGCCAAATGTAGGTAAACAATACCATACATGGAGCATATGGGAAATGGTGAGGAATCACTATGATCACTGTTTTAAATTCTCAAAAAAAACACGGTAGAACATCGTAGTACCCAGACAGAAAAGTAGGAAGACACAAACCAAAAAAGATAAAGTGTGAAACAAAGGAAAAGCATCAGGAAAGAAGAGTCAACAAGGAAAGAAGAAAGCAAAAAACGAAAAAAAAAACAAAGAAACGACAAAAGCGGATCTGGGATGAGTCGAGCCTCCATATGTTGCATCTTAGCCAGAAAAACTAAAGAAGGCAACGCCACACCCATAGTAACCAACCCGTCCTGTTAATTACTTACCTTTTTCTCGTGTGTTATGATGTTTTTTTGGAGGTTTGCTAGCAAATATAGGGATTGGATGGGATCATTCACGATGTTATTGGCTATTCAATGGCTATTTACTTGGAAAACAGGGAGGTTTACCACAGATGGACATGTTGATGGGCAATTTATCCCAATTTCTGATGTGATACTAGGGGGTTCTCAACCGGAATGGACAAGTCGCCTGGGTATGAAGCCAAGCATCAAAGCCATGGGCGCATGGCAATATGCCAATGGAAAACAAACAATTGATCGTTGATTTTCCCAGCGGACTAAACCTCCATTCTTGATAGGGGTTGATAGCTGCGGCCATGTTTGATGAGGAGAGTAATCAGCAATAAGTGCTTTGTAGTCTTCAAGGTGTGTGTTCTACTGGCCAATCCTAGATAGGCCCCTGCAGAAGAATTCACTTTTTAGGTGGTTAATTTAGCCTACTCCCTGGTAATCTATTTTTGCCATGGAAAATCACCATGATTCATAAGTAACTGATTTACAAGCCGCCCAGGTTCCATAGCTATGTTGGATTACCAGAGGGTAACCCCATGTACTGCACAATGATAAAGTTTGCATGGCTAGCCATGGCTAGCCATGGCTAGCCATGGCTAGCCATGCAAGGTTGACCCAACTTTCTGGTAGTTCGGAAATCATTTACTTTCCATCGGTAAATCATCAGATTTCAGAAAAACTGCTTGGACTACTCCCGGGCGTTGAGCCAATTTCTTGGAGCTCATAGTTTTAGACCCCCAAAATGAATGGTTGCACTTCATGTGGCTCATTTTAACTTGATGTCTTTATGCATTACACTTGTTGTGGTTCGAAGGGGGTTTGAAGTACTTCAGCTGTTTTGATATTTTTGAATCGGGGATTTATCTGATTGAGGACAATGATGGGCTTTTCTGATAGCTTGTGACGATTTATGATCCCAATTCCTTCCTGTCATGAGGAGCCAGATGGAGTTTTGCCCGCCAGAATGTCACATCAATATGGACACTCCAGAATTTATAGATTTATAGTCTGGTTGGTGTTTAACGCATCTTTAGTTTTCAACTCTTTTCAACCCTAGAAATGGATACAAATGGGAGGATGCTCCCAACTGACGAGCCTTTCTTTTCTGGGGGGTTGAACAAGCACCAAGCAATACTGGTTGGTGGTTTGGAACATTTTTTATTTTCCCCAATAGTTGGGATGATGATCCAATCTGACTATATCTGACTAATATTTTTCAACGGGGTTGAAACCACCAATTAGATTATTAATCATCATTAACCATATATTAACCGTATATTAGCCATATATTAACCATATATTAACCATATATTAACCATATATTAACCATATATTAACCATATATTAACCATTATTAACAGTTATTAACAGTTGAAACCACCAACCAGAATATCATTGTCTTGGGAAAGCTGATGGCTTTTCAATACGTCGATGTCCTCCAGGAGGCCTTGCCAAAGGCAACTATAGGCGGCTCCGAAACTGGTGGTCGACCCAAGGGTGTTGTAGCTGGATATCTTGTGAAATATCACTAGACTATGGTCATCTAAAGCATTCTACATCTTATGTAGATTTATGTAGTATATATATATATGATTATATAATTACATTATATATATATATTAATTCCACATATATATATATATGTATGCATATATATATATATATACACATAGATGATATATACTGATATATATATATATATACATGATAAATAACTGTGTATATATATATATATACATATTATAAAACATCGTTGGCTTGCTTCTGAAGCCACCTTGGAACCTCCTTCTGTCGGCCAGATGGCTCTAGCTGGCAAGCATTCAAAAAAGCCATCGAGGATTGGCTGCCAATCAATATGTCTATCCTCTGGATTTGCTGAAGATGATATCTTATTTTTGAAATGTGCAATCCACTACTTGGGGAATCTATAGAGAATATGTGTTTTCTTTGGGGGTTTGGTTCATGAAGCAAATCCTCCCGTTAACCCTCTGGTTATTTAACATAGCTACGGAAGCCATGGCCCGGCCTCGTGATAAAAAATGATGGTCTACCAATTGGAATATCCAGAGGATATACGATAAATAATGGGATATAAATAGGTAAATCAAATCTGCATGGGTCATGTTTGAACGCTATGTTGATTTACCAGAGGGTATATGATTTGGGGTTTCCAAGTCTTGCATCCAGTATGTTTGGTTGGAAGACACTGCGATCTCGCTGGGATTCACATACCTGATAACATACCCTTAATCACACATTAAACATGGTTTGCTGAAAGATCCCCCGATTTTCTTTGAGTTTCCCCATTATTTTCTCATTAACACAACCCCTCTTTTTTCGCACGTTGAACATGGGGGTTTCCCAGCGATATCAACGATGCAGCTGGCGCCAGGATTAACTTCTTAGAAAACAGTCCTATTTGGGAAGAGCTTCTTGGCGACGATGGCGGGGGAGATGAAGATGACTCCTGTTGAAGAGAGTCAATGTCGGAAAAAATAGTATGAGATGTTTAAGGCCAAAGGTTCAAACGGAAGTATGTATGTTAATTAGATTATATATAAATATAATTGCATATGTATAGATTTTGACTACAATATCTATGGCGGATCATGTAAAACAGTTCATACATAAAGAAAGTCACGCCGGTGATAGCGGCGGGTGTTTTTCAGCTTCGCACGCAATAGTCATTGTGTCAAGAACTAATAGCGTGTTGGAAATTAATTACTATGTATAGGAAGTGCAACAACGTAACATCACGAGAGTGTTGGAAATTACCATAAGAAGTGCAACAACATAACATCACGAGCGTGTTAAAACGTTCTTCTCTTCATAGCGTAGAAGCAAGATCGTGTTGGATATTACTATAGGAAATGCAAGACGGAGAATCAAAGAACGCAGACGATTGAACGCTATTAGCCCCACCCCCCCCACCCCACACCATGCAAAAGTTTCCATGAACATAAATAAAATATCAACATCATCAACATCTGAAAAGTCCCAAAAACACTAAGTTCCTCAGCGCCGCCATCCCCGGCGTGAGCATCAACAACCGTATATGTATATACAGTATATATATATACAGTATATATATATACCCTTATACATACATGTCTATAATTGTATATACAATGATGATATATATATAATATATATATATATATACACAATTGGAATGCATATAGACACACATATTTGTGCTCTTTGTTGTCCAAATCCATGATGTTGATGGTACCCCCATGGGCCCCAAACCACTGGAGTAGCTGGGCAATCGAGTGCCAGAACGGCCGGGTCAATGGGCTACCCCAATAAAAAGGGTTAGGAACTGATTGGCAATTTATGATATTTGCGTAGTTTGAAACCATGAGATTCTAGGGTTCCAGATTTTGAAACAATCCCACATGGTCTTGTTTTCACTTCATGATGGTTCTTTCTGTCCCTTCCCCCTCAAAAAACCAGTAAATTGGGACTTTGTGTTGGATATATTTACCATAGGTTCAGCAAAAAACCATTGTTGTTTGAGGTTGACAGCACCTATCTTGATATCAATCCAATGCATCTGGCTCTGGGCTTCTCGGTTTCTCCTGACAATGGCATCTTTTGCCCCCCTATATAGTATCCCATAAACAACATCGTTTGTAAAACCCCATCACTTTCACGGCCACCAAAAATCACGACTTGGCTTTCACCAACGGACGCCGTCCCCTCGTTGAGGTGGGGGGTGCCTGAGAGAAGACTTATCCTCACAGGCCAGACGCACGGTTGAGTTGGATGTCTTTAGTGGACATTTTTGGGGAAATTCATCATGTATAATATCAATGGAATATTGGGTTATATAAAGTTATGTATACATATATCATATATATATATAATTATATATATAATGGATGAAATTTACTGTAATGAAATTGGGTTATATTATAATATGATTATGAGACCTTTTGGTCATTTCGCAGTGATGAATGCAGTGTGCGAAAACTGGAAAACGATGATTTTTAATTGGGAAATCACCCAAACTAAATTACCAGAGGGCGTCATCCAAGTTGATCGTTGGCGTTTTTTTTTCCCATAGGGAAACACCAATGGTTTTGGATACCGCAACTCTACAGTATTTTGAAAACACCTACACACACAAATGGATTTGGGAGTATCACTCAGCATTAAGTTCAGCACAGGTTCAGATATTTTCCTAGATGTTTGTATGCCTTATATATAATAATAATAATAGTAATAATAATAATAATTAATAATAATAATAATAATATATATATATATATCTAAATGGGGAAATGGAATGAAATAGACTATCGCTCAGCTGAAAATCAGCATCTTTTTGCGCATAGAGATGTCAATGGGGTTCCCCAACCACCATTGGACCCTAAAAAATTCGGAGGAATTTGGTCAATGGATTGATCACCAGCCACTGGGAAGTGGTGCAACTATCCAACTGCAGAAGTGGACAAGCAAAATTGCTGGTTACAGTACCGTAAGTAGTTTCAGATATACAATGCTTCATGGAGCATGATAATCCCCACGAAATATCGGCTAGTAGAATATAATCCCATACAATAACTGGTTGGTGGTTTGGAACATCAATTTTAATTTTCCATATATTGGGAATAATCATCCCTACTGACTTTCATATTTTTCAGAGGGTTTGAAACCACCAATCAGAGTAGTAGTTTCAGATAATCAGATATATCATGCTCCTCCTAAAAACAGCATGTTGATCAAAAATGAGTTGCATTTATCCAAGGGTTTTGAATATGACACAGCAGAAGAACAAATGTTTAATAACATTGTTTGACCATATTCATAAAGAAACAGTTATCACATCATCATATATTCCTTCACGTAAGGTCGTGGTTTTCAAAAACAACAGCAGCAGCAACAACAACAACAACAGCAGCAACAGCAACAACTTTGCAATCAAACATATAACTACCAACTATATCCAACTATGATTGCAATTACATTCATGGTAGTGTCTTTGAATTGGGTATACCGTATACGTATACCCCAAAATAACTATACTACTGTAACAGGAAATTTATGATCAACCATCCATTTTGGGAGTATTCTCCCTAAATGTTCGACAAACCGGCACGTTGCTTCATAACCGCATTAACTAGTTCGATATATCTGCCATTCACCACAGTTATCTACAACCATTTACATTGGTATTGCCATTGTTGGTTATATCCCATTACATGTCTCCATTAATATCCATTAATTCATAGGTGTTTTTCCTTTCTTTGTAGAGGATGTGTCCATTGAAGCCCCGTGAAATCCCATTCAGATCAGCACATCTCCCATCAAACTGAGAATCAAGACCCCCAAATCTGGCAGAATCTGACATTTTTTCCAAAAATCTGGCATAATCTGGCATAGTCTGACATTTTTTCCCAAAAATCTCTCAAAAATCTGGCATAATCTGGCATAATCTGGCCCGTTTTGCCCACCTTTTCCTCTTCAGAACTCCATCAAGACAGCCAGGCAATCCCTCGTGGCTTGGGAACATAGGTGCCATGCAAACCTTAGCAGGTGCCGTGGGCGGCCGACGGTGGTAGATATTTGGATCAGTGTGAAATCTCCATGGAAATCCCGGTATATTTCACATGATCCATACATTTACATGATCCAGTGGATAGTATGTATTTACAGCCACTAGTGGATAGTGTAAATATCACTGAAATATCGGTATAAAAACCATCCGTATTTACCATCGACTACTGTGTCTGGTGGCTCCGGTGCTGAGATATCTTAAGGGACTTTGTTCAGGAATCAAGAGTGAATAGGACGTAAACATAAATAGCTCCAAACGGTTGAAGCTTTGCGGTTGAACGGTTGAACATGAGTCCGGAAGTGGGTGATTCGCCATATGAACAACTCACAGCAGGTTACATTCGAGTTACATGTGCAATATCCTCATTGATTCAATCGTGTATTTATGGCTTATGGCTTCGCGTAAGCGAAGTAGCAACTGGTTAGAAATCAATAGATTAATCCAGGGGACTTAACGCCAGACCAGTTGACAGTTCGCCTCTGGTAAACATTCACAGTTTGCGAACTGGAAAATTGCCCAGTCGAAATCGTTGATTTACCCATTAATAATCATTAATAGCATGGTGGATCTTTCCATAGCTATGTAAACGTTTACCAGAGGCTAAACCACCATCAATCCCCATTAATCACCATTAACTATCATTTTTTGTATGTTTACCAGAGCGTACCCTCTGGTAGTTTGTCACATAACCATCTAAAGCTATGGTTAAATCTGTGGGGTACCGCCCCAATTCTACAATCAACCAGGGTTTATTAAGCCTTTTTTAGCCATTATAGTTCCATTCCATGTTCTATCATGGAACATAATTAGACAAACAGTGATAACATATATTATCATATATTTTCATATATTATCACATATTATCATAACATATATTAACAATGATAACATGTGTTTGTTGATATTATCATATATGTTATCCTTAAAATGTGAGGTAAAAAATAACCTCAACAAGTGATGCTTGGTTGATGGTCATCCAAAATATTGGTCGAGTTGCTGTGTGAAGCTATCCAGGAGTGTATCCACATTCCTGGGGAGCCAAGGAACTAAGAGTTTCCTAGTCACATGATGATGATGATGATAGATGATACTGTGAGAACTTGTGCAAAAAAAAGAGATACAATCAGTGCCGGGATAGTCCAATATGGGCAGCCCGTAGCCAATAAGCGGGATGACAGAAGACTCGGTTTGATTTCCTCGGTTCGAACAACGAAATCATTTGAGATTGCCATGACCGCACGAGGCTACTCAGGCGGTGGAATTGGAAATCCCTCTGGTAAACTAACATAACTATGGAAACTATTGGAAAATTAGAATGTTTAAGAGGTAAATCAACGAACATCAACGGGCCATGTTCAAAAGCTGTTCGTTGATCAGGCCGTTTTTTTTTGATCCTGAGTTCCTGAGATGCCACTATGATTGTTGGATTATATCCTGAATGTTGATATAATTTATAGATATTTATAGTGGCGCCATCCTTCTGATAGCCAATTTGAATTATAGCTAATTTGTACTTGGTGGCTCATCCCACTTAGTAAGTGGGTTATAACCCCAGTTATAAGTGGATTAACCCTACTTATCCCATTTATAACTGGGGTTATAACCCACTTACTAAGTGGGATGAGCCACCAAGTAGCCAATTTGATTGATAGCTATCATGCATGCATTTCATCATGGTTGATCAATGTTGATCGTATCCTTCTCATGGCCATATGCTGAATATGCTCCATGGTGCTGGAAGATTTACCAACATTTACCTTAGAAATGACCCAGTTTTGTAGGTAAATATACCATTAACCCCCAGTAACCCCCATTATTCCCCCATTAATCCCCATTCGGACTGTCAAGGTGCCATGTTCGTCTTCGGTAGCTGTGAGTGAGGGCCCTGGATCGCAACGAGACTTCGACATTTTGACAAAGACTGTATTTGTAAATCCTATATATGATGTATATATAATATAATAGTATATGAATGTATATTATATATATATACTTATTGAATATCTGGCATATAGATTTTAGCCGTTGGTGGATTCAAAGATGTTTCATGCTTAGTTGGGCTATTTAGGCTGATGGTAATTACCCAATTGACGAATTGCCTCGAACACATATGACCCTACAGCCAGTCCCTGTAATTTGCGAGTTGTTGAAGTACAAAAATGGCAAGTGTATTTTGAACATAGTGCCTTTGCAGTTTCATACAAGGTGGTGTCCCATAGTTAGCTAAGTTGGTAAACATAGCTCTAATAACTTGACTCAATGCTAGATGTATCATATATTACATTATATTACATACACACTAATTCATACCTAGGGGACAGCAGAATATGTAGATATGTATATGATATATATATATTTATATTATTTTATATTTAACAGTAATACTAATAGTACTTATGATAATAATTATCGATAATAATATCAATACATACTATATAACATATAACATATACAGAAACGAGCACTGTGAGCGTTGGGTTTTTGGGCATCCGCAACACATAATATATAATATATATAAATGATATATAGTATATAATATATGATGTATGATATATATATTATTGTATATAATATAACATTTGATTTTTAATATAAAACATGTAATGATTTATACAATATACAATTTATTCTATATGATATATGATATGAAATTTGTAATATTATATAATAACTAACAATACATAATAACAAATCATACTATATACAGTAATAATGATAATAATGATAATATCTACATGAGTCGCGACCACCAACCGGTTTTTTCGTTGCCTGGGGAAAATCTTGGTGGATTCCAAGGCTCATCTTGCTGATTTCGCTGGTGGTGCTCGTCTTTGTCCTGAAGATACAACCGGTGGTTTCCGCCACTAGACGCGGAGAAAAATGGAGAGCAGGGAGTTTGTTGGTCAGCAAGGAACCAGAGAGAACTTGGCGGACAAATCGGCCAACTACGCAATTTGATATAAGAATATATTATACGATATTATAAGATACAGATGACGCATATATTTTTCTTAGTGTGTGTGTGTGTCTGTGTGTTGAGGGTTGTAGTTAAATCTATGTACTACATAACAAACAGAACGTATTTTTTTTAGCAGGAGATCAACAAACAACCAGGTAGAGGACACCAAAAGAAATGAGTAACCGACAAAATTAGCGGAAGACTCAAGTAGTAGGAAGTGGACTTGGGATGTTCAACTTCGTGTGAAAACCTTCACAACCGATAGGGCACCACCCACTTTGGCCATATCCATTGCGAGTAAGTAATTTTGTCCGCCACTCTGAGGATAGATGATTAATCCATGGATTGTGAAAGCAGAGGCCACGTTTCGCAAAAAGGCAGATTTTCTGGGAATGCTGTTGCAGACTATGTTTTTTTTTGCCCTGTTTCTTCATGAACTTATAGCCCCCAACATGTCCTTTTGAATTTCCAGTGGTGTAGATGTATCATGATGTGAGAAAGCACGGTTTTGTATAATATTAAACAACATGATATTCTGGGTTTGCGTAATTTATTCGCACACAAATGAAGTAGTACTCGCACAAATTACGTAAATAATGGATGCTAGTTTTCAGATGTTTCATGCGTACTTACTCACTTGCCCTTCAAATATTAATCACATATACCCTCTGGTTATTTAACATAGCCATGGAAAGGTAAACCATCTATTTCTATGGGCCATCATTTTCCATGGCTATGTTACAGTAAATATCCAGAGGGTAATTTAATCACATTCACATTTACGTAGCTTTGTAAATCCACTAGCTCCCACCAACACGTGCGACGTGAGAGTTTTTTTTTCAGCGGCCCTTCAATGCAATGATCTTCACCGCGCAATGCATGTTTTCAGATTTTTTGATAAGTAATTACTTACTCACGCAAATAAATTTTAGAGGTTTGACTAGTACTCACACAAATAAATGATAGTTATGGTATGCTTATTTTGCAAATATATTCCATATCATCATATATCCCTATCACGCAAATACATATACATATTTCTCCATCAAATCCCTATCATATCCCTATATTATAGCCCCACACATATATGTATATACTATAACCCAGTCAGTATCAACCAACTTATATAGCTATAGTATGCTATAGTTGCGTCACTATTTGCACCCCACCATAGTTTTTTAATCCAGGTTGGCGAACGTCAGTAGCTCTGAGTCCTGAAATGAGGTAAGATCATTCATAGATATCATAGATCACCTGGAATATGCCCTGAATGAATCTGAATGATCTGAAAGGCTATACCTTTTTTTTGCCGCGGACAGCGCTTCGCTATGCTGCGCTCAGGACCCTGACCCTTCGCCACCGCCGCCCGCAGCGCAGATGGCGCCAGCGCAGATGGCGCTGGCGTCGCAGCGACAGAGGGAAGTGGTGCACTCCATGCGCGTGTGAGGCAGGCTTCAAAAACAGGTGAAAATCATGTTCAATCACTATAAGCATCAACATCGACCATCATTTATATATGGATCTTTTTCCAAACGGTTTCCAATGTTCATCGTTTTTTTCTGTATTGTCCCCAATTTGTTGATGAGTGTCGTTATGAAACAGTGAAGTGATACATCAAATCAATCTTGAATTTTGGGAAAGCCAGAAATCCATACGGTCTGATACGGTTGATGTTGATGATTGCCTTTTTTTAACCCAGCAGCGAACATGGGGATAACAATCTCACATGAGTATATAACGGCTTTTGTTAGCCATGATCTGGATGAATGATAATTGTTGCTCGATGGTTTTCCGTCACTGGAATGATGGGACGGCTGGATATGGGGAATCATCGCAAAATGCTTTCAGCGATAATTCAGCCAGAATGATCTAGCGGATCTACCATCTGGTTATGACATTCACAGTTCGCCATGGAAAGATCCACCCATTTTTAAGAACGGTATGGCCCATCTATTTCGATTAGGGCCATGGCATTTTCCATGGCGAACTGTTAGTCATAACCAGAGGGTAGCTCTGGTGATCCCCTTGGGTGGACGAGTTTGGGAAGATCCTGATTCAGTGGACGGCAGTGGAATTGGTTGGACTCCATGGTTGAACATAGCTAGAATTCTTAAGCGGTATACAATGGGTTGTGGTTGCTGCTTCAACTATAGTTCGCTAATGTAATTTTAAGACATGCATTTTTTTTTCGGTATGGGGTGATTCTTGCCATTGAATGATGGGAACCAATATACAAACATAGAGTATCATGGCGTTTGATGCAACAGATAATCGGATAAATATGGATATATACCCTCCTGTAAACATACAAAAAGAATGTGGAAAACCAAGCATGAATGTAGATAATTCTCCGAAAAAAAAAAAACACATTGGTTTTAACCACATCTTCTTGTGCGTTTACGGTTCATCAAATCCCATTTCTGATGACCAAATCTTGGTGAAAATCCCATGATCATCCATGTAAGTTACCCTCCGGTAAACTAACAGTTCGCCATGGTTAAGCCATGGCCCTAATCGAAATAGATGGTTTACCTATTCGAAATGGGTGCATTTTCCATGGCGAACTGTTAGTCATAACCAGTACTTGTAAGCCATTCTTAGTGTTGATTTTCCAATCAAAATCGCTGTTCCATACTTGTCCTACTTGGAGAATGGTCGTTTTTATTGAACAGCTTTGAGGAATCCAGAAGTGTCTATGGACAAAGATGACCCGCTTTCATATGGGGGTTTCGCAACATGGGGTATCCCCAATAGCTGGTTGAAAATACATCTATAAATGGATGATAACTGGGGGTACCCCTATTTCAGGAAACCTCCATATGTATTATATTGTATATAGTTATAATATGTTATAGTATGTTAATATGATTAATATACATAAACAATCATAGACACACAATGATACGTAGTAAACGATTACTATAGCCTAAACACCCGATTTCAATTATGAGTTTGGTATACTTCAAGGTATCTTTGGGCATTTTGCAACATGTTGATCGATCATTTTGTAACATCACCAAAATATATCAAAATTCAAATGTCTTTTCCAGTCGCAACGGTAGGTGGGGCGTCGTTCAGTCGCAGCCGCGCTCAAGTGACGCGTGAAGAATATGCAAATGACCAGAGCAAGCAGTTATCGGGTGGCAGTGAGAGTCAGCCACTTTTGGGTCGTGTTTTGGATCGTGTGGTAATCAAACTAGGAGGGCTGCTGCTGGGAAATCCCCTATCCGGCCCTATCGACTACATGGAGGTTTAGTTGGCCTCGAAGGAAATGGAAGGCCACGATCGAAGCTTCATGGAACATCTGGCTGCTTTCTCCCAAAGGCTCAATGCAAGGTCTGTGCATCGGCGGCCAGGAATGCTGGTCTATGAAGGGCCAGGCAATGCCCAGCAATGGAGAATTTGGATGAATTTGGATTGTTGACTCATGATCTAAGATTAGCAATTTGTTGCGGCGGGGCTTACTGTAGCCGGAGATGCTTGCTAACCTGAATGGATCAGGGTCTCAAACATCGGCTAGGGATGGATATTGTATCACCACCTCAGCACACCATGAAATAGCCAAATCTGTGTAGAGAAACATGGTTTCCAGGAGGCCACAACTCACAAACACTTACCCTCAGCGAAAATGGGATGGTGGCTAGTTTCAAAAGCTTCCCCCAGCAGATTCTGAATCCTATCGAAGCTGTCGTATAGACAGATCCCCTTTTTGTTACCCTCTGGTAAACTAACATAGCTATAGAAAATCACCATTTTTAATAGGTAAACCATCTACAAATGGGCAATTTTCCATAGCTATCTTAGTTTACCAGAGGGTAAAGTCCAAATTTCGTGGGTCAAACTCACATTGTTCGTTGGTGTTGTCTGTCCATGTGAAAGAGTTGGGTCCGATTTTCTGCTCAACTGGATCCATGGCTTGAAAAAATCTGATAAATCAGGGCATGCTTGAAATGTAATGGTTCGACATATATGGAGGTTTCCTAAGTCATAGGTCCTATTACTATAGGTGTACCCCCAGTAATCATCCATTTATAGATGGGATTTTCCATGACATAAACCATCCAGCTATTGGGGATAGCCCCAGGGACTAGTTGGAAACCCCCATGGCCAGAAACAACAGATCTGAATCCACAGTTTATGGTAGCTGTAACAAAAGAAGGTCGTTAGATGGGAGTTAGTTTACCAACTTTGGTCAATGGGAATTTCAGGAACCTAAATTCGAGGTACCTACCATATATATAAGGCCTATTTTTTAGGCCTAAATTTCAGGGAATATCCCCACAAAATATGGCCAAACATATGGTACTAACATACCTCTATTTTAGGATCCTGAAATTCCCATTGATTTGGGAGTTAGTTTACCAGTATACCAACTTATAAGGGGCCCCACTTTGTAAAGGATTTTTTGTGTCAGTTCTGCAAATCAGCCATTGGGGACAGCAGATTTGAGGATGGGAGAAGCTCCTGTGATGAAACATCTGTGTACCAATTGAATGACTGTACCATTTATGAATTATATCAATTGTGTTTCTTTTCCGGGGATTTTTTTTTGGTTTGTTTGATAGGGTAGCCACCAATTGTACGATTGATCAGAGTTTTCCATAGCATTACTATTATTACTATTATTACTTATTATTACTATTATTACTATTATTATCATATTATTATTATTATTAGTAGTATTGTATTATTGTCATTATTATTGCCTTATAGAACTGCCACAACGGGGAGCGTTTATGACATCAGACAGCCCGGGCCCAATATGTTTAGAGATCCAGAGACCATTCTCCTGGACGCCGGCCTGATGTGTTTCTTCCACGATGATCTCCCACGCTGAACGCGTGGCAAGTTGGAACGATGAGTCGCAACTTGTAGCCTGTTTCCTGGGTTTGTTCAAGGTGATGTTGTATTATGTTGTATTTACCGTGGCATATAGAATCTATAGGGAACGCGTTTTCTTTTTTTGGGGGGTTCTTTGAGCAAATCCAAGTTTTTGGAAAGTTGACGAGCTAAAAAAATCGTGGATCTCCGGTAATCAAACGTGGTTAGCTGGGAAATCCCCTGTTAATGGAGGTTTTCATCAGAAATTCGTCTAAACATAAATATCATAAACTGATGGATTTTCCAGCAAGCCATGTTTGATTCCCAGAGGGTACATCTCTTTGTCTCTCCAGGCTTCGTTACAGAAACACTCTGAAACATCGACTGAGACTTGCTGTGCCCATGTGTGTAAACTTTAGTAAACCTTGGTTGGGTAGTTTTATGATAGGCTCGTTTTTGTTGCCATCACTGGGAATATGATACTTTGCATGGTATCTATGATCGGCCCATATTGAAATCTTCTTCATATATTGGTAGGTTTTTTTTTGCCTCGCAATGCCGACATTGAATAATCATGAGAAACCAATGGCATTGGGGTTCCATTGTTTCATCTTGAATCATGTAAGTTTTTCAAGCATCTATTCACCGTCTTTGTGAGACAAAAAAAGAACATAAAAGTCCCAGATATGGATTTTCATGGATTTTCACGGTAAAAAACATGGGGTTCCACATGGTTCCACATCTTGAATTTGGGTTCCATAGTTTTCACATGAGTTTCAGTAATGTTAGTAAGCTAAGCACGCTCCACCGTCCCCAAAATGACCATGACCATGACTGGGTGGTTTCTCTATCCAGGATCCATATGGGTCCCTTGGGTGTCATTGCTGTACTAACATGAAAATTGTGATGATTAGCACCATGAATCACCATGATTATACTGAATGGTAATTAAGCTGTACACTGATTATTAAAGACATCTAGGCTAGGAAACCTGAAGCTCCGATTCTACCCAGTGTTTTCGCAGGAGATAAGTTGTCCTAAAGTGGAAAGCAACTGCGCAAAACATAAAAACACAGACAATGACTTGAGGGCTGAATCAATGACCCAAATGAGGAATTCACTCAGTTCAATCATGAATCTTGACTTGAATTTCGCCCAGTTGCCCTCATTTTCCACAGCGAACAGAAGCACAGGGCTACCTTGAAAGGGTAGCTGACTGTGAGCCGGTTGGTGGTTTCAACATGTTTCAACTACGTTTCATTTCACAGATACCCTCTGGTAAACTAACATAACTATGGAAAATCACCATTTTTAATGGGAAAATCCACTATAAATAGCCATCTTCAATAGCTATTTTGACATAACCAGAGGGTAGTTGGCACAACGGTTGAAGCCAGCGACACTTTGCCAGGACGCTGAAGCCGTTTAATCGGAACAACGGCAACGGTCGTGACTCCCGCGTTTTTTGGGACGCACGCTCTTCGAGTTGAATCGATGAGCCGGAAGGATTCGGCTGTTGTAAGTTGTACTTGGTGGCTCATCCCACAAATCGTAAGTGGGTAGTTCACCCCAGTTTTTTGAGTGGATTAACCCTACTTATCCCATTTATAACTGGGGTTATAACCCGCTTACTAAGTGGGATGAGCCACCAAGTAAGCAATGTAACCCGACAATGAACAGTCGTGGCAAGTCCATGTTTTATTCTACATAATCTACAACAGAGCTACATTAGACTTCTTCAATATGCTTTATATGTTTGGGGTTTTGTCATATCGAGCCTCACCCCATTGAAGCTGGTATCTAAACGTGACCCAAATCACCCAAATTGAGGGCAGGGTAGCTAAAGGTGAGGCCACCCAGTTACAAGTGGATTTATGAGAACCCATTAGCTCTAATATATAAACCCATTAGCTATATGTTTATGGTTAGTATATGTTAGTATATGTTAGTATATGTTAGTATATGTTAATATATATATATTATACTAACATATACTAACCATAAACATCCATAAACCATAGTTTAGCTATAGTTACAAACCAACTTAGCTATCTATGGGGGCGACTGTGTATGTTTATTTAATTGGATGTTCATCAGGTTCATCCTCCTTCCTCAGCGCAGGATGTCATGTGCTAGTGATCAATGGGGGGGATTTCAAACAAACAACTATCGAGACTGAACGCAGAAAAGCAGGGACATTGAGGCTAAGATCTGGTAAAGATCTGGGGAAGATTCGATCCAAGTTGCAACCTCAGCCAGGGATCTTTTGTCATCCCAACGCAACGGTGCGAACCAATGAATGCAAGCCTTTCAGAAGGCTCTGGGAGGATCGAGCGAGCAGAACCAGCTTTTCCGCGCGCTTTGACGAACAAATGCGACGAACAGCGGCCGTCGTGGTTTGTGAATCCACCCCAGACCATGGCAACGGGATTTCGCACAAAGGTCTTTTGCACATTTTGGCACTGCAAACAAACCTTCTAGCATTTTCCAACCAAAGCAAGGTCTTAAAATTATCCAACCAAACATCACCAAACATCACCCAAACATGACCAAACCAGTATCTTGTAACTTTTTTTTGGGCTATCAAATTTCAAGATAAACTTAACCATTATTTTTCCAATGATAAACCCATTGTTAGGCACTTTCGAACGAACGAACAGAGACTACTTAACCGATGATCCCTTTATGGACTCCGTGGAGTCGACTGAGTTCAGCCGTTTGAATTCAATCCAATTTAGATATATATATATACACATATATATTCATAGTTCAAGATGTGCCATTGAATAAGATTTATCATTTCAATATATTTCAATTTGAATTCTGAAATTCAGTTTGAGTCCTCGTTGTTTTGGCCTCTGAATTTCCCTTTTTCTCATTTCACTGCATATTTTCAACCTTCATCTCAGGATCTTGGTCCATGGCAATCCTTGCTAGGGCGATCATCTGGGCAGATTCCCTTAAGGGCTATTATTAATACATAATGGTGATTAATAACCCATAGGATCCATGGTGCTGGTATATATGCTAACATTTGGGGTATATTGATGGTAAATGTTACCATATATAGCATACATGGATCCTATGGGTAATGGTGAATAATGGTTAAAATCGTTACTAATAGTTGATTTTCATGATGCTTATAACTGGTGATTTCTATGGGATTATATATTATATATAATTATATATACATATTTGGGTCAATTATAACGACCTCACTGTCTTCCCTCACTGGAATGATGGTTAAGGGGAATCATCCCCACAATGGCTTTATTTCAGGTTAGTGAATTATTATAATTTACCCAAATATATGGGCATTTTTGGTTAACACCGGATGAGTCAATATGAACATCATCAATTTATAACATCTAAACACATTTCGATATATTTTGAGTGAAAAAGCTACTTAGCGGACAGGCCCTCCAATAAAGCCTCATAAACTTATTATCCCGCTTATCTTATGTTTAAATTAATATTATATAAATAATATGATATACAGTTAACTAAGTAATGCATGTCCAATCCCATTTCAACTATAGAACGGCAGAACCAACTTCAATGGTGTACTATGATTTACTATCTATGACTGGTTGGTGGTTTGGAACATCAATTTTATTTTTCCATATATAGGGAATGTCATCATCCCAACTGACTTTCATATTTTTCAGAGGGGTAGGTATACCACCAACCAGATTATTATTAACCATTATTAAACATCATTAACCATATAATAACCATTAATATTAACCATTAATATGGACCTTTTCTATGAACACATAGTATATTACCAACCAATGGTAGGTATACCACCAACCAGATGACCAATATCATTACTACATCGCGAGATGTGACCCTCGGATCGCCCCATCAAGTGGAGGTGATGGCGCAGAGAGCGCGGCAGCTGTTGCGGGTGCCCTTTGTGGAGGCGGCGAGGCAGGAAAATTAGGTACCCCTAATGGATGATGTATGGATATGATATGATAATCCAATGATAGATACTGTAATCATTATCCAATGATAGTGGATACAATGTTATCAGTATAATCATTGTAATCATTATAGTCATTATAATCATTATTCAATGATCATATAATGTATAATTATAATCATTATCCAATGATAATCATGCTACTTGGATACGCTTGGATATGATATTCAGGTAAAACAATGCCATGTTTACCATCCCCTAGTCATCAGCATTTCTACAGTTTGTAGTTTTACCATTCCCAGAATTTCCCAGTCATGGGTGGTGAAAATGGCATTGTTTTACCCACATTACTCCGAATGGATGATTGAATCATTTGGAGGGGCCCATTTTCAGACAACGCCACTTACGGTGATTTCACGAGAAAATGCCGAAAACAATGGTGATTGTACCAAGACAGACCCATCTAGACTTAGTTAATGTATGTTAATGTGATATACCATCTGGTTATTTAACATAGCCATGGAAAATCCCTGAAACAAATGGGTGTTTATAGCTCGGAAAATCATCTATAAATGAGCAATTTTCCATGGCTATGTTAAATAACCAGAGGGTACATGGTTTTACTGTACATGTTGTCATATGTTTTTTGTGGATGCGTTTGGTACCCCCATTTCTGATTTTGGTTTATTTCACATGGGTTAATCTCCAGTGCCATGTTGTTTCAATCCAGAGTAGACATCTCACATAATGGCCGATCTAGATGATAGTGTGGTGTTATTTAGTACATACCATCTGGTTATTTAACATAGCCATGGAAAATCACCATTTTTAATAGGCAAACCATCTATTATGTAAATCTATAAATGGGCCATGTTCCATGGCTATGTCAAATATCCAGAGGGTAGTAGATAATTGGTTCTTTAAATCGAAACCATCAACATTGCCTATTGAATACTATCATCGTACTAGAATTGCCACAGACCGCCCGTGATAGGATATGACATATAGCATTCATTGATATTCATTGTTTGCATTAGGTGGCCTATCACAAAACAATGGGTCATACAGCCATACCATGATACAACCATCATGATTGGGAGCTGTGTTTTTTCCTCTATCCCATATATCATATCTCTATATATAATATATATACAATTATATATACATATGTATATATATATGTGTATATTTGCACATATCTGTACACATATATATAATATACATATATTGTTCATATATATATATATATAACATGCATATGTATGGGATCTACAAAACCAGTGGGATCAATTCGTATGACGAAAAGCATGTTCTCCCAATGTCTCCCATTCGCTGCTCTTCATATCTCAATCGAGAGATCCCAACCGATGAACAATCTCTGTGGATTGTGATCGATGGATTCTGATACCCTCTGGTAAGCTAACATAACTATTAACTATGGAAAATCACCATTTTGAATGGGTAAATCAACTAACATAATTATGGAACATGGCCATTTATAGTGGATTTACCAATAACACATGGTCATTTTCCATAGCTATGTTAGTTTACCAGAGGGTACATCTTATGAACAAACATGTGGCTCGCATGTAATTGGACAGGCAAAAAATGGTCGAATTGTTGTCTACAAAAAAAAACCATCGATCAGGGTCAATTTCTGTAATTAGAATGACAATGTGGTCTATGAGTCTATAATATATGAGGGTCTGTATTGAGTCTATTGTGATGGCTATTTAGATAGTCCATGACTACGCATCCATCATTATCTATCAATGATATGTTATCACTCGGTCTGACAAGATTCGTCCTGGTTGTTGATATGCCTAGTCAAGGTCCCCAAAAAAACGAACTGATGACAGATTATGGGGATTATGAACTGAGATGGGGGACTTTTTCGCCTCATTGACCACAAGAAAATTGATGTTAAGGTCAAGGGATTCATTTGATGATGACCTGACCCAATATGGGTGTGTCTGAAAATAGTGTACCCCTAAACCCAATGGTTTTGCTGATCATTATCCCTATTAAATGGTTATTTCATTGGGAATATACCATCTATTTTCATTATAGGATAAGCCATATGGACATATCATATTCCCAATATGGCTTATATACCATATTTAATGGTTATATACCATATTTCATATACTATGGTCATGGGTTTTCCAATGGTTAATACAAACCCATATGGAAAAGCCCATGACCATAGTCAGGCGTGGTGGCTCCCTGCTGCTGCGCCACGCGGAAACGGGCGAGCGTTTGGAGGTAGCGCTTGTGGCAGAGGCTGGGGTTGGGGTCTCCAGCTGGAGCTACTTGATGGCGAACTACCCACGAATCGTAAGTGGATTAGTTCACCCCAGTTTTTTCAGTGGATTAAGCCTACAAAATCCCATGTAAATCACTGGGGTTATAAGCCACTTACGAAGTGGGATGAGCCTCGAGCCACCAAGTACAATCAGAGTTTGGCCTTCTGATACCCCCTGGTAAATTAACATAGACCCTGGCAGTTGTTGGGGTTGGAAGATTATATAGTTTCCATTAAAACTAGCCTATTTTCAGGGTCTATGTTAATTTACCAGAGGGTAGTGGCCATGAAAAACAACTAAGCTGATGGTGACGAAATGTTACGGGAAAGCTATGGATGCTGGAACTTGGGAGAGCAAATGTCAGGAAGTGACCGGTGGTCACAGCCCAGTTTTCAAAGTGGATCGCCATGGATAAACCAAGGTCGAAGTGCGATGACTCTCCAAGCAGGATCAGATCGTTGGGGAACACAATTCTATGGATGGTAAGTTAGCGATATTATTATCCTTATAGTCATCAAAAACCTGACTATCTACTAATCTACTGAAAAGATATAGAGTAGGACATCCAATATATCTAGTGGTGTTTTTAAAAATAGTAATATGATTCCTTGCGGTATTTTTTGTTGATCTTTTCCAAGAGGATATCAAAAATTAGCTCAAATAAGAGGCAACGACTACTTAATTGTGCAGATATGATATAATCCAAAATATAAGGCAACTGGCCAAGAAAGGTGGTCAGTTCACCCAATTGATATCAGGGATCGTAGCCTCGTCATTGTGTCAGTTCAACGCAGAAATCGTGGAAAAAAACACGCAAGACTCCATGGAAAACACACATGGAAGCAGCCTTTCAAAATCATTGACAAGATGCCCAAATCCTTACCAGCAATGGAACAAATCACGACGAAAATCTCTGGAACATGGTCGGGATAAATTATCACGCACGATGCGTAGGATTTGGGGTCATCACCCCAAAATTTCCGAACATTTCAGGTTGGTGAATGTGTCCAGAATTAAAAGCGGGACATCTATATATATATATATATACACATAACATTTAAGATCGCCTAGCTAACATAGACCATGACCATCCGGTACCATTCCCTACCTACATAACATTAAAAAAACTGGAATGATCCAGATTTGGTTGGTCCTACTTGTAAATGTTTGTTGGTGTTAGATCCCAATGTTTGCTGCTCAAATCCCTATCATATCGTCGTAAATCCCCATAAATCACCAAAAAAACATCGTTTTGATCCAGATGGTTTTTCCATGTTTTTCCCACTATCCCATGATTTACCGTGTTTCACATAGGCACTTGGTGGCTCATCCCACGAATCGTAAGTGGGTTATAACATGTTATAACCCCAGTGATTTACATGGGATAAGGAGGTAGGGTGAATCCACTCCAAAAACTGGGGTTAGTTTTAACCCACAACAGTTATAAATGGGATAAGGAGCGGGTGAATCCACTCAAAAAACTGGTGTGATAAGCTATAACCCACAACCACGATGAACGTGGGTAGTTCGCCACCAAGATACCTGTCATAGTTCCCAACTGGTGCAGGCTGACGTTCACTCGAGATCCGGAGAGCGCTTTGCTGCCTGGTTGGTGGGTGGTCAGGCCGGGTTGGCGGGGCTGTACAAGGTGGGCCAGGTGGGCACCCGGGTTTCACCATGGGAAAACTATGGGAAAACCATCGGAAAAGGGCGATTTAACCAACAAAAAGCTTGAGATTTCATGGGATTTATAGCTGGTATAGGTATAAGTTGACGCACATGACTCGGTGAATGCTTGGGTTTATAGTATACGTAGTAACGGTTCATGGGAGTGAATCGGTTTTACTCAATGGACATCTTACCTGGGAAAATCATGTGCAAATGGTTTGACTACTGGAGGGTAAATGTCCTGTTTTGAGGATTTGGATTGTTTGAGGACTTGCATTCATCTTGAAGGTATTTGAACGTGCTTAATCTTGTATTCATTGCACCAAACGCATCTTCCCAGACAGTTTCCAGCCACAGAGTCCTTGTTTCGGTCATCGGTGTCTGACACTTGTCCCGAATGCTACGTTTCAACAAGGATGCCATGAAGCTGCTGGGGTTCGCTTTGGAACCGATGCTGACCCTAGAGCCCCCTATATAAATGATGCTTAAGTTCCCATTAAATCACTATAATCATGAACCAAACGGGGTTTTGAACACTGCTCAGAAATATACCCAGCATCCTTTGTTTATTATTGATTGTCCTTTCAAATTCTCATAACTTGTCCATTTAATCCTATTTGTTCTCTATGTTTCAAGTTTTAACCATCATTTATTCATCATATCATGAACATTCATGAACTATATCCCCATATCTTTGATGGTTAAATTCCATATATCAATATATATATATATATCATATATAATTACAAATATTGCCATTTATACATATATATATATATATAGAATATATCTATATCTATATATATAATATATATAATATATATATATATAATACAGATACACACATATATATATAATTATATATATATATATTGCTGATATCCAATCATCAAGTTTCTGAAGTTGGATCATGTTACCTGGCCGTTGCGCCAGGTTCCCCGTGTGGATTGTGCCAGTGAGGACGGCTTCCAACAGGCCTTGCGCTACGTGAGAAGACGAGTTCGATCCTCGGGGGCGCTGAAGTTGGATCATGGGAATATCTGGAAATTCTTCACCAGAATTATTAGATTTATATACATATATGTAAATATATATATATATACATATACAGTATATACATATTATATTATCTGTACATATCTATAGATTATATATATATATTATTATATTATATATATTTTGGTTTTTGATACCATAAAGCCATGGCACGATGTATTCAGTTGGATATTTTTTTGATACCATAAAGCCATGATACATGGTACCACGATGTATTCAGATGGTCGTTAAAAAAAAAGGAGCCACTGTCGAGGTGCCCGTGGTGATGCTGAATTTGGAGCTGATGCCAGCGACGTGGGGAAGCGCAGCTTATTGCTGGGGAATCTACGGGCTGCAGGTGAAGAAACATGGCTATACCCTCTGGTAATTTAACATAGCTATGGAAAATCACCATCTTTAAAGGGAAAATCCACTATAAATGGCCATTTTCAATAGCTATGTTAAATTACCAGAGGGTATATTTGTAGTAATTTACGCCCTGTAGGATGGTTCGGAAAATGATGGTTTACATTTTTTTTTGAAAATCCTGGAAATATATATCATCTACAATTTTAAATTCTCATGGAGATGATATCATGGGGATACCGACAATCAAAGCTGGCAATGGGAGGTCCTGGCGGAGTTTCAATTGCTATGTTAGATGACAGGGTATCCATGGTAATAACCCCCCCAAAAAAAGGCCCTAACCCCCACATAAGTTATATGGCCAATTATTACTGGAAATTGAGGTCAACCATTTTTCACCAGAAATTTCAGAGTTGGTGACCTTACAAACTGTTGATTGTCAGTATGTTTTTTTTGGGGTCCCTAGAATTCTCGACCCGTGCTCATCCATCATGACCGTAGTTGGATTTCGACTTGACTCAGGCTTAGGATCTGGGATATTCGTGGAAACGTCATTCAAATGGCAAAAGAAAACGCAGTTTTGATTTACCCAAGTCGTTTGGTCAATGTTGAACACAATTTACTGATCATATAGTTGTCGGTAGTGTTTCTTTGGCAAAACTGGATATTTGAATGGGTCGCAATCGGGGCACCGATGGACCGAAACAAGGCGTAATTTTTGGGTATGGGCTGGCCATGTTAGGGGTTGTTGTATATGGGGGTGCAGTTCCAGTTATAAATAAGTGGTTACCTTCTGGTAAACTAGCATAACTATGGAAAATCACCATCTTTAATGGGTAAATCAAATAAAATGGCAATTTTCAATAGCTATGTTGTTTACCAGAAGGTATATAACCACAGTGACAGGGGTTATATCCCAACTTATGGTGTTTGTTTTTCCATGGTTCTGCCGTTCTTTTTTGTCCTGAAGTGCACCGGTTGCAGTGTGCTATAGTTTTCCATCATTACCCTCTGGTTATTTTATAGCCATGGAAAATGGCCCATAGAAATAGATGGTTTACCTATTAAAAATGGGTGGGATCTTTCCATTTCGCTATGTTAAATAACCAGATGGTAACACATTAACAATCATTAACATATCTACCGTAAAGCCTAACCTCTACCATCCCCATGTTTCATCATGTTTCTTCAGCCTAGCTGAGGCGAAAGTGGGATGTGGAGTACCTAAGCCTCTCGGCTCGGAATGGCATTTTTTTTTTGAGACATATGGAAACCATGGGAAAGCCTGGAAAAACATGGGCAGAGATAGTAGAGATAGGAAATATGGTTGGTGGTTTGGAACATGGCTTTTATGACTTTCTATATATTGTGGATTTCATCAGCCCAACTGACAAATTCATATTTTTCAGAGGGGTTGGGTGAAACCACCAACCAGATGATGTTCTAAAATTTGAACCACCAAAATTTTGGATTGCGTATGCCCAGATTTGGGATCACAGATATCGCCTAGCCTTTGTTGCTCTCCGAAAAAAAAAAAACATGGCGATGGAAGATCTGCCATTTGCAGATGAATCTTCAACACCTTGGTGAAGGGTAGATTACTGTAAGCTGATTGTTTGCAAAAGATGAAGGAATATGACAAGAATCAAGTTCACTTCGAAAAACATAAAGAGACTGGTTTGCTGCAACTTCGCAGATTGCGGTGCTTGAGCTTCTGTCTTAATCCCATCCCTTTTTAAGCACCCCCTGGCTTAGTAGTGGATTTGATGCATATTCGGGACCATTTAGGGGGTGTTTAATGTTAGGCGGATGGGATTTTCCCGTGTTACACCATTAGCCATTAACATCCATTAACTATTATTATCACCTATCAATGGCTAATGGCCAATGGTGTTTATATTATGTTATAGTTGAACTGTCATTAACTATATCATTATAATTCCCATGACGGATCCATGGTGCTGCTATTTTAATGGTGACATGGATCCCATCAACAAAAACCCCAGTCATGTTAGCATTTTTCTACCAGCACCATGGATCCGTCATGGGGTTGATCATATTACATCGAATCATATATCTATAGCATCTATATGCCAGCACCATGGATCCGTCATGGGAACTATAATGATATTACATCATATGAGGGTTTCCATAAATGGGGGTACCGCCAGTCATCATCCACTTGAATTGGATTTTCCCTTATAAACCATCCAGCTATTGGGGTACCCCCATATATCTAGCATCTATCCATCATCCATCTATGGTCCAAAACGTCCCGGGTCTTCGGGTCGTCCCAGCAAGGACGTCATTGCAACGAATGGCCCGGAATGAACGTGCTTCGATCAGACAGTGGGAGCCCAGGAGAGCGAAAAGCCATGGGAAAAACCATGGGAAAGCCCGCATTTTTCGATGTTTTGGGGTGCCAATGGGAATTATGGGGCCCTTTTTTTGAAGGCACCCATCTACTACTGCAACTGATAATTACCACTATATTAAAGCCATGGGAAAATGGTGATTTCATGGGAAAACCATAGTAAAACCCATCTAATACCCTGGTTGGTGGTTTGGAACATGGTTTTTAAGACTTTCCATTAATATTGGGAATGTCATCATCCCAACTGACGAACTCATATTTTTCAGAGGGGTTGGTTGAAACCACCAACCAGATAATTACAACTACTATTCATAGTTATAAACCAAGTTATCATGAGTAGGGCAAAGATAGAAGATGAGTACCATTTTTTGCAACTATAATTACAACTATAATGAACAAAAACTACGATCATGACTACTTGTATGATAGATTATGATAGGGCAAAGTGATGTTTGCTGTACAAAACTTTCACGAAAGGGTTTTCCCAGCAGCAAAGCTGGGAGATTTGGAGTTGGATCAGAATATTGGCAGAAAACCCCAGCGTCGTTTGTATGATGTTTTGAGGCAGACTTTGGTTGGATAGTCCAATGGCTCATTTATACATGTATCATTTCGTAGTACATATATATCATATATATATATATATATCCATATGTAAGATATTGTATGTCCCCATTCTTATCTCGCCATTTCAGCCATGGTTGGTTTCCGGCACTTCTCAGGTACAGAGAACCGCTATCTCTACTACGTGCCAGCTCGGGACTCGGAGAACATGGGACCGTTGGAACCGTTGGAGGTTTCCACAGTCATCCAATGTGTCATGGTGAATGGTGAGTCCCCTTTTTTGATCCTCCTTAGGCATTGAAAGCCATGGTAAAATGGGGGTACCCTCTGGTCATTTAACATAACTATGGAAAATCACCATTTGTAGTGAGTTTTCCCATGGAAAAAAATGATTTTCCATAGTTATGTTAAATTACCAGAGAGTACCCCCATTTTAAGACACCTCCATATGGTCATGTGCTTCACCCAAGGAGATGGATAAATGCCACACCTGATTTAGATATATTTAGATGAGTTTATCATCCAATTTCTAAACCTCAACTTACGTTGCTGTTCTCATGCAAGACTGGTTTTGCCACATGTGGCAAACATGACACACTGATGACCCGGAATATGGATTCAGCTCTCTTTGTTGAAGTAGGAAATTTATGCCACAGCTGTACATGCATGCACAGACATGTTGTTTATATAGATAACATAGATTATAGTAATGACATTGATGTTAGGTTATAATGGTGATAGTCACCATATATTGATAACAATACATTTCTATATTGATGACACTAAATAATGCCACATTGTCACATATTGTTGATATTTCAATGTTCAGCAATAATGTACCACAGCAAAATAACGACAATATGTTTTACAAAGGGATGATATTAACAACAGAGCAAATAATAATGATCGTACATAATTATCTAGACATACAATATGCAATTCAAAAATAACACCATATAACTATACCCAAATGCTCCATGTATGAAAAACATACTGTACCAACGTTTACCCAGGAAACTAGCTTAAATGTAGCTAACATACCACAACAAATAGAACATATGATGGAAATTGATGGGAAATTATACCACATAAATCATTGCAATGGACATACGGTGGATGGTTGCGAAATCCTGCACCAGTTGCTAACTCTTGGTAACTATGAATAAGTGTTTCAATAATGTTTTTTTTTCATAGAATAAACAATGAATAACATTTAATTATAATAAACCATCTACCAACTGGTGCAGGATTTCTTAACCATCCACGGTATTGTTTAATATAAATATCAGTTCTTTTCATTTCTTTTTCATGGTGGTGAATCGTGGTGAATTACTTATTCATCTACATCAATCATTGCAATGGACATTTCTTCCCATGCCATATACGTCAGGATCCCCTCCCTGTCGCCGAGGAGCAGGCGGATCGTGACATGTCGGCCTTCCAGGCTGCGCCGCGGCGAGCGAGCAGCGGACGCCCAGATCATTGAGCCATTCGAATAACTTGGATGATTTCCCATGAAAAACCTCCATTTATAATTAGATGATTTTCCCATTTGCTTTATATAGATCATCTATAGATTTGGATATTTTAACTTGGATTGTTAAAAAACTTCGATAGCATAAATAACTGATATAATATAATGATCTATTAGATAGCATAATTATAACTATAATATTAGATAACAACTATTAATGATTAGTAATTGCTTGGTCTAATAACTTGTATGGTTGAATTTAGCTTGGATGACTAATTCAACCCATCAATAGCTTAGGTTGATTGGTGAATTTGTTGGGACTTATGCATACTTGTACAACCTAAATTTGATCTAATTTGTTGATTATGATAAGCAATAGGGAAAACCAGAGGCACCGTAACTTAGTATTTTGAGATGGGAAAATGGGGTAGAACTTTCATGGCTCAGGATCTACTACTTGTACTACTACGATCGTCCCATTGAGAGCGGATGATCCCCAGAAAACCTCTGGTTGACAGTGATGCAGCACCCTCTGGTAAACTAACATAACTACGGAAAATCACAATCTTCAATGGGTAAATCCACTATAAATCACCATTTTCAATAGCTATGTTAAATTACCAGAGGGTATGGTTTGACTTGAATTCATATCCCAGTTATGTTTGTTGATTTACAACCCCCATCGATATGTCATGATATGTCTGCAATAAATCCAAGAGTTATCAGAGTTAGGAAGCAACTACCCTAGGGTAATTTAACATAACCCTCAAGTGTAGATGATTTACCATCTTGTTTCCACTGTATCAACCAGTAATTATTACTATAGTTAACATTAATTAACCATTAATTACTATTGTCAACCATTATATTGTGATCATTATATTATTAACTACTGTTAACCATTATCGTTTGGGAGTCCTATCCCTTATGAAACCTTTCAATTTGAGCCGGGCTCGGACCTAGGCGCCGACCTGCGCCTCTCCTTTGAGACCTTTCTTCAGCGCAGCAAGCAGGTTGAAGCTATGTGGTGAAGTTGTTGAGTGCCGTATAAAAAAAACAACAACGTGATTTCCTCTACAGTAAATTGGCACATATTAATGGAAGATCCCACATAAATTTAGAATAATGTAGATAAATTTACCCATGGGCTTCGATATCTATGATTCTATGATGGTGTTCCGTGAATTCATCGGAATTTCTCGAAATATCTGTGAACCAGACCCATCTGAGGCGATTGTCAGTACCTTGGACATGAGCAATGACAACTGGGGTTGAACATATTTAGGTACCCCATGGTACCCCTAAATCCCCTGGTTTATCATAATTTGCCCTATTGAATATAGCAATTGTTTGGGGTATACCCTATTTCCAGACACACCCATAGATTGCAATTATCTAAATGATTAGTCATCCAAACATGGTTCCACTCGTTTCCAGTAAATCAAGCATGGCTAGCTCGGAAATCCACTTTAAATTGGCATGTGTTCATGGGAAAATGATCTTAAACTACATTTTGGGTTTTTTTCAGCAAGCCATGAGGGTAATTCAGATCGTTCAGAGGATTGGTTTAAGGGAACATCAAAACCAGAAACCATGGAAACCACGGATTCACCAGGGAAACGTCACGTTTGGCGACCAGGACCCAAAGGGGTGCTACTACTTGCAAGCACCGATGGTCCTGCCTGAGCCTCAACCTTTGCTACGACCGGCAATTGAACGTCCACCATTGATATAGGTGATTTCCCATCACGACCTGCCATTTCCGGGGGGCTTTCCACAAACAACTCCGATTTGGGCTAAACTCCGAATGCTACCATGTCTCACAGTGTGTTTTGACCAATCTTCATCATTTTCCCAGGGTGCTTCAAGCGTTTTTCACGATCTTTCAGAGTTTTCCCAAAGGGAAGTATTGCAGAACCTTACATTTGATACTGGTCGTAAAAACCATGCATGGTTTCCGGTTTCGATGTTTTAAATCAAAAAATCCATTGGTTTTCTGATTGGGCTTTCTGATCTTTCTGGAAAATTGGATCCCCAAGTCACCATGGATTTCAACCCTAACAATATGGCCTTTTTTGTGGATGATTTCCCTAAAAAAGTAGAGCCTGAATGACTTCGGAAAGGTCCTGAATGATGTCGTCCCTCAGGCGCAACGCCACGGAACAGGGCTTGCAGGAGAAACTGGCTTCGGAACCGGAGACTTACCCTTTGGTTAGCTATGGTATAGATGGCCCATGAAAATAGATGATAAAAATGATGGCTTTACCATGATTTACCTATTAAAGATTGTGACATCCCACAGCTACCTTAAATAACCAGAGGGTATATCATGTTATATCCTCTTGATGAGATGCTGCAAGCCTGAAAAAGGTCTCAATTTCGGTTATCATTGCTGAACAAAAATCCAGATTCGTTCCCGGCAATTCCTCCATGTTTGGTACAAGGTGGGCCCCAGTTATACGTTGGTTTCTAAAGCCATCAAAAAAAAGGTGCGTTATATCATGTTATATAATGTTATATATAACTCCTAAAAACATCTCACAACAACAACCTCAGTTATCAACGCTATTTCAATCAATATATTTCGAGAACTATTTCAATATATATATATATATATATGTCATTAATATGTCATATCAATTTTAATTTTCTCAGCTATTTAACAATACATTTCAAGAATTCGCGATGACATCATTACCGTCGCCCCGGTGATTTTTCCATTACCATAGGAGACCTGGAACCGGGGAATGGATGCCGAGCTCCGTGCCGTTCCTTGGCCGGGACGAGACTCGTGGGATGCGTCGCGTGACATGGAGATCGAAGCGCATAATGACATGGAGATGTCAATGAGATACCCTCTGGAATTCCCTCTGGTAAACTAACATAGCTATGGAAAATCAATCAGTCATGTGTCTAAGTACTGTGTATCTTATTATATGGCTATGGATCAATACCTACTAATACAATTTTTAGAGGGATGAACATCCATTTACCAGCTATTTTGATGTGAACAGAAGGGGTACAAGGTTTTGACCCACTGCCAGATGTCAATGAGATATTTGAGAAGTGAAGTCATACTTTATAGAAATGACTAATGTCATGTTTATATTGATACAGTAAACCTATGGATGTTCCCTCCGGTTATTCTTCAGATGGCCATAGGAATTCCAGTTATGACTTATGTATATGTCTCAAATATATTTATGACAATAATACATGATAATCATCATAATAACAATAATTAGTAATAATAATAGAATAGTGGTACATGATTTGAGGTTTCATAGTCTTACATACTGGGTATGTATATATATATATATGCATACGTATATATATATATATACACGTAAGGTATAAGTGATTCTCCATGAATTTCCCATTGCCATGTTTGACTACCGGAAGGTAGACGAACTGCAAGACTTGGGAAACGTCAACTGTTCGGGATGACATACCCAAGATTGGAGTTTGCCCAATAGAGGAACTCGTGTTCCTTTCTTCAAGAAGTCGCATCCAAAGCTAGCAGGGGGTTCCCACAAAGGGCCTGGATATTTCAGTACAATACCGGTATTTCAACGACTATTTTTTTTTTTGGCTTGAATGTTGCATTCTAGAAGGTGGCCGGAACTGACACATGCCAGTACACTAAAAAGCTCCTCAACAATTATCAGAGATGTCAATGTAATTGATTGTAAACCTGGATATCATATCAGTCATATGTGTCTAAGTACTGTGTATCTTATTATATATGTATTTATACATTATGTGTAATACACAACGTACACGCATGTTAGGATATGTTAGGATACATATGCCGAAGACAAGATCTGGTCTTGCCTTACGCATTGGTTTCTCGCGCTCCCAAGGATTGTGAAAGCAGGGTGAACTGGCAAAGACTCGAAGCCTTGCAGGCGCAGGGTTGTTCAGTGGGGGTAATCTTCGGCAGTAGCCTCTGGTAAACTTACAAAAAGCTATTGAAAATGGCCATTAATAGTGGTTTTTCCCATTAAAAATGGTGATTTTCCATTGTTATGTTAGTTCACCGGAGGGTAATCGGGTGATCAATCTTCAGCAGTGGGGGAACTTTAAGAACTCTAGTTCAGGGGTTGTTTGAAAATTGCGAGAAAACCCCCCAAAGTTCATCAAAGTTGATTCTCATTGTCCCCATTATGTGATGGCAATCTTGGGGTTGTTGGCCAATGTTCAAATAAACCCTAAGAAACGTCGCGAAATCGGCCATGTGTCCAACTGAATTTCCAGTCGGGAGAAACTCCAACCAAAGTGTATCTGGGGTGTTGGCAGCAACTCTGAACATCATGTTCCCAGAAAACAAAAACATCCTGACTCTCAGAGATTCGAACTAGCTCATCGATTGTCACATTTTGTCAACTTTCAGAAGTGTTTTTCATTTGGACAAAATGGTGTCATAGGTTTTCCGTAGAATTTCATGGGTTGAAACCTCGGTTTTTCCATAGTTTGTATCATATCCCCAGTATATTTTTCAGTACGACTGTATCTCTCCATATATTAATGGCAAATACAATGGTTATGTTGTGGAATGTTTTCGGAATAATACAATGAATATACATATTCATAACCATTATATCATATATCAATGTATATCATTTTCTTAATACAATGGTTATGTTGTGGAATATACATATCATTGATTATTCTCGTAGATGCGCATAAATGATCAGTCAGATTTTCGGAATGATCCCCCAAAATTCCCCGGAGATTGAAACAAGCTGAGCCCCCCAAACGATAGACATGTTGGTTTATAAAGCCATTCACTATATATGTATATATATATATATACACCATATATATATATATGTATATATATATATATATTACCATATATATACACCATATATATATAGATACACCATATATATATACACCATATATATATATATATACCATATATATAGATAGAGATACACCTACCATAAATATCCATATATCATCATCAACAATTGTTTGTGTTCCATATAAAGGAGGTTCTCCATCTTTTAATCATCATCAACAGTATCATAGATAATCCTCCCAGCCCCACACTGTTTGGCGTCTCTTGCCGGGATTTTTTTTTTTTAAATTGGATATATATGGATGTGGGATGTTTGATTGGAGATATTTGATTGGAAATTTATTTGATTTCAAAGGAAACCTGATGGAAAACCCTGGCGGCCGTAGGCGGCCGGCGGCTTTGGCTACTGGTCGCGCTCGCAGCTCTTCGTGGGCCCCAGCGAGAGTCGCTTTGGCCGCAACGGGCAGACGTCGGAAGGGGCTCCAAAATGGGAAAACACATGAGAAACTATGGTTTACTGTAACTATGGTTCAAGATAAGTTGCCTTATATAAGTAGTTGAATTCTATGGTTAAACTATGGTTAAACTATGGTTAATGCTGAACTTATTGGTGAACTTATAGGTAGGTTAGTGGTCAACTTTACTGGTTAACTAATGGTTAACTAATGGTTAACTAATGGTTAACTATGGGAAACTATGGTTTACTGGTTATCTAACGGTTACCTATGAAAAACCATAGTTTAACTATGGTTGATGGCAATGGTGAATGGACAAGCAGGTGAATCGTTAAGTAGTTTCATGATGTATATCAGAATATTGTGTGTTATCTTTGATTTTCTGAGTCAGATTGAGATGTACATGTTTTTTTGTTTGTTTCTCGGGGATTATCTTTACGCACAAATCCGGACGTTTGCCCGGAGCCTATGTTTTTTCGAGCAAAACGACCCGAGTTCTTAACAGACCCCCACAAAGTCGTGGAAGGGTTCTTGACGTAAATTTCTGGTTCTCCCGGATCCTAGGTTTTCTCGCAGAAAGCGGCCCTTTTGCACCACTTGTATTTTGAATAAGATAGAATAAAACCATTAGAAGACCTTTATACGTATTGTTCGGAGGGGGTGGCAGATTTAGATCCTTCTGTAATGAGGTAATATGATGTAATATGATGGAAGAAAAAATAACATAGTACAGGTACAACCATTATAAGACCTTTACACGTATTGTTTGGGGGGGGTGGCAGATTTAGATCCTTCTGTAATGATGTAATTAATATGATGGAAAAAAAATAATATAACAACCATTAGACAACCTTTATACGTATTGTTTGGAGGGGGTGGCAGATTTAGATCCTTCTGTAATGATGTAATATGATAGAAGAACATATAACATAACATATCCATTATAAGACCTTTATACGTATTGTTTGAGCGGGTGGCAGATATATATCCTTCTGTAATGATGTAATATGATGGGAGAACATATAACAAAATATCTCAGATTTTGATTCAATATAGGGTACATCGTGGGAAAATGGGACATCATGGAACCAATGCTAAAAAAGATGGACAAATGGAGGTTAAACCCTGTGGATTTGGATGAGAGAACTGTCAAAACCGTGGCAAACATGGGGGGATATTATGTGAGCCTGGGCGAACGTCTGGTTCTGCGGGTATCTTGAGTGGCGGCCCTGCACGCTATTCCTCAGTTTGTCTTGAAGGTGAAATTCCTGGACAATAGAATGAACATGGCTGAACATGGCTGAACATGGCTGAAGCAGAAACACGGGGTCTGAAAAAACCGAACTCAGAGATCGCGAACATCATCGACACACCGCCTACTTGGGCGATTGCCCACACTCGAGTGGCAGCTTCATCCTGAGGGACCCTTGACGTCGCCAGTGATTGGGTTCATGCCCTCTGAGACTTGAGATTTTTGATGTGATTTGGATGGTGGGATTGAGCATCGAACTGGTGGGTCATCATCATTCATCATCAAAAATCCTGCGTGACCCACCCCTAGCAAATCCAAGCTATCCAGTAATTAGACTGACTATGGGTTAAGATTACAAGCACTTAGGAATTAATTATGGGTTTATGTTACCATAGGGTGAACTTATGCTCAAATACTTGTATCACCTATGGGTTAAGGATGTTCATGGTAGGTATCACACAATACATCGAACTAGTCGACGGGGTGAAACGATGACATGGGATGTTGAATATCCAAAGCATCATAAATATGGGAAAATTGGGATATGACCAGCAAACATATTGGATATTTGGGTATCGACGTTCATCTTTTGCTACAAACATCAGTTCCATGTTTCACTGAGAATCTGTGTTCACTATGTGTTTAGAACGAATAATATGTTCTTCATGTTTATTGTATTTTCTTGGCGGAGGTCTATTCATATTAAAAAAAACAAAAACATGTGGATTGAACCGCTTAGAGGAGTTGTTTAATCGTGCAGAATGATTTCGGTGTCTGAACGCATTTAGCTGAATAAGCCTGAACTGCGGGTCGATGGAGGTTACCCTCTGGTAAACTAACATAGCTATGGAAAATCACCATTTATAGTGGATTTACCCATTAAAAACAGTAATTTTCCATAGCTATGTTTGTTTACCAGAGGGTAACCTCCATAACTATGGAAAATCACCAGTTTTAATGGGAAAATCCACTATAAATGGCCATTTTCCATAGCTTTTTGTATGTTTACCAGAGGGTAACACCCCGGGATGACAAGGATGTCTTTTGGTGAAAAAACACCGATCGGTTGCCGTTTCGCGGCGAGGTTTGTCACCGGTGCACTATGACCAGTACGTCCCTTGAGCTGAGCTCGGGTGATCCGATGGAAGTTTGGAGGCAACGAATGTTTGGCAAAGCACCAGTGTTTTTGGGAAGTTTGAAGATCACAAAGATGTGGGTTTTATATGGTTTTATGATGTTTTATCTGAGTTTATGGTAATTTTATGAAATGTTAAGGTGATGTGAAAACGGGACACACTGGTGATTTTATGGTGATTTAAAAATCGGGATTGAAGCAACGGACATGATGGTTTTCATTGGACATACCGGAAATCAAACATGACTAGCTGGAAAATCCAGCATTTATAGTTGGTTTTCCCAGCTATAAACCTTCATTTTTGATGCTTGGTGTCAATTGTCATGTCTGATTAGCTGAGGCTATCCGGAAATATCTGGGATCGGGGCGCGTTGCTGGTTCCTTTGCTGTGTTGTTCATACACTGTACCCTCGGTAAAATACAGTCCTTATTTTTGCTGCTCATATATGTTGTTGGTGGTTCTCTGTGTGTCATGGTAGCTACCTGAGATCATGATACCCACTGTCTTTCATCTTGTGGGGGCCAAACCACCAAGCAGATTTATATCACATGGATGATTTAGAGGTACCCACATTTTAGGAAACCTCCATATAGGTTTATAATGAGTATTGGTTATACCCACCAACATCCTAGTTTTGCTCCTTCTATCAATACATCCCTACATAGTGTGCCTGCAAAATCCTGCAAATATGAAACATCAACATGGTCTATATGTTTCTATATTAGATAAGACCAGGTAGAGATGAGATTATGTCATTGTTCTCACCTATCAGTAATAGTATATCTCAACATATTCCTGGATTTGCTCAAGATAGATAGAGTGTTTATTTTCCCTGGAGGTGTTTTTATTTTTGGGGCTGTCCTTAAACACATCCAAGTTCTAAGTAATTCGGAAATTCGTATGGGTTATGATTCTAAACTTTCTAATGATTCTGAACTTTCTAAACGACTATATAATTAGCTATGGGTTTGTGTTACCATAGGGTTAACTTATGATGTACATCTAGTACATTCATGGCTTTCTCGTTTTTTGCCGATCCCATTAGCGTTGCCCAAAAAATCAGAGCTTCGCCATTTCCTGGGACCCAAGGACAACATCTACATGCAGGCGGGAGGGTGCACAGGGCTGATGGGGGAAAACTGGGGCAGGAAGACGGCTGGGGCCCGGGGTATCCTTTTACTACCATAGTTATCATAAGACTATTACCCTTCCGGCAGGTTTCTTAGGTGGCATTGGTAAAACCCCCTTATGAATTATGATATAGTTGTTTGCTAAGCCTCTTTGAGGGTGTCTCATTTGTTTTTCGAAGAAAACAATTTCGAAGGGTTATGTAAACGGGACTACACCATAGAATAGAATTGAGTATATACATACATATGTATGTATGCTAAATATATATATGGGTAGATTATAACGACCTCACTGTTCTCCCTCACTTGACTCATGGTGAATTTTAGGGACACCATCCCCAAATGGCTCAACAATTCAGGTTTGTGACATGTCATAATTTACCCATTATAATGGTTATGGTGATTTAACCAATAATAGTGAACATCGGTTGATAGTGATTAACATCAGTTAATAGTGGGTAATGGTGATAAATGATGATATATCATCAATACCCACTGATATAGTGAGTAAACAGTTAATAGAATATGTGATAATGTACACAAATGAAGATAAATATTTATATGTGGTAATTCTATTACCCACTTGATAACTGTAATGGTAAACAAATGGTGATATACATTATTCTACATACATTTGTTCAACTGCATTGGAGAATTGGATGAAGGGAGCATTTACAGAAAAACCGAAAACCAATCATCTCAAATGCTACCTACATCTTGAATCCCATATATCCCATGGTTTTCTGCCACAGTTCAAGGGTCACTTTCCCCGGGCGCCGGGTCGCCAAGGTGGCGGGCGAAAAGAGGTTCCTCCTCTTCGACCCACGCTGTGCTGATGGGCCGGACTGCCAATGTCACGTGAACACTAGACATTGAGAACATGCGTATTTTACATAATCTCACTACGTGTGTATATACATATATATTATACATAATATAAGATACACTCATATATATATATGTATAATATACATATAGTACATTAAATATATATATATATGTACATATTATACGTATACATCTGTATTTATGTGTCAATATATTTTTTAAAGATGTTCCACTGAGATGATCCCATGGTCCGAGGCTGTATCCATTTCCAGTGTCGCACCCTTATGACGAGTATGCCATGGCAGGGGCCCGAGAGCACGTGAACGGGCCAGCCAACGGTGGTGGTTGATGTGGTTTCTATATGGCGAACTTGGATGGTTTGAACAAATTGGAGAGATTCTTACCAACCATCCTATTTTTTGGGGAATTTTCACCAAGTGCTGTGATTGGCTGTTGATTTGGTGGGTTTCCTGCGGGTTACCTTTAGCCAATTCTGGGATCCGTTAAAAACAAATGTGTTCCTACATGAATGGGGGAATGGGTGTCCATTTACCAGCTATTTTATATCAATGTTAATTATGGTTGAGAGTCAAGATGCTGGGCTTATTTTTTTGTAAACTTTTTTTTGTAATTTGAATTATATAGGTTTGATTTCAATGTTTGAATTACAATCAAACTGATTTGCGAGGCGAGACCTTTGAACTTCGGATGTTTTTTGTCTCTAAAGAAGTGGTAAACTTGGTGAACTCTCTATTTTCCTCCCGTCATCTTCCAAAATTTCAAGGTAAACTACTTTGTTTGCATGTTTGCAAATCAAGAATTTCCGTCCCTCTTCCACCCCACTTAGGTGTGTTTCTTGGGAAGCATGTGGGATTGAGGCAATTTAGGTAAATGGTTTTGGGGCACAGGTGAATGTGTTGCTTAGACCATGCAGGTACGTATTCACGCATATGTTCGTTCCCTTACCTCACCTCTTGAGTTGTTTGTTCTGCTATGGCCATTTGGTCTTTTTGACGAGGCAAAGGTAAGCTGTGTTCACTGCGGAAAGCTGCAAAGACTTTTCAGCCAGATGACGGAGCCCTCAACAATATATAACGGATGTTTGGTATCGGAGGAAGATGCTCCAATCCGACGTCGGAGGATCTCCATGTTCTGAGTAGGTAGGGCAGCATCACCTGACCTCAGTGTTTTGGCTCCAGTCTTTTGGCTTCTCGGCTCCCACGTTTTTTTTCCATGGCGTACACGCAGGGAATTGTCCCAACGTGGGGGCCCAAGCACCTGCACCTCGTTGTCCTCACCCCCCTCCCTGGCCGCCTGCCCAGGCTCCGTCAACCCGTTGTGTACGCGAGAGCAGGCCTGCACCGCTGTAATCATGGCTGGCAATCATAGTATTATTCCGGGACCACCCAAAACCATGAAAATTTAAGGTTTTCTCGTTTTCTAGGTGCATGAGGCCACAAGGTTTACCTTCAGGGCCGCGAAATTGGAAATTCCAGGTAACTTCGCATCGTTTATGTACATTTTCACCCAGCCCACTCATTGTTGGTAGTCAAGCCAAAGATGGCCATCCTTTCTTGGTTCCCAGGCACGCAGGTGCCATGGATTGGAGCGGGAGCGCACCGCCAGTGGGAAATGTTGGAGAAAGCCCTGATGTCATAAATGGTGACGACCCCGACGACCCCTATTTGCCTCTGGTACCATTCAGATGTCAGCTGTGACTTGGAGAGTAGGTGGAGCCATCCATCATGTCATGCCCACTGATGCGGATACACGTCTCCTGTCACGTCGTCAGGTTTCCGGTGCCCACGAGCTTCATGCTCTTCCTGGTGTCTTGGCGAACCTATTGGATCCCGTTGGGCCCATCATTCTCCACTCAACCTAGGCTTACATGGTTGGCATTCCTTTGTGTATGATCATTGTGTGTGATTACTTCACGCCTGTGGCATCCGAAGTGATGTAAATTTGAGTAGCGTGTTTTCCTGGGCCTAAAGTCAGATTTATGTTCCTTCCAATTTTTTGCGTCAGACCGCACTCGGAGAAAAGATGAAACCATGAAAACATCATGCAAACCAAAAGACAGAAATTAAAGTGTACTAAATATGGACCGAACCACTAGGAGCCAAATCGCTGGAAGCGGGAACATTGCTGTTGACTAGGGATCTTTCTTTTTCCAATGGGTCATTCAAAACAGGAACCAGTTTTTCGAACTTGGCAAGTTCCATTTCCAACTCTTCCTGGGCAAGCATTTCCTCAGGCAAAGATTGCTCTAGCAAGAGGGCATCCATTTGCATTTGATCAGCGGACTTGGGACCCTCAACATACCCAACATCCTGTTTTTTCGCAACATGACTTTCAGCAGGCCCTTCAACCCGACGGTCATTGGGTAGCTTTTCAGTGCTGCGAAGTTCCACGGGAGGTCCTAGCTTGATGTATTAAATCACTAATCATCGTTCATGGAATTTATACATATCAGTTTTGGTATGTGGGAAGTGCACCCATCATAGATCATCATGAATTGCTGCATGTATGTCATTTCTGTATCATGTACCACGGATACCATATGCATATCATGCAGAAGTATATGAACAGCACTATGTCTCAGCTCCGATCCACTGGGCGAAGTGGTCCCAACCGCTCCGCCTTTGCGCCGGGCTCAGGCTCCACCACTGGATCTTCATCACAAGGATCGGTCTCACCTGGGCCGGAGATGTGTTGGCAGGGCTGGATGGTTAAGGGTGTCAAAGGGGTGATGCGGGCTTCCACATGCATGCGCAGCATCTCACATGGCTTTCTCAACATATTGCCCCAAAACATGAAAAAGGTACGAATTGTTGATTTATGCTTGTGGCCCTTTGTTAGATGACGATTTATTTGTTTGAATGACCAAACATGGATTAAGATATCGAACACACTGTGGGACACAAATTTGAGTATCAATGGAAGTTGCAGGTGATGTTGCGGTATTGAAGATTGACCTGATGATTGCACGAATGTGATGTTACTTTGCATGGTGATAGTTGCCAGTTTGAGGAGGAGGAAAGGGGGGAGGAGGAGCATGAAGATTGTAACCGCACACGTCTTCCCACCAACCCTGAGCGAGGAGCCGGCAACACGAAGCTGGCAGCGGATGTCGAGGCCCGCTCGTTGATAGTTCTACCTCTACCCTTCCCATTCCGGAGAGATAATCCCACCTTTATCAATCATAATGGATACGATTGTGGGTGAGTACGATTGTGTGCGCGGGAAAGCCTTTGCCAACACCCTGCTAGGCGTTAAAATTTGGGCTCGCTGAAGCGAAGAAAGAGATCGGTTCGTTGAACAGCAAGCTCGACAAGACGCAGGGCGCCGTTTGTCAGGCAGCGACGGGCGCATGTTGAAGTACTTGTCCCGCATTTGACCGTGGTTTGGGAAGATCATATATAAAATGGGATCCGCACCAATGGTTGAAAACACCTAGGCCGAGCGAGGAAAATCTCTAAGTTCATCATGTTGCAGGTAGCCTGCACCAGCATGAGAAAGTACAGTTGAATATGGCTTCCGGCTTTTTGCGGCAGCCAATCTTCATGGACGGGATTTTCTCGAAGCTAGCCTCATTCAACTCTTTGGTAGTTACTAGTGTTGCATATATTTTTTGTGTTACTTTTTTAGCTTCACCACATGCTGGCAGCGGTGTAGTTGAACCAGTTTCATGGATCTTCTCGGACTTCCAAGCATATGGCCCAAGGGATGCTTCAGAGCAAAATCAACATGATACAAGAAGTACATATACAACATGTAAATATAGTGTAAACATAACCAGTACCTCAGAAAATCATCACAAGTCAGAATTTCAAAACGTTTTGGTAAATGATATCATCAACTGGCAAAATATGATTGCAGAATATGGTCATTTTTTTTTGTGTTGTCGACTTGATTTGCAGATTCATTGCCTGCTCCTGGTTGAAGCAAAAACAATCCCAATTAAAGGACCAGATAACCTCACATACCGTTGCAGTACTGTCAAACGTTTACTTGTGAGTTTCTATGCATGCTGTTGTGGGAACCTTCAGCAAATGAACTAGCAAATAGCCATCCCATTCCCCCTTAAACGAAAAATCGATAAACACAAAAACAGAAAAAACAAAAAACACAAACAAAACACAGAATAACGTGTTTTGTTTAATTTTGATTTTTTTTCTCAAACTTTACTAGATTCTTGTCGAAGCGAAATCATTTCAAAAAACTTAAGAGAAAAGTAATGCAAACCCTCTTCTTCACTCTCAACACTATGGTCTATGACTGTTTATGGTAGATATACCTCTAGTTAATGTGAATTATTTATAAACGAATTGACAAAACAATGCTGAGGGGCACCACCTTGTAGTTAACCCCATCAGCATTCCATCAATAGGGATTTGTGCAGCACTTATGTTTGGATTCCCATTCTGGGATGGATGACAGCTGGCCTCATTAATCCCATGCAATTGACCATGGCACATATGGGGATGGCTCAAAACTTATTATACCATATATTGGGGCATTGAACATCCATTTGCAAGTCAATTTGCGGGTTCGCCATGGTTCACCAGGGTTTTGACCCTCAGGCCATATCAGTTTGAAAATAGAGTACCTCCCAAGTTGATGCATAACAGCATACTCCATGTTCTGACAAAACAACATATGACATCAACCTAAGCCAACATGTAACTAGGGGCATCCATGGTTTTTCTTTTTTTCAGTTATTCGAATTGTAGGGGTGTCCTGCAGATATCCCCCTTCATCCAGTCTACCCAATATCAATATGTAGTTCCACTGATGAATGCTTAGTTTAATCAATCATTTATTTGGGATCGCCCCTCTGAAACCAACTTAAATTTCAATGAACACCCATTAAAATCATCATGTTTCCTATCAAATCAACAAACATGTGCCACAACATCGAGTAAATCCACCCTTTTTCTCCATGAACATCACACCAAGATGCCATTAAATCATATTAAAGCCTCATCAATTCCGAACAGTATTTGCGCGGTGTTCAAAACTCCAGTTGGTTGATGATTAGTTTATTGCAAGCATCCATGAAGGGCGAATCCCGTTCTCAACCAAACAGTGTGAAGGGTTTTGAACACTGTTCACATGTGTTTTTCATATTTTATACATATCCTATATGTTTCATACTGTTTCATGCATGGAATATGTACCCACCTTCCCTCCTCAAATGGAGAAATAACCCGGCATCTGTGTCTCTGGAGCTGAGGTCGACCTGGAACAACCAGATCTTCAGTCCTTCCCCAAGCTGCGGTCCTTGGAAGGCCGGGGGATGGTGCGGCAGCCCAGAAATCGTGGATTCATCAGCAAAAATGGGCGATTTGGCCAAAAAATGAGGATTTGACCAATGAACATTGGGATTTAATCAACACATAAATTTTAAGCAACAGAAATTAAAATTTAACCAGCAAACAAGGAGATTTAAGTCACAAACATGTTGTTTTTTAGACACCGAAGTAGGGCTTCAACCAATTCAGACTACAGACAGTTGGTTGGTGGTTTCAAACAGTTTTTCATATTCCACAGTTTGTCAAAGATGGGGACTAATGAACCAGCCAAAAAATAGAAATTAAAGGACCGGATAACCCCGCAAGTCAGCTTCTTCCAATAATTAGAAACAAAAGTTGAAGCGGGACGGGGAAGGAAGGAAAGACAAAGGAGGTGGTGGAGGATCGATAAGTTAAACAACAGTTGAATGTGGAAGAGATGTATGTGTGTGTGTGTTAGAACGGTGTGATGTATGAGGGTGAAACAGTTGTGTGTGCAAGAGTTGTGTGTGTGTGAGGAAGTTTTGAAATAGTTGTATGTGTGTGAACGAGTTGTGTGTGAGAAAGTTGCGTGTGAAAGAGTTGTGTGTGTATGTGTGTTAGAACGGTGTGATGTATGAGGATGAAACAGTTGTGTGTGCAAGAGTTGTGTGTGTGTGTGAGAAAGTTGTGAAATAGCTGTGTATGGGTGTGAACGAGTTGTGTGCGAGAAAGTTGCGTGTAAAAGAGTTGCGTGTGCAAGAGTTGCGTGTGCCAAAGTTGTGCGTGAGAAAGCCGGCCTCCCAAGCGACGCGGTGAAGAGCAGAGCGGGACGTTCGACAGTCGCAAGGACGTGAACTTCCCGGCCACTGCCTCGGTGTGTGCCGAGCAAGGCGCATTTGCCCATAGCCCTTGCTGTCATACTCGGTTGGAAACCGAGCGCTGGCCCCAAGCACACACAACCGCATCATCCTGCACCCCCGGCCAACGAGGTGACAGACGACCAAGTAGAAACAGAAACATACTCTGCAACAGAAGTGTTACGACAGTAACAAACAGCCCAACGCTGCAAATCACTGGGTCAAAGCTTCACTGTCCATCGGTGAAAGCCTACATCCACTTGATCGACACCCATGAAAGATCAGAAAGGTACCTGGCTGCAATGCTGGACTGACGAAAGGTACAGCAATGCTGCAAAACATGGCTAAAACATGGCTTGCGATAACACATGGCTGAAACATGGCTTGCGCCAAGCTTCTGTAAGACATGCCAGAATTGCTTGCGCAGAGTTTATGTAAAACAGGCCGAAGAGTACGTTAAACATGGCATGCACCAAATTTCAGTCAAACATGCCAGAATGGCTGCGGCTTGCACAAACAGCCACCGCTGCACATGTTTCTTCCCACGCTGGGTCTTCACAGGCCATCGGTGAAAGCCAGTTCTGTCATCAAGCTTCTGTAAAAAATGGCAGCATGGATTGCACAAAGTTTCAGTAAAACGTGCCAAGTACGTTCAACATGGCTTGCACCAAGTTTCAATCAAACATGCTAGAGTGGCTTGCACAAACAGCCACCGCTGCACATGCCCAAAAGCGCCGCCAAATCCAACCCAGTGTCATAAGCGCCACACCTGCCACGCAAATGCAACGTTGATGTCGCCACGTGCCACGCCTGCCATGCAAAACGAAATTGATATGAGCCTGCGAGCAAGTGCCACGCCTGCCACGAAAAGTGCCGCGGCGCCACGGGCGACCAACGGGCTCCAAGCGCGCCACCAGATCCAACCCAGTGTCATAAGCGCCACGCCTGCCACGCAAAACGAAGGTTGATGTGTTAAGTGCCACGCCTGCCACGCAAAGTGCCGCGGCGCCACGGGCGACTAACGGGCTCCAAGCGCGCCACCAGATCCAACATAAGCGCCACGCCTGCCACGCAAAACGAATGTTGATGTGTTAAGTGCCACGCCTGCCACGCAAAGTGCCGCGGCGCCACGGGCGACTAATGGGCGGGGAAGCGCGCCACCAGATCCAACCCAGTGTCATAAGTGCCACGCTTGCTACGCAAAACGAAGGTTGATGTGAGCAAGTGCCACGCTTGCCACGCAAAACGAAGTTTGATGTGACCAAGCGCCACACCTGCATACACCTGCCACGCAAAGTGCCGTGTGAAAGATGGTGTGTGACAAAGTTGCGTGTGTGACAAAGTTATGTGGAGGAGGATGGGAGGAGGACGGGAGGGGGAGCAGACGGGATACAGAAACAAAAACAAGAACCCCACACAAAGACGTGGAGAACAACCATTGTTTTAGATACAAATTGGTTGATGAGGTTTTACTTCGGGTCTGAACTATCTTTATCTGATAAAAGGGTCTTTAAACATGGTGTAGTACTGTACCAAGAACTGGGAGAGAGTTAGGAAAAACCGGGAAATAACTTAAGATGTTGAGGTAACAAAAACATATTGAGCAACACTAATTAAATTATTTCACCAACACAACTTGGCAGGCATGTGACTATGGCGACCTGCAACATTGTAATTAGCAGTCGACCTCGAAAATTGTTTTTTTTTTGACTCTAAAACCATGTTTCTTTTGGGCAGTCCATTTTGAGTCGCATTCAAATTGACGCAGTTCCGGCGCCATCTCCGAAACTCTTTCCCTCCAGGTGATGTTCATTTTTGTTTCATCTCCTGCAAGACTTCCCTGCTGCAGGATTAACAGCACTCCTTTGTGCAACAGGGGGTTCTTGGGCTCATTGCAGGGTTCATGTTTAATGTTCGTGACATGGCTGATGAGTGCGTTTTTAAATTTTTTTAATGAAAATATGAATGGAAAATGGGGAGTTAATAGGGAATAGTCTAGATGTGTTACCTTGTTTATCCTTTTTGGATATGTTTTGCGACGAGAGATGGAACAAAACCCTCCTGCTATGCGCAGAACTGATGGTTTCTACCTTGGGAAGTCGGGCAAAACTCCACATTTCAACCTTAGAAATGGGATGATGATGGCTCAACCACCAACCAGTATGAGGTGTTTTGTAAAGCCTATACCGTACATACAATATATAAGAGACGGAATTTTATGAACCATCTAAACTATTGTTGGGTGGCTAATATTATTATAAACGAAAACTATGAAAAACAACGAGTATCTAACTATATGATTCATATTGATTCATATATAATAATATCCATTAATACCCAAGTTTCTTATCCTTTGCCATGGATCCCCCAGGTGGCTTCGGTCAAGAAGGGTGAGGCAATTTTCATCCCTACGTCTCCCGGCGGTGGATCTCCGGGATGTGTCTCAAGCAATGGTGAAAATGGATGAACATGGCACCATTTAGCTATTACCCCGTGGTACATTTTTACATGTTGGACCCTGAAAATGACCATTTTTTTTGTGGAAACTAGTCTTCCAACCCCGACAACTGCCAGGGTCTATGTTAATTTACTGGAGGGTAACTATGGAACTTCTTTTATCAAACAATATTAAACATGGTGAAAATGGATGAACACATAATGTTTAATGGTGATTTACCTATTAAACTGAATAATGTTCTTTAATTTCAACCATCCATGTTGAAAATAGTTGGATGTTTAATGGTGATTTACCTATTAAATCTATTAAACATGAGCGGTGCCAACTTGATGATCACCCGTGGATGAAGCCTAACATCAAACACTTGAGCACTTGTTCATGTTGGAAAAAAATGTGCCCGCGAAATAACTCTCAAATTCATCATTTTAAATGACTCAAGTTCACTCTGCCGCACTTTTGATACGCGACATATTTTGATACCGTTTTTTGCGCCGGTCGGTTATGGATCACCTATGGTACTTAAGCATGCAGAGCCTGGATATAGTCAAATCCCATTGGATGCTGGTCCCAGTCCAAAAAATACGTTTGCAGTACCGAAATCTGAAAACTGGTTGGTGGTTTGGAACATCAGTTTTATTTTTTCCCATCATATTGGGAATGTCATCATCCCAACTGACTCATATTTTTCAGAGGGGTAGGCGAAAAACCACCAAGCAGAAAACACGTGTCTTTTGATCCACTGCCATCCTGTATGGGATTGTTCCATTTTCAGCTGCTCGAATTTGCTTGAGACTTGTTTGAATGATCAAACCCTTTGAAATCACGTCAATGTACATCAATCCAAAAAGGAGCCAACTTTGAACTTCCAAAAACCATGTTCCTTCAGCTCTTGGATCCCGATTGTTTCATTCAATGATACACACACACATATATATATATGAGGAATCACTGAAATCTATGAACAAGAACCGTTACATCTCTATATATATCTATATACATATATAATATATATATATATATGTATATATATATATACATACATATTTTTTTTTTAAAAAAAAACATCAATGAAACCTATGAAAAAAATCTATGAAATCTATGATAAAAACAGCTACTTTCTATTGAACCTTGAGGATCCAAAACAAACCCCTCCCCCTTTTTCAATCGGAACAAGGCATTGGTGGCATCATGTGCAGGGCTTGACGGAGCCAGGCAGCTGGTGTCATTGGGGTACCCCCAGTTATCATCCATTTGTTGGATTTTTTCATGAAATTCCAGGAACCCCCCTATGTATATATAGAGTTTATGATGGTTTTATAGAGTTTATGATGATTTTGAGGAAATCAGCCTTTTTCATGTTCGCATTATTTGTACAGGGAGTCAGCGCTTTCGCGAAACCCCCGAAAGTGGCGTCACTATGCTTCAATCCTTATACTGTTTGGCATGCAACGACCTTACAAGACTTTGTTTGCACTCCCGATAGATGGGATTAACATGAACATTAACATTAACATGAACATGAACATCCATCCATCAACAAGAACTGTTAGTGAATTTCCACACATGATGCCCCACTCTCTTCCTGATATAAAAAGTAAAACATCATCCATGGATATCGAACCTGGAAAATTTACATCCATCCATCAACACAACAGAAATTGTAAAAAAAACATGAACATGGATGAATTTCTCCTATAACTTTACACGGTTGATAAATTCTAGTGAAAGTAAAGAATGAATCATCATAACTCATAACTTAAAAGATGTGGAGCCTCCTGAAGCGAACAGTGAATAAACCTCCTGGATCTGCTTGTACAAGACTCCTATGCCAATATCATTGAATTGTAAATTGTATCCAGTAGCCATAGCCAGTGTATCTATCACATAGTTATCATTTTGCAAGACTCTTGAAGTATACATATGATAGAGACACAGTCCATCATACGGTAGCTCCCCAGGGGACGGCCCTTGGAGCATCAGCGTGAACTTCTGGTTTGCCATCCACAAGGTGAGCTCGGTAGGTGCTGTTGAATTTCTCCGGTGTACTTAAGACTTAGTATTCTTGGAGGGTACTCCAGTTTCAACACTTGCTGGGTAACCAAAAAGTGTCAATGGGATAATTATGGATGAATCTTGGATCATTTCGCACTCCCAACGCCTTCATAGAGAAGCACTGACGCAGGGATCCACTCGGCAACGAGGGAACCGAAGCACTTCACCGATTTGGAGGGCCACCCGATCAGCCCACGCAGGTCCTGCTGGAGGGGCCGCATCCATTTCCTCCACACCTGGAGCTGGAGCCAAGACCTGAGATCTGGATCTGGGAGGGCAGAGGCACAGATTTTCCCCAAGGATTTTTCGATGGTTTTTCTATGTTTTTTTATGGGATTTTATGATGATTTTATGATGATTTTATGATGATTTTTCGATTGATAAATTCTAGTGAAACCACCAACCAGCATGTCTCAAAAAAGACAAACATGAAAACCCAACATAGGTTGATGTGGAAGATTCTTGGTTATGTATTCTAGTAGATCTCTGAACATCTCTATTTCTGTTGGTGAACGGATCGATGGAAATTCACATTTTTTTGAATTTTAAACCATGATCATAAATCATCGAACTAAATGGGCAATGTTCCGTTAAATAACCAGAGGGTAGATGGTTACTATATGGAATATCTACGATTTAAAGTAAATTAAAGTTGATGTTCCCAACTATAAACCTCCATTTACAGATTTTCCATTTCAAACTGTTTGATGAAACCACAGGGTAACCCACTATCATCATTATATCCCATGATATATCCCTATTGCTGGTTGGTGGTTTGGAACATACATTTTTATGTTTCCAATATATTGGGAATTTCATCATCCCAACTGACGAGCTCATATTTTTCAGAGGGCTGGGTATACCACCAACCGGATGAAGTTTATTTTAGAGGAATCATCCCCAAATGGCCCATAGAAATAGATGGTTTACCTATTATGATGATACATTTTTGATATACCCATGATATAATGATATGATAATGATATACCCATGATATAACCATTATCAACAGTATATTAACCATATTTTTCAGAGGGGTTATGGCTTGAAACCACCAACCAGAGATGATTTTCCCATTGAAACCATCCCAGAAATTTCTCCATGTTTGGTTCAATCCCCCCGAGGTTGGCTCGCCACGTCGAGCTGCTTCTTTCGGCGTCTCGGACAGGTGGTTCAGGTGGTGGCTGACGTGAGCGGGTGATAAGTAGTGTAAGTAGGGGCAATGTCCACTTAGAACTGGGATACTACTGGGTTATAACATGTTATAACCTCAGTATCCCAGGGTTATCCCAGTATACGTGGATTATAACTGGGATACTGGGGTTATAATCCACTGGGGTGAGCCACCAAGTAAGAAGCGCACCAAGAGCGCCCTGTTGGGAATCTGGATTTCACCAACAAATTCTACCACTGGGGTGGTTGCAGCCTTCCTTTTTTGGTAAGATGTGTTTTTCCCCACCTGCCAGGTGAGGGTTGTTAGATTTTATGTCAGTTGCCTTCTCCTCCTCCTTCTCCTCCTTCTCCTCCTCCTTCTCCTCCTCCTCCGCCTCCTCCTGCCTCGTCCTCCTCTCCTCCTCCTCCTCGTCCTCCTCGTCGTCCTCGTCGTCCTCGTCGTCCTCGTCGTCCTTGCTCAACTGCGACCCGCGATCCCCAGTGTTCTCTGCCGGACCTCAACCACGACCATCCACGCCCAGTGTTCCCTGCCGGACCTCAACCACGACCATCCACGCCCAATGTTCCCTGCCGGACCTCAACCACGACCATCCTCGCCCAGTGTTCCCTGCCGGACCTCAACCACGACCATCCACGCCCAGTGTTCCCTGCCGGACCTCAACCACGACCATCCACGCCCAGTGTTCCCTGCCGGACCTCAACCACGACCATCCACGCCCAGTGTTCCCTGCCGGACCTCAACCGCGAGTATCCACGCCAAGTGTTCCCTGCCGGACCTCATGTAGGAAGATATGGGACAAAGAATGTGCAGAAGAAAGTTAAAAGATAGAATGCCAGAAGATTTGCCAGATAATATGCCAGAAGATATGCCAGATAGAATGCCAGAAGATATACCAGATAGAATGCCAGAAGATATGCCAGAACATATGCCGGAAGATATGCTAGATAGAATGCCAGATAGAATGCCAGAAGATATGTCATAATATATGCCAGAAGATATGCCAGATAGAATGCCAGAAAATATGCCAGATGCAATGTCAGATAGAATGCCAGAGGATATGCCAGAAGATTTGCCAGATAGAATGCCAGAAGATATGCCAGAACATATGCCAGAAGATATGCCAGATAGAATGCCAAAAGATATGTCAGATAGAATGCCAGAAGATTTGCCAGTAAGAAAATGTATACATGTCATGGTGGGGATCACACGAAGTAAAGTAATTTTTGGAGAGCCAAAGCGACACAACACAATCCAACTTTTGGTAGCTGGCATCCTTTCATTGAGATGTCCAATCACTGTTGGTGGAATCCCCAATGTTTCCAGGTTCAGATTTACCATTGCAGATGTTTGCAGATCAAGTTTGTCCGAAAATTGGATCTTCCCCAGATCCATTGGTTTGGATGAACAACGACTGAGCTGAGCGACGTACGACTGGAATGATGGTGAACACGTCAGTGAACGCAAACTATCTCAAAATAGCCGAACTTTTCAGGTTGGTGAATGTAATTCAGCAAGATGAGTAAATCACAAAATATCAGGTACCAAGTCGTAACTAGTTTGCCATCATAGCTAACTGGAGACGATTCCCGGTTTTGCATATAAATCCCCACTGTTTGATCATCATAAGTTTAGCAGGGGAGTAACAAACAATCCATGAGCAACAGAAAATTCCATTAAAGCGCCATTAACACACCCTTATGTAAACCACTCTGAAAATCCATTGAAATCCATTAAAAACAATGAAAATCCATTGAAATCCATATAAAAATCCATAAGAAACCATTGAAATCCATCAAAAACCATGAAAATCCATTGAAATCCATACAAAAACCGTGAACATTCACTGAAATCCATAAAAATACATGAAAATCCATTGAAATCAATACAAAATCCATGAAACTCATCATATTCCCATGAATCCCATGGCAAATTTGAGCCATCTTAGGATGTCGGAGGCAGTGCGGCTGTGGGATCCCTCGCGCGGGAACTGCTGGAGGTGTGTGGCAGATGGTGAGGGGATTTCAGCATTGGAAAGCCACAATTTCCTGGGAAAAGAAGGGAAAAACCAACAAACATTGGTGTATCATGAGGATATCATGGGGATATACCCTCTGGTAAACTAACATAGCTATTGAACATGGCCATAGAAATAGTGGATTTACCCAGTAAAAATAGTGATTTTCCATAGCTATGTTGGCTTACCAGAGGGTAAGGCAACAATAGTGAAGATTTGCTCACACTTTCTTGGTAGTTTGCTGTGCACAACGATGATTCAACCAAATTTAACCAGCAAAAATATGCGGATTTCATGGGAATTTCATTGGCTACCAGGATCTCCCAGGTCTAATGGAGCTTTCAAGAAAAAAAACCCTTTGGTACACTGACATAGCTATAGAAAATCCCCAATGATAGTTGAATTCCCTACTAAAAATGGTGATTTTTCCAGTTCGTAAACTGTTTTTATAGGGATTTTCCTGTTTTTTACTGTTTTAATAGTTCCGATGGGTTTCCCATTAAAACAATTTACCAGAGGGATGCTATATTGTTTTAATGAGAAAGCCATGGGCTTCCGACATCACTGGATGTTCCCAGCAGCGATCACTGCAGGACGCTGAGGGCTCGCGTTCCGAGGTCAATGAGGTCAGGGCGACGTTGATCCTCTTCGGGAATCAAGGATGGTTGGAGAAAAAACATGGGAAAATAATGGAAAAATATGGGAAAATAATGGAAAAATATGGGAAACATATGGGAAAATATAGAAAAAATATGGGAAAATAATGGATTCCCAATGGTTGGAGGATCTTTGGGAATCAATCACTGAACGAAATGGAGGTTTTAATCTGGAAAAGGTGGGAAAACTATGGAAAAATAATCTATCAATGGAGGTTTGAATGGAAACAGATAATCTGTAAATGATTAAATGGAGGTTTTAATTCTGGACCAGAAATCCTCTACAAATGGTTGATGTTCCCCTTTTTTGATGACCGGAGGGTCAAAAATGGAGTAAAATCATGCCAGGTCATCAAGGTTGTGATGGCTATGCAGTTTCCTTCATTTTGGTGTCTTCAAAACCGCTGTTGATTGGTGCTTCAGGAGTTACCATCTGGTTATTTTACATAGCCATGGAAAGATCCACCAATTTTTAATAGGTAAACCATCTATTTCGATTAGGGCCATCTATACCATGGCTATGTTGAATAACCAGAGGGTAACCATGTTTTATGGTAGGTATATCTATATATGTATATCTATAGCATTCTATAGTTAACTAATGGGATATAACTATAAACCCACTGATATCATATCGATTGGGAATTACTGCAGTGACATTTCTGGCTTTGAACACTGCTGGTTTGGGCAGTGCCACCTGTTGACCTGTTGCCGGCTCGGCTGATGTCTTGAGATGTGCACTTGGCCCAAGCTGAGCGCTGAGCCGCATGGAACAGACGAGATTTGAAAAGCAGCAAAGATGACAAGGTTGAGCAAGAACATCATAAGTCGAAAGCAGTATATAATAGTATACATACATATATATATATATTATATACTTTGAAATCTTTTGATCACAAACAAACATGACATCGACCTGGAACTTTCCACAGGTCCTTGTCGAACATGTTCCTTTTGAGACGCCTCCTGGCGGACACAAGAGATGGTCGTCCTTCAAAAGCCCAAATGTGCCGGGTAAATTATGCCATCCTTTGCTGCCTATTCTGTCCATATTGTTGGGATGGTTGCCCTGTTTCCAAGGTTTTTGATCCACAGATGGGGCAGATCTCGAGCCATTATTTCACCGGAAAAAAAAGGAGTTCACTCGCAGATACCACAAAGGGATGCAATGGTTAGCTTCGGGGACATCCATCATTTTGTTTCAAAATGTTTAAATTAGCCTCCCCAAAACAAAACAGAACCCTGAACATCGCCAATTTTTAGTGGAAACTCACCTCCCAGACCTCTATTTGGCAGCCCCCAATTACTTCACGAAGCCGGGCCGTGATGAGCCATGGGCGATGGTGAAATCGATTTGGAGCAACCGGAGTCACTCGGGTGCCATTTGTGATGCGCAGGGTGCAGGTTGATGGTTACATGCCACCTATAGCCCAAGATGTGCAGCCTGCAATAAACCTATCATGACTGGGGATGGTTGAAATGGCACTCATAAGAAAGGTGATGACTCGAGGAATGATTGGGTCTTCAACAATTATTAGTAAAAAGGTTTGGGCCATCTATTTTTTCCGACATTATCATACACTTTCTATGCTGTGCGTGGCGTTCTTGACCAACCAGGTAAGCCTGTGCTGCAATTACTTCCTACCTCTTGCGATACCAGATTGGACATGATTCAAATGATGTAATGTGGGTAAAGCAATAATAAGCCATCCCTCAAATCACCACAAAAATAGGTGGTATATATAAACCATGTTTTACCATTCCCAGTCATGGGTGGTTTATTTATGGCATTGTTTTACCCACATTAGTCATCATTAATAACCATGAATAGCCCATTCATAGCCCATTAATCGACATTAACCATAGCCCATGATAGGTCCCAGTCACCTGAACGATGATCCCTGGAGGTGCAACCAGGGATGCAAGTGGGCACACCTCGAATCACGGAGTCCACTTACTGTTCCAGTTGGAAAGATTTGATGAAGCAAAAGATAAACATCACTGGTTGGTGGTTTCAAACATGGCTTTTATTTTCCATTTCATATATGGGATGTCATCCTTCCCAATGACTAATATTTTTCAGAGGGGTTGGCTCAACCACCAACCAGAACAGGAAGATTTCGCAAATTACGAAAGAAAAAAAGGAACGACCGGCAGGGTCCAGTTTCCAAAGCAACGCTCAGAAAGCGGACCATTTGAAGGAGTCGAGGCTTCACATGAACTGCGTAGCAACGCCAGAGCCAAAGAAAGCAACGCCACAGCCATAGGGCCATAGGGCAACAGGTCCTGTTGCTAAGTTTTTTGGTGTGTGTTCTGATCTGCAGGGCGTGCGATGATTGCAGAGGGCACGTGAATTGCTCCTCACCATCACATGACTACCAATTGTAAGGGGTTTATAAACACCAGAACGAGGCTTAAGACTTGATGTTAATGACATGTACGTTTATTCACAGTATTTACAGTATATACTAGGGAAAACAAATAAGAGTGACAGTGATCAACTAAATCTGAAACGCATTTCATAGAAATCTACAGATACATATCCCCCGTACATAGACCATATATATATATATATACATATATATATATATTATCCATCTGTGTACCCCAAACAAATACGGGCCCATAATATCTCTGGGTTCCCATCCACCATCATCCCGACCCAGGTTGTGCTCCAGCGATTCTGGCTGTGAAGTCGTGGATGGTGATGTCACTGGGTACCCGCTTTGCCCAAACCCGGCTGGTCATTGGATTTGGGAGGGATGCAGTGATGAAATCGGGATTCAGATTATCTATATGCAGTAAGTAGTTTAACCATCAACAAATTATGGTTTCACAGTTTCACCATCACAAATCCTGGTTTGACCATCAAAAATCGCAGTTTGATCAACACTTAACTGATGGGTTTATGGTATAGATATTCACATAGTCACCACGTTGTTGGGGGGGGCAACTGGCCACTTTTTTCGAGTTTGCAATGATACAGGTGATAACCTTGTTATCCCTAATGACTGATGGCTCATCGACTCCTTTCTTTGCTGTTTGTTTTTTGTTGCATCCATTGTATCATAAACGTAAGTACTTTCAAAAACTTTCTGGCATAGCTAAAGACAGCCACCATTTTTTTTTAAAGGTAAATGATCAAACCGGCCATTGTCATCCATTTTCATCCATGTTCCACGTCTATGTTCGATTGCCAGAGTGGGAGGCATTTTTCTGTCCCAGGTCAAGTGGTCACAAGTGGTCACAGTTCTCCCAGGAAAAGCGAGCGAAAACCTCGAAGTCGTCTTCCAAGCCGGTGGACAAGGTGCACCGGTAAGTAAAAACACCCCATTTTTGTCGTGGGAAGGTGAGGAAAGCAACTTATATGATGATATAATGTGGGTAAAACAATGCCATTTTTACCAGCCATGACTGGGAATGGTTTAGAACACCTATTTATGGTGATTTGGGGCATGGTTTAATCTTTGAATTTGAAAATATGTGAAACAAGTAGTTGAGCAGAACTTGTTTTTGTTGCCATTTTCATGGTGATAATGTCAATCTGACCAGTTTTGAAAAAGGCAAGGTATTTGAGATTGGCCAAGAACCATAGAGCCAAACCTGAATTGCAGGGGAGCAGAGAGTGGCAAATGTTGTTGGAATGTTCATTTGGGTTTGTCTGAAAATATGGTACCCCTAAATCCTCTTAATTGGTCGTAAAGAGGATCACCCCCAAATGGTAGTTGTTTATTGGATTTACCACATTAGCTACTGTACAATTTTGATTATTAATTATAGTTGTTTCATATGTTCATGTCATTTCATGTATAAGACCATATGTTTTGTCCTCATTGATTCGCCATTTTTTTTTGCCAACCTTTAACCCCCTTCGAATTTCTGCGGCGGCCCAAACAATGACGGCAGGGTGATGTTGGGGACATGGAACGAATGGGAAATGTAGGAATCATCTGCTGGTTGGTGGTTTGGAACATATTTTTTCCATATATTGGGAATAATAATCCTAACTGACTAGTAGTTTTCAGAGGGGTTGAAACCACCAACCAGATAAGAGTTATGACTCAACTTAGTGGATGATGAGAAAAACATCGACTGTTTTTGGGTGTTTCAAACCTGAGTTGACGTGATCCTGGAAGTGGCCGTTTTTTTGTTTAAAGAATCTCAAGTTGAAATGATCATCGTTTTTCATGATCAACATTATTATATATTTCAATAATGCAGTAGTTGGCGGACATCAACTTGTATAATGTTGTATATTGTTTCCTATTAGTTCAAAATGTCTTTGTTCTCTGGGAAGTTTTGTTTCAAGAGATAGGATGAAGCTGGGACGTTGATTTTAGCTGCCTGGTTGTCAGGATCAGCCCAATGTGGTTGAGAAGTCATCGAAAGACTCAAAGGCTTTGCGCAGGGAAGTCGGGCAGTCGGGTGGGACATCAACGATCCGATCGAACCTGCATGGGTAGGGCATGTTTTTTTTTTTTAAATAGGAAATGGTCGTTTTCCAAGAACAATGGTGGCTTAATTGTGGAAACATGATTAATAATGTTTAATATGATATATATATATAATGGTTAACACTGTTAATACTTTTTGGTGACTGCTGACTTTTCTGGATGAATCATAATCATGGGGTTGTTATGTTTGTTGAGATGGTGATTTGTGACTTTCCTAAGGGGAAATACACCATAACTGGGGAATTCATAGGGGATATGTTGTTATTCTTTTGGGAGGGGCTTCAGCGAATCCAAGACAAAGCTTTGACTTGCATGTCACTGCATGTCCCCAAGAAAACAACGATAGTATCTGAAGTACAGGCAGTACACTCCCATAATTTCTATAGCAATGGCCAGAAATGTTGCAAGATTATGCAAAATTCACAGTGGTGGTAATGCCCTCTACTTAGCTAAATTGGTGAAAGCAGCTAGGTTCAGTATGGTTCATCGTAAACATATAATTTGTCGAAGTAGTTAGTGGGGTTGATTAACCAATCTTGTCATAACTCGGGGCAATACTTTGTACATGTGCAGCTAAGCAACAAGTCAAGCATGATGTCTGATGGTCACACCATCCAAATCCCTGTTGAAGCTTCGGTTTGAGTCCCATGGGTCATCAACCCATTGTGTTTGGATTTCCCCACTGGCCACCTACATAAACCCCAGATGGGATTGGACGATGATTCTCCGGATTTCTGGCTGTTTTTATTGCAGAAATCTACATTTGATGTACCTCAAGCATTATGCATATCATTGCATGTCATTGCATATCATGTTCATTATGATTATATTTATACACGGTCATTATCACTTAATACATTATTAGTTGTCTTATTATAAGTTCTTTTGATCACTATGATGTTCATTGTTTATATTTATTATTGTTATAATATGATCAAACATTATGTTCTTCTTGCATTTCACTAGTTCATTATCTATTAATATTCTGGTTCTATGACAAGTTTTCCATTATACATGTTCTTTATGACATTGTGTTTAAATGATTATATTGCAATGGTTACTATTTTATTTTTTTATTATTGATGTGAATCTATCAATTTAACATTGTTTGTTATAATGTAGCATCATGATTGCTATAGTTCATCATTTATTACCTGGCCACATCAAAGTTAATCCTTAATCCTTATGTCGGATTACGGATTATCGGCTTACGGTTTGTGTATAGTACTGTTTGTTGATGTTTGCATTTTGAGCTGGAGAACAAGCATCAGGTAACATGTCCACCATCAGTGATATCCAAGTTGATTACAGGCATTCGCTTGCAACTTCCGTTGAAAGGTTTGCTGAGTTCACGCATTTGTGCCGAAAGGGTGACGGCTCCAGGCAACTCACAGAGTAGGTTTGACGTCATGGCGTTCTATGCTTGGTATGCTAGCAACAAGGACCAGTTTCAAAACCTTGGTGGCGCCAAAGGTACCATGAAGGCTGCCAGCGAAGCTTGGAAGAAGGTGAGTCCTGACAAGAAGGTCGAGTGGAAGGCCAAAGCTCTTGTGCTTGCGAAGAAAGCCGACGGTCAGGGACAGCAGCCAAATGAAGCCGCCCCACAGGGAGAGGAACCTCAGCAGGCCGGTAATATGATTTGTTCTGGAGGGAGGGCATGCTTAATTCATCGAAACAACATGCTTTCTCATCGCTGGATGCGAAGCATATCGGCACTGACAGGCCACTACTTTTGATTGGGTTTTAGCTTCTTCAGGTGCTTGAAAGAGCACGTTTCTAATCACCACTGCAGCTTTTTTTGAAAGGTCATCCTGGAAGCTTGTGCGTGTTGATAGGACAGTCGTCTTGATTGGAACGGAGTCTTTGAAGCATTTGAAGCAGTCCATTTTCAATCACCACTGTTGGTAGTCTTGATTGGAACGGAGTCTTTGAAGCATTTGAAACAGCCCATTTTCAATCACCACTGTTGGTAGTCTTGATTGGAACGGAGTCTTTGAAGCATTTGAAACAGCCCATTTTCAATCACCACTGCTGGATCTTTGAAGAAGGGTTGTTGCATCTTCAGTCACCACTGCCTGACCCTCTTCTCTGCTTGTCTTTCTCCAGTCTTTCGTCTCTTTCCCTTTTCTTTGCCGCTGCTCCGCCGTCCGGGGAGGGGTGCGTGTGGTGAGGTGGCCCACGACCTGGTGCTATGCTTCAGTTCTCTTCTCGTCTTTCCTCCCACTTTCGTCTTTTTCCCTTTTCTTTGCCGCTGCTCCGCCGTCCGGGGAGGGGTGCGTGTGGTGAGGTGGCCCACGTCCCGACCTAGTGCTGTGCTTCTGTTCTCTTCTCGTCTTTCCTCCCTCTTTCGTCTTTTTCCCTTTCGTCTTTTTCCCTTTTCTTTTTCTGTTCTCTTCTCGTCTTTCCCTCCTCGAGTTTCGGCATGTCCTACGCCTGCAAACCGCGCATTTAGCGCAACATCCGCAGAAGAAGACCTTGCCACCGTACCTCGACGCAGTTCAGTTTTGGAAATTTTGCATTCATTCATGTCTTTCTGGCGCACACACACACATGTTTGCCGTTCTCATGCAGCATGTGCAAGCTGGTATATGGCGACCTGAGGACAGGCGAAATAGAAAAATGCCAACATGTACATCAGATAGAATGCCAGATAGCTTGTCCGAATATACGTGGGGTCAAATGGCAGATAGCATGTCACAATAAATATCAGCTGTCAGGATACATGTCACTGTGGGGATCGCAAGGAGTGTTCTTGCCACTTTCCCATCCTACTTGAGGCACAGCTTCTGGCCTTCGCTGCTTTTGCAGATCAGGTCAACAACCCCTTGCTGCTATCGGGTCATTGCGGCATGCATCATCCTTTCCTACCAAAATACGGACGTGGAGCGAGACTTAGCCCTTCTGAAGCGTGTGCACGAGAGGTCGCAGGGCCAGTAAGAATATTTTTTTGTATAGGGGGCTTCTGTTGTTGCAAAGGTTCCAAAATAATGGGGATTTCAATCTGACTTATATAGTGGTATGCTATGGTTTTGGATGGTTTTGGTCTAATTGTTTCTCTATCTTTGCTTTAGTTGTTTTCAGCTTTCTTTTACATTTCTCAGTTTCAAATAATTCTATCTGTCACTGTATTTCCTCTTTATTTCTTCGTTTCAAGAATCTGTTGTATTTTTCATTGCTTCTCTTACCTCATTCTGTTTCATTCTGTCTGCTAATTCTTGTACTACCTCTGAATTTTTCTAGGGTTCAGTGTGTATATATATATTATACATATATGTTGTTTATATTCTGGATTGTTTTCTCTCATCCTTAGGCTTACTTCTATGATAACATTGATTCTTTTCTTTATTTTTTGTTGCTTCCTGATTTTTTTTTTATGTAATGGTTTTCTTTGTGCATTTGTCCCTTGTTTTGTTCATGTCTTCATTTTCCCTGCTTTCCTTTTTGGATTTACATAACTACTAGTTTTGGGTGTCTTCATTCCTTCTGTGGTTGTAGTTGCTTTTTCTTTTGCACGTTCTAGGTTTGTGTGGCTTGGTCTGTTGTTTTGTTGGTTGATTTCTGGGGGTGCCTCTGTAATTTTGTAATGTCACATTTCAATGTAATGTTGTTAAAATCTCAAGAATGTATGTATGTCTATGTATCTATCGTTGTACCTATCTATCTATGTATGTATGCATGATGCATGTATGCGTGTATGCATATATGCATGTATGTATGTATGCATGCATGCATCATGTATCTATGATGAACGTTTGTTTGGTGGGGCACATGAGACTGCCAGGGGTGGATGAGGGCAGCCGGAGCCAGCAGGGCGCAAGAGAGCCAAGTGAAGCTCCTGGGTGGCTTAGGGAAGGGCAGAGCATTTGGGTGGAGCTGTAAGAGTGTTCAAGATGTGGTGGGCCCAAATGAGTGCCTGTTTGTTTGCCCTAAACCTTGTTTTCTTTTTTGTGGGGGTACCCATTGCAGCTATGGCACAGCCAGGGCTGGCGGGGGAGGGAGGGCGATTCTCTTAGAGAATGGTGGGTGGGGGCTGTAGGTAGGGAGATGGGCACAGTTGCATTGGGCTGGGTCGCCGGGCCTGTTCACGCAGCTGCTCAAAGCAAGCAGGCAAGCAAGGAGTCAAGAGTGGAAATGTGGAGATGTGGCATTTCTGCTGCTGAATTTTGGGGGTCTCATGATGACATGAATTAGGTAGGGGGTCGGTTCTGTTTCCACCCTTGCAAAGTCTTGTTTTGTTTTTTTGGGCTGGGTTCACCTGGTTTCCAAAGGAAAAGTGGTTTTAGGCACACCGGTTCTGAAACAACCATTATTTCGAACTGATATTGAAATGATACTGAAATCGTCCTAACTTTTGCGAACTTTTCGATTTGGAGTGGAACCGATACAAAAAAATAAAGTTGTATCAGTATATCTTGGTAACACAGTTGCTCGAGCAAAAGATCATGATTTTTTTCACTACATTTCCCCAACATGGAATGCATTTCATCCTAACATAAAGTACCAGAAGTGCATAGTAGCTATCCAATGATACCATTGGGGTGTCCAACTTTTGTAATGATTTTTTTTGCTGTGAGCCGATCTCTTTGTTTGATTTGTTGTTTAGCCATCCCCGCCAGCATGGAAGTAATTCTGTAAGATCCTTTGCATGTCTGGAAAAGCTTCTTTCATGTCTACAATGGGGCATATTCCCCGAAACTGTTCGAGCTGTTGTGTGTGACGGTAAATTGATCACATTGCTCCCAGTGGTCTGGTGTTTGCTTTTGGCAAGGCAGTGCGTATCACGGTGGAGTCCGCTGACTTGCCCCAGTCGATTCGCCTTGCCAAAGATTGCTACCCGGTCTTGTGCTTCGCACTGGAGCAGATGTTGACGGTGTACTTTCACCGCGGTGTCCTGTGCCAAAGGCACGCCAAGCGCAAGCAGCTCAAGCCTGAAGATGTGAAGCTTGGAGAAGTTCTGAGCAATCCTGAGCAGACCTTGAAAAGTTTGCAGGACTTTCAGCAGCAGCAAAAAGCAGCAGCCGAAGGCTCTGAGTTGCTGGCAAGGGCTAAGAAGCCAAATTGGTAAACGCCAACTCTGCGCCCAAAACTCCAGAACCTCACTCGCCCCGCGCACACCCAAGGTGCGAGCGGCAGAAATGCCAATGGAAGCGGTGCCACCGGCAGATGTGCCAGTGGATTTGGTGCCAGTGGCAGATGTGCCAGTGGTGTGAGCTGTGTCGCATACTTTTTGGGGGAAATGTCTCAAGCGAAGACAGCTTGAGCAAACGCACGGGGACTAGCAAACCAGCGCAGAGAAGAAAGGGCACCTGAAAGACCAGTTTGGGACTATGTGTTTTCCACCCGTCAGAATGTGCAGAACCCTCGCTGTTTTCTGGTTTTTTGACATGACCTACATTTTCGGATTACGGATTAAAACGGTTTATGGAGATGATACGGATTGGACTGATTGCGGATTAGTGTTGGCGGTTTGCTGTTTCGATATGTGCAGATTACAGATTACTATTGATTTATATTTTTTTATAGTGAAATTGTTATGTTTCATCATTTATTGACTAAGTGGTATATTATTGTTTGATAACATCATTCACTTGGTGATATTTGTACAATCGTCATGATAACATTTTATGTTTTTATTGATATGTATTATGTCCATAAAAAATGATGATTATGGACAGTGAAATCAAGAATCATGTTTTAATTATTGATGATAACATGTTTACACTTGTCATATTTTTAAATTTTATTAATAACACTTAGACATTGAATACAATTCATGCGTGTTTTCATCATTCATTGCTATCGATTTCCAGCTCCGGAGGCCGAGAAGACCTCGAGCCTTGGTTGTGGGGTTTTTATGGCCTTGGAGGGTGCTGAAGTACCTGGAGTTGTGGTATCTTTCAAAGGACTTTATGGTGATTTCATGATGATTCATACAGGATGGGGCCCCATACTTAGCTAAATTGCTTTTTAACTATAATAACAATAGTGTATCTGATTGGTGGTGTGGAACATGAATTCTATTTTTCCATATATTGGGAATGTCATCATCCCAACTGGCTTTCATATTTTTCAGAGGGGTAGGTATACCACCAACCAGAGAATAGTGTATGATGATTATAAATAAAATTCATGAATTATTCTGATGGGCTTATAAACCAACAAACATAACGTTTGGGGACCGCATCCTGTAGAGATCTAATGAAAGTTTACGGTTATTTTTCTAGGGACCCGATGGGACTCGATGGAATTTCATGGTGATATTCTGGGATGATTTTCTGGTGATTTTCGATGGGATTTAACCGTTATAGACATGTTTTGTTTGCTGCAAAAAAAACAAACGCCTCCAGTAGTGTGTTACTACCTTTGCTGTGGGAGATATGGATGGCCCTCTGGTAATTTGTTACATAGCTATTGAAAATGGCTCATTGGAACAGTTGATTTACCGTTCTTAGAGATGGTGATTTTCCATAGCATATTACATAGTTCATATTACTTAGAAAATTCAATGCATGAATATATTGATTTACTTAGTTCATATTACTTAGAAAATTGATGTTCCATAGCAATCTTACATTATGTGTGTATGTTGCTGTAGAGACACGGACATAACGGACATAGATATGATTATAATTGTATATATGGATATATATGGTTTCCATAAATGGGGGTACCCCAAAATGAATGGTTTATGTCATGGAAAATCCAAATCTATAAATGGATGATGAACAGGGGGTACCCCCATGGCTTGCGAAACCTCCAACGATAAATGTATTGCGATGGGGGTCGCAGCCGGTTGTATTGCTCAAATATGTTCGAATCATCTCAACATTGTTCTTTTTTGGCGCAAGACAATGACACTACAACGTGTTTTTTTAAGGATTGGTAAGTTGGTTTGTAATTCCAATGGTCCAACAATTACTCTATGTAGAATTTATGATACATGTATAGATCAATATATATATATATATATTGTTATATAATTATATAGATTGGTTTACACGCCAACTTATGAACTATGTATAAATAAACCATGGTGAAGCATGGTTACCCATACTTTAACCATAGTCTCATCCCAATTCCAACTGTAACTATAGATCGACCATAGTTTACAAAAATAGTTTTTTCAGCCCAAGCAACTATAAATAAACTATAGTCAACCATATAAATACACGATAAAACCTCCCAAAAAACTATGATACACTATAAACCATAGAGTTAACCTGTTGATTTTCACAATTCCATCTATGAACCTCGAATAAAAACAGCTCGTCATGGGCCCTTGAGGAAGTCAGCCAAGTCCACGAAGGAGCGACTTCCTCCAGGCCACGCAGCCACGCAGGGCGGGTTTGAAGATGGTTTGAAGATGGGGAATTCATGGTGAGATGGCAACAACATGTTCTACAACTTTGAACATGGGGAAAAAGGTGGGAACATGAACTGCAATTGGTGTTGCCTTTTAATGGAGATATCATGGGAAAATCTAATGTGAAGATGGATACTGATGGGAAAAATGGAACAAAAAAGCGTACCAATAATGGGAAAATCATGGGAAAATCAGCTATAATTTGGTGTATCATGGGGATATAAACCAACAGTAATGGAGATTTCTTTGGAAAATTGGAAGGTGACTACTAACCATTAAACATCTGTGGGAACATCAACTACATTGCGAATATAGTTGGCCATCCAGTAAACGAACATAATAGTGATTATTGGGAAATTTCATGGGAAAATTATCTCTGATTGGTGTATAATGGGGATGGGATGTTAACCACCACTAATGGGTTTTACCTTTTGGTAAACATATGTAAACATACTAACATCGCTATGGACAATCTCAATGTTTAGTAGGTAAATCAATGTAAATCATCTATTTTCATAGGATTGTGGATGTTAATGTTCCATGTCATGTTAATAAGCATAACCCTGTGGGATTTACCCTGGCTGCCAATGCCAACTACCATGACTGGGGATGATACTTACCAAGTTTCGTGGTGATTATGTGATGGTGATTATACAATTGGATACAAAAAAAGGGACTTTAATAGGATTAATGGTGCTGATTGTTCAATAAAATATAAAGTTTTAATATGGTGACTAGTTTATTAGTGCGATTTAAGCATTCATGCTGGTACCAATAAAACCGTTTAAACACATATGGAATTAAACAATAGATAGTTTAATATGTTTTAATGGTGATTCTGGGGACTTTTAGGATTTCATAGCCGCCTAAATGGCCATCTCTGGGCTCAATGGCGCCCCAGTTTTTGAAGCTGTCACCACCTGTGAAGAATCTTTAGTTGGAGTGACCATAATAGTCATTGATGACATAGTTATAAGTTATACCATAACATCATGTGTTCCCCATTTGTTTGGATAGATAGACTCGATAAATCATGTTTTCCTCATTCATAGTCATACCTAGACCCTCCAAATATCCCAAAACATGTTTAAACATACTAAAGTTATGGGTAAAAACCACATTTGTTTATGGGTCTTTGGAGGGTCTAGGTAATCCTATGTCAATACTTGCTAGCCTCCTCATTCGTGTGGGCCCACTGGCGGACCTTAGAGTCCCAATCATGACCAGATTTGGTAGAGAGAACCCAAAAAAAATAAATGGGTCACAACACACTCACACGCACACACACACAAAACCCTATAGTTTTGAGATGATTCTGAACCATAATTCGGGTTAATATCCCTACAGAACATGAATAAACTTGAGTTCTGGTAGTTGTAAAGCCAGATATGCAAAAATGAACCAAGTATGGCCTCGCGCGAGGTTGGATCAAGGTGGCATCCAAGTCGCATCCCGGGGCCTTTTACTATGCCCACCCGGCCAGCAAGCGCACGCAAGCGCATCCGCCTAAGACCATGTCCCTGGGCTTGGTGGAAACCCAGCCGGGTGGACCCCCCAAAATGGATCAAATGGACGTACCTAGACCCCCCAGGCCCCTAGGTACCAAAAATAAATGTGAAAGTATGGAAATTATGGGGTAACACACCATTTTTATGGGTACTTGGAGGCTAGGTACACTAAATATACAGTACCATAGATGGAGCATATGGGTATGCTCATCCATGTTGCATGGGGGTCAAAATGAGTCAAATCCTCTACTGAAAAAAATATGTTTTTCCATCACCGTGCTAGAGGACGACAGACTTAAAGCGAATAATTACCGTTTCATGCATTTGTTTGGTGAACTGCCAAGCTGTGGCTCAAAGAACAATTCTTTTGGGTGAAAAATCGGAGCTAATTCATTTTAAATGCCATCCCCTACATCTTATGTCAAAATCTAGGAACATGTATGAACATCTAATGAAATACATAGAATGTGGGGCCCCCGTTGGATAGCTAAGTTGGTGCAAATAACTCCAATTTCACTATGGTTTATGGTACGCAAATAACTATAGTATTCATGGGGTTTATAAACCAACAAACATCACTAGGGGGCCCCACAGTAGAAATACACCCAATTTTGGTGACCCAACATGTCATCCAGCGCATTCCACCAGGAGTTCGGCCCAGCCAGGTATCTGGGCCTCCCCGAGCCCGCAGCCAGCGAGCCGCTGACGCTGCTGGGGACGCCGCTGCCGGGCGCCAAAGTGCAGAAGGCGGCGGAAGAGGCGAAGGAGGCGAAGGACACCGCAGGGCGAAAGGCGACTCGGTGATCTTTTAAAATAGTGATACTATACTTGCCTCCCAAAAGTGTTTAAACAAACAAAAAACATAAATCAACATGTATCCATTACAGTTTTTTGTTTAATCATATCTCTCTCTCTCTCCATATATATACATATATACATATAATGATGGTGTATTACGTACATGAATGTGATATAGTTGCTCATCATATATCTATAGTCTATAAACTATATATAATATAATGATATATATATATAGTTTGTTTATGTGATGCTTATATCATTTATATATGAAGTTGATATAGAGTTCATATATTTTGAAATAGTGATTTGTTTATGTGACATGTTTGTAGACCTTGAGATTTTGGCAGCCATTTATGGTTGATATAGATGTATAGTTGATATAAAGTTGATATAAAGTTGATGTACAAATGATACATACATATATCAATAGTTGATGTATAGCTGATATACTGTATGTATATATATATATATTAGCTATAGTTGGGAGAAAAAAGCAGTCACCTCCTTCCAAATGGAGCCCAAATGTCCATGCATCGAATGATGTTTCTATTTTGTATGTGTTTTCCCAAAATCATCCACAACTGGAATAATCGTGGACATACGAAAATGGACGAACCAACTTTGGGGATTTGAAGCTGACCTTCTTTGGTGCTTTTTGAAGTTGCGCAACTTACAACTTGGTTTATAAGTTGCCCAAGTGGGGTTATATCTACCCCAAATGAGTTTATAATGTGGCTAAGTTTGAGCCTTCTCAGTTATAAGTCACAGCTCAATTGTAAATAGTTAGTTCAGACTTAGGCCAGTTAGTAACTGGCCTAAAGACCACGTGGCTAAGTGTTTATAAGTGGAGTTAGCTAAGTCCCCTAAGTGGTCGTGCTTTCTCGTGGGTTGTGCAAAAGTATCTTTGGATGTGATGTGTTCTGTTTTTGAAGCAGGTGCGTAGCCAAGCCTGTAAGAGTTCACATTGTGAATTGCGCAGGCGTGTCTGCAGGAATTCACATGTGCTTTTCTTGCATGCTTTCTCTTTGCAGATTCACCAAAAACACAGCCGCAAAAAAGAACAGCAAGGGGCTTTAGATTGTTTGAAGGACATGCAGCACACACAGATTGAAACATTTGAAGATCGACATCAAAACCAACGCCGTTGTTTTCATGCTGCTTTTTTGCCAAAGGCATGGCGTCAAAAAAAATATCTTCAGGATGTTTGGTTTCGCACTTTTTCATTTTCACACAAATCCACCCATTTTTCCATCACGTAAAGTTCGCAAAAGCAAAACAAATCATGACAATTCAATCCAAAACTCTTCACCACGGATAGCTCCAATCAATTCTTTATAGTTCCGATTTTTTCAAAAAATGCCAGCCTTTGGCGGTTGAATTTTGGAAAAATGCACTTCGGTGGCCGTATCGGGGACGTATCGGGGACGTATCGGGGCCGTATCGGGGCCGTATCGAGGCCGTATCGGGGCCGTATCGGGGCCGTATCGGGGCCGTATCGGGGCCGTATCGGGGCCATATCGGGGCCATATCGGGGCCGTATCGGGACCGTATCGGGGCCGTATCGGGGCCAAAACCTTTAGAAACATGCGTTGCAGGAAAAAAACATGTATCGCAGGAAAAAAACGCATTGGATCTTGACCAGTTTTTCCGTAGTTGCACCGTTTTGAATATAGTTCCGCAGTTTTTCTTTCGAACAATAATTTCGCATGAGGTTGCGTGATTCATGGTGCTACTGCTGCATGGTTGTTTGACGGTTGTACGCATCTTTTCATTCTTGCCTATTCCTATCAAATCCTGCCGGCGCCAAAACCTGACATGTTCTGAGTTGGCGGATTTGTTTTGTGTCTTCTTTCTTGACTTAGTTGTGCATGTTAATTTTGCGGGTAAACGCTTGTGTTTCAGCAGCTGAATTCCCCGGATTTGTGCAATACCTGTTTTGGTTTTTGTGGTACAAGTCCTTCGCGCAGGTCAACACTTGTACTTGAGCACCTGAATTTCCTGCCTACCTAAAACCGTGGTTTGTACAACGCCTCGTGGATTTTTTTTGGGTCCCTCGTGTGCATTTTCCTGGCCACGAGGATTTGCTGAGTTAAGTGGTTATAAGTCCTGCTAAGTGGTTAGCTGCGAGGATTCCGCTAAGTGACTGTAAATGGTGGTAACCTTTGTTATAAACCTTGTAAACGCAAAAAGCGCCAAAGTTGGCTCGATAAGGGTGGAGAATTCCGACTGAAGCAACCAAAATCCGGAAAAGATAGGGATTTCACTCAAACAAAAACATGCGATTTGAACTTGGATGTGGAAATCCATGGGTTTTCCTAGGACATAATTTGCAGATGCTAGGTTGTCCATATCTATATCTATCATAATTTCAAGATGGTAAAACATGTTTCTTCAAGGACAAACCCGAGAAATATCTTGCCCATCAAAACATACTGCAATATTGGAGGGCAGATGCCAACTTCAGTGATTGCACTCAAGTCACGGATGTACAGATCGGGGCTACCCACGCTGAAACTTTGCCCAACTATGTCATTGGGATTAAGGGGCTTCAACTTGGTGATTCATTTGTAAACCCGCAGGTAAACCACCTTAAATCCCAACGAAAATCCCAATTTCAATTCCTATCAAACAACCACTTCGCAAAGTAGGACGTGTTTTATACAATTAGCTATATAGCCATTGAATCAATGCCCGTTACATCCTCATGTTGAAGGAGGCCAAAGCGCGTGCCGAAGCGGCCAAAGCACAGCGTGCAAAGGATGAAACCCTGAGAAAACAGCAGGCGAAAGCAGCCAGGAAAATGGGTGGATTTTCTATGAACAATTAATTTGGAATTACCCTCTAGTAAACTAACATAGCTATTGAAAATGGCCATAGAAATAGTGGATTTTCCCATTAGAAATGGTGATTTTCCATAGTTATGTTAGTTTACCAGAGGGTACCCTCGTGTAAACATACGAAAAGATGAGGAAAACCCAAAAATGTAGATCATTTTCTTAGGGAGTTTCCATGGGTTTTCCACATCTATGGCAATGTTTACCCCAGGATACAATCCCAAATAGGTGCATAATGTCATGAAATCATGTGAAGTTGGGGCCCGGGGCCAGATATTCCAATTTTCATCGAGGAATGAGGCTTTAGACCATTGGATTTTTGGTGCGTTGAGGAACTCAACTGGAGGCTTTTTCTGGGCCCAGTTTGTGAGAGTGTGGCTTGAGTCGCAGTTGGCAGGTTGGGGATTTTCAACCCCAACCTTGGATGGGTAGTTTAATTTCCTTATGTTCTTTTGCTATATATAAATGGATATCAGTGGGAAAAAAAACCACATATTCACCCCGCTTCGCGTGGGGTGGCCGCCCACACCGCAGGTTTATTTCGGTCCGTGAGAGGGGCTAAGGGTGGTGTGGAATATGAGGAGCAGAGCAGCACAGGAGAATTGACATACATAACTGCTTGGTTCGTGAATATTTTTTCCCCCCCGTGGGGGCTCCCCAAGCTAGGGAATTTTCACTTTTCCCCGCCGTGACAGCTTCCCAAGCTATGGAATTTTCACTTTTCCCTCCCTTGGAGGCTCTCCAAGCTGCGGAATTTCAAATAGCTAGTCAACGACGCCTAGATAGTCCCCCAAATCCCGTGTTCTTTGAATGTGTTTCCATGTTTTTGCAATGGTTTCCTTCAAAGCACGGTACTTTACACTTTTGTCGCCATAAAACCGGTCGAAAACATCATGTTCGACAATGCTTCCAATTCCCTTATCTCCCCAAGCAGGATCAGAGGCCCCAGGCACAACCAAAGGAGGGATGTATATATATATATATATATGTCATGATTCATGTCTATAAATCCCAAGTGTGTCGGCGGCGTAGTCCAAATGGCCTTCGTTGGCCTTCGTTGGCCTTTTGGGCCAACGGGCCGACCGGTCCCGCGATTTTCACGGGGGAATCTTCGGTCACCTACGGATGACTCATCCGAATTTTAGGATGACCCCTTTTGCAAGTTAACATAGCTATGGAAAACGGTCCATTTAATGGATGATTTGGTATTGTACAAACAATGGTGATTTTCTGCTACAAGCTTTGTTAAAGAACCATAGGGTCATCCTGATTGCATCCTGATAGGGATGTCAAGACCACCAGGATCCAGCATCCTGTGCAGGAAAGGAATGAAAAGCTGAAGAAAGCGGAGGCGCTTTTTGGACGGTGATGCCGCAGTTCGTTACAATGGTAGTTTAACATAGTTTAACCAAAAAACTGTCAATGATGTTTTAACCACCATGGAAGTCTACCACCCAAGCTGGTAAAAATAAGAAATATAGTGATTGGGTTTTGTTGTGGATCAAGCTAGTGGGGTAAAACGCAACAAACACAACTGCGGGGCAGAACCCTGAAGTGTCTGACACCACTGGGACACCAAGGGAGATCAAGGGAGTCATTCTTGAGACATTTAAGGACAACTATGGAACCATGGAACCATCCATTCTTGTGGTCTATAATTTCAATGAGGTGAAATCATAGAATTTGGATATATTCCATGTCACCAGCATCTCAGTAGCTTGTTGCAGGCCCGAAATAGCCATGGTGATGTTTCAAAAGTACCAGAAAAAAAGGCGCTATTTTAATCAATGACTACAAACACATAATGCAACGGCTTCAAATAATTGGGTATCAATTTTGGAGTAGACCCAAACAATTCACACCTCCATATCTTCATATCTCTGCATATCCCATGAAGAAATATGAAAGGCTCCTTGAATTTCCGTCAATCATAACCCAAATGCAAAATGCACAATCAAACCCCAACTCCCCTGATTCACCATTTCTATTGCATTTTTCCTTTTTCCCATTTAAGTTGTTGGGTTTGCACATATTTTCCCCATGTTTTCTCCATTTGTTGTTGGATGTTCCCATATTTTCCCTGTGTTTTCCCCAAGTTTTCCAGATTGGTTTGCTGAAATTTCCCATGTTTTCTCAATTTGTTGGATTTCCCCATCATTTTCCCAGTGTTTTCTCCCGATTTCTCCCCTTTTCCGTTTCGTTTCGTCCCCCGTGGCCGTGACCGTTCCAGGAGGAGGCGAAGGTCGAAAGCCGCGCGGCCGAGGAGGTGATCCGCAAGGCGCGGGAGAAGCGCAAAGCAGAGGCGGAAGCTCGACGCGAGATCCAGAAACTGATTAGATTAGTGATCTCGTTGGTGGTTTGGAACATTTCTTATGCTATGGTAAAGCAGAAAGTTATTGGGATTACCCTCTGGTAAACTGTCCTATAACTATGGAAAATAACTATTTTAAATAGGTAAATCAACATCACCACCCCTTTAAGGACTTTAAGGCCACTTTTCAGAGGGGGACCATACCAAAATGTAAGATACATTTTTTGGGACCCCCGCTTAAATGTAAATTTGGTCACTGAACGTCCCCCAGGTATCGTTTTTGTGGGGAGGGTCGTCAAAATAGCTTCAAAATGTCTGCTTACATTTTCAAGGCCCCCCTCAAAAACACCTTTAAAACTGTAGCTTACATTTTGGGTACGTCCCCCAATTTAAAATGGTGGTGATAAATCAACTATAAATGGCCATATACTATATCTGGTTGGTGGTTTGGAACATGGCTTTTATTTTTCCATATATTGGGAATGTCATCATCCCAACTGACTTTCATATTTTTCAGAGGGGTGGAAACCACCAACCAGTGATGGGACTCCCAAGCGATAGCGAATAACGGCTAATAGCGGTCAATCATATAATGGTTAACAGTGGTTAATGATTAATGATGGTTAGTAATGGTTAATCTTGGTTAATATAATGGTTAATACTGGTCAATGATGGTTAATGATTGGTGAATAATGGATTAACACATGGTTGATACGAATGGGAAAAGTGAAAACACCAATAACCATTATGTTCAAAAAACAGGTATCCAGAAATGCTGAAAATAATGGTTTAATACTGGTTATATAATGATGGTTAAAGATATGATTAGATTTAATTTGAATATTGGATTAATAATGCTGAAAATAATGGTTTAGCATGGTGTAACAATGGTTAATACTATGAACTAATGGGAAATATTGTCTGATAATCTATGGTTAATAATGGTTGATATGGTGAAAGTAATTGTCATTAATAGTGGTACAAATACTTGATTGGTTGATGAATAGTGCTGAAAATAATGGTTAATCATTATTGTTATTGTTAACATTAGGTTAATATTGCTTAATTATGGTTAATGATAGATGATTGGATGGTTAATAATCTACGGTCAATAATGGTTAGATGTGGTTAGTTAATATTCATTAAGATGGTGGTTATACATATTGATTAATGATTATCAGGATGGTGAACATAATGGTGAAACTAATGGTGAAACTAATGGTTGATAGATGGTAAGACGTTTAATGATAGATATAAACATGGTTAATTAATATAAGTGGTATAGTGGTGAAAATAATGGTGAACATAATGGTTAATGATAGAGATGATAAATCATTGATGATTATAAAAATGGTTTTGCCATATGTCCAATGTTTTTTAATGGTGAATACTATGTACTTTTTGGAACATAGATGGCGACGAGAAGGGCTGATGATAGATTTACCCTCCAGTAAGTGAACAGGGTGGCCCTGCCAGTTGTCGGGGTTGGAAGATTCGTTTCCGATAAAACATTGCGATTTTCAGGGTCGATGTCTATTTACCATGGGAGACTTGTCATGGCTAATAATCATTAAGACTTGCTAGTTACCCCAGGGTAAACATACAAAAAGATGTGAAAAAAACATGAAACACCAATGGTTGCTCTAGGAAAAAAGATCCACATTTGTAAGTTTATCCGAGGGTAATGATACGGATATCCAATATGATTAATCATGGTTAGTACATGTTGATAATGATGATCAACACTGATTAGTAACGGATATCCAGGCTAAAACTAATGAGACATAGATGGTTTATATGCATGATCAATTGCAGTATTTAATTAGACGCTGAATCACCTCCTTTTATATCATCATTGGATGATAGGTTTGAAAAGGGTGCAATAGTGGTAAAATCCGAACCTAAAATGTTGATCATTTACTTTTTCGGCATCTTTTCTGGGCTTACAAAAGGATGATAATTGATATAATATGACATGATACAATGATAAAATAGATACAATGGATATACCATGTCATAATCATTATAATTAATTATGATTGAATAACTATACCATTGGTTACAAACAACTAATGTGGAGATAAAATGTTCATGTAATGGGCGAGGAATTAACCTACCAGTATGTATTATTGTAGTGGATGGACCCATCAATTCGAGTCTAATGGGTTTGTGAGGCTTTAACCATCAAAGATATGAGGAGATATATATATAAGATATGATATATATATATATATACATATAATTGGTTTACAACATTTTTAATGTTTTGGATATATCGGGGAAGCTCTGGTTTGTAAACAGGTGAGCTATGGCCATATGGTTTATTGATGTGATTTCCCCTTTGCTGAATCAGTGGTTTGGAATTTGTTAAGCAAATCCAAAATTTGGGAGTAGAACTGGAACCCGATGGAAGTTGATGGTTTGGTTTCTCTGTGTATTTTATCATTTAAGGGGTGTTTGGGACCAAACATGAGATGTACGATAAACACATGCGTATTTTAGATTATGTGAAGAAAACATAACTCTGACTGAAGATGGACAATAAAGTAAGATCGTGTAACACGAACATGTTCGAACACATGTTTTATCATAGTCATTGTCTTGTGAATTTATAACTAATAGAAACATGTTTCATAACAATACATATAACTTGAGAATAAACAACTATTGTATTATGTGAAGATAAAAAAGGTACCGTGGAATCCCGAAGTCTGACGGTGCTATGGCATGTGTTGAGCCATTTGCCTAATCTGATTACCTTGACATCACTGGACACGGTATACCCAAGGATCATGACATATCACCTTCCAGAACTTACTGGTGGTTATTTGGTGGTTATTTGGAATTATTTTTCCGGACGTTCTTTTTGAGACACCTCCTAAGTTTCCCATCATACCGCAGGTGGGTTCCGAGTGATTAGATCCCAAAACCTGTGGGCTTCTGGGAAAATGTTGGGAAAACCATGGAAAACCATGGAAAACCCTTCAAATTTCATATTTTATTCGGTTTATTCTAGATTTGCCCTGTTGGAGTTGTCCCTCTTGTCAAACCTGGTGGGCCCTTGAAGCCCCCTAGTGACACTAGTAGCCTAGTTGCAGCCGAGGAGAGCCAAAGTCAATTTGAAGCGGAGGGAAGCGTGCCCACGCGCCCGAAGCGTGAGAAGAAAGCTGTGGGGATCCATTTCGATCGCTCCAAACAGGAGGAAATGGCGTGCTTTGGTGGAAGATGTATGGTCTGGAGGTTCCCCAAGAAATTTTGGCCGACAGTTTTGTGTTGACTGTGTATGACTGTGTATACTTTGTAGTTTCAACTGCTTGTTCAAACAATTAAGAGTTTGACATTTGGGGTATGATCGTTATACCTTTGGGTGCCCAAACCATTTATTTACCATCTCATATCCAGCATTCACAGATCAAATCAAAGATGGACATGTCATTCCAAGAAGTTTTTTGGAATATAGAACTTATAATGGAAGTGTTGGAATATTTTCCAGATATTGAATTTTCATGGAACTAGTATTCCAACTTAATACAAAACTTAATGGAACTATTACAGTTTTAATACATTCCAACTTAATGGAACTTTTTTTTGGAAGATGTTGGGACTCACGAAAACTCTTCGACTTCGAGGACCATTTGAATAAGGGAAACTGGTGACAGACCATTGTCGATCTCGCAGGACCGATCGAAGTCATCTAAGATGATCTAAGTGTGGGGAGGTCAGAGGACTAGTTCTGATCTGGAGTCTAGAGATACAGGAACTTAGCACCCCCTGGTATTGCAAGTGGATGTAAGTTGAATCTTTGGTTCCACATCCTTTTGGATGTGTGCTTGTGTGTTTCCATCTGTTTCAAACATCGTGTTTGTAGTGGAAATCATGTAACATCCATCTTTTTTTGGCTGGTCTTCCAATCTCAGCCATGAACAATGCCACTATCTGGTTAATTCTGGTTATATATATATATATTTATGTAATTATATATCCATATATATATATACATATCCATCCCATGCCATTTATTGCTCGCAGTTTGGTCACTGTCTCCTGTTCGTCCTGAGGCAGGACAGCGACGGCGAGTCGGAGGAGTTAGATCTGGAGAAGTTGAAGAAGAAGTTCCGCGCCAAGGCCGCCGTGCAACGTTTGTCGCCACAACGTGTTTTTTTTTTTTCGGAAGAGAATCTGGTGATTTTTTGGTGGGAACTTTTATGGATTTTTTTGACCTTGGGATGTTAATTTTTGATGCTTGGAATCTGGATTCGGAGGTTTTTTTTGACATTGAAACATTGAAATTCTCATGTATCAAAAACAATACCCCTTGGAAACAACAAAAATCAGTAATGATCTTCTTTCTTGGGCGGCAGGTCGGTCAATTGATTCCCTTTCTTTCTCTTTAAACAATAAGATGAAAGTGAAAGAACATGGCAAAAACATCATCATGGCAATTCCATGAGCTTTATATTGGTGTTATTGCTAATGAAATATATTTGTGTTTTTTTGTTTTTGCTAATGAAATTGCTGTGTTATTGCCAATGAAATATATTAATTAGTGTTATATTGCTATACTGACATGGTTGTTTTAGACATTTTGGAGATGTTTCAGAGGATTTTTTTCCGTTTTTTTCTTCAGGCCAACCATTTTGGTTTCTCCGCGCAGGTTGAAGCTCGAAACCTCGAGCTGATTCCGGAGCTGCTGGGGTGTGCCGCTGGTTGGGCTGTGTTGGTGAGACTTGTGTTCTTTCAATCAGTGGAACATGTGGGGATTGGGGAAGGGGAAGAATGACATGACTCATCTATGGAGACCATATGAGACCATGTTTTTCATAATCTATAGATGATTAAATGCGTGTGTGTTGTTATGTTCTTTTGCTGATGAAATGTCCAAGTTTGCTGGGTTTATTCTAAGGAAATCAGCGGGTGAAAAGTGGACATGTTCATTGTTCAGGTCCCAAAGTGGCGATTGATAAATTTAATAAACACATAAATACGTAATAAACACATCAGAAGGGGTGTGGGAATGACGATCAAATGCACCATTTCATGATGAATTCTGGAGGATTTAATTGGGGTACTGATTTTTCCCATTTGAAACTCACTGTTTAGAATTTGTCATTTAAAACCAGCAAACATCGTGTGTTTTTTTCCCCACTGGGAAATCCTGGGAAACTGAAATGCTACAGGTCCTGAAAATGTCCACCGATGTTTTTAGAGGGTAGCTTATTTATCAGTGGGATGCATTGAAGAATTCCTGCAGAAGGAATTCTAGAAAATATATGATAATATATTGTCCTCTGGGATGATAATCTTTGGATGAAAGTCCCCCTAAAAAAAAAGGACAATTTGTCCTGATCCACTTCGCCATGGGTGCTATTTTCTGCTGCGTAAATTCCAGGAAATACGTCACCAAAGCAGCTTCCGTTGGCCCAGGCGAGTTGACATATTCCTGAGTTTTTCATCCCGATTCATCTCTATGAAATCTTAAATAAATCGTATAATATTCATTTAGGATGAGAATTCCCTATGGTATCCTGCAGATTGGGCATGTCAACAAAAGAAACTGTTAACTACATTGAACTACTATAGACTATAGTAGTAATAATGTAGTAATATTTACATTGAACATCATTTAACTACTATAGATTATAGTAGTAATACTTTGTTCATTATGTCATAATATGTCCAGCATGTGGCACTGCCACCACAAACGCCAGGACTTGGACTTCAGCGACGAACCGCTGCCGCCGCTGCCGCCCCCGCCGCCGCTGGCGCCCTTGCCGCCGCCGCCGCTGGAAGAAGCGCGGCCAGCGGAGGTGAAAATGGACAAGAAGGACGAAGCCATATGGTGCCTCAGTTCGGAATCGCTAAGTTGATCAAATTCACATATGTTTCGAGATATTTCAAGTTCATCAATTTCACGAAAATCGCTAAGCTATGTTTATGCACATGGTACATATATCGGACTAATTAAAGGGGGTTGTAACATGTTGGAACAGGGGGCGGCACCACATTGGGTGGGACTGTGAATGGGGATTTACTCTCAACAACTGCTGAATCCACGCGAATGCGGGCCAGCGAACTCAGCGAACTCCGATGCACCACCAAGTTCGGATGGTCCATCCACACAACAAAATGGGAGGTTGAGCACCGTTTTACCACCGAAATATCAACTGGTGCAGGATTGCCACTGGAGGATCACCCAAAAAATCATCCCTGGGTCCCTGGAGCTGCAATAGGCCTTTTGAAAAATCATGTCCCAGGTGTAGAATCGAATGATTTTGAAGCAAGATTCTGGATTGATTGGACACCTGAAATTCAATCTTGCTTCAAAAGGTATGATTGGACACCTGAAAGATTCAGAACATACCTGGATTGATGATGATTGGATGAAGATGTTCTGAAGGATCTGAAGGTATGGATCGCGTATTGAAAGGTACCGTAGCTACTGCATGCTACTGCCCCCTTTGGCTCCCAGCAATGGACGTGAACCTTTATCGGCAGGAGGAAAAGAAGATGAAACGAAAAGCGAAAGAACAAGAATTGAGACTTGGATGGCCCGGCTGCAAAATTGGACAACCACCACCTAATTGTAATTTGAACAGATTGCTTATCTCAGCTTTGATTCCAGTGTTTGGTAATCACTGAGCCCCTCAATTGTATATTATGAGGGGGGAGGGTGGAGTCATATTATGATTTTAAGGCTTGCGCTCCGAAACCCGGTGTGATTTGGAAGAGTTCAGAAAAATAAGGGTAGTCCCTCCGAGTCCATCCTATTTTTCATACATTGGAAATCATCATTTCGAAGTTCAAACTAAGAGCTCACCCCCGAAAGGAATACATTTGCGGGTTTGCCAAAGATGATTTTGTGCTGCACAAGGAGGTCCCCCCATGTGTCATTCAAATAAAATGACAATTTACAATAATTCCTATTGACCTCTACGTGTGCCAAATGTTGCCAACCTAGTCACCCCCACCACTTTATACCCAAAAAACATATATGAAGGGGAAGGGGGTACATTTGGGATGTGTGCAGGGTGAGGTTTGTTAGGTGTTTATAGTTCAAAACTACACTATATATGACTCTCAAACGTCCAAGTTAGCATAGGTTGGTTTCTTATGCGTTGACATCTATTGCAGCAGTGATGTACTGTACAACTGCAGCTTTGGATGTGGAAAGATATGATCACCCAATGTGAGCCGCTGTTTTGTTCAACGCTTGGGCACCAGGGTCTTGATCCTGAGGCGTGTGTCCTATTTTTCCAAGGGCGAAGTGTTCATCGGCTTCACAAGGGACTCACCATAGATGATGGATTGATGATGGTCAGTGTGGGAAATGATCCCAAAGTGGTTCTGTTTCATAGTTCTGTGTAAATGATCGTGACCTCACTGTGACCTCACTAAAAAATCACGGGGAATGTTTTCAGGGGGAATCATCCCCAATCATCTCTAAATGGCCGCAAGCTTCAGGATCGTGAAATATATACTGTATAGTAAACTGTCCTGACATGCTGATTCTCTCCCGCTGAGGAAAGCCTTGAAGCAAAGCATGAGCAAGGAGGAGAAGAAGAGACCCTTGGCTCAAGCATATTCTGTTGGGGTATGGATGGGTACGGGTATGGGTAACCTGGTCAATGGTCAATTCATAATGTGTTGATGTTTGGCAATCGTTAACGGGGCAATATGTCATATCCGCACGCAGCAATGTTTATTTTGAGAGATATCCAAGTTTTGAAGTCAGTTTGGCGACAGTGCACTCCTGCAACTTCCTTTAAATGTTCAATACTGATACTGCTTGGTGCTTTGGAACATCAATTTTATGTTTCCATTCAGTTGGGAATCTCATCATCCCAACTGACTTTCATCATTTTTCAGAGGGGTTGGTAGGTATACCACCAACCAGATGAAATTATTAACCATTATTAACCATCATTAACCATATAATAACCATTAAGATTAACATTAATATTAACCATCATTAACCATTAATATTAACCATTATTAACATATATTAACCATTAATATTAACCATGTATTAACCATTAATATGAATAGTTTTCATTAATTACCAACCAATGGTAGGTTGAAACCAACCAGGATTTCGCGGGTTGGAATCCCATGGACTCAAAAAACAACTTGCGACGGATCCTTAAGGTGAAAATGGCCATATTTTGGCAGTTGCGGATTACTTGGTGGCGAACTATCCACGAATCGTAAGTGGGTTATAACCCTAGTTTTTTGAGTGGATTAACCCTATTTATCCCATTTATAACTGGGGTTATAACCTACTTACTAAGTGGGATGAGCCACCAAGTAAGGTGAATTGGTCATGGTTCAAAATGATTGACGAAAAATGTGTTGAAACAAGTGGGAATTCACAGGTTTGGGAAAACCATTTTTACTAGCACCAAATTTGGGAGCCATAACCAAAGGAATTAAGGCCCAGACTTCTTTATTCCCAAAATTGCTCGCTTTGCAAGGTTCAGTTTGATGGGCCTTAGAGTTAGCTCACGGGTTGGCTTTCCATGTTTTTTTGGGGTTCTACCTCATGCCTAACATCCTGAAGATTTAATAGATACTGAAGCTTTAATAGATTTAAATAGGTCAAACCTAACTGATATACTGATAGATTTAAATCTTCAGGATGGTGACATACCTCTATACTGAAATGGTCAAACCTAACTCCCACTATGCCCAACATCCAGATCATCTTCGGGGTGAATACCAAGCTCCCCCCTGCGCGCAACATCCCAGAGTTGATCATATTCCATCCAAAGAGATACTGACAACAGAACTGCATTCAAACACAAACTTAAACATCCCAGATTAAACAACTATTCCATACTATTCCATTGTTCAACAACAATTCCACAAATATTGACATCTAATTATCTCCCATTTTTGATGTAGATCACCCACAAAACAAAAACAGGGCAAACTTCCCCTCATCTTGTGCCACACATTTTCGCCGCCACTCCGGCGAAACCTCAGGATTCAAAAAGATCCGCAAGATGCAGAAGCTCCAGGCCAAAGTGGCGAAGGCCGAGAAGGCGCTGAAGAAGTCCGAGAAGTCCCTGGAAGCCGATGGCGGCCAACTGGGGAACTGGGGGTTGGTGGGGAACTTTTTGGAAACCCCAAAACGGGGGCTGGTGGGAACTGAAGATTCCTGGAATTGGTAGATGTTATAGATATATTATAGATATCACTATAGCTGGTTGGTGGATGTTGGTGGTTTGGAACATGGCTTTCATTTTTCATAGTATATGGGATAATCCTTCCCATTGACTAACTCATATTTTTCAAGATGGTTAAAACCACCAAGCAGTTATAGATATATTTAGATATAACTGATATAACTATATAGTGATTTACTTTTTTTAGCAACATATTTATAGGGGGCACCACGTGGTATGGATTCGAACATGCCGGATTTGGTGGAAAACGATGAAACATGATGAAAGAAAACATTGTGTTTGAGTACAGAGAATGATGTGATATCTAGATCTACAGTAAATACATTTGGAGCTTTAGTTGGATGAACATGATAAAGAAAACATTGTGTTTTGTGTCAGTTTGCAGGTTATATTCCCACTATATACCCTCTGGTAATTTAACGTAGCTATTGAAAATGGCCATTTATAGTGGATTTTCCCATTAAAAAGGGTGATTTTCCATAGCTATGTTAGTTTACCAGAGGGTATTCCTTTGGCCACACTGCTAGCTTTTTTCAGCCGAGGATGTTGAAGAAAGGTGCCTCTGCTTCAAGTTCATCGTCCTCCTCGAGCAGCAGTTCATCGTAAGGCTGTCAAGTGGAGCTGCTAAGGTAGTCCCGAAAAAAGATGCAGGTGATCCATGGAAATCCGAAGCTAAAATAGGGATAAACCATGATAAACATTGATAAACTATACGGTTCGTTCGATTTCTGAATGGGGGGTTAGAAAAATCAATGTTCCAAATTTGGATCCACTGATTTATAAATTCTGGGTCAAGACAGGCAGACTGGATCGTTGAGAATTCCCAGAGTGGATTTTTTTTCGTTCGAAGTTGGGAAATTGACCCTCCGCTCATCAAACGTGGCTATTGAAAATGGCGGGAATAACAGTTGAAAAAGCTGGGGAAAATCATAAAATCATCGAACTAAATGGATTTTCCAGCCATGTTTGATGACCAGTGGGTATGTCCCATTAAAATATGATTCCATCCCTATTCATCACCATAAACTTCCATAAAATCAGCATGTTTTTTTCACCACATCAACAAACATAAAACAGCCATAAGAAATTATGAAATCACCATTAAAAACTGGTTGTTGGTTTGGAACATCAATTTTATTTTTCCACATATGGGGAATTTCATCATCCCAACTGACTTTCATATTTTTCAGAGGGGTAGGTATACCACCAACCAGAAAACCCATTGCATATGCGGGCAACCCTCATGTTTTGTCGATGGACTAAGTCCAGGCCCAGGAGGGCCCCACAAAGTTCTTGGGTCCACCTAAGTGGTTTAAGCCCTGCTTAGTAAGTCCCCGGTTCATGTATTATCCCATTTATAATGAAATGTTTTAAGGTAAGATAAAAGAGAAGAGAATGAAGAAGAGAAAATACATGAAATATATAAGGATAATAAGATTAGAATGAATTGACGAGAAGATAATGAACTATTATAACAGGTAAGGTGGAATTTGGCCAATCCACATCAATTACTAACCACTTACATCCATTTGCTGTCCATTTGCTGCAATCAAATGTGGCAAGCTGATAATCAGCCATAGTTCGACAATGTTGCAAATGAAACCTCCATAAAAGTTCCATTGATTTCCCATGAAGTCTTCAGGAGGTAAACCCTTAACCCTTATAGCCCTATGACGATGATGAACCAATGACCTTTTTCAGCGCTTCTTCAATGGGATGGTTCTTTGGGCTGGATTTACCAGATTTTTTTTTTGGCCTTAAATGTTTATTGGTAATATGGATTTTACTACACTGGTTGGATATTTACCACATGATTCTTCAAAAAGCTTAATGTTAGGTCATATCCAATCAGTGCAGTGTTTTCTCTTTGATCATCAAACAGTTTGCAATTGGAAATCCCCATCAAAAATGTAGCTGGGAAAATGAATGAACTACCCTCTGGTAATTTAACGTAGCTATTGAACATGGCCATAGAAATAGTGGATTTACCCATTGAAAATGGTGATTTTCCATAGTTTTTTGTATGTTTACCAGAGGGTAAATGGGATATTGTCCCTGAGACGATTTGCAACTCCCGCACTTCGACCAGGATCTGCGCTGCCTTGGTTTCGCCTCCTGGAAAAAAGCGTTGGGAGCTGCCCGTTGTTGAATCAAGTGGAACATTGCCATTGATCATTGTTTGGTAGGTCATTTTCAGTTGGTTGGTCAAACTGTTGGTGATTGGGTCGTGTCAACTTTTAGCCTGCTCTACTGCTCTACCTGCATCAAACTGCATATAGAGAATAGTTTCACATAGCTTCTGGAAGGATAAACAATTATATAACAATAATGATCTGACCTTGACTCATCTTGTCACGAAATTTTGTTTGAATCGGCCCTTTGTCCCAGAGTCCTTTATAAGGATTCAATATAATTTCTATAATTAGATAATAGTTGAGAATATGTTTTTATTTTTATAGTCTAAGCTTTGGTGGTGAAACACCATTTGGTGTTTGTTGCCGGTTACATGGACACAATCTTCCATTCCTCACTATTCAATCTTCATATAGTATCTTATTGACTATATAATAGAGCCATACCCCGTTTTTTTTGTGTAATAGGGGGTTATATGAACTTGTTCACTGGGGATTGTGATAACCCACGATCGAGATACACATTTACCAAACTGTAGAATCCCATCCTCCAAACATAAAACATCCCCTAAACGGTCGCAAACATGTGTAAACCCCCGGAAATTCCCCGTCATTGACCATGGTTTCGGTGGTATTTTCATGTGTTTACTGTGAACGGGGGGGGAACGCATTCTATAATCTTTTATCATTATAATATATATATATACCCATAGGATCCATGTATGGCATATATGCTAACATTTGGGGTATATTGATGGTAAATGTCACCATATATAGCATACATGGATCCTATGGGATATATATTCCCATGGATATTTCCATGCTATTCCCTCAGGGAAGGGAATTTTTACAAATCTCATCCGCCAGGGCCCCAGTTTGCTTCTGCGGAACTTCGTGCTGGATCGCCTCGCACATCTCCTGGGCCCCGGAAACGTGCGCGTTGGGAGAAGGGATGGATTTTGGATCAATTCCACGAGTAAAATCTGGAAACACATGGAAACACCACATAAAAAAAAGGATCAAGTGGGATCTAGTTGAGGTAAACTTTTGAGTAATTACTGTGATTCGTTGGTTTTTGACTGGTGACTTGGGATTTGATGTAGTAAAAACGCATACTTTAGCCAGAAGAATCAGTGATGAATAAGCAATCGAGAGGTGGATGTAGTCTGGGTCGTACTGTACTTTTTTGTCAGAGCTGTCAACTGCAAATTTAGTCTTAAGACTTAAAAGATGTCTTGAGCACCTGCTCAGTGACAATGTTGATGCAGTGGTTTGAACGTGCTAAAATCATCCCCTGACCCCTGGGTGTTCAGCTTTGGACTGGGGCTATGGCATGCTATGGCCACGTGCCCTGCTGTGCCATTGGTTGAAGTGCCATAGCCCAGCGCAGCGGTCAAGATGGTAAGATGCTACGGTCTTTGGGCTGGTTTATACCTCCATTGATTGCCCAGGATACTTGGTTGCTATCCATGTTTGTGCTGATTGTTTGCATGTCATCGTTGATTTTTAAGCCATTGTGGAGACACTTGACAAAAGCAGTGTAAACAGGTACTGTATACAACGCAATACGAGGCCATTTTTGTGATCCCTTGTTGGAGAATATGGTGCAGATTTCAGGTGCACACTTGGGTGATTGTAAATTGTAGAGCTGTACCACCCGGTAATCAAATGGGGCAATGGAAAATCCTTATAACTTCTATAAATGGAGGTTTATAGCAGCGAAAATAAACTCTATGGCTGCCTCATGTTTATGTGCCAATCGGAGGTTTGGTAATCCCAAGAATCAGGGTCTTCGCAGCAGCCATAGTTTTCACCCCTTGGGACGGTTCATTCCAAGGTGTTTACTTCACCAAGGACTAGTCATATCTAATATCAGCTTTCAGAACTGAACCATTATTGCTGTTATAAGATGTTTTGTGAGTTAGTTTATATCAGTTGCAACTATTTACGAACTATTGGAGATAGTGACTCTATCCCGTATCATATCCAGTTGATGTACCCATTCTTATAACCATTCTAGCAAGCCCCAAAAAGAGAGATAGATAAATTATGATAAATTATCACTATCTTGCTAGGATTGGAATTGTTTTATTTGTTTTGGGGGTTACTCGTACTGTGGTATAGTGGCAAATACCTTTTGGAAATCAAACATGGCAATTGGAAATCACCCATGTATCGACAACATTTCCCATTAAAACCCCATTTTTACAGGACTTATATGCTTATGTATTAGCTGGGAACACTAATAAGATTGTATATCGATATATATATATACATATATATAATATATATATATTATATATATACCTAGTTAAATTCTATATAAATTTGGCGTTCAACTCCCATCATACCCTGAAAAACATGGCTCCCCCGGTCGCCAGGTACAGGGCTACCTGGCGGAACATTTCCCGGCGGAGCGTTTCCATCGGAGTTTGGTGGCCAAGGCCCTTGGGCCCAGCGAAAGGGGCGCAAAAAGACCGTGGCAACCCTGGTGGTCAGGTGAGCCACTCGGCAGTCGGAAAATGTTAGGGTATATATATATGTATAATATTGAATGATAGTCATGGTTGGCTGGTATAACAAAAATATGAATTAAGTGTTATGGTTGAATGTTATCGTTGGTATATGTTGATTGAATATCCACGATTTTATGGAAGAAACGGATGAAGTATCACATGGATACAATGGACATACAAATAATATATATATATATTATTATGTATAACTAATATAAGTCTAGTAGCGACAATGGGATATAATATATAATGGATTTAATTAATATCATAGGATATAAATGAAAGCATTAATATCCAACCATGTTATTTTATTTTTGTGTTACATCATTGTTTGGGACATATTGGACATGATTAATGTATATAATATAATATATAATATAATATTATGTATATACTGGTTGGTGGTTTGGAACATTTTTATTTTTCCATATATTGGGAATAATCATTTCCCATTGACTAATATTATTTTTTCAAGATGGTTAAAACCACCAACCAGTATATACATCAAAATCTATGATGACATGGGTGTGTCTTAACCTCAAGTTGTCCATCAAGGGATCGGCAATGTGATTTTCGTGACGAGGCGGAGATGTTGTATGCCACAGTTTTGGACAAACCCAGAAGCGCTGGAGACGGATTGAAATTTGGATAGCTAACTTGGTTTTCAAGTGTGATAACTGGGGTTTAGAGTAGTTATAACGAACTAGTTAGATGGGTTTGTAAACCCACTTATAACCGGGGATTCGCACCTTGTAATGATTGCCAGAATCAGTGGCAACTTTGACCCAGATCTATATGAGTGGGACCTGAACTAATCAAAGCTGGGATGTGCAGCAATCACTTGTCACTTGCCCAATGGCCAAGCCCCATAGATGGTGGTCAGTAGGGAAATTAATCTCAAATGGGTATTGCTCAAAATATATCTAATTTGTACACCCTTCAAAAAGTGTACCCCAAACTAGAATCAAAATCACAATAACTATATGAGTAACCGACAAAATTAGCGGTAGACTAAAGTAGTGGGGAGTGGACATGTTCAAATCTGTGCGAAAACATTTACAACCGATAGGGGACCACCCACTTACTGATACCCTACTTTTGCACATAGCATGGAAGTACAAACCTTCACAACCGATATGAGACCACCCACTTTGGCCATGTCCATTTCGGGTAGTAAGTAATTTTGCCCGCCACTCATATACCCTAATTGGCCTATATGATGCTGCTTTTTTGTTTTCTTGCCAGAATAGAAACTACTCTACCCAAAGATGCTTCCCTCAAGACGTTATCTTCTGGTTGGTGGTTTGGAACATTTTTCCATATTTTTTGAATAATAATCCCAACTGACGAACTCATATATTTTTCAGAGGGGTAGGTTGAAACCACCAACCAGTCTTTTTTGGTTTATCCGTGGAAAAACATCATCTGGTTGGTGGTTTCAAACATCAATGTTATTTTCCATTTCATATATTTTGATTAATAAAACATGGATTTCCACCCTCTTTGATTTCAAACATCAATTATTTATTTTCCAAAATATTAGTCTACGGATAATCCTTCCCATTGACGAACTCATATTTTTCCGGATGGTAGGTGTACCACCAACCAGTCATCTACAGATGGATTTTTGTCGGATTTTCATGGTTCAAAAATGTCGCCAGTTCCCATCCGTAAAGCCAATGGCATAAACCGACCATCTTTGGGGATGGTTTATACATGTTTATACCATCCTTGAAGGAACCAAAGTTCTGAAGATTTCTGGGTGACATAGCTGGGAATCCATGAAAAAAATCGACTTCGAAACCTTTTTTTTTGGTGTTTTTTCAGCAGCTTCTTGGTGAAACTGATGACATAAGTCCTCTAACCACTACCGAGGGCCGCAAAAAATTGGATGAGATTCTTGGGTGTTCTGCAGCGATTCTGCAGCTGTGAAGGCCAGTTGGCACCTTGATATGCAAAGAAAATCATTGACTCTTGAATATTATGTATAGTATACAGTATGTATAGTATACGTGTATATATATATACATACATGTTAGTGATATAGTTGACAGCCACGTATGTATAGTATATGTGATATTGAATCATAATGGCTGTTTGAATTGCCTGGAATGTAGAATTCAGCAGATTCTCTTCAACAATTGGCTGTACCTAAAGGAATAGTGATTAAAGTGCCACATGCTTCACTTCCAACCATTGACTGATTTAGACCAAGACAATCATATTGACTGGTGGAGATCGTCTTGTCCCATGTGATGCACAGCAAAAAAGTCACCGAAAAAAAAGGACGCGGCAGGACGGATTTTGCCAACGAAAGTACGTTTTGTTTCAAGGACACCGTCCTCTATGATTCTGACCCAAGCAGTGTATCTTAAAATGACAGACATAATAGATCAAACAATAAATGAGGTATCATATGGTATCATGTATAATCGTAATAATCATATGGTATCTTGGTGGATACAATAATCTTATAGAAATATACCATATTATTTTTGTTTTGAGTGTTATAGACAAGATTAAATATAACATATTATAGAGACAATATCATAGTCTTATGAGGTTATCTTAAATGATCTTCATAGACCATAGATCTTCCACAGTGACGAATCTTGGTCGAACGACCACAAAGGGCCGGTAGCTATGCCAGCTATGCCCTGATGGCAGAGTCTCCAGGCGTGGGCCCCGTGGGACCGACTTTTTTTTTGTATCCAATGATAAATAATCATTATCCTTACTGTAATATACCCTTTGGTAATTTCACATAGCCATAGAAAAACACCATTTTTAATAGGTAAACCATCTATCTATAAATGGCAATTTTCCATGGCTATGTTAAATAACCAGAGGGTATTATAGTTATAATCATATGATATATTATCATAATCCAAGGATGGATCATAAATGATGATAGAGAATCACTATCATGATGGATATTAAATATGATCATATATTCATTATAATCTGGTTGGTGGTTTGGAACATGGCTTTTATTTTGCCATAGATTGGGAATGTCATCATCCCAATCTGACGATTTTTCAGAGGGGTAAGTATACCACCAACCAGATTAACATACAGTAGACCCTGAAAATCACCAATTTTGAGTAGAAACTCATCTTCCAACCCCGACAACTGCCAGGGTCGTCATGTTAATTCCATTATCAGTACAATCATATGATCATATGATATAATATCAACCAGGTTATTAACCATCATTAACCATATAATAACCATCAACATACCATAACGGTCAAATTAATAATGGTTAATAATTGTTAATCATGGTTAATATAACGGTTAATACTGGTTAATGATATCATTGGGTTTAATGAACCAGGTTATTAACCATCATTAACTTATTAACCATACAATAGCCATATATTTATCAACCAGGTTATTTATCATCATTAACCATATAATAACATATAGTAACCATCAACATACGGGGTAGGTATACCACCAGCCAGATTAACATAGACCCTGAAAATCACCAATTTTGAGTAGAATAGTATTATTAACCATATAATAGCCATATATCATACAATAACCATATTAGCCATATTTATCAACCAGGTTATTTATCATCATTAACCATATAATAACCATAAAATAACCATCAACATACGGGGTAGGTCTACCACCAAGCAGTGTCAACACCTCGCAGGCAGCGCCCAATCCGAGCTCTTCGAGGCCGAGGGCGGAGCGGAAGCGCCGCCCAGATCTGAGGTGGGGCCAAGCGCTGGGAAAAATGGAGGGAAAACGTGGAAAAAACGTGGAACAACTGGAGAAAACATAGGAAAACCATGGAAAACACTGGGAAATTTGTGAATTGTCAAGAAAGTGTTGGGAAAAATGGGGAACATTGGGAGTTTGAAGCAAGCTTGACCTGAACAATGCCGTGGAAATTGGGTGAAAGATGTGCGCTTGGGGATTTTGGACTCCCAAAAAAAAACTGGAGAAACCGTACTCGGAGATAGCATTGAGCTTAGGATCCTTTTTTCGAGTGGAATGTTACTTGGTGGCTCATCCCACTTAGTAAGTGGGTTATAACCCCAGTTATAAATGGGATAAGTAGGGTTAATCCACTTATAACTGGGGTTATAACCCACTTACTAAGTGGGATGAGCCACCAAGTACCGTATGCCATTAACTTGGACTCTGACCTGCTATTAGTCACGATTCAGTCACGATCGCTTGCCCCATTCCTTTGGACCATCAGATAGACTGGTCCACCTCAGTGAGGGACACAGATTTCCAAAAGCACTTCTTGCATCATGTCGCTAAGTAAGTGGTTTTGGTTCAATAATCCATTTATCTTATTCAGAACCTTTCCAGAAGCATTGGTTTAGTATTGGATCTGCTTAATTTCAGGTCTCCATTGTTTTTCCCTTTCTGAGGATAGGGCGTAACTGCTTTGCCCAAGCAGCCGCAGGCAGTGCAGCAGGAATTGCTTGTGAAGGCGTCATTGAAAGAGCTGAACTATGACATTTTGGAGGAAATTGGGATGGTGTTGGTGTTGTGTGTGTGTTTTTGGATTGTACATTAATTAATTGATATAATTTGTATACATAAAGATCGAGTATGATCGAGTATGAATTTCATAATCAGTAGCTGTTTACTGCAGGCCACAGACAAGCAAAGCATTCAGAGTCAAGAAGACGTGGCTATTTTACGGGGTTAAATAAAGAACGGCTGGTTGGTGGTTTGGAACATTTTTTTATTTTCCTTTATTTATAGTTGGGATGATGATCCAATCTGACGAACTCCATCATTTTTCAGAGGGGTTGGTGGCTCAACCACCTAACCAGTTTTATAACCATATTATAAGCATACTATAACCATTATCCACCATTATCCATCTATTATCCATATATTAACCACCAAGCAGAGATACCAAACAGCAAGGCCTGAGACAAGCATCGTTAGATCTTCCATCTCTGAGGGATTCGCCAACTTTCGCCACGGGGGACGTCGCCGATCCGCCGGTGATTTCCCCCGTGTTTGTTGATGATTTTTGTTGCCGATATGGGCAACATTGGGCAACTAAGACAACTAAGATCTACATTCTTCTTTAGTTGAATTCCACCACCAACAAATCTGATCAAATCTGGATGAAGTTATAGAATGACTTCACGTCCTGACCTCACTGGAATGATGCTAGGATCTATACAGTTATTTTCAGGTTAGTCTTAGGGAATTATGAAATGATTCAGCCAGATTCCCATTGGATCTCATTTAAAACCCAGCTGATAGCCAGCCAGATCCTCATGATCGAATTGCTGCAGGATGACGAAAACAGCGACGTGGCATCGCCATTTTCAGAGGGCTGCAGTGCTGATGAGGCTGGGACGATCTGGGCGAAGCCAAGAATTTCTGTCTGAAAATAAATTGGGATTTTAATGGGATTTGATTCTGATTTGATGGTTTTTTCATGGGATGTGATGGAGTTGATAATATTATGTTATAAATCCCTTCCTCCGTTCATATTAAACTATATTAAACACCCCCCCCATGAACCATGGTGGATGTAGGGGATTTTTTATCACAGACTCGGGACCATGTGACTGGTTTTGCTTTAGCCCATGAATCAAACGGCAGTGGTGGGAAAATGATTCTAATATCTTATAATCATTGATCAACTCTGGGATTCAGGGTAACCTCTGGTAAACATACAAAAAGCTATTGAACATGGCCCAGTCGAAATAGTGGATTTTCCCATTAATAGCATGGTGGATCTTTCCAGTTCGCTATGTCAGTCATTACCAGAGGGTAAGCTATTTTCAGTCAAGCCTAGACATTGTTTTTTTCAGTGAGAAATCGAGTCAACCATATATATGTGGCTCCAGTTTTAGGTGTAGGAGAGCAGCTGCAGAAAAAAGGGACAGAAATGATAGGTAAGTTGGCTGAATTAACTAAAGTGGTGAAGTTTAGGCTTGATGCCGGAGATATTCATATGGAAGCAACTAATAGCCGGATGCTGTTGGCATCGCTCAAATTTATTGACTGCCCAATATGGATGATTTATGATCCCCAATAAAAACCACGGTTGCTGTGGCTTCATTGGCCTTTCCATGACCCCATCCCGGCCTAGTTGAAAACCTGCTGGTGAAGAGAACTATCCGTCGAAGTTGGTTTAGAACAGCTACAACTAGGGCTTATAAATTGTAGGGTCTACAAACATATCTGGTTGGTGGTTCGGAACATTTTTAATTTTTCCATACAGATTATATAGATTGGAAATTTCATAATCCCAACTGACGCACTCCATCATTTTTCAGAGGGGTTGGTGGCTCAACCACCAACCAGCCAGTGATTTGGCGGCACCTTGGGATCGCTGGATCGCATCATCCCATTGCAACTTATTTCTCCCAGAACACTCTCCATGGCAATAGCTGCAATAGCTGGATAAACCGACTGCTGAATGGTATCCTTGAATTTTCCCTCATAGAATGGTAGGACTTGAGCCCTCTATAAAGCTGATTTCATGGAACCTGGACAATTTGTCTCAGATTTGGTTGAAGGGAAAAGCTGCACCCCTAGAATGATTTGGTTGCAAGAACGATGGTTTTCTGTCGATGTTCCCTTTTCCCTTTTACCAACCCGATGATACATAAGTATTATATTATATATATACATATATATATACAGTACTACTGTACAGTACATACATACGCACCATTATTTGCTCATTTCCCACTAGAAGTCACTAGAACATCTTTTTGGGTTTCGAAGGTCGGGTTCAGTTCTGCCCCTATGCTCCAGGGCAGTGAGAAGAGAGGCGTGGTCAAAGACCCTGCGAACCCCGTTGGTCCACCGAACCCAGCCTTCATCAAGAAATGGCTACGGTGGATGGTTGCGAAATCCTGCACCAGTTGATAGGTGGTTAACATCCCACTATTTTGTTTGGGTTTCAAGCATCCTTTTGGTGGTGCAAGATTTCGCAACCATCCACAGTATTTGGTACAGTAGTATAATGGGGACATGATGGTGGTATGACCGCAATGGTGATGATGATGATTGTTATTACATATTATTATTTATATAAAATTTATTATTAATATTATTACTATTATTACTATCATTATTATTATATACTGTATTATGATTATGATTATGATGATGGTGACGACGACGATGACGACGCCGACGACGACGATGATGATGAAAATGAAGATTAAAATGACGGTGAATAAGATCATTTAGGGTGGCACTTTTGGGGTGGCTTAATGAAACCACTCTTAAAGATCTCAGCTACGACCATGTGCTGGGAGCTTGTAACTTCTTTAGGCATTTTCTGAGAGCATCATCTCAGCTTCCATGTGACAAAAGTGTGCAGAGACCCTCATGCGTTGGTTCTTTCATTGGTTGTGGGCCGGCGTTGGCTATCCAAAGTTTGTGATTTGTGATATATATATATATATCATGATATATATATGTATATTACAATAATATATATATATACACAATTTGGATGACCTGTAGTGACCTCACTGCGGCAGTAAGGGTATAATCATCCCCAAGTGGCGCACAAAAAATTGGCGCCAGATCCCATGAAATCTCCATTGTTGATGGCTGACATGTAGACTCCCATTGTACCCTCTGGTAATTTGTTACATAGCTATTGAAAATGGCCATAGAAATAGTGGATTTTCCCATTAAAAATGGTGATTTTCCATAGTTATGTTAGTTTACCAGAGGGTAAAATCAATGCTTTTTATGCTGTGCTCCATGTTTTTCAAAACGAGCTACTGTATGGCCTGAGATCCACACCACATCTTAGCCTGTGGAAGAGTTTAATGACTGGCTGATTTGGGGGTACCCCAATTTTAGGAACCTCTGATTTTGAACTAAAATAGGATCAACAATTACTTATATAGTTTCAATGAGATATTGAAATGCCTAAGTGATCTAATTATTGATACCTCTACGTATTTTTGCATTAGATATCCAAAATTGGTGTCAATTCTATTCAATAATTACTTTGTAAGGAAATTACAACATCATCTCGAGATATTCCAAAATGGTATCCCAAGTACAGAAGTATGTTGAATTTCCATTTCTATTGTATTTGAGATATCTTGAGATAATGGTCCTTGGTGACTATCGTTTGGCGGGGGCTGAACCATCAATCAATAGTCGATGAAAACACAGCCCCCCAGAATCCAATGATACATCTAGAACCATCTATATGACACAGCTTTATATATAGACAGTAAATCGCACAAAACTTCTTGCCGGCGAAAAAGAATAACATATCCCATATCAGTATTTGTTCAAGCATTACTAGTAACTACTAACAAACACGCATATGTATATATATATATGTACACATCATTATATATATACACATCATTATCTATATATATATATCTATATGTTATTATATATATATATACATACGTACATACATTGTATATGATATAATAGATGTACATACATTGTATATGATATGATATATGTATATACTTAGCATATCCAATATATCTGCTTGACAGGCTCTCGGAGTCGGAGCCCACGGCGGCTTGGCGCATGGTGGGACGATGACGAGGCGGCGGTTTTTCAAAATGGTGGGAACTCTCCCGTAAAAAATGCTGTTTTCATGGGATTTTATAGTGACTTAATGGGATTTTATGGTGATGTTTATGGAATGTGTATGGTGATTTAGTGGAATTCTATGGTGATTTAGTGGAATTCTATGGTGATGTTTATGGAATTTGTATGGTGTTTTTTCTGGAATTCTATGATGATTTTGATGGTTGAATGATGATTTCTTGGCAGCTCCAAAAGTTGAATGACCATGTTGCGTCAATGTCAAGCCAGGATGAACAAGCCCTACTAGTTGGGGTGGTACCATTTATAAAGGGACATATCATGAAATATCACTATTTTGCAGGATCAAAAACACCATGCCAGGTATTTTAGCGTCTTCGTCTCTGCTGGATTTTTGTTGGAGGCCGTTCCAAAGCCGAATGGCCGCGAAATCCAAGCTCCCATCAAGACGGAGGAGGAGAAGCAAAAGGGCAACTTGGATATGTCAAGGTTCTCTACAATGTGCCCACCCCCAATTATGTTTGTTGGTTTCAAAACCCCATTAACACAAAATATACACTGTATTATATAAGTATCACAAACAATAGTTATTGGATGTCTTTTTCCATGAGTTCCCAGTGAAACCAACGAGCAAAACCAAGAGATTTCCAGCAACATGACTCTGAAATGTCAGTTTTTTCACATTGCTCCATTTGTTTTGGGAGGGCATGCGTTGAGTCGTCTCATTAAAGCAACCCCCAAGTAAGATAGAACGGTTGGACACCCAGAAATTATATAAACATATGGGGAAAACCTTATCATCAACGACATCCTACAAAAACTTTTAGTTTTTTTTTGTTTTTTCTGGCAACCTCTAGAAATTAGATTACATTTGTATTGAGGTTCACAATGTGGAATTCGATGCTTGCCTTCCCCCTGTCAGCCCATTTATAATTTGTTAACAATTAAGAATGGTTTGGTTGACCAACAGAAATGGTGGCGGGTTAGCAACCGATTTGTGGAAGTTTCCTACTTCGCTGAATTTGTGGAACCAAGTAGGTTGGCTAGGTTTTTTTGGTCTTATATCTATAGTTGTTTGATGTTGTTTGATGTTGTTTGATGTTGTTTGATGTTGTTTGATGCTATTTGATGTTGTTTGATGGTGTTTGATGGTTCCAAAACAACCCAAAAAGGCCAGGAGCATGTCATAACTTCCTGGTTTTCCCAATCCCAGCCATCCAGGTATTGAAGAGCTCACTCGTGCAGAACAAGAGCTGGAGGTGACGGCTTGGGTCTTATGTCATTGGGTCTTATGGGCTTCAACCAACATCTGGTTGGTGGTTTGGAACATTGCTTTTATTTTTCCATATATTGGGAATTTCCTAATCCCAACCGACTTTCATATTTTTTAGAGAGATTGAAACCACCAACCAGTTATGGGCTTCAACCAACATCAATTGTAGGGATAGAGTTATTTCATGGTTAAATCCCATCCTTTCATAAACGCCTTGAGCCATGAAAGTTTAATACCCCGAGTTTTCCCATTTCATGAAATACAACAGTTTGTTCTTCGCACATTTTCCCAATGGCTTATCATCCCCAAGAAATTTGTTGAGTATCCCAAGAATGGGGAGCCGGAGCTAAGCTCATTGAGGAAAACCCAATCACCATGTGTTGTTTACTTTTTTGGATCGCGGAGAATCAAGATGTGTTGGAAATGCATCAAATTTTCTGCATTTCTCAAAATACGTTGATTGATTCGACTTTTGCCTTGTGCAGTACTTAGAAGCACCAGAGATTATTTTTCTGTGTCATGGCTTACCTTCCAGTATAGATTGACACAGATATGGAAAACCCAGCAGTTGTAGATACATGATATTGCCTGGAAAACCATGTGTTTTCCATGTCAAATTGTTAAGTCACTGGAGGCTACTTTACGACATTGACAATCTCATCCCTTTTGGGAACTTTGATCTAGATGTCGAGACTCAGACTTATTGACAAATCTGACAGTCATCTGACTACTCAAATATATTGAGTGCCATGATTTATGACTGGTTGGTGGTCTGGAACATTTTCATTTGTCCATATATTGGGAATGTCATCATCCCAACTGACGAAGTCATATTTTTTCAGAGGGGTAGGCGAAAAACCACCAACCAGATTATTAACCATCATTAACCATATATTAACCATATATTAACCATATGTATATATATATATATATACCCCATGTATCATGGAAAACGAACTTTGAGTGCCTCAGATCTAAGATTGATCAAAATAATTCATCGAAAAAATGTCAGACGCTGCCTGAGATCACCTTGAGCAAATCGATCCTCGTCAGTCAGATTACTGCTTCGTCATTGCTTTTTGTTTGTTTATCTCATTGGTGGTTTGGAACATGTTTTATTTTTCCATATATATATATATATGTACGTATATATATATATTGGGAACAATCATCCTAACTCCTAACTGACGAAGTCATATTTTTCAGAGGGGTAGGCTCAACCACCAACAGTTAATTGTAGCAGTTGCGTGTGATTTCTCGGAAATCACATCGGCTTTGCCATGCTTTGTGAATCAAAACCATTCCCATCCCCCCAAGATGAAACACCCGATTTTTCGATCGTTTTATCCCCGTTTGAAACCACGGTTTCTGGCAGCTTGTGTAACATCAAACGGGAAGGGACAAGCTCCAGTTGATGGCCTTTGATGTTGCTGACCAAACTCAGAGTGTCACAAGCTTTATCAAATCTACCTTTTTTGACATATAATATAGCCATATATATGGCTATATAAGGCTATATATGGGCTATACAATGGCTATACAATGGCTATATATATATATGCTATATATGCCATATTGTGTCAGATAAATCTACAGTAACGATGTCATCATTTTCCCCCACCTTTCAGGAGCAGCGCTTAATCGCCCACGCCTCCGTCCTGGCGGGCCTGAACCGCGATGGCGACGGCGACGGAGACTCGGCCACCAGCGAGGCGCCGGAAGGCGCGTTTCGGCGCGTTGCGGTTACCGGGGAATGGACTAAGGTACCATGGATAGACATCCATGGACTCAGACAATGTGCTTTTTTAATGGTTTATATATGGTTTAAATTTATGAAATTGGATGAATTTTGTGGTGAAAACCCATAATTGACCTATTTGGATGGTAAACATAGCACCTTTAAACATGGTGATGACTGGGGGATGGTGCAAATGGTTTTGTTTCAAGCACATTTAACTTGAAATGGTTGGTGAATGTATGTTGATTCCCCAAATTGATCGAACTCTGGATCATTCCAACAGATTTCCATAGTTCCTATTCAATCTATTCATAACTGGTTGGTGGTTTGGAACATGGCTTTTATGACTTTCCATATATTGGGAATGTCATCATCCCAACTGACGAACTCATATGTTTCAGAGGGGTTAAAACCACCAACCATAGAAGTTGGTCCATAAAAACAATAGCCATACACATATTTGCCATACACCTTGCTTATTGGAGTTATTTACCATTTGGCCCCCAAACGATAGAGAAGTTGGTTGAAGAAACTATGAGTGAATTCTATGGTTTAGGGTAGGTATATCGAACTAGTTAGATGGCTTTATAAACCAGCAAACAAACATAAGCCATATTGGACCATATTGTTTTTTCCTATTAAATATACATCCATCATCATCCATCTTTTATTTTCTCATACGTATATAATATATATATATACTATCATTGGATATGTATCATTCTATATGTATCATTCGATATGTATCATTATATCATCCTCATGTATCATTCTATATGTATCATTCTATATGTATCATTCTATATGTATCATTATATCATCCTCATGTATCATTCTATATGTATATATTATCATATATTATCTCCACATATATATATATATATATATCAAATATTTATCTGGCCACAGAGGCGCTGCGCCGCAACCGGAGCGACCTCCTCCTCGAACCCCGCCGCGCTTCCGCAGTGAGGGACCTATGGAGGTGGCCAAAATTGCCCTTCTGGCGCTTGGGGCCCTGGGGCTGCTGAAATGATCAACGGCTTAGCGGCTTGATTTGGGTATGGATCAATACCTATTAATACCATTTTTAGGGGGATGAACATCCATTTACCAGCTATTTTGATGTTCACCAGGGGTACAAGGTTTTGACACACTGCCATTTACTCTCCGGTTATTTAACATAGCCATGGAAAGATCCACCCATTTTTGATAGGTAAACCATCTATTTCGATTAGGGCCACAAATCACCATGGCTATGTTAGTCATAACCAGAGGGTAGCTGAAATAATAAAAACAGCTATAGAACTCCCCCAATGATAGAACAGCTATGGTTGCCATTCATTTGGGGATATGATTATGGTACACACAAAAAAATACTATTACTAAGTTTGTTTTTAACATATAGTTGTGGATTAGTGTATTAAAAGATCTAATCTGGGATTTAATATGGATATAGTATGGAATTATCTGAAGATCTTAGAATACTGGGATTTAGACAGATATTTTGTTGAGAACAACAACTGGATTAGTATTAATCCAATTATATACATAGAATGGATTATGGGATCACTATGACAAACGATCCTTGTTTTCTGGTTGGTCGTTCCATAGTAATAACTTAATAATGCTGACAATGAACTGGTTGGTGGTTTGGAACATTTTTTATTTTCCATTTCATATATCGGATGTCATCCTTCCCATTGACGAACTCATATTTTTCAAGATGAATTAAAACTACCAGCCAGCCAATAGATTTTACAATGATGATTAACCAACGGATCTACTTTGGGATCGCCGGGGACTTAGGCACTTAGTAAATGTAGTTATAAGTTATCTATCCTTTGGGTAAATGATGGCTATGTTACTTAAGTGATGGCTAAGTGATCAAAACATAGGTGGCACTTACTATTGACTTAGGTTACTTATAAGTGTAGTGTGTGCTAAGTGGTAGTAACTTAGCGATCACTTAGCGATCACTTAGCTTTTTCTTGAAAACGTACATAGTTCGATTGTCGTGGCCAATCTGGCAGGAAAAGTCATGTTGCGCAGCAATTTTGGTTCCAGTCATGGCAGCTGAAAAACAGATAGATGCCGCGCAGAAATTCCTACGTGGAATTCAGTCCCTGGCCTCCTACGAGGAGGTCAGGGACAAGCAGGCTCAAGGGGTGCAAAGATCTTTGGAGAAGGTAGTCTCCTTCACTGCTGCCCAAGCGGCATCATGGCTGAGGCTTCTTCAGGCAGATCTTTGGACGGTTGGTCAGTTGGATAGCTTCCGTGAGCTTGTTGCGGCCAAAACACGTCCTGTTGAGGTCGAGAGCAACCGTGATGGTGTTACCCAAGATTTTACTATGTTGCCGTATTATCTAAGTGATGATTTGGCGCAGGATGTTGGGAATGCCGCCACGGATTCGGATCGCCTGCTATGCAGATTGTGTCAACATGCGGCAAAAATGACCTTGCGCAATGCATCAGAAGCCACGAAGGCAACGATTGTGGTGCTTGCCAAATGGAATTTGTGCAAGCGTGGCTTGTCGCCGCGGCAACAGCATGATTTGTTTTGTCGCTTCAAGCCGGTTGTGACAAAGTATCTGACGGCGGCAGAGGATTCGAAGTATCTCTTGGATTTGCCTGTGGCTTGGGAAGAGTTGGACCAGGACATTGTGACACGCGTCTTTCCTACGGGGAAACCGACGCAGATCACGGATCTTGCCGCAGAGATTTGTAACTATGTGCGACACATGCCTCTACGCAAGGATAACCGTTTATTGCAATCAAGCAGCCACGCGCTGCCCTCCAGTGGCCAAGTGCCGCCAGGCTTTTTGGCTGTGGAAGATATCTGCAAAGTTGTGGAAGCATGCAAATCAGCGCAACCAAGTGTTGCGACGATGCAGTCGAGCCAATCTGCTCCGTCCGGAGCATGCGCGCAGATACGGCCTCCTCAGTTGGCCATCTGTGACCGTCCACCGGTGGAGACTGCTGAGTCTGTGGAGCTTAAACCCGCTGGTACCCTGTCGGTCGCAGAACAATTGGCCGCGTTGCGAGCGGACATGGATCCTCCGATGGAAGCGGCTGCGCGTGGTGGGACAATGAAAAAACCAGCTGCAAGTCAGAAAGGGCCTGGCACGCTGCGTCCACGAGGGCGGCCACCAGGTACAGGCAAGCCAAGGGCTGTAAGGAAGGCAGGGCTCAAGAGGCCAGCAGTTGCTACGAGCAGAGATACGTCGATGGGACGGGAGCAGGACTCTATGACGCTACCTACGGGAGCGGTGGGATCTAAGAGATCCACTGTCGCTACGGCGGCTGCAATGCCCAAGGGCAAGACAAAAACATCAAAGAAGCCGGAGGTTGCGAAGAGAAGCTCCAAAGGCAAGGGCACAGTGACGCCCAAGGGCGCCAAGGTGGCTGCATCAGATCGTGCAGCAAGGCGTCAAGCTTATTTGGCTTCTGTGCCAAAGAAGATCCAGGCGCAATATCGCAAAGGGTGCTCGAAGTGTCGCTACACTCGCTGCACGGTGTCGTGTTGGAGGTCTCGAGGCTTTGAATTGCCTCCGACATCGTGACGTTGAGAACCTGTTTGGCGTTACAAATGCATGCTCGCAGGGAAAGGGGGACTTGGGCGGGTATGTCGGTTGTGTGCATGTCCACTATCTACGAAGGCATGTGTATGAGATTTGATCTTCTGTCTTTGAAAGGAGACTCTGTTTTGTGGGTGTTGCTATGCGGATGGTGCCACTGTTGTTTCGTTAAGGGTATATTGGCTCAAGCAGTAAAGGGTCGGTGCCCAGTCCCGTGGGAAGAGTTGCCGTCCATATATAGGACAGTGTCGACCTGCACTTCTGTGATGTTGGTAGCCTTTTCTTTCCCTCTTTATATTCATATATATGCAGTCATAATATATATTCGCCTCTCGCAGGACTTCATGGCAGAGAAGAGCGGCAGGGGCGATGATTCCGACTACTCCTATGTCACCGATGAGGAGGAAGAACCGGAAGCTGCCGGCAGTGGAGCACCACGTGTGCGCAGAGCTGCTAAGGCAGCGCCAAAACCTGCTGCTGCCAAGGCAGGGCCGGAACGTACCGCGCCTGTGGACGCAGGCCCGGCAGATGTTCCGGAGGCGGTGGTTACCGTATCCCATGGTCCTCCGTGCGCCACGTCGAAACGTCGAATCCCAAGTCCGTCGACGAGTTCGGATGACCCAGGGCCGAAGTTACCACCAAGATCCCGGAGCCCTGTGCGCCCGGTGCCGGCTCTGGACGCACGTCCTGTGCGGGATCGGAGGCGGGATGATGAGGCAGGGCATGCACGGGACCGGTCTACGCGACCGGTTTCGCCACCTGCTGATCTAGAAGCTGAGCGAGATGGGCCTACGCGGCATGGAATGGATGGAGGTCATGGGATGGCTGCTACGCGCAGCAAAGGCAAGGCCAAGGGGAAACGCACGCAGGACTGTCCGCACTGCTGGACTCCTGTGGCATGGACCCCTAGAGGTTCTGGGTTGTCTCAACATATGTGGTGGATAAGGGAATCTTGGGATCCACGTCCTTGCAAGACTGGATCTCCATCGAATCTCTGTATGTGGATTCGATGCATCAATTCTATGCCAACGGCTTAGTCGGACAAGACATTGGCCTCTGGTATGCGCTGTTTAAGCAAAATGGGTTCGATCTCTGCTTTCTTCAACGGTGGGTGGGCATCGGCTGGAAAACCTTGATGGGTGGACCGAGCCCAAAGGAATGCTTCAATGACAAACTGTTTCGTGAAGGGCAAGACTTCCGTGGAGATGCAGATACTACGTTGCAAGCACTGCCTCTCATTGCCAGCTTCTCTAAGGAAATGCTGGCAGACAATGTGGCCATGCAGCCGGCGAACGAAGCACTGTTTGCATTGCAGGAAGTGTCCCAGCTGCTGCAAAGAACCAAAGTACACCCGGATGCGGCACGGCACCTACCCGGAAAATTGAAGAGATATAAAGAGAAGTGGGATGTCGCCTACGCGGCGGTGGCTTGGGCAAGACCCAAATTCCACTACTCGTTGCATCTCCAAAGCCAAATTCAAAGATGGCATCGACACATCGATTGCTTTGTGGGGGAGCGCAAACATCGTGTGTTTAAGTCCATAGTGGCACCGCGTCTGTCGCAATTAAGTTGCTTCACTCGAAGCACCCTTTTGCAATTAACAGAAATAGAGCTGACTACGAGTCACTTGGAAAGTGAATACACTGGTCGACTTCTGGGAAAGGCCACGCAAGACGTGAATAAGGCAAGAGAACTAGGCCTTCCAGATCACGTTGTCTTTGGAAAAGGCATTCAGATCTACTGTGTGGAGTACTCACGCGGTACCTTTGTGCAGATGTCTGCTACGTGCAGCATTGAAATTATCCATGGCCTTGCAGAAGGAGATTCTCTTTCTGTGCTGGTGCACACATTGCAAGCCATGCCCGAGGCATCCATTCTCAAATGGAAGCGCCTCAGCAGAGGAACGGACATCATTGCAGCATCCGCGCTGCGGCAGCATGAGCCGATGCGATTGCTGCGTGAAGACCAAGACGGTCTTTGCCTTCTACGCTGACCCTGCAATGGTCGGTACCAAAAAGATGAGAAAGCGACTGAGTGTTAACAGTAATACTACTGAAATATTGTAAAAACAACTCAAACTCGAAAACTTTAAAAAAAACGTATGAAACACTTAGCTTCACTTAGCGGTCACTTAGCTTACACTTAGCCGGACTTAGCAACCTCAAAACCTAAGTGCTTGCTAACTGCCTGCTAAGTGCCTAAGTGCCACGGCGATCCCAAAGTAGAGGTAGCCCTATTTTCAGACCCAGAACATCGATTTTTTCTTCGAGTGACATAGTTTCTGACATTCTATCTGTTTTTTCTCAGGCATATAATGTCTAATTATATGTTAAAATATATTCTGACGTATTCTGACACGTTATTTGACATATGTTTTGTGTTTTCAGACATTTTCTTTGATAATTTTGGTATTCTGATTGTCATTTTATCCGTTGGGACCGAAGGGCACTGAGCCCCACACCCGCCTCTAAGTCAATGCCAGATTTCGGTCATCCAGCAAGGTTTAGCAAGCTAGGCTAGGCTCCAAAGGCAAGGTTATAGAGTTATAGTATCAAAATGTTGAATTTGTGGGTTAGGGTTTTGGTTGTTGTGGTTGTGGTTGTGGTTGTGGCTGTGGCTGCACATCATATGATCAGATCTGATCATCCCTGGCCGTGGTTGCGCACTTGATGCCTTCCGATTGACATGAGCCTTTTTTTCCAACGATTTTGTGTGATGTTGAATCGAACATTGGTGTTGATTTGATTGTTTGATATATGAGCTATGGTCAATACTCATGGTTAATAACCATTAATAGGGGCTAGTCATCCAATGGTTCATAACCATTATTTTTGGATCCTTATTATGGATGGGGACCATCAACCATATAGTGAGTATTGACCATGGCTCATATGAAATATGATGAAATCAGAATCTATCCCAATCATAGCAGCTTAGACCTTCATGTTCCGCATCTGCCTGGTGCGTTTTTATTGTGCCCGGTTTCCAAAAAAACCGGGCCAGGTGGGCTTGGAATGGCTGGAGCGGCAGCTGAAAAAGTTGTCGTCTCAAGGTTTGCAGAGCTTCCTGGCAGATCGGTTGGATCTGTCGGAATTCGCGAGACCCTCTGGTTATGACTATAACATAGCCATGGAAGCCATGGCCCATTGAAATAGATGGTTCACCTATTAAAACTGGTGATTTTCCATGTCTAACTGTTAAATGGCCCATTTATAGATGGTTTTTCCCATTAAAACTGGTGATTTTCCATGGCTATGTTAGTCATAACCAGATGGTATGTTTTTTTGGATCTGGATCCATCGACCACCGAAAAGTTTTTTTGGACATCCGAAGACTTGGAACCAATCCTGGATGTGAAGTTGGCCTTTCATTTTCAAAAACATCCGTGTCTATCCCTTAAAGCATCCCCAAAGCATCCCAAAACTATAGGGCTTTTGTATATAATCCCATATGCTCCATGGTGCTGGTATATAAAAACCTACAAAACTGGGTGATTTTGTTCGGGCAAATGTTGGTTTGCATATTCCAGCACCATGGAGCATCTGGGAGTGTGTATTGGTTTTCCGTTTGAACACCGAACATCGCGATTTTGGGATTTTTGGGTCGAAAGCAACACCACAGGTTTCGCAGATCGGGTCCACAAAGACGTGATCAGGAGCGGGATTTCCCCGTGAGGCGAAACGAATGGGGAAAGCCAGGGAAAATGGGTGTTTATTTCACCGAAAAAAGGGGAGTAACAATGAGATGTATAGCTGATGATAGCTGAGTTGGTGAACATAACTATGAGTAACATGAAATAACATGAAATAGCTATATGGTTTTTGGTGGATATTAAATCGAACTAGTTCATGGGTTGCTCACATAATTACTGGGGCCTCATCTTCCATGATTTCTCGGTGTTCGAAGGTTTTACTGTGAGATGACCAGAGGATTTGTTCAATCGTTGGACATTGAAGAAAAAACAACAATATTATATTATAATCACTTTGCCACTGGCAGGGTTTTTGACATGGTTTGTCCACCTTTTAAAGTTTTGGGGATTGCCAAAGAAACATGTATCAGTCATTCCCAAAGCCATCACCCTTCCATTGTATCAAGGCCTCATGACGTTGTTGTTGCTTTTCTCGACAAAAAACACCTTGGGTGGTGATTCCAACTGGCCTATAGTTCTTCCAGTCTCTGCTAAGATAACCTGAATGGATTCTTTTCAGATAAGATAGCAGATATTCAGGTTGGATAACATAGGCTACAACATAGGCTATAACATAGGTTATAACATTGTTTTCTCTTCCTGTTGGACGCCCAGAAACTTTTCTACAGATATCATCGACCATGCGGCGCAGGAGGGGTGGTCCGGACGCGCCATACAAGGTGATGGCATTGTTCGGCAAGGCCTGGTTGCACATGGTCGATGCTATGGATGAAGTGTCGTTGCTGTTTGATAACTATATCCATAATATATCCATAATATATCCATAATCTATCCATAATATATCCATAATATCATTTGTTTTCATGTCCTGATTTTGGAATGTTTTGGATCAAAGATCCGAAGTTGTGGTGGTGATACCACAAGATTTGCCGCTTCGATGTTCTCCCTCCTTTTCTGGGATGAGGCGCCAAAGTTTCTGTCGTTGTTCAGGGTTCAATCAGCATCCAGAATGGCATTGATCTTGGCGTTACGTTGTCAAAAACCCATGGGATGGAACCGATGGATTGGAGCTACCTACCATTTTTTTGACGAAAAAAAAAGGGCTAGGGGAAGATCCCCAGAAAATATGGTCTGAAACCTGGTACGACCGTACCTTCATTTTAGGATCCTTTTTGATTCCCATTGAACGATTTCTAAATTCGTGCAGTTTTGGGGTCCGACCGGGTCCAGATGCCTGAGGCCTTCCTGAAGGAGAAGGACGAAAGACGGAGGAAGGCGCGGTGGGCGGTGAGCTGTTCGTTGGAGAAGCTGTTGGTTGATGAGTTCATCATGCGGAACTTGAAGCATCAGTTATAGGGACTTTATGGGGGGTTCACTATCCTGTTGCGGATATAATTGAAGGAGTCATGTTGGTTGATGGTTATAGTCATTTAATTAATAGGGATGTTAACCATGAAATTATGAGCTGAGGAGTTTGAGTAGATATCACTAACAAACGATGGTTGGTTGATGAATAGTTTGAGGATTACAGTAATCAATGTATCATAGTAACATATCTAGCCAATATTGGATACTAATGTATCATAGGGGACTATCCTAAAGGATCCCAATGGTTTATAGGGGATTATCCTACTAAATTATAGGGTATTCTACCAACCAATATATTGTGGATAATTACAATCCATAGAGGAGAATCCCATTCTTAACCCATAAATTGTATATTTCGCAATGCCGGCTTAGTAGGACAGCCGGAGCGTCGTTAAACCTGATAGTCTCAGTCTCATGGCAGGTCGCTGGGAAATCCGCGACAACATGTCGGGCATTTTGTTCATAAGACAATCATCTAATGTCAACCCTGGATTAAAAAAACCCAAGATTCCTAGATTGTTTAATTGGGAGGGTACCATAAAAAACGTATCAGATGAAATGACTATTGGAGGAGTACCCCCTAATTGATAAACCGTGGTTTATTAATCCGGGTTTGACATTACATGGTGGGATTTTCAATGTTTGATAGACATGAACCCAATTCACGCAATTCCACTGTGAATTGCTTCCATTTGCATTTTGAACCTTGATCATCCTAGATCTACTTCATTTATCGGGGATCAGGATGTGAGGTCCATGGCTATTTGAATCGAAAGAGGGGTGATTGAGCATCTAAGGATAGATTAACATAATAACATGGATGTCGAAACCCTAGAATAATGATCTACAGGAGGATATTCTTCGAAGAACTGACATATTTAACAACGATTTGCTCTGTGACCAAGAATGGAAAACTTGCTTTTGTTTTCCATGCCTTTCCATCTAAACCTCAAATGATGATCCCAATTCGGTTTCAGGATGTTTCAAGAAAGTCAGCCCAAAATCGCGAAACCAATCACCTAATATCACAGATTGTTCGTATGCAGTCGACCGTACCTGCCATTCGCAGGTGTTCTTCTATGCCTTCAACGAGCTCTGTCGACCCTTGCGGAAGGAGCCCAACAGCAGTCAGCTTGGTTGCAGTTAAGCTTCAAAATGATTGGAAATTCAGCCCAAATCAACTCAAGTGCAAACTGCAAACGTCCATGTTATGCGTACTTACAATCCGACCTTCCATAGTGCCACAAAAAAAACAAAGTGCTTTCGAACAAAGTGCCGTTGTTGTTGTAAAGTGCCATCTTGACTTTGAATGACTTTAAGCTGAATCAGCTCATAGTTCTGTAGATAATTAGCAAGACACCCTGCCACTACATTGACAACAACGTAACGTGCATATAATATTGGTATGTATAGACACCAGATCATTGGACTTCGACTCGCTGCTTGCCCAGGCTACAGCAAAGTCATGCGTCACGCCTCCTGGGGCTTTTTGAAGACCATGACGCGCGGCACGGAACTGCTTAGCCAAGCCGAGAGGAGGGGGAAATAGTTGGGGGAAGACGTCGTATTTGGTAATGACAATGGATGAAAATAGTTGAGTAGTTGAGTAGTTATAATTAAGTTGAGTGTAATGTAATTATAGTTATAATTAGTTGAGTTGTGTACTTTAGAGATGTTTCTGAGGATTTTTAAGGATCTGTTCTTTGCAATGGAGTTGACATTCATTTCTTTTTGGCTGGATGTTTTCAAGAGCTGCTGCATCCAACAAAGCCATTAGGTGGGGAAGGTTGACTGGTAAGAACCTTTGGGGATACTGACCAACCACCAAATGGCCAATCTTGGATATTCAGACCTTTTTTGTTTTCTAGCTGGGTACCCTCCGGTAATTTAACATAGCTATGGAAAATCACCATTTTTAATGGGAAAATCCACTATAAATGGCCATTTTCAATAGCTACGTTAAATTACCAGAGGGTATGCAAGCTTTCAACATGAATTGTTCCACATTGATCCAGCAAAAACGAGCAGGTTTTGCCACTGGATTGGACCATTGGACCTTTTGCAACTCCTTGAAAAATCCCACTCTGTGTTCGTTCAATGCTTCTACTTCTGGTGAAACACTCGTTTATATAACGGCATTAATCTAGGGTTTTCTTACTTATGAAATCCTGAATTGTTGCATTCCTTACAATTCCACTCTAGATGTCCGTTTTTTTTTGTTGATGATTTCCCCTATGGTCTTGGACCAGACCTTCTCCGTTCCACAGCCCTGCTCCCTTGGGCAGTGGCCCTTCATATCTGTTGGATTTCATCAGCCGTGAAGCGAGAATGCCGATCTTAAGCAACCATTCTGCCATATGGGGATGGGTCAAAACCCTGGTACCTAGTGAACCCCAAAATAGCTGGTAAATGGATGTTCATCCCACTAAAAATGGTATTAATAGGTATTGATCCATACCCATATGTTTCCAATGATTTTCAATACGTTCCAAGAGGGCATGACACCATGCCGTATCTGGATTAAATTCTTTGGGGAAGACGTAATTGTTTCATAGAAACTGAAGATATATACCCAATCCCAGCGTTGGGATATCTCACATGAACCCAAATGTACACACCACACGGTATTTCTGTAAGTCTGTAAATTAACCCCCATTATATCCAAGTGTGTGTTGATTAGATCCTTCATTTATAGTCCAATTTTCGTCCAATCGTAGCAACAGGGGCAGTTCAACATGATTCCAAGTGTAGCAACCCCCACCAAGATAGAAAAGTAACTGATCATTTTTTCCGTTTATTATTTACATCAGATACTTGAAGCATGATAAATCCATCTACTATAATATATATAGTTACAACTAACACGAAGCCTAATTATTCTACTAATCTTGTAGCTATAGATATAAAGCAACTTAAGAATCTGAACTGGGGCATCACGGCATCACCTTTAGTTTTGTCATGGCATGTCATGACCAAATCCCCATGGCTCTTGAACTCTACAAGCCGCAACGTTCCGCAGGGCCTACTACCCGCGCTTTCTTCGTCGACATTCCAGCTCTAGCGACGAGGCGCGGAGAGGAGCACGGTCAACATTGGTGGGTCCCAGCCGTTGCTGCCAGGACTTTTTTGGTTTTTTTTGTTGGACCATGGTTACCATCTATAGGAAAACCATAGGAAAACCCATAGTCAAACCATAGGAAAACCCATCTATACCCTGGTTGGTGGTTTGGACCATTTTGTATTTTTCCATAGATTGGGAATGTCATCATTCCAACTGACGAACTCCATCATTTTTCAGAGGGGTAGGCGAAAAACCACCAACCATCTATTTATACCCAGAAGTGAAACTGTCAGCATGGGAAGCTGGGAACCAACCAGCTAAGAAGTGATCTCTGCCGAAAAAATGAAGTTTAACTTCTCAGCTAGCCTAGTTTATCACTCAGATTTCACTAGGGTTCATGATTGACTAAATTTGATGGGGCGTACGAACCAACCACAAACAGATGTAGCAGGGAGGCGCCACATTGCACCGTTCACCAGATAATTTGCTAATGGGTCACAACAAAAAATGGTCATAGTACCACCCAAAAAGATAGAGTAAAAATTCAATTCATTTCTTGGCCCAGAAATTGGGATTTAGAGAATTGAGGATTTCCTGTGTGACTCTGTGACCAAACTCATTCTATACGACCTTGCCAGATGGCTTTGTTCTGAAAATAAGGTCCCCAAATTTGATCGTTACCCTACTGTAAACTCACATGTGGAAAACCCACGGTTTCCCTAGGAACAATCGTTTGTGGTTAAAACAATGCCATGTTTACCATCCCATGTTTGATGGTTTATACCGTTATACCCATTAAAATAATTGGTGATTTGATATGTGCGGGATGGTAAACATGGCAGTGTTTTATCCACAACTACCCTAGGATACCCTCTGGTAATTTAACATAGCTATTGAACATGGCCATTTATAGTGAGTTTTCCCATTAAAAATGGTGATTTTCCATAGCTATGTTAGTTTCCCAGAGGGTAATCATCATTTTGCCCATGATGGCCTGATGGGGTACCAGACAGGCGTCCTTCATTTGGCGCGCAGCTGGAGAGTCCAAAGATACGACCTTTGGACGAGAGAACTGGGCGACAAAGGGCGAAGAAATTCACCGTAACTCTCAAGCGACCTCAAGTTTCCTGGCATACGTATACATGTTTATATATACGCGTGTATATGTATACATAGTATATGAATCTATGTGATGTAATTTATATGATATATATATATAATATATATATATATAAATAAGATAAACATGTAAACCTACTCAAAAATCAGCCCTTCTCTTGGGGCCTGGTGTTGCAATACCCCCCCCCCTACAAGGGTCCCTTAGGTTGACGCATTCTCTTCTCATCCAGAAGGGAACACCGCCTGTTGATGATGAGTTTTGGACGTTCCTTAAGATCATTATCAAAAGCAAAATGGATTATGGTTATACTACCATAACTGGTTGGTGGTTTGGAACATCAATTTTATTTTTCCATATATTGGGAATAATCATCCCAACTGACTTTCATATTTTTCAGAGGGATTGAAACCACCAACCAGATAATCATCAACCCTGATAATCCTGATAATCCTGGTAATGGTTATACACCCACGAAATTGGGGATGATTGACTCTCACACTCCATTATGGACATTCCTATTAACCAACGGTTTCAACACTGGTCCCATGAGTTTTCAACCTGTGATTCAATCCATCACAATAAGGTAAGGCCTACAAACAATAGCTAGGTTGACTTATGACTTGGTGCACTATGATTTTATCGGGCAATTATATAGTATGATTATATAATTAATGTTTCTAAACCTTAACTTACAACTGGCTTGGTTGATAACTAGGCTAAGTAGGCTTTGTATGCCCTGGGGTAAACTTACATAGATGTGGAACTCACAGCAGTTGTAGATCATTGTTTGCATGCATTTCCCCCAAGGGTTTTTCACATCTATGTTGGTTTACTTTAGGGTACATACAATTTCTGATGGTAACATCTTCATTTTGGGTTGGTTGAAATATCATAAAGCAACATCCCATTCTGGTAGATACAATGATATATTTCACTAGTTATAAACCTGTTAAACATGTGAAATCGCAAACTAGCCCACAATGTTTATAAAAGTTTATAACATCAGTGAAATAATCTCATAATACTAGGGGTTTCCCAAACAAAATAGTATAACCATGTATAACCCATAATATTGTGAAACCCCAACAATATATATATATATATTTATAAGGTTCGTGGTTTGGAATATTTTTTATTTTCCATAATAATACGGGATAATCCTTCCCATTGACTAATATTTTTCAGAGGGGTTGAAACCACCAACCAGATATAATATATATATATAAATAATATATATATATATCACAAACATCATCATTGACAGCCTCACCGTTGTGGGGCAAAGCCCACCCTGCTGTTGCTGAAATCCGAGGAAGGAGTGGCAGGAGCGTTTGACGCGTTGGGAAGCGGCGCTGATGAGCGGCACGGTGTTGTCGGCGTCGAGCTACGACACGAGGGGCTCCAGACATGAAAAGAAGGTGAGGCTTTTCCGGTGAAGCCATGGTAGATATATCATGATATAATAATAGTGATTAATAGTGGTTAATAGTGGTTAATAGTGGTTAATAGTGGTTAATAGTGGTTAATAATGATAGTTAATGGTGAATAATGGGGATTAATGGTGGTTTAGCCTCTAGTAAACTAACATAACTATGGAAAATCACCATTTTTCAATGGGACAATCCACTATAAATGGCCGTTTTCAATAGCTATGTTAAATTACCAGAGGGATCAGAGGGTATCTATGTAGAAGGTTTCAGAGTAAGTTGGCTAACTGTGAGGATTGTTTATATATGGATATTATGATGTTATTTTGATGTTATGGTTATATTAACTATTTATATGTTGATGTTATTTTAAGGCAACATCCGTCAAGACGGTGATCTAGGGATATCCTCCGAAGAGATGGCAAAGTAGAATTCTGCTGGTGTGTAATGATCTATGTACTTGACTATAGATTGTATAATTGTGCATAGCGACGTTATTGTATACTGTATACTTATTTGTCCATATTATATATACACATATACATCTATATGTATGGATATATATATATATACACATATATATATACATACATATATATATATAATTATATATATATATATAAATTAACATATATGTATATATACATAGGATCACTGGTCTTGATGATCGAGTAGGTTTGGGACTGGGTGTGTGATTCAGAGGGCAAACACATGGCCCCAGAAACGCTTTCAACTTGACGCATGATTGTGATTTGGAGTGACCATGTGGATCCATGTGGTATGCTGCCTCGGCTGGCTATTCCGGAACTTTAGGTCGGGATTCTCAGCGAGCTAATGTATTGTTGACTTGTTGAAGCCAGCCGGGCAGCTTTGTTTTGATCGGCACATTGATTGTTTGATTTTTGACCATAGCTTATCAAATCCAACAGGAACTCAGATCTTGATGATAGCCTTTTCGGTTCAAGCTTCGAAATGTGTCACACATGGTGACCCGGAATGCCTCGGATGATGAACCTGGCCCCGTGCTATGATGGCCATGTTGTCCATCGGTTGCCCCCCATATGTTGCCTAATCCAATGTGGAAAAAGAATGAAAAAGATCTTTGTGACTCGATGTTCATGTTGTCCATCATGTTTGTGAGTTCCAGAGGCCAACAAACACACCATCCAACACTGTATAGTGTTTATATGTGTTTATCATATATGGAGACTGAGACTGAGAGACCTTCCAGTTGTCCTTTTTTTTTCCTTCCAGTTGATTACATTACAGTATTCCAGTTGAATCATCCAACGGTTCAATTTGGAATTGATCTCATTCCATCTAAAAGAACGCCATGAGAGACAACAACAAGAGATGCTTGGTGCCCGACACCGACTCTGAAGCTCGGCAACGAAGAAGTCACTGCAGACGTATGACATCCGCCATTTTGGCAGGTTATCCTACTTAGTATGGCATCAAGTTAATGATATATAATTTAAGTATAGGTTATAGTGTTTAAGAAATATCTAGTGTTTTTTACATCTAGATTCATTTAATCCCGGCCCTGGACCCCCTAAGATTGAATATCGAGGAACCTCAAACGATTAGATCCAGTGCTAATCCAGGGTTCTTAAAGGCGCATCTAACTCTAACTTAACCTCGCATCATAACTTGTCTTGATCGCAACTTCGCAACGGCCGGATATCTCTGGATGTGATGGTTGAGAGGAATGATTTCCGCAATTTGCTTCTTCTAAGTTTAGAAATGACTCTAATTTGACCATGAATTTCTGGTTGGTGGTTTGGAACATTTTTTATTTTCCATAATATATGGGATAATCCTTCCCATTGACTAATATTTTTCAGAGGGGTTGAAACCACCAACCAGATTTTCATCACCCACTTGTTGGACCAGACGCTGTCAGCTCCAGGAATTCCAGGCGCAGCAATGCGACAGTCCGCAGGACTATACCGTGCAATCGGAGCCTTGGTTGGACAGATATTGGTGGCTCAATGCGGGTTTGTTGGAAAATCTGGTATCTCTATGGTCTCTATGTGGGGTTTTCCTTGGTCATGGGGGGTACCCCAATAGCTGGATGGTTTACCTGGAAAATCCATCTATAAATGGATGATAACTAGGGGTACCCCTATTTCAAGAAACCTCCATGTATCTCAAAACTGACCTTTTGGGGATAGCAATTTTCTCAGACAGACGCGGTCGGGTCAGACTGGGGAACCTTGAGTGGGTACTGTGCTACTTGAATCTTTTGCTGGGTGATGTACTAGCACATATACAAACACTAAGAAACAAACACACAGAACATTTTTTTGAAGGGTATCATGAAAATAGGTCACCACCAAAATTTCATAGTTCTTATTTTCAAGATTAACGTTTTCATTTTGTGGTATCCACTATTGTTGACATGCCAATGAAATACCATTGTTGTTCATGAGATCTACCTGAAGTGTTGATTTTCCATGATCAGCAACATTTTATTTTCTTCTTATATGGGTCTGAAAATAGGCCAGCCCATGCCATGCCATTTGTAAATCATCCATGATTTCCCGTTAATTTATAGCAATTTTTGGGATACACCCATATTAATATATCCTCCAGGTTTTCACCCAGAAAAATGGTGCGTCCAAAAGTGGTATAGCCATATGTTCCCCGAAATCGATATTGAGAAGTTGCTGATCAACCATCAAATGTCGAGGCTTCCCCCTAATTGTTCAGACAAATCCCGATGGCTCAACCATCAACCAGTCATCGTCATCCTCATTTGGGTTTGTCCATGGATCCTTCTGTTGGTTTCGCGAAATGAAGCTCGAAACGCATGGCTGGGACGTTGTGATGTATGTATTCTCCCAAAAACATGGGCACAAACCCAGGCCATTTGCAGAAAAACAAATACCCTTGATATGTTCTTAATATAGATGACTTTTTGCATATATATATATATACGTATATATATAATATACGTATATATATATATACGTATATATATATATAATATACGTATATATATATATATATACGTACTATACAAAATTGCAGAAGATGGACCTGGGTTGCTCCGACCAGTTGTAGGGAAATTATTCCCTAGCAGGGGAAACAAGATGGTGGTTTTACACTACTTGTTCACCCAGTTTGTGGGGTGTTGAGAGCAGTCCATCATATCACCATTATATCTGTTATATCCACGTTCAAGTCATATCACCATAGGTCATGCTGGGTTAATCCTCCCGTTGTTTTGTAACATAGATGTGGAAAACCATAGTATACTACCATGAAACACCCACCATGAATCATGAATCTAGATATCTCTAGATCATTTTCCCATGGGTTTTCCCTGGGGTAAACACCCCGGGGCAAGGAGTATAGTCTTCACACGGAGCTGTCGATCAACAACTCCAGCTCGGAGTCCGCACAGACGCCGGGCAATCGCGGGCTAGCGGTACAGCACTCACCATAGGAATCAATGAGGCTTAAAAAGGGGGGATATAATTAGATGGATATAGTATGATATATAGTATAGTAATGTATAGTAGAATTGGATAGAATTGGAGGATATCTTCAACTTGAATGCTTGAATGAGGTAATAGACCATCCAGTGGACCTGCGCCACTCTTTGAGTTGAGGCACCATTGTTTACCAACGAGAACTGGAATCTAAGCACTGATGTTATGATTCGATCTGGGTTTGGCTGAGGCCGGGCCACAAGTCTAGTTGGATCAGTGGCACGTGGAATGCTGTGGGGTTGGACTGCAGGACTGCTGTTTTCTGCCAAAGATAACAAGCTCCATCAAGCTCCGTGCTTGTTCCCCTTTGGCAGTGACAAGGAATACATTTTTTGAATGGAAGAAACTTGCCGAAACATGTGCCTATTCAAGCAAACTTGATACATCCAAGGCTCTGACTTGAAAGATCTCGAATTCCTTCCTTTGTATGTTCCAAGGGGAGACAGATTTACACCATGATTCCACAGCTACGCAGGGAAGTGGTTGATGATTTTTTAATATATGGCATGCGGGGATGTAGTTTTTGCTCCCAGCACTTCGGGCCACCAACTCAAAAACACATAGATTGTCATGCTTGGTCAAGGCAGTTCTTGTTCCTTGAAACCTTACTGTGTGGTTGGCGATTTCCATTTAGGCAACTTCATCCTGGCCTAGCTAGCATCCTGGCACCCAAAATCGTGCACGGCATCGGGGGATCAGAGATTTATTACATGATTTAAGTATAGAATTTGTTTTCCAGACGCTTTGGCCCAACCCTCTGGTAAACTAACATAGCTATTGAAAATGGCCCATAGAAATCGTTGATTTACCTATTAAAAATGGTGATTTTCCGTCGTTATGTTTGTTTACCAGAGGCTAAACCACCATCAATCCCCATTAATCACCATTAACTATCATTATTAACCACTATTAACCACTATTATCAAAAATGAATATTAACCACTATCATGATTAAACACTATTAACATCTATTAACCACTATTAACCACTATTAACAGAGCATCTTTGATGGCCGTTGAATGGGACCCCTGACCACGACAGCCGAGGAAAAAGAAGCGATCCTTGAAGCGCCTGTGGTCCGAGGCCGCCGGCGGATTGCTTCGCGACGCGTTGAATGCGGGTGGGTGATGTGTCGTGGTTCAGATTAATTGTTGTGCATTTAACTCTATTCAACAATAGAGTCACATCATTGTTACTTGTTGATGTTGTTTTAGTATAGAGTAATAGAGTAACCCATTTAACAATGATGTTGTTGTTGTTTTTTATGGGTTTGGGAATTACATCTGGTTTTTTGTATGTTTTTGTAGTGTTTTGTCATGGTTTTTGTCCTGCGCAAAAGCCTGAAAAACCAGCTGTCATTACATTAGCCCCATCCCAAAGTGACCGTCAGTTGATAAGCGGCCTTACTGTAGGGTGTAGGCCATGGCCATCATCAAGAACTCCAAGGGCTTGTTAAATCTTATTGAATCTTATTATGAATATATATATATATATTATATATATACATTATTGATCAATCTGAATCATCTATTGCGATTGGAATGATTTCGATGAAGGAGCAAGATGAATTAAGATCTTGGTGACTTCAGGGTTGACCCAAGAGCTTCCGCTTCGCATCGGGTCCCGCTGGTCCGCCGGTGGTCGCCAGGTGCAGCACGAACAGATTTCCACGTACCCATTGCAGCAGCAAAGTGGCAACTCGGCGTGTCAATCGGGATGGGATGAGACGGGAATGGGTAAACTCGCTGGCGGTGAAGGTGGTGATGTGAAATTTACCCGGCCTGGTAAACTGACCCATAATTATGGAAAGATTCACCATTTTTTTAAAGGTAAATCAACTATTATTTTTATTACCATTTTCAATAGTTATGTAAACGTTTACCAGAGGGTAATTGGTATTAATTTTAAATGGTGTTAAGATTAATATTGATGTATTCACTTATACCACACAGAGACAGAATACTAGAATAGCATAGAACAGCCAGAGATGAGATTCTTTGGATCATCTAGATTGTCTATAGGATCTATTGGATAGCATAGAAATAGCATAGAATAGGATCATCTTAGCATAGAATAGCAATTCGAATAGCTAGGCATCGATCGGATCATTCCTTTGATTGTCGAGCCATGCCACAACTGGAAGCCGCTCCTCAGATCCCTTGGATCGATCTGTAGGATTTTTGGGGAAAATCTATAGGGAATCGATGGATTGGTTTAAGGGAAAAATTACAGGAAAGCCCCATACTTAATGGGAAAAGCTATGGTTTCCTGTAGATTTCCCTTAATCCAATCCATTGAGGGAAACCACATGTGATTTCCTGATGACAACATTCATGAGATAGTAACGTAAATATTTGTTATAAAAAAGGAAAATCCATGTGACACAAGAATATCATCAGCATCATTCAAGGAAAATCCATGTGACAACTACATACGGATAGTAAGGGATAGTATTTGTTTCTTTGTTTCACTCAAGATATTCTCATAGTAACCCCCACAAGTAGGTAGAAAGAAACACTTGCACCAACGTACCAGCGTTTCAACGTAGTTTATTTCCATGTTGATTTTTTTTGGATGATTGCTATGCCTTTCCAAAGTCCATGGATGTAGGGTTGCCAGCTTGATGTGATCCTTAGGTGATGGGCTGATTTTGGCCTTGGTCAGGGGCGCTCAGTACGTTAAAAAGGGCCCATGGCGTGGGATGTGTTTCATGAATACTGTATCCAAACCAGCCAATCATACGGTAGGGGATTTACCATACATATATATATATATTATATATATATGTAATTATATAGTTAATATATTATACACAATTACTGTATATCTACCGCATGTATTGTATATACATCATTGAGAGATCCCAACTCCAAAAACTTCGCAACCCAGTCCTGTCGATCTTCCACGCACAGATTCGGACGAGAGACCAGATTTTCTTCGATTGGAGCATCACCGAGGCTTGCTGCCACTGGGGACGTTCCTGGTGCTGTGATTTCTGTATGTTGCCCTCTTTCGATCCATAGCTGGGAATGGGGTGGGATTTTGATTGTCCAGGCGACCAAGCGGATACACAACTTGTTTGACTTGTTATGTGGGGATATTAACCACCAATAATCCAGGGTACTGGGATGTAGTCAGTAATCATTATGGATATTTGGGCAAACTAACTGGATGGATAGTTTACCCTCTGGTAAACTCACATAGCTACGGAGAATTGCAATTTTGATTTTGATCCATGATTCGTAGGTAAATTAAGTGCAGATTGCAATTTTCAATAGCCCTGTTAAGTTGCCAGAGGGTAAGCTCACTCAATCTTTTTTTTGGCCACGTTGATGGGGATATACTGTGTACTAATTAGCCATGATTGATAATAATAATAACAATAATAATAATAATAATATATATATATATATATTATAAGAATCTACTAGCAAGAAAAACATCACTATTTTGCCATTTGTGCCGGGGAGACACTATCCTAATCAACTAGGATGATCAAATTGCTTTTTAGAGGCACATCTGAGTTTAGCCATGATTTTAGCTGATGGAAGTGGCAAATGAATGCCCTTTTGGTAATTTAACATGGCTATTGAAAATGGCCCATAGAAATAGTTGATTTACAGTTCTTAAACTTGGTGATTTTCCATGACAAGCTGTTAGTTTACCCGAGGGTAAACGACCTTGAGCTATGGATTATACAAGAGAGGATCAATATTGAATACCCTCTGGTAAACTAACATAACTATGGAAATTCACCTTTTTTTAATGGGAAAATCAACTATTTCTATGGCCATGTTCAATAGCTTTTTGTACACGTTTACCAGGCCAGGTATTTTCATGACAAATCATCCAGAAATATCCAGAAATCATATGAAATCATGTGTCCTGGATTGGCCAACATCATCAGCAGGTGGTCATTTTAAGATATTTTAAGATATCTTTCAAGCTTCTGAATGGAAACAGCCTTAAATATACACACTGTACATGATATCGGATTAGTCAGGGGGACTGTCATGCCAAACAAACGGCTTTGCCTGAAAACGTCGAGAGTGTCTTTTCAACATCCCTTTTGTTCATATTCAATCATAATGTTCAAACGTGTTTAACATCCCAAGTATCCACCTGGGGATATTTGAGAGATCATTTTCATTCATTTTCAACATTCCTGATCATTTTCATGAGATTGTCCCTATTATCATTTTCAACATAAACCATTTGTCTTCCGGAGATCTCCCATTTCGACCCCATTTCTGTCGATCTGTGCAGGAGACTGCGCAAGAGGTGCCTGGAACTTGGGTCTACCCTCAAGATAGAACAGCTTCAGCATGGTTTAATTTACTACAATTTACTACTACGTAGTCATACTGTATCTAGTCATTGCTAGTTTAGTTGGATTTTACTTAGTTTGCATCTGTTTGGTGGTGTAGTATATATATATATGTATAGCTACTTTTCTTTGGTGTCGAAGATTAGCCATGAAATTTTGCGTGACAGACAGATGTCCCAATCATATCGGGAATCAGGAGACAGTTGGCATGATATTAGCCGTGCCCCCATTTACCATATTATACCATTTTGGGTACAGCAGGTATTCTAACGTAGCTATGAACATTGAAGATCATTGAAGAACAAATTGCCTGGTGTTACCCTCTGGTTATTTAACATAGCCATGTAAAATGGTGCATAGAAATAGATGGTTTACCGTTCTTTTTTTCGCATGGTGGATCTTTCCATGGCGAACTGTCTGTTCGTCATAACCAGAGGGTTGACTTAGGGGGTTCACCCAGTCGTCATGGTTGGGCTGGATGGCAAGCCTCAGGTCCTACAACTGGTCCTGGTGCTTCTGTTGCTTGGCCTTTGAAACTCGGGATGCTCGGGGTTGACCGGTTGACACATATAGATCAAACACTATAGGGAGTAGAGAATATAGTATGTTTTAATAAAACATAATGAAACTAAAGTTAAGTTGGCAACAACCCATATGGGGGTGCGCTGGAACCTATCATGCCATATGAGCAAAGACCCAAAAGGTTCATGCAGAAACCTTTACATGAGAGGTCATATGGTGGAAAATGTTACCCAAACCATGGAAAGCAATATGTTGAACTACTTAAAGCGATAACGTGATTTGATGGTGAAGTTGAAAGGTGTTGTTGTTTTTCGCAGCCATTTGGGATTGTATGGTACCCTCATATGCATTGTTTTAGTATTCGTCGGATGTGAATCCAGGGGCTCCCAAAAGGCCAAGAGGTGCTCGCAAAAAAGGCCTAGAGTACGCACTTCTGACCACAGAACTTGCTGCCAAAACCTGTCACGACACAGGCCCTGGAAAGCACAGGCTGTGCTTGAGAAACAATCTTTCACATGTTCCTGATTTTACCAGATGAATTTATCGAGAACGTTGCGATAACCAAAAACTGCCAAAAGGGGCCCCGGGAAGCCAGAGACCCAATCCGTCCCTGGAGTGGCGCACTTCAAATTTTTAAGTCAAAGTCTTGAAACATCTACCTGGGGTGGTCCAGCCTGGCCTTGAAACCGATTGTATATTGAATATAACTTTGATCTAAAGATCCAAAGAGATGAACAGAATCTTCAGACGCAGAAAGCACACAACAATGCAAAAACCAAGCTGTTCTGTGGGAAAATCCTTCCGCACTTTGAAGACAGACAGTGAACAGCAGACTGCTGACCATGAAGTGCCCCTATTGTTGATTCTGTGGAGGTGAATGGAAATGGATCCCCAAATCAACAGCCATTGTTTGACATGCTCCAAAACCATGTAAATCGATATAGCGAACGATCTAAATCGATATCTTTCGCTCATGACCGCCTTTGTGACCCTTAGTTTTGGTCCCCGCTAATATGATGCCATATTTTGGGGGGATCCACGTGCCAGCCATTTGATGTTCACCTGTATAGATGTGACAACCCCGGTTGGACGTATGAGTCGGTGGCTTAGTGGCTTTGTGGGATGATCCTGGGGTCGATGGGGGTCCAAACAACATGGATATACATGGATCATGGATCCAAACGTCAAGGATCACCCAGGATTGCGGATATGAAATATAAATATATACATATTGTGCTGCGTGATGTTGGATGCTGATTGGTGCGATGATTGTCTTTTGTCGAAAGTTGTCCCCCAACTAATTATTGACCCGTATTGGCGTCATGGTCTTAAATTGTGGAACGTGTGTTCGTGTATTTTAGTAAGCTTTCTAGCTTTCTGGTGAGAATTTTATCGAAACATGCAAGAAGGTGGTGGAAGAACAATGGATCTGGATGTTTGTTGTTGTGGAAATTAATCTCCATGTTGCTATTCAAAAACATGTTTTGTCGTCAAATCACACCAAGGCTTCACGCTGCGGCGTTGTTTCTGCAGTTTGGCTTGCCACCTGGCTGAATGCTGCTCCCAGAAAGCGCAGATCATCGATGTATGGCATATGGGTCCAGTGGATATACCCCGAAGTTGTTGTTTGAATGGGATAACATCATCACAAGAGACTAGCGGGTGCCATTAAGTGTTTTCTTTTTGGATGCCTTGTGCTGTGGATTGAAAAACTAATTTGTAAAATTTTATGACCATTTTGATGGGTGAATATGACACCCAGCTCCAAGTGACTGAGTTTGACTGGATTCTGGATATCCATATCAGTTTCGCCATGTCTAATGGCTGAACCAGTTCACCTACCCCAATGGTTTGGCCTTAAATTTGTGAGCCTCAAAAATTGGATTCCCGGGCCCCAGTGGATTGTCATGATGTTCCCAGTGGAAACCGGACCTCTGGGGATTTATGGGGAGAGTTTGTGTGTTCTGTTCATGTTTAAAATCCATTAAAATCCTTCAACACCACGTTTTCGGAGGTATATATTTCAAAACCAACCCATTGATACCCCATTCATACATATTATGTATACATATATAACAACATGTTGACCCGTCTGCCGTTCCCAAGAATAGGCCCCAGCAAAAACCATCATTCCCGGCATCATTTCCCCAATGATGTGCAAGGTGGTGGCTCCCCCTCAGTCATGTTAGTTGATTGTGTTCACCCATGCCTCCTATAAATCCATTTATTTGTACCAATTTGGCTAGGGTTTGAGGGCATCACCCCAACATATTTATATATATATATACCCTCTGGTTATTTAACGTAGCCATGGAACATCATCATGTTTAACTAATAGGTAAATCATCATAATTCATCTATAAATGGTTTATTTTCCATGGTTATCCCCATGATATATCCCCAATATGTTCCCATTGTGCAACACTTCTAGTTAACCCATGTGAACCCAGATTTCATTCGTATTTAAAGACATCATGAACCACTACAACCATCATGAATAGTTTTACGAAAACGATGCTGAACGCGGTATTTCCCACCGTTGGTCACTGACCATAGGACGTATCATCTCTACGTCACCACCGTGGACGGTCTCTTTGCTCCCTTCGCCCACGGTGTGGATGAGCAAATCGAGGCCGGCGCATCGTGGTATGCGCTAGAGACGCATGGGAGGTGGGTGAATGGGGTCATGAAATTCATAGGCATTAAACAAAAACCACCAACTTCCCCCCAAACTAATCGCCCGAAAAAAAAAAAAAACAACATGTTTGGGTTTTAAGGCAACATTTTACGAAAAAAAATCAATGAATGGCGGTTTTCAACCATCCATTATTGTGGGAGATTCACCTTTGAAGGGATGTCACTTGAATTTGATTGCATAATGGTGATGCTCCTAATATTTATGGCAGTTTTCTCATGGAAAAATGATGGACAGGTACTGTATGGAACAAATGATCCAACCCAAGGTGTTGGGGTACCCAATTTTCAGCAGATCCAGATTGTGGTTCTGACAATTATTTGGATCATTAAAAAGTAGGCGTAGCCTTACTTACATTTGATGAATCGATGTTTTTTTTAAATGTTGCCAATGGGACATCCACATACATCCACTATATAATTATATATTTGGAGAATCGATTACGGGAATTGTTTCTTACTTTTGGGGGTTCCTTAAACAAATCCACATAGCTGAACACACCCACTGGAGGAATTGACCCTGAAATGAAGTTCACATACTTGTAGTTGAAGCAAGAAACTGTTGCAGTATGTGACACAAACAAAGAGAGAAGTGACAGTCAAAATCGTGGATTTCAGATAGTGAAACGATGTGTATCAGCACAGACCATGGGATTCTTATGAAATCTGTTGACACTTCGATGATTTCGAGATATTTTGAGTTTTCCATTGCTCATCAAACAGTTCCAGTTCCTGGTGACTACACCGAGCAGAGGTCATCAACCGGGCTCTTTTTGGCGATCCCCCAACTGCTCTGGATATGGCAACATGGCAGCAGGGCCTTGTTGGGCTATCAAAAACGGGGCTTCATGATGGTGTACCCATCATGCAGCAATATGCTACATAGAGTGTATAGGTATATCAAACAACAAATGCGGAGGCAACGAGGCAACACTATAATTCAACCAACAAGCACCCGGATAGCATTGATGTGTTTGCCCCTTGAATTGGCTGATGAAGATGGAGGGGCATGAAGCGTAAGACCAAGTAGATAGAGTAAGACCAAGTAGATAGAAGTTTTTGTTGGGTCAAAAACGAACAACCCCAAAATAGGCAAATGAACATTGGATCGACTTCTCGTTGTTCTTTGGATGATTTCACAGAATTCACAGTGATTGGCAATGGCTGGGTGTGGCAACGATGCTGTGACGAGAGTCATGGTGTGATGTTGGTCGTGTCATAGAGGTGAATCAGGCTCAAAACCACAGCAAGATTGCATCTATCGACTATTTCTGGTTGGTTTGGAACATGGCTGGATTATTTTCCCCTTTTAATAGTTGGGATGATGATCCAATCTGATTCATATTTTTCAGGGAGGTTGAAACCAGCAATTAGATTTGAACAGGCATTCTGATGATGTCATATGTGGTGGCTTGCTCTTTACTCTTGTGCCAAATTTGTGGCGTGGACGGCGGAGACCGGAGTGATTGGCCCAACAGGTTCTACTAGCTTTACGATCGTTCACCGTGGCAACCTTGCATCGTCTCATACACGTTGTCATGTTCTCTGAGTTTAGCTAAATACCCTCTGGTAAACTAACAAAACTATGGGAAATCACATGGGTAAATCAACTTACTGTACATCATAGTGACTGGCATCCTGGCCCGATTTCCAAGCACATCATGTACCTTCAAACAACCACGACACTGGACAATAAATTGAAAATTCCCCAGTGACAATCAAATTGTGTTTCTGTGTTTCTATTTCACTCTATTTGTGGACAATATTGAACTGGTTGGTGGTTTGGAACATGTTTTATTTTCCATAATATATGAGATAATCTTTCCCATTGACTAATATTTTTCAGAGGGTTTAAAACCACCAACCCGTGAACAATATGGGGTTCGTTTGATTAATCCCGATCCAACTAAGACTGACGTAGATCGAAAAACGAAGGCTTTCCCCAGGGTCAACAGCTGACTGAGGAAGATCCGGTGCAGAAGAGCGCCCAGGAGCTGTGTCTGAAGCAACACTCCATGGGTTTCGTGCACCTCATGGTGGGAGGGGTCCCAATCCCTGGGGCTTGGGGTTGGACCATGGGTCCGCTTAGGGGATGAGGTTAGCACCAGACACAAGGTGGTTTTCTTTAATCGAAGCACGAAAAAGGTGGGATTGAATGAAGGGTAGATGGACCAACAGTAGGGTTTCATGAAGAAAAAGGAGTTCATTCATCCGAAGTTAGTTAAAGAAATTGGGTTTAATTGGGTGAATGACGTTCTCGGGGAATGACGTTGATATTGGCCAGCCATATCCAACCTAACAATTGACAGGACGAGGAGCCACAAGATTTGAACACTGGAATGATGTGGAAAACCTAGGTTTTGTAGATCATTGGATAACCAGAGAAACCATTGTTTTTCCGCATCCATGTTGGTTTACCCTACTGTAGTATAAGTATTTTAAATATAAGTATAAATATAAGTATAACATTATTATAAAATACTATAAATAACTATTTCTACATACACTTGGCTCAAAAAAAACTGGGTGTCCAGCTCCACCATTGTGGGCCTTTGACCAGTGGCCGCTGAAAATCACTGGTTGGTGGTGACTGGAACATGGCTGGATTATGACTTTCCAGAAACGGTTGGGAATAATAAATCATCCCAACTGACGAACTCCATGATTTTTCAGAGGGGTAGGTATACTGCCAACCAGTCATGTGTTTTCTTGGAAAACTTCTGATGTAGATTTATCACGATTGATCAGGTTTATAGCCAGAACTCAACATGCTTTGACTGGGGCGTTGGCGTTGGCTTTGGACACAACCGTGTTTTTTCACTCAGGTTACCCTCACTACCCCATTTCCAAAGGAGTGAACATCTCGTTGAGTCCCCAAATCCCGGAAAAGATTGGCCAGGTTCTTTCGCTCTGGGGTGCGCGCATGGTGACAGAGGCCTTGCAAAGCCTCAAGCCCCGTGAAAATTTCTGCGGTAGCCCTTGGTTATTCAACCGCTTGCTATGGACAATAGCCCATTCATGGATGATTTATAGTGATTTATCATGATTTATATATCGTTCATAAAAATGATGAGTGTTCAGTTCGCAAAGCGTTAAAAACCAGAGGCTAACATCTCACAAGTTTGCATGACTTTGGCAAACTTGACAAACGTGTCGTAATCCTTTGTCTTGTTGTTGCGAAATCAAACCCTTTGCTTCGAACATATCTGTGTTTTTTTTTGAAGGATCCCTTCGAGTTGTGAGAGGTGGTCTTGACACAGCATTATGTTATTCTATGGCACTTTTAATGGAATTGACTGGATTCAGAGACACTGAACCATTAGGATCAAAGGTTGTACTTGTTATCCTGGTCACCATGAGATTTGACACGATAAATTCAACAAGCCAAAAAAGTCTTTGGTCAACTTGCTCTCCTTATCAAAGTGGATAGATCTTGGTTGCTTAGTCTAATTAGTGCATTTTGGTCAAATCCTCAAATTGTCGACTTCAAAGAATTGGATTCAATTCAACAATAGCTAAGTTGGTTTAGAACTCCAATAACTATGGTTTATGGTACAAATAACTATAGTTTTCATGGGCTTTATAAACCAACGTTCATCACAACGGGGGGCCCCACAGCAGCTATGGATCCAACAAGTCGTACTTCTCAAAAGTCACCAGTCTCCGCGAGGGTGTGGCAGCCAGCCTGGCAGGTGTCGGAGACGCTGAATAAAGTGGCCATTCTGAGTCTCATTCTGCCGCCCATTGAGGGCCGAGCCTTCATCCAGGATGAAATTTGGATGTTTTTTTTTCCTCTGGGAGTCTGTGAAAATGTGAAAATGTTTGGAGTAAAGGGAGATTATTTTTAGCAACTTGATGATATAATGGGATATAATGGGATATAATGGGATATAGATGGATATAGTTAAATAAAATATAGTAATATATACATATATACATATAATGATAATGATGATAATAATAACAATAAAACATATAATAATAATGATGATAATAATGCTAATAATATATATATATATATATATATGCGGCAAATGCCTGGGTTCTGCCCGGACCCGCAACGACGACGGGCGACGCATCATCATCATCATCATCATCATCATCATCATCATCATCGTCATCGTCATCGTCATCGTCATCGTCATCGTCATCATCATCATCATCATCATCAATCAAACCCTTATTGGAGATCTTCAATGCATGTAGAAGTTTAACGGGGGTGGGAGAATTAAACCCTTATTGAAGATCTTCAATGAATGTAGAAGTTTCACGGGGGTGGGAGAATTAAACCCTTATTGAAGATCTTCAATGAATGTAGAAGTTTCACGGGGGTGGGAGAATTAAACCCTTATTGAAGATCTTCAATGAATGTAGAAGTTTAACGGGGGTGGGAGAATTAAACCCTTTTTGAAGAAATGAAGAAGTTTAACGGGGGTGGGAGAATTAAACCCTTATTGAAGATCTTCAATGAATGTAGAAGGGGGTGGGAGAATTAAACCCTTATTGAAGATCTTCAATGAATGTAGAAGTTTAACGGGGGTGGGAGAATTAAACCCTTATTGAAGATCTTCAATGAATGTAGAAGTTTAACGGGGGTGGGAGAATTAAACCCTTATTGAAGATCTTCAGTGAATGTAGAAGTTTAACGGGGGTGGGAGAATTAAACCCTTATTGAAGATCTTCAATGAATGTAGAAGTTTAACGGGGGTGGGAGAATTAAACCCTTATTGAAGATCTTCAATGAATGTAGAAGTTTAACGGGGGTGGGAGAATTAAACCCTTATTGAAGATCTTCAATGAATGTAGAAGTTTAACGGGGGTGGGAGAATTAAACCCTTATTGAAGATCTTCAATGAATGTAGAAGTTTCACGGGGGTGGGAGAATTAAACCCTTATTGAAGATCTTCAATGAATGTAGAAGTTTAACGGGGGTGGGAGAATTAAACCCTTATTGAAGATCTTCAGTGAATGTAGAAGTTTAATGGGGGTGGGAGAATTAAACCCTTATTGAAGATCTTCAGTGAATGTAGAAGTTTAACGGGGGTGGGAGAATTAAACCCTTATTTGAAGATCTTCAATGAATGTCGAAGTTTAACGGGGGTGGGAGAATTAAACCCTTATTGAAGATCTTCAATGACTGTAGAAGTTTAACGGGGGTGGGAGAATTAAACCCTTATATTGAAGATCCTCAATGAATGTAGAAGTTTAACGGGGGTGGGACAATTAAACCCTTATTGAAGATCTTCAGTGAATGTAGAAGTTTAACGGCGGTGGGAGTTTTAATATTCCCTAATATCTTTGTTGATCTTCCCAATTGAATGTAAAGTTTAACGGGGGTTGGAGTTTAATATTCCCTAATGCCGTTTTTGTTTTTCCCATAGGAATTTCGGGTGTTTTGACCTTTTTTTTAAATAGCCCCTAGTACCTTTGCTGTTTTTCCCATAGGAATTTAAGGTTTAATGGGGGTGGGAGTTTAACATTCCCTAATATCTTTGTTGATCTTCCTAATTGAATGTTAAGTTTCACGATTTGAGAGTTTAAAATTTCCTAGTACCTTTTCTGTTTTTCTCATAGAAATTTCAAATATTATGCTGTTTTTGTTTTTCCCATAGGAATTTCGGGTGTTTTGACCTTGTTTGTTTAATAGTCCCTAATACCTTTGTTATTTTTCCCATAGGAATTACTGTAATTTGCAATATCATTTGTTTGTGAATTGTAGATATATACGCTGCAACGCCTGGGCAGAACCCAGGCGTTGCGCGTATATATATATATACATACATACATAACAACTTTAACAACCCCAATGCCACAAACCTATTGATTTCAATCTCACCCATTGATTTCTGGATTTCTGACTTGGGGATGGGTGAATCCCACGAATCCCTGCTGAGAATCCTGGTGATGTTCGTGGTGGATGTTCGTGGAATTTCATGGAAATTTCAACTGGTGATACCCATTGGAAAATGGTGATTTCATAGGAAAACCATAGGAAAACCCATCTATACCCTGGTTGGTGGTTTGGAAGATTTTTTATGACTTTCCCATCATCTTGGGAATAGATTTCCCCCAACTGACGAACTCCATGATTTTTCAGAGGGGTTGGCTCAACCACCAACCAGATAATATGTGACTTCATGGTGGTTTAATGGTGATTTCCATGGTGATTTCCATGGTGATTTTCCAGGAGGGCGATGGTGGCAAGATGACCATCGAACACATGAGCTGGGGGATGAAGGCGGATCCATAGAGTTTTGTTCCATGCTCGGTTACCCTCTGGTAAACGTTTACATAACTATGGGAAGATCCACCATTTTTAATGGGAAAATTCACTATTTCGCCATTTTCAATAGCTTTTTGTATACCAGAGGGTAAATTCCTTCTCAGAATATGGAGGTTTTAAGATTTGTTCATCTCGTATGGGTCGAACTGGGTCAGTGGGTATGAAATGCTTTCGGGTTTATAGTACATATTGGTACATGTTGATACTGCGGTTCTGAAAGGGTCCTGGTTTAGGTGATGAACAGTCACCATTTCAGGTTTTTGTTGTGCCACCTAAAACCCATAAAAAGGTAACTTTGAATGGCCTGGGACAGAATTGCGACAAGTATGACCCATGGTGACGCTCTGACCATGCAGGCAGTGGTCATTGTGACCGACATTCTTCCAAGTTTCTCGGCCAGCGATTGGACTTGTTTCACCTCGGTGGGAGGGTGTCCCGAAACTGGAGACCCTGCAAATCCAACGAATTTCTGCACTGCCCAACATGGAATATGTTTGTCTATGCATGCAATAGAAACAGACAGTTTCGGGTAATTTTTCTATTTACAGAATGGCCGCAGTGTGGGAGGCTTTACCAAGAGATCGGATTCGTTGAGCCATGTTCTTGTTCCTCCATTTTTGATCTAAAGAGACTTGACTCTTTTCCGCTGAGTCTGAAGCGTTTTGATGCACAGAGGGACAAAGATGTTGAATCTCCGAGCCCAAGTCTCTGGTTTCTTAGGGTCTGACCTGACCCATTGCTGTGACCTGTTTGCTGCAACTGAGAACTCTTCTGCACCATGTTTCTGATGTGGACAGGCGGGGTCAAGCTTAGACTCTTCGGGGTTCCTGGGAGAATGTTCCTTTCATCCAATTCTGGAAGGATATGGTTGGGTTTCCATAGTCATGGGGGTACCCCAATAGCTGGATGGTTTATTTCATGGAAATCCCAATATATATATATATGTAAAATGGATGATGAATGGGAGTACACCTATGACTTAGGAAACCTCCACATATTCACGTCGCTTCGCGACGGCAACCGCCCGCACCGCATCGTTGGGCTCACACAGCAGGGGCATGATTCATGGGCGGAGCGGAAAGTGGAGCGGAGGAGTTGAGGTGCGAAGAGCGTTGTTGAGTGATGGGTTACCAAGTCATGAGGGATCCCCAGTCGTCACCATGGGCGTTTTCAATACTAAGTCCTGGTCTAATGGAAGATTTGGGGCGAATATCGTAACTGCCAATGATGTCGGCCATTGAGACCAAAAACATCCGAAAGTACTGATTGTCGGGAAAAAAAACGCGAAGAATTTGATAGCCATGTATAGCGGACCAACGCAGTTCAAAAAATAACGAAAAACATGAAAAAGCGGCGAAATTGCTGTTATTTACAGTGTTTTTGCGCGGTGAGAAGCAGAAACCACTGCAAATACCATGGTTTTTGAGGGTCAGGTGGCCAAAAACACTGTAATTTACAGTGTTTTTTTAACCAACGTCAAAAAACACTGGTATTTACGATGTTTTCATTCACACCGTAACATAAAACAGCGTAATTTACGAGGTTTTTGGAAGTTTTGAAGCTAGCCGTCAAGCATGCAGAAAACAGAAAAACACTGTAAAAACCAGTGTTTCTGCTATCACAAAACGACGAAAATCAGTCCGAAAACGGGTCCAAAAACTCAAAAATCCGCCTCCGGGCCAGGCCACCTGCGGAACCGCAAAAAAAGATGTTGCAAACCAAAAAATTGAGGTCAAAAAGTTGAAAAACACGGGTTTTTTTCACTTTTCGCTTGCCGATTTTGGACGGGCGCGTTCACGAACAGGTGTCTTCCGTACTGTTTTTTACAGTGTTTTTTGAAGGCGAGCGTCACGACCTATCAAAAACAGGAGGTTTTGGCCGAAAAATGCCCCCCCCCCAGGTAAACCTGTAACCTTTTACGAGTACCATCCGGACGATCACGCCCCAGCACCTTCGGTGCGGGCGGATTTTTCAGAGGGGTAGGTCAACCACCAACCAGATATATGGTTGGGTTTCAATAGTGGTAGTAAACCCAATGCCGCCTCCGTTGGAGGACCGACATCTGTGGTTTTTCTGTGGCTTCAACATGACGAAAAGCTCATCCCCACTGCCGATAGTGGGGAGTATTGGCCGGGTACATCGTAGGTACTGAGAGTCACCCTCTGGTAATTTAACGTAGCTATTGAAAATTGTCCATTTATAGTTGATTTACCAATTTAAAATGGTGATTTTTGATAGTTATGTTAGTTTACCAGAGGGTATGTGATAAACCCAATAACCCAGTGATGAAGATAAACAATCCCCAAGTGTTTAATTGAACTGTTTACCAAACATATGGCCCATGGCCTCGCTGCCTGACCATACACTCGATTGCTCCACTCGATTGCTCCAACCACTGGCAAAATGATGGCAGTGGGAACTTAGTGTCTCTACTTGGTGGCTCATCCCACTTAGTAAGTAGGTTATAACCCCAGTTATAAATGGGATAAATAGGGTTAATCCACTTATAACTAGGGTTATAACCCACTTACTAAGTGGGATGAGCCACCAAGTACCTATCTTTATTTACCCCATCTGTATAACCCCCTTCGAATTGAGGTGTTGGGAGCAAGCGAATTCAAGAGTAGAACACCGAATTCAACGAGCCACGGGCTTTTCTCGCCATCCTCAAATCACCATCAAAACACCGATTCAGCCCAATTCCTGCCGAGATCTGTCTGCAGGTGGGAAACTCTTTATGCTCACCTACACCATGGGCTCCTTGTTGCTCGGACGAGTCGTTGACCTACAATTAACTTAGCTACTATTGAGGGCAAAAGTCTGCAGTATTGGTAGTATACTAATAGGCTTGTTTAGTATTGTTTCGTACAGTATATGGTATGTTGTAGTTTGTTTGAGTTGATTTGAGTCATGTACAATCTGCAGTCATATACTCTATATAGTATACTTCGCTTAGTATGTATAGTACCCTATCAGATTTGCAGATTCCGTGATTTGTTTCACCCTCCTGCCCTTCTTCCAGCGAGGATCATTCCCTTGCTGACACTGACCTACATCCTGCAGATTCCTGCCATTCTCTTCACCGGTTTCTCCTCTTTCAAGTTCAAGGCACCAGCTCTTGCATTGGGCTGGGCATTTTCCAGAATCATCCCAAATAAAATTGATATATTTTCTGAATTGTCCGTTTTTCGACAATGGTTATCATGCCCATATGCTCCATGTATGGAATTTTTTACCAACATTTATTTACCTTATAAATGACCCAAATGTAGGTAAATATACCATACATGGAGCATATGGGATGAATTGTCCATTCCTGGGATTGACCCATGCCATGTGTCGAGTTCGCTCTTCGGTGTTCCGAGCTGCTGATCGGCTGACGCAGGAGAAGGTGGAGTTGACGCACTATCAATATCGACGCTGAGCTCATTGATGGGGCGTGGTTCATCTGTAATAATGAACAATAATTGACAATAATAAGTTGTATAAATTGAAATGATACTGGATCTTTTTCTGATACTAATATGGAGATTCTGAAAATGTTAAGATTTCCTTGTCAATCAAGGTTGGTTATTTTATTTTAGTCTAAATGGAATGGGGACATGATCTTTTTTTGTTTATAATTGTTTATAGGGTATTAGTCTCTTGGATCTGCTGCGTCGATGATTGGTATGTTCCCTTCAGCAAATCCACGAAATGGCTGGGGTGTGTTTCATGTTTTTTTATTCTTGGCCTGGATGGAATGGGGATATAAATAGCTGGTTGGTGGTTTCAAACATTTTTTATTTTCCATAATATATGGGCTCCCCAATAAAGAGCAATAAAGAGTAATATTTCTCAGAGGGGATGAAACCACCAACCAGATAGTGTTTGTTTCCTTTTAATATATCCTGTAACGGGATACCCTCTGGTAAACTAACGTAGCTATAGAAAATCACCATTATGAATGGCTAAATCAACTGTTTCTGTGGCCATGTTCAATAGCTATGTAACAAATTACCAGAGGGTAAGTCGACCAGATGACAATTATTGGTGGATTGAGAGATGTCCCAACATCCACAGGATATCCCGATAAAAAAGATGATGTTCCTATATTTAATCCATTCAAAGCCTTTGTAATCCACCTTAAATCCATATCAATCCCTATAAATCTACGTATATAAAATTATATAAATCCGTTTAAATTCATAGTAAATCCATATTATTCAATCTAAAATCCATCTAAGTTCCCGGTAAATCCCGATTATTCCTATACAAAATCCACATTTTTTCCCTAAATCCAATCCAGGAATGGCTCTATGCTACACCTCCCAGACCTGCCAGATATGGGGCCTCACCGTGTCTGGGCTTTGTATGGCTTGGTGATGAGCTGATTGCTACTAATATTATAGTATAATAATGTGATCTAATAGATAATATTAACCATTATTAGTTATTTATGCTTTTTTTAACAATCCAAGTTACCCTCAGGTAAACTAACGTAACTATGTGAAATCACCATGCTATCAATGGTTAAATCCATTATTTCTATGGTTATTTTCAATAGCTATGTAACAAATTACCAGAGGGTAAACATCTCATTGGAAACCATGGTATTTAGTAGGGATCATCCCCCTAATATTGAACATAATTGATACCATTAGAAGCCATGGTTTAGTAGGGAATTTCCACATGCCATTGGGACCATTTCGGATGTATTCCACATATTAGGGGGATGGGATTATAGATCTGGGTCAATTATAACGACCGAACCCTGTTCTCCTGAACCCTGGAATCACAGTTTATTTTCGGGGAATCATCCCCAAATGGCCGAACATTTCAGGGGTGTCTGGCCCAAGCTTTCACGCAGCACACCTGACAGGCCTTGTAGGTCTGCTGATTGGGTCTCGCTACATTCGATTTGCCATGCCACGACATCCTATGTGGCTTCGACCGCTGGAGGACATGGAAATGATGGGATCAACCAATCCTGTTCTGAATAGGCACTTTGGTGGTCGAACAAACTTTGAGGTGGGTGACTGTGCAGCCATCAGCGGCACCAATTTGTGGCCTGCTACCCGCTTTGGGCATACAGGAAACTCATGTGGATCCGCAATCAATGACTTCTATTCCTGGGACGACATGAAGCCAATCGGGGCCATCACTAAGTGGCGCCTCAATACGCCAAGACCAACACCACATGGCTTTCTCTGTTATTTTGATGCGGTCAATCCAGAAGATCCAGAGGTCACGGTGACCGAATGGGGCGACTTTTGTGACAGTGTTGATCTTCATGCGGGACCCGTGGCTGGAAGATGCTGGAAGGCACTCGGAAAGATCTTTGCCCTGGGAGTACTTGGGGACCATGGCTATGGAGAATCGTTAACAAAACGATTTGATTTCTGCCCTCGGTGCTACTACCTGGCAAGGTGCTATGCTTACGTCTGGGTTCTTTGTTGCTGGGGACATTTGTCCAATGGGATTCGCATGCGGCTTTTGTGGATACGGATGTTGGCGCTCACGTGCTCTTCTTTCGAAGTGAAATCGGGTGCGGCAATGCATTTGACTGTGATTCAGATCTCGGTCCTGGTGCCAACCTTTTTCGCATGGTGAGGCGCGCCCTTGGTGGAGTGCTATCCCCAGGTGGCTATGTGCAATTGTTTATGGCTTGTGCTAGGCATAGAGCGCCTTCATTGCTCTTCGTGCTGCAAATGATGCTCGTCTATGTATTTTGACAGTTTGAGCTGATTGGCAGCAACTTGGTGCAATTTCGCCTGGTACTCTCGCTTACCTTGGGTCAATGACTACGCAATTTTTGGGTGTGTCCCATCCCTGGATGGCTGAGTAGATGTCAATTTGTCCAGGTGTTTTTCTGGGAACATGTTATTTCCCTGTAAATCTGTGGTGGAAAACCCACTACTCTTATGTCAATATGGTATTGCAAGCCGTCCAGGTGGCGTTTCTGATTATGTGGGGGTGCAAGTGATGGACTCAACATTTGCACTTTCCTTGGAGGACATGTTTCATTTGGACAAGCGATCCCATGAACACCATGGTTGATCGTCAAGGACACGTTCGCGTGGACATCGTGTGCTGCCTTCGCCCTAGGGCCGGGGCAGTGCACTTCTTCTTCAAGGAAATAGGCCGAACATTTCAGCTCAGTGAAATATGATGATTTACGCAGATAGATTAAGAACTGATAATAGTGTCTACATACTACCTACCTACCTACCTACCTACCTACATACCTACCTACCTACCTACATACGTACGTACGTACGTACATACATACATACATACATTCATACATTCATACATTCATACATTCATACATTCATACATGCATACATGCATACATGCATACATGCATACATGCATACATGCATACATGCATACATGCATACATGCATGCATGCATGCATACATACATACATTCATTCATACATTCATACATTCATACATTCATTCATACATACATACAGACAGACAGACAGACAGCATACAGACATACAGACATACAGACATACAGACATACAGACATACAGACATACAGACATACAGACATACATACATAGACGCGTCCATGTACATCAACGTCTTGTTTTAAAAGGCGGGACATCAACTCCGGCAAACGGCCAGGTTGCAGCGAACATGTTTCAAGTAGTTGTCACGTAGTTGATGGTCTTTTCCCAGAAAAGTTGTTTTCCAGTATCATCCCAAGTGGGATTGATATATGATTAGTAACATGGTTACCCAGGTAGTTGTATGATACAACCTAATATGAGTGTTAATTTGATATGGTTGTTAGTTGGTAGTTTATAATCTATAATAATAATGGTGAACATGGTTTACCATCGTTCATACGGGTACCACAGTTAATTTTTGATAATGATTAGCAATTGGTTAACCATGCATAATGATTAATAATTGATAATGATTTTTAACCATGGTTATTACTGGTACTTGATAATATCGTTGATCATTTGAGCTATTGTATAATAGGGGTATATATATATACACAATGGGGTGTATAACCAACCATATATGGGGTTTGAATGGTAAATAGTCTATGAATGCGAAATCTAAAACAAACACATCTTGGATATGTGGCTTCGTTTGAAAATGCAGGATACTGCAGATATCCCAAAACTGTAGGTTTGTGTTGGTTCAAAACTTAAACAAACCTCATGTTGGTTGATCAGCATATTTGCCAGGGTCAAACATGGGACATTTTACATCATTTTACCATAAGTTGGGGGATGGTCAATGTTCCTTTGTTTACAACGTGTTTCTTAAGTTAAGCATCTTAGTCTTGGGAGGATTTTTCATTCAAAAAAACAGATATTGTTGGGATGGAATCGGTGGTTCAATGACCTTTTTCAGCCGTAGATGTTTGAATTTTTCTTACCCACAGACGTCCAGCGGCTGGCTGTGGAATATGGTTTTGCATGGTTTTTTCATGAATCTCTGGGCAGCTTAGGAAAATCGTGTCTCACTCATTCCAATCCCGCATTTTTCTCAGACTTTGATAGGTTATGAGAAGTTCGATTCCCATTGATGAAATTTTGTTTTGAAAACATCACATGTTGCGGCTTGTTTTCTTTGCAGCTAAATTCACATCTTTACTGGTTTCATGTGGTTTTTCATCCGCTGGTTGCGCCTTTAGATCTGAGGTGATTAAGGCTGCAGCCACGGGGATGTATGTCTTCATGCTTTATTTTGTGATATTTGGTCCCTTGGTGGCATGACAAATTTTGACATTGATATGGATCATCCCCCTTGTGTTTCCGGAGAGAGGATTTGATCTGTACATGATGTCCCATAGGTTTGCTGGAAGATCCAAAACGTCATAGAATAATATAAAATTGTTTTATGACATAGAGTTTTTGTTGTATTGTTTCTCCACACTCTGCCATGAAGTGTTAGTGGGCTGGGTCGTCCACCCCACACTTCATACATGTTGGTGGTTTCCTAAGTCATAGGGGTACCCCATTTATCATCCATTTGAAGAGGATGTTCCATTACCATCCAGCGATAAAGGGGAACCCCCATGACTAGTCGGAAACCTCCATGTGCCATATGCCCTGGTAATTTAACATAGCTATTGAAAATGGTGATTTATAGTGGATTTTCCCATTGAAAATAGTGATTTTCCATAGCTATGTATCCCCCTTGCCATTTCCTCCACAGATCGAGGGGGGTTGGGGTGCCTATATGGCATAATTTTATGGGAAGTGTTGGCCTTATATGGGGTCGAGCATGCCATTTTGTAGTAATTTGTGGGTTTTACATGGTTTTATAATTTTTATTTTGAAGGCATGATCATTTATGGGCACCAAGACAAACCATTTTGTAACAAACAAAAAGCCATTTTGTAGATGTTTTTAAGGGTATGATTTGGTGCTTTTAAAAAATGCGAGTTAGTCATTGACAAAGAAAAATCAGCTAGCCATTCTGTAGAGAAACCATCGTTTCAATAAACGTACCATTTTGTAAGTGCATATTTGTGTTTGCAATGGTTGGCTCGGAAACACTTTAGGACATTTCAATTTCCTAGAGTTTTTTCTAGAAAATGGTTTGGCCTGCTGCCTAGAGTCGACCATTTTGTAGACTGGTGTAGGTCTGAAGATAGACCCTGTTTTTATGATCGTGTTGAAAAGAGCAGTGGCAAAGAATTGTGATTTAATTTGTTCCTTCTGGATCCTTCTGGATCTTCTCGGATTCTTCAGCCTTATCCAAACTTCGATACCGATTGTTCCCTGGAAGATCTGTGTCAAAATTTCATTCTTCTCCTGATCTTCGTTTTTGCTTTGGGACCGTTTTTGTGACTGGAACATACTGGAACCGGAAAAAGTTTCCATCTTCAGAAGGATTGCCAGCACATTGTTGGCAAAAAATAGAAACATATTCATGCTGCAAAAGTTGCATGAAAAAAATGGATCCACCTCCGAAAAGGAGGAGTGAAGACGACTAAAGGGTAAAAACCCTACAAAATGGCACTGGGAAAAAGGCAGTTGACGCTGAGGTCTTGACAAGATAAAGGCTCTACAAAATGGCTCTGGGATTTTTATATGTTTTATAAAATCATGAATGCACTGGTTTGATCATTTTTTGACTAAATTGTCAAAATATTTGTGGATCAAAACAGGTGACAGGCACTACCATTTTGTAGAGCCATGGGTTATAGACAGACCATTTTGCAGGATGGAGACTGTGTACCAGAACCACTTTGTAGAGACAGGGGTTGGTTCACTACAAAATGGGGCCCCCCAACCCCCCCCAGGGAATGGGAAGGAGGATAGCTATGTGACAGTTTACCAGAGGGTATGCCCTGTGCATCGTTGGACGTTCTGAGGAGATGTCACTGCGTCCCTTGGATGCAACATGCTGTGGATCTCACCGGAGCTATGCCTTGATCTGTCAGCAGATAATGCCGCCGCCAGTGCTTTAACATTGGCAAACATCGGGGATGTATCAAAATGTTAGGTCCCCCCGAGTAAAACTTAAGTTTAACGGGGAAGATGATGATAAACCATGGATGTTGGGGTAGCTATCTTGAGACAGATCCATGTCGACACTTTTTGGGCATGACGCACCTGCCGTACATCTCCTGAGGTACCGAAACCTTTGCAGTAGGCTCCCGGTTCATGCATGTTGCGGTGTGGGAAGTTGAGGTTATCACACGTGGCTTTGGCTGGTGCAACTGCATCCTGACAAACAATTGAAAATTCCCAGAGGAAAGGCCAAATTTATCAATGACTTTGATCTAAATCGATCTTACTTGCTCTAGCTTGATCAGTTTCCAATCAGATAGCCGTGTTCCATCCTGTTCCAAACCAAGTGATCATAGTGATCGGTATGGAAAATGGTAGTCTTGAGAGATGTTTATTTGCTGCAATAAGGGGCTGGGGTTTTGTTGTGGGTCAACTTTTTTGGATACCCATGGGTTTGTCAGAACGAAACATGAAGCTGCAAGCCGCCCTGGAAGTGCCAGGTATTTGAGCCTTTTCCCTCAGGGAAAGTGCAGCTTTGGTTGCCACTTGGGTATTTCAAAACTCACAGGTCCTCACAAAGCCGGCTAAGCCGGGTTGAGTTAAATGAAACCTATGCCATTTGCACCGGATGAACCGGCTGCAATTGCTAGCCATGCTGTAGGCTGACAGTAAACCATAGACATGGTTTTCCCATTGGTTGGTAGATAAGTAGAGGGGTCATCTCCAGTAAACAGCCACCAGGTATCTGATGAAGTATGCTATACGGAAAACCGGTATACCGGTAACCAGCCGTCTCCAATAAACTTACAGCATGGATGCCATGGTATGATTTCCTGCACATGCAGGTGCTTATTTTCCTTGCGGAACAGTCGTGCGTCCGGATCATGTCGGCTGCTGATTTCTTCAGAAAATGTATTCGCCAAGAAATGTTTGGCAGTTGACAGAAAAGTGCACACAGACGGTCTTCACGACTGCATTTGCCGCTAGAGAGAGCAAAAGTAGGTACAAGGTGATGCCCCCAGTTATAAATTGGTTTCCAGCAACTATAGATACATCATGATACATCCCGAGGGTAAAGCGCATAGGTTACCTGAAGTCAACTTCGCCATACAGCAGTCGCAAGAACAACTTCATACATGGCTGGGATGATATTTCGGCACAGCCTCCAGCCATGGCTTGAAGATCAAACGATTTCCTTCGGGAAATTCCATGGATAAACCAGACAAATCATGTTTGTTTTCCATTCCCATAGGATCAATATAGGATCCATGGTGCTGGTATATATGCTAACATTGGGGGTATATTGATGGGATCCATGTTACCATATATAGCAGCACCATGGATCCGTCATGGGATTTGCTGCTTGATTTCGGTATTTACAATGCCGCCGTGCATTGTCCCTCTGGTAAACTAACATAGCAATGGAAAGATCCACCTTTTATAGCTGGGAAAATCCACTATTTCTATGGCCATTTTCAATAGCATTTTGTATGTTTACCAGAGGCTACCCGATTTTCAGATCAAAATGATCCAGCGAGGCCAAAATCGGGTCGACTCCAGCGAGGCTTAAAACGCATCCTGCCGTTGATCTGGACTCACAGCTGCCGCCGAAAGTGAAATTATGACTGCTGGGGGTTTTGTGGCCGGCCTAGGGGGTCACCATGGGTCACTGCAGGAGGTGGAGTTCAAACATGGAAAATTCTGATATGTTATGATTCTATAATACTATATGAATCTTATTAGGAATGGAAGATGTTCATAGATGTTTATAGATGTTCAATGATTTTCTAGTGGCATCACAGTAAAGATTTCATGTTGTCAAAAGGGGAGCTGTTGGCGTTTCCAAAGGGAAAACAATATGAGATCATATTCTATCCCCATTGAAACACTTTATCAACGGACTGTGCTGGTAAACCTTAGTAAGTGGGTTATAACCCCAGAACAAGATATTTGGTAGGGTTCTCTTCATGCCCTGCAAAATGATCAAACTGGGTAACTGTCATAGAATTGGATGATGGGAAAATTTACAGGAAAGCCCTATATTTGATGGTAAAAACCATGGTTTCCTGTAGATTTTCCCTTAAACCAATCCATTGACTTTATCAACGGACTGTTCTGGTAAACCTTGGTTCCGTAGATGGTGTCTTGATTTGTTGCGATTGGACAAAACAACTAGCCGACTAGCCCAAGAAGTTTGATATCCACCGGTTAGACAGCGCACGGCAACAACGATGTGATTTTTCTGCCTACATTGTTTTGCTAAATTGGTTGAGAAGTACAGGTTAACTAGATATCTCCATAGATATCCATCGAGGCATAAAAATCCTTGAACATCGTAAAAATTATAGGGACCCCAAGGATGGGACCCCTCATTCCCATACATATTTATACACTCCTCCCTTACTACTTAGTTACTTCCAACTTTTAGCTGGAGATGGTGGAGTTTTGCTTGGACTTAGATGGACAGAGGTGAGACGTTGGACGATTTTTCCCCACAGCCGGTCAAAACATGGGAATGGATGACTTTCATAGATCTGCGATGATCAGCGATGATAGAGTTCTTCGATAGTCTTTAGCAGAGTGAGGAATGCAGGACTTTGGTAATGACACCTGAGCCAGCAGAAAAACCATTATATGGGATTATACTACATAATTTATTGATCAATGATAAACCATAGTAGGAAAACCTGTCAACCATCTAGTATTTCATGAGATGGGATAGGGTATTTTCAAGGGCTCAATTGCGGCAAGCAAACTTGCAATTAGAACATTTGACCCTCCAAGCATAGTTGGAATGACATGTCCATACATTTCCTGAAAATGTGTTTTTCTTCTGCTATCTCATTGACAAGTTCCAGGACATCTACCAATCTAAAGGTTCTGAAATTGACGGTCAAGGGTACTGTAGATATTGGTACATGCAATATGATGTTGCAAAGGGTAATAGACGTAAATAGATTCAAATTTCATGTAAATAGACTAGAAGTCAAGTAAGTCGCCAAGAAATGTGTTTTCCCTTTTTTAATTAGGACAATTTATAGGACACCAATGGACACCCTTTGGATCACAGAAATCCTCAGCAACTCGTAAGTGTTTAAGAGCTTCTGGCTGCGATCGCACAAAGCTTGAAGAAACTTCAGGGTTTCAATCTGGTTCCGACGAATCATTTTTTGAACCTCAATGGCATGACTCGTTGGCTTGAACATTTATGACATAATGATCATTTATGCATATAGGATCATATAGGTCTAAATTTCAGAGTGTTGATTGCTGGATTCAAACAGATGCAGGTATCTGTTTCCAACCCGATGTAAGGGAATGCTAATCCCGATTTGAGCAAGTCTTGAGTGGCCCAACCATCGAGCTGGACCCGAACACTTGAAGTTGAACAACTAGGTCCTAACTGTCCAAAATGGGATTGAAGTTTCAAGTCTCATCCTCCTGATATTAGTGCTTGATGTGTGGGATATATACATCCATATATTGGTGTCTAATCTATCCATGACGTTTGAAGCTAAGCCCATCTTTCTGATCAGTAGTCAGGCCTCACATTCCAAAGTCCCAAAGTCCTTTGTCGAAAGTTTGACCAATCCACATGCAAACTAGCCATTTCTTGGTGCTACAAGACTGGTGAAGCCTTGCTTGAGGTATTGTATTCTCATGTTTGGCCATTGGGGGAAACCAAATGGAGGTTTCTTAAAATGGGGCTACCCCCAACTCATCCAGTTGTAGATGGGATGTTCCATTCAAAACCATCTATTTTTGGGTAGCCATGTTTTGGAAAATCCGAAATTCCTACTTAGCAGCTAAAGAAGTAATTTGTTTCAGGGTACCCAAGATCAGCTTTTTGCAATCGCCTGCGATAGCTGATAGTTTTGTTTTAGCGGGCTCTCCTGCCCTGGCACGGGCAAAGGAACCGTGGTGTTTAGAGTCTTTAGAGCGTGCCGATGGGAGAAGACGGAGGGGATGCAGATACTCAACCTGGGTAAAGCTGGGAAAAGCATTGGTTGTTGTTGTTGATGGTTTTGACCCAATGCCATAAGCCACAACATCACCAAAATAAGTGGTTGCTATTAAAAAAACATCCCCTTGGATGGGAGTTGTTCATGGCACTGGCTTTCCCACATGAGGTGTTCTTTATTGGCCACCAATGGAACACATGTTATCCTCAGCTAAAATTTGTTACCAAGAAGGGGTGGTGAAGTACCAATGGACAATCAACATGTGGCTATACTGTGTATATACATGTATTAACATGTATTACATTTATATATATATAACATTATATAGCATGATGTAACCCTTTGGTAATCAAGGATGGCAATGGACAATCCAGCAGTTCCGGAAAATTGTCCCATTAGAAGCTCTAATTCAATTGGCCATGCGGATTTCCCAGCGGCCCGCCATGGTTTTTTGTGTTGCGGGGATGGCTCGACCGGAGCTACAAGCTGGTGCCCTCAAGGTCCAACAACGCTCTATGAATTGTCATCCAGATAGATATGATATGATATGTACTTGGTGGCTCATCCCACTTAGTAAGTGGGTTATAACCCCAGTTATAAGTGGATTAACCCTACTTATCCCATTTATAACTGGGGTTATAACCCACTTACTAAGTGGGATGAGCCACCAAGTAGCTTCTGAAGCTTAGGAAGGGGCCATATGAATTAGTCAACTTTCATCAGGTGACTTCCTATATTGATGATTAGCCTTCCGGTAATCAAACGTCTCTGGAAAATCACCCAGCCGGAATGGGATGGTAAACACATGCTAAACATCACCCCCATCGAGTTGACATTGTCAGAGTCTGAGTTTTTTCGTGTTAAAAAAAAAACACATATGTTCACGAGTTTTGCAGACAGCTACAGTTTCAATAGTTTCAATGTGATTTTTGCATATTTTTGCGGGTTTTTCCTGCCAGTCATTGGCTCATGACTTGCTTAGACGTCCTGCTGGCTGAGCGTGGATCATAAGTTTCTGAACGTTTTCTGAACGTTTGATGAAAATAGTGCTGTTACTTGTGATAGTTCCTAAATGAAATACTGATAGAAAAACTGATCATATGTTAGGAGATTTGTGGATATGTGTTAGGCCAACCTCTGAAACGTGCCTTTGGAAAATCACAGAATCATTCAGTAGAGAGATCATGGTTCAAAACCCAGCAGAAATTTATCGCACAACACATCAGCTATGTTTAGATTCAGAATACCCAGAGATAGCAACGTTTACCTGTATCTACATTTGTACACCGTGATTGACCTACCTACACAACGTTTATCTAGAGTTAGCTTCACTTCAATTATGAGAGCCGTTGCAGGAACAGGAAACCGTCAAGTTTAGATGTCCTTTCTCGAAAAAAACAAGTTGTTTTTGATACACACGACCAGACTTAGATGGGTTATATATGTATATTATCAATACATACATACATACAGACAGACAGACATACATACATATACACATACACATACACATACATACACATACATATACATACACATACACATACATATACATACATATACATTCATAAACACACAAATACAGACATATCCTCACATATACACACATATACATTTACATACATATACACATCTACACACATATACAAAGATACACACGTACACATACACATACATACACATACATATACATACATATACATACATATACA